TCAATCGTCTTGGTCAGGTTTCCNTTCTTGTCCAACTTATCCTGCTCCAACCGCAGCGACTCCATGACGCATTTGTTCTTCAAGTCGTGGTAGTAACAGCAAGAGCGATGCCCATCTCGGTGCAACACGCCGAAGACGACAATGACGATGCCGCGGGGTCGAAAGGTTCGCTCCGAGGCCCAACCACACTCGACCGACTCTCGACCACTGCAACAGCCTCAAGGGTAATTATAACACAAACAATTCCAAAATAATTCTCGCACTCTCTCTTCAACCTCCTGCACTCCTATCACTGGCACTGAAAAGTCCTCACGTTCCCTGCTCCCGATAATCATTTTCACGTGCTTTCAAATGCCAGGACAATGATATCGTTTCTGCTGCTCCGACTAAGCGCTCATGAGCACTCCTGCTTCGGCCACAGAGAGGCCTCCCGGTCCTCATAAACAAAACGTCAAACTCATCACACAAGAAGAACAAAAGGCCATTGAGAATTCAGAAAAGCACTCTCCTAGTCCTGATGAGAACGAGTCCAAAGCACCCACGCATCAACGTCTTGTGCTCACCGACCCCATCGCCTTCAGGTGAGTCGACCGAATATCGCATATACCCAGAAACTGATTTCCCCAANGATACCTGCAAGAAGATCCTGGCGTAGAAGTCATTGAGAGGAGTCAAGAGCTACAAGGCTACGAGATATACGTCGTCGAACAATGGGCCACCTCTCGTACCCATCCCACTTTTGTTATCACCACTTTTACTGGTGACCCTCAACATGTCGCTCAGGTCGGTATTTTGAGCGTCCCTACAGACGAGTCTGGCTGGTCCGATCGTCTGCGCGTCTACTTCAAGGCCCTGAACCAATACCATGCACGTCGGAGGNAGACTTCGCTCGGTATACTGATGATAACGAACCTATCTGGCTTTCCTTCGTCTCTGACAGTCATTCCCGTTCCCGATGGCGACTTGAAAAAGCACCGCTTCGACTTCTTCGTCTCTGAGAACCTCAAGCGTATGGGCTGTTCTGGACGTGTTGGTCTGACACTATCTGCACCCAACAGTGCTACCATCGCCAAGTTCCATCAGCTGTACAAGACCAGTGACAAAAATCCAGTGAACGCATCTGTCATCGAGCTCGTCAAGCTATGCCAGGCCGCTCTCAACATTTTCGATAAACTCGATTTTGACTACGTAGACGGTCTGCTATGCGACGTCACCGAGAAAGCAGTCAACGACTGGTGGTTAGATATTGGAGCCGAGTTTTACAACATAGAACCACACGATGGTATCCTTGGACCTACTACGGTAGCTGCTTTGCTCGGCCTTTTGATGGGTGCTCGCAACCGACTGAGTGCTGTCGGTGCACCTGTGCCAAAGGACCCTTTTGACATTGAAGGCATGAAACGCGGCATCTCGTCTTTTCAAAAGAGCAATCGACTGGAGCGGACTCGACGACTCGATCGACACACACTAGACAGGTTGCATAAGACATCTGCCAAGGCGGCCAATGCTGAAGGGTGGTCAGTACCCCGTGCTGTCAAGAACACTGTGGCAGAGCTGAGTGGGAAAGGTGGCGAAATGCTTGCAGAGGTTGTCGGAAAACGCGACAAGGCAGGCATTGCCGATATCGAGACGTCGTACATTGACAGATTTGAGCAGCTCGTGTATGGTCAGCGCTGTAAGTGGCTCTGGCTCGGAAAACCTCTCAAGAACCAATCTGTCGACCTCAAAGACCAGAAGCAAGATGATCACGACAGAGGCTTCGGTCGCGTTGAACGAAAGCACACGCAAGAGTCGATCCCGACTGTACGGGCGGTTTCTGACGAGATTATGTCGCATACATGGTCTTCTGGCAGAGAAGGCGAAGGCTCCATCAAGGAAGAAACACATCTCCATCGCTCTGTGACGAAACGAGCTACAGGGTTGTTCAACGAAGGAAGACGAGGCTTTGACAAATTCAAAGATGCCGTTCGTGGTCACCACCCGAAGGGTTCGAAAGACGAGTCGCCCATCTCACCTGCAGATCCTTCGCGACAAGACTTCAAATTCCCGCAGACTCTGCAGCGAATCAATTCAATATCACCGCCTGCAAGCCCTAGAATCCATCAAGGTGCAGATGGAAGCCTGGATCAGGTTCTACAACAGAGGGAACAGCATGCAAAATTTGATGCCGCTGGACGTACTGATGCGCAATATTCCAACCACCTCTTTTCCAGCCCTCAGGACCAAAACAACAGCGTCTTCCCAGTCGAAGACCCACAAAGGAAAAAGTCGGAAGAAGAAGCACGAGAAGACAAAAGCGACAACGGCACCGATATCGACGGATTCGAAACCATTTCTCGCACAATCAGCGGCGAACCATCAATCTCAATAGCAGGCTCCGACTACCACGGCGTTGACCTCAAGCAACTCCTCCCCTCAGCCCCAGACCTAGCTCAAGACATTGGCCCCCTCCTCCGCCGCATCCATTCCTACAGCGACTTTGAAACCCTCCACTCTACAACCCTCCACTCTACAACCCGCCCAGCCAGCTTCTACCCGCGCCGCCTCAGTTTCTCAATCGCCGAAGACAGTATACTTCCTCCCTCGCCTTTGCTGCTTGCACCATCCTCTCCTTTGCCACAACATATACCCCTCCCCGACCAATTTACCCACGAATCAACAATCTCCAGCGATCTCAAGGCTTTGCGTGCGGATATCGCCACTTTGGACCGTAAAGAAGGTTCCTGGACGCGCGACCAATTGCTCGAAACCTCGCACTTGCTTACCCAAGCGGATGAAGATCAAAGTTATCTCGACAGTATCTATCGTCCTTCAGCATCAAACCTACAAGATCTCAGAGATGCTAGTGAAGCTTTACTAGTCGATGAACGCGATGCTCTGCACGAAGGGGCCAAAGAACTAGAAACACTGGCCCAAAGACTGGATTATGAGATTGAAGGATTAAGAGGTAAAGTCGAGGATGTAGAGGTTAATGTAGATGACTTTGAGAGAGCTGTTGTAGGTATCGAGGGACGCATTGATGAGTTGGAGGACCTAGGGCAGGGCAAGGGGTTTTGGNGGTGTGTTGTTTCTTAGCTTTTCTTTTTGTTTGTTTGTGGTAGCGTATAGATTTTCTTGTTGGATTGTTCATGCATGGTTACGCTTTTGACTTGTACAATCAGGAAGTTGTATGATTAGGAGAGCGAGACGTGAACTGATACGGTTGAAACACTACTCTGCGTTGCTCTGGAATATCTGAAGTCCTTTGCAGGCTTGAGATGCTTCCAACGAGACCCTGCCCATGAATCCGGAGAGATGGCCGTCTCTTCACCATCTAATTGCCTTCTTCTTCGGTGCATGGTTAATTCCTCAGGAGCTGCACATCCCTGTCTTTAGGAGAATCGGAGTGTGAAAGGATGGCGAGATACTGGTTGCTAAGCGAAAATTGTAGGACATTCTATTCGTTTCTAATATACATGATTACATAGTCCTCTCTCTTCCGATATAGCTTAGAACTTGTAGACCTGGTCCTTGTTGTAGCCAAGCTCGGAGAGCATACCGGTAAGATCACCCTGGTCCTTGGGGCTCTTCTTGGGGCCGGCAATGGCCTTGTACATGCCAGGNGGACCGCAGACAAAGACCTTGATGTTCTCCTTGCTGGGGTCGGGCAGGACAGTCTTGAGCAGCTCCTTGGTGATCATACCCTTCGGGCCGGGCCAGTCCTCTGGGGGNTTGTCAAGGGTGTAGAAAGCACGCATGCGGTTGGGGTACTTGTTCTCGAGGTCTTCCCATTCGCGCTTGAGGAGGACGTCCTCCTCGGAAACGTTGCCGAAGACGAGAGTAACCTTTGTGTTGTCGTTGGGGTTGTTGAAGATGGCGCGTGCGAGCTGGTACATGGGNGTGATGCCGGTACCACCAGCGATCAGGGCGATGTGGTCGTGCTTGTTCTCCTCCCAGGGGTACTTGGGGATGGGACCCTTCATGTCGAGCCGTTGTCCGGGCTCCATGTTGTGGAGGTGCTCGGACATGGGGCCACCGGGGTACTTCTTTACGATGAAGTCGAGGTAGCCAACGGTGTTCTCGTCACTGACGGGGGTGTAGGGACGGATGACGGGCTTTTGCATCTCAGGGCCCTTGAACTTGGTGATGAGAGCAGCTGCAGAGGTGTCAGTGCTGAACTAAGTGGTTGCTGATGAGTCCAACGTACAGGCAATGCTGAGACCAGAAACGCTGTTCTCCTCGGGGAGGTGGAAGCGCAGTCTCTTTGTGTTGTGGTTGATGACCTCGCTCTCCATCAGCATCAAGCTGACGAAGCCCTGGTCGCCGCCAGTGAAGCACTTGGAGGGGTCGGCGGCCTGCTTGGGGATGTTGCCCTCCTCGGTCTTGGAGGCGGGCTGGCCGTAAGCACCGCTCTCGTTTGTGCTGCCGTGCTGACCCTCGGCCTGGGCACGCTGCGAGTACATGTAACCGGCAATACCAGCACCAGCGGCGACACCAGAGTAGAGAAGGGTGTTTGAGCTGGACTTTGCGGCGGCCTCGGAGGCGTAGCGGCGGACATGCTGAAGGACGTGTTAGAGGCGGGTGGTTGCGGCGCGTGAGGGCAATGGTGGACGTACGCTGGCGGCTGTCCTCGCGGGACGGAATACTGATCTTGCGAACATGATGACTATATATTACAATATGTGATGAGAGGGAAGGAAAGAAGGAAGAAGCTCAATTGATGGAGAAACGGCTGAGAGTCTCTTCTGCGAGGCCGGCGGAAAGATGATGCAACGTCATGTCCGTGCTTTGGTCAAAGAGTCGCGTCTTTCCAGATCTGTATCCACTTTGTTCTCTGGTACATGATAAGCATGTTGACTCTGTGTCTGGATGTATTGATATATGGCATGAGTAGTTTCCGAGTTGACCATGGTGATGGTAGAGTTTCAACTCTTTGTTCGTCAACGCGTCCATTTATATGCATTTATTCATGTAGCAGCAGTCTAATAAAGTGCTTGCTTCTCGGTCTCTATCACTATCACTTAGCATAACGACTCATCAAGCCGCTGGTCCGGCCGTAGAGCAACATCTAATTGTTCATGCCTCTGCTTGTAGAAAGCGGGTAGCCGCTTGCTCTTGCTTATATCATTCAAGGCAATTCCATCTCCAGTCTCGACTATGCTAGTCAAGCCCTGGTGATAAGCATAACCCAAAAGACTCTTGGAATCTACCTGTTGCAACCGTACACTCTCTGCCAGATCTACCTCTTGATCTTTGAGACTCAATTTGGACAGCTCGCCAGATAGTCCGGCATACACTGATGAGGATAAATCGGATGGTTTCGCCAGCGAGTAGACAGGAGATGGAGCGTCATCGACAGTGAACAGGTAAACATTGCAGTTTGGCTTGTAGAAGTCTGTTCTGGCGAGAGCATGGAGGTAGCAGCGATGCCCAGATATGTGACAACACCTGTCTCGCTTCGTGACCTCTGGAAATGGAGCTAGTGTGAGTGACTTTGGAGTCGGAACCATAGGTTTTTCGCTACAAGGCAGCGCATCTATGTATGAATAGCTTCTGGTCCATCGGTAGTCAAAGATCTTAAGGATAGATGCGCGAGCACTACCGGCGATAAATCTCTCCATGCCGTGAGAGATGAGAGGACCCATTGGAGTCACCATCTCAAAGTGATCCTGATAGATAGTATCAAAAGCTGCAGGGCTTCTGAGATCTTGCAATCGGACCGTACCATCATCATATGAGCTCAATATAGCGTTGCCATACCCACCAGCAGAGGATGCAGTGTTCACGGGTAGCAGATCCCGAGCACTGTGTGGAAGGATTCCATCGTGAGTGAAGGATTCTGCACAGCGGCTGGAAGGAAAACGCTTTCCTAGACCGGTGACTACCATGCCTGTAGGCGTTCTAGAAAGATATTGAACGGGCTCTGTAGATTTGGTCGCACAGAAGGCCAGACCACCACTTGCCATAAACCTCACTGCGCGTAAGGATCCGATTGGAGCGGCATTCTCCATAGTGTGTAAGTTGAAGGCTTCCGTTGGTTGAATAGTAAGCCCCAGCTCACTGACGTACTGGTCTTGACTTAGTGCGATATCAGTCAGAGGATAAACAAACATGCTGTCTCTCGTGATGACGGCTGCAGCCCTTGAGGAGATGTTGGTGTCGAAGTGTTGTATCTGATCTTGTTGTACAAAAGACTTCCCAAAGCCTGAAGATGAAGGGCGAAAGGATGCGAAGACATGTCCAGTATTTCTTCGATTTGTCGACATTAGCTGTAGGCTACCATTAGCTCTGCCAACAAGCAGCGCTGGGTCAGTCACGACATCATTAAGGACGAAGATGGTAGCCACATCGTCCACTCCACTCTTGAGACTCGATGTAGCCCCCTCTACTGCCATCCATGATTCTTCTATAAGACGAGAATGCTTCATTTCCCGCCAGCGAACCACGAGATCCTCACCAAGACCCCATGCCACGATCTCTTTCTCCAACCCNCCTTCTGAATTTGAGCATGCATCCACGACGATATATGCGGGCAAAGTCTGCTGGTTTGATCGAGACCGATGACTGCGAAAACCTCCTCGTACATTGCGGCGTTGTGCAGGTGCACCACGGCCACGACCATTGCGTNNCCGCGGTCGCGACCCACCCCACTTCGGGGTCGATATTTCTCTGGTAGTCAATGCCACTGATGACAGTGAAAAAGCCCGTCAGTCCCATGCACGCGACTGCCATGTCAATCATTCTGCCAATCCCTTCCAGTCGTCGTCCTTGGTTTGTTGCGAAATAGCTAGAGTTCCAAAGCGAACCTTGACGAATGTGGACCAACTATAGCCTGGAGATAAGCACGCAAACGCCGTCAGCCATGTCTATCTCCAACTTTTCGCAAGACAGCAACTTTGACTCTGTCACTGCCGTCGCTATGAGAATCCGGTTGCAGGTGCTCAGGCATCAGCTACCGCCGACCAAAGTCCTGTGGAAGGTTGACAGTGCCACTACCACGGCTGAGCTCCTCACGCAGATCAGCGACTTCTTTCCTCTTGAAGCTGAAGGTTGGGGTCTGGAGGATTACGCTGTCCACCTTGGTGGCTATGAGTTGCTGCACTTTCAGCAGCTGCGCGACATTCTGAAGGAAGACGATGAGATTGTGTAAGTCTTCCTTATCTCGCGTCTCGTCCCAACACGATACTGACGCCTGGCCAGCATCCAACCACTGCAAACCAACGACATTCGCGCCAGAAATCTCTCGGGCAGACACCAAATCTCACGAGACGGCAGACACCTCGTCGACGGCATCGCTTTTGGAAGGCCTCTACTACGCGCACCCGCCCACGCTCCCATCCGCATCCCTCCTCGCAAACGCGCCAGGCTCGACCCGTCCCTCGAAGAGTCGGACGCCGCTTCACAGTTAGGCGACTTTGGGCCGTCCCCTTCCGATTCAGAACCCCGTACGCGAAGCAAGACTCAGAAGCATGTCACCTTCAGCCCGGAGTTCCTGCAAGCCGACTATGAGGACAATGGCGCCATGATCTTCGACGATTCCGATGACGAAGACGACGAGCTCTATGATCCTTCTGATGATGGCTTTGATTATGTGGTTCCCGGAGACGTCGACGAAGAGATGGGATTACTCGAAGATGGCCGAGCCTCAGCGTCCAGCTCAGACGAATTGTCCAGCGATAGTGAGAGCGACGACAGCTCTGACGACGACGACGACTCTAGTGGCAGTGATAGTGACGCTCCCTCAGAAGAGCCTATCAACAAGAATAGCAGCTCCATCGAAGCATTCTCAAAACTCAAGACCGCCGCTNCCACCTGCGAACCAGGCACTTCCCACGAACCAAGCTCCCCTAGTGATGGTAAGCAGCGAACTCGTGCTAGGAACCGACGCCGCCGTGATGCAAAGAAACTCACCTGGCTCAAGTCTAAGGGCCTTCTGCCTGTAGATGCCACTCGTCAGCATCTGAAGAAATGGAGAGAGGAGAACGAACAAAGCCGTGTCTCTGCTTCGGAATCTGATTCAGACGACGAATCTTCCAGCTCAGACTCCAGTTCCAGCTCCAGCTCCGACTCAGACTCTGATTCTGAATCTGAGACTGAACAAACAGTCAAGCCTACTCAGCCTGCAGTCAAGAAGGCTGTGCCCATGGTCCCAAGACAGCTAAAAGTCAAGCCCAAGGCAAAGAAGCCTCTCACAGAACCAAAGTCTGACGAGTTCAATCAGAAGAGAGAGGCTCTCCTGGCTGCCTTGCAATCTGGTGGTATCGACGTCAACAACGATCTGTCAGCTCCCTCAGAAGACGCCGTCATGGGCGATGCTAGCCCCAGCATAATGTCTGCAACCTCGAACAACACCACTCCGCAGCCAGAAGCCCGTAGAACCAGGCTCGATCTCGCGAGTTCCAACCGTCTTCTCTTCAACTCACTTGGTGTCCGCGCACCTAAGAATGACGCCGACAGACAACGCCTGCAAGCCAAACTCGCTGCCCAAACCACACGCAAGCCAGTTACAAAACCTACAACTGCTGCCGCTTCCGTTGAGCAACCTGCGCCCGCAGAAGAGGATGAAGGCCCTACCAATGTTGACGCCTGGAAGTCCAACATCTCCCTCTCTGCTGTCGAATGTGCACCAGGATCAGAAGAGTATTACTATTCGACTCCACCCTTCCCATTCCACCAGCGTTGGGACCCCAGTCAACGTACCAAGAAGCGCAAACGCGGCTCCCAGGCCTTCGATTCCTCCAAGCTACAGCGTACTGAGGAAGAGCTCGACAACAGCTACAGCGAGTACTACAATGAAGGCGCTGACGGTGATGCTCTCAACTATGGCGACGACGAAGACGAAACTGCCGGTGCCGCCCAAGAAGCCGATCAGGAAGCCGCTACTGCACAGCTCCTGGCAGAATCTTCAGACGCTGCCGACTTGCCACCTCTACCATCCGACCTCTCCACCCTACCCCCATTGACGGAAGAAGATAATCTTCCCGGCGCTATCATCGCCTTCACGCAGTTCGAAGTTTCGGCCGCTACTAACTGGGCACCTGCAATGTCTCCCGTGCGCACTGCTTCCATCCAACACATTTCCGACAATAAGAGCTTGGGATTGCGGTTGGCCAAGCGCGATATTCCTGGTCGTAAATATGACAATCAAGGTCGCAGACTCTTTGACAAATTCGAGATGATCACTGGCGATGAAGAGGATGACGACGCTGATGATGGCTTCTTGGAGGTTGAGCTGTCTGAGTTGATCGAGCCTAGACTGCTTCAGGCTGCTGGTGCTGCTGGAAAGGGTGTTGAAGATGAGGATCATCAGGCAGTTTCGAATGGAGAGCAGACTGGTGAGATGATTGGAGTTGCTTTGTAAGAATGAGTTCACTCTATAATACGCAAGATGCGAGGATACCCGCCACACAATCAAAACTTGCTTCAAATCCATCGTTGCTTCCACTGCTCACTTCCTGACATATTGTCCTCCGCTATCCGAACGTAAGCGTGTGATCTTGGATGTATGTGATGTCTGATAGACGCTCTACCATCGTATCCTCGACCTCGCCCAACTTGTCCATATTGTCAACATCCACTTCTATCACTCGACTGCGAGCATCTTGTGGAAGTCAAAAGAAGAAAGCAACCATGCTAGCTGCTGTAATAGCCACTCTGGAAATCATCCTCCTACTTGCAAGACAATCTTCTTTTGGCAAGAGGGAGAACATAGTTGTGCCGCTACATCCGACCTTCTCCGACCAAGTACTCAAGGAAAAGTCTCATCGCCAATGACTTTGTCGAGTAGTTTTACATCTAACAAAAGACACAGTATTATGCTAAAAATGACTTATAGCCCGAGAGAGTACTCATCAAAAGAAGCTCTCCTGGATACGGATGATTGCTGAGTACTTTTTGCAATTGCCCAGTTGCTTAGACTCTGTGAACGAAGACTTGGAACGGGGTGTCACTGTTTTCAGGGTTTGTGGTTGGATTGGGTTAACTATAGCGATTGCTGAAGAGAGACTAATGATAAAATCGATGGGGTTGATGGCGAGGGAGAAGTGAGCTTCAATGGAAAGTATTCAGAGTAGTGACAGTTGTGGTAGAGTATGGTTGACCACGAGCGTCTGAGTTTACGGCGACGGAAAAGATGCTGATGATTAGAGAGGTGGTGGTGTGCTAGGGTTTGTGGTTTGATGGTGGATGGACGTTTTGAGAACATCAGCAAGGAATCAAGATGTGATGCACGACTGCAGGTGCGGTTATACCGATATTACTGAGACAGGCCATGACTTGTATGAAGCATTTTGATATCTAGTATTGGTTCCAAGGAGAGTTTGTGAAGACGTGCTTTTGCTTTGTTGGAGGTAGGTAGGAAAGGAAAGAAAAGAGAAGAAAAGAGACAGGCACGAATGCCAAAATCAAAGTAAGAGTCACGGGTGCTGCGCTTGAGAAATAAACTCATTTTGTCTCCCATACCACGTGCTGCTCGGTTCGATTGGTATACCTTCCCCAGTTGCTGAATCCTGGCCCAAGTGTGGAGTTGACCAAACGACTTTGCGGAATAGAGAACTGTTCGCTAAGACTTTGTATCTTGTTAGCTATTCCTGACTTACTGTGCTTTCACATCAACTATGTCTTACCGTTTGGGAAGTGGCATAAGTCAGCACTCAAAAGACCCCAGAAGTACTAGAGTAGCATCGAAGACTGACACTAAAAAAACTGTCTAAACATATGACCTGGTGCTGATGAGGAAGCCAGACTGCGATCGGCGGGTTAAATCCTCCCATGGTAACCGCGCTCTTCCTTCCCCACGAGCCCTGGTCAGATCTATTATAAAGTCATCATCGCTGACTCTCTTCATATAGTCATTTACCGCTTGATGAATAACTCTCCATGGTTGCTCTGTGCTCTTCAGAGATCTCCATTCTGCCAATTTGATCTCAGCAAGCTCCAGGACGGCGTGTTCTTCAGCTCTGAGAATTCCATAGGGTTCAACTTCGCGTCTTGCATGGGTCCTGACATAAGCCCTGGGTGTCATTTGAGGCTTACACTCGATCTCGAAACTGATAGTTGCCAGTGGGCAGCAGTGGTTTTTGAGTATGAAGAGCTCAAGAACGATGCTTTGCAGATGCTTGATCCACCATGCATATGGCGATCTTGCGAAAGTCTCGAAGCGTTCTTCTCGCCATTTTGAGGTCCGCGTGGCAGGTATGTATGGCATACCGTTCGCCGTAATACTATAGCCCTGATAGAGGCGTCTCGGCAGAACATTCTTCTTATCGACTTCGCGTCGGACGGTGAAGATCTAAAGCTTGTCTTGCCCCGTCGTTCGTGACATTACCGGTATCAGATTGTCGTAGTATGTATCCATCTTGAAGATTTCTGGGGAGGAGTGGAAGAAGAAGGAGAAGAACCTGCTCAGAAAGGGCAGAAGTACAACAGGGACGAACAGTTCTCAAGCCAGCTGTGTTGGAGTAAATTTACTCTTTCCACCTCCTTGCTCACCTTTGACTCTTCGGCCCTCGTTCGTCGGTCAGTCATGATTGCGACTTGACTCATAAGTAAAAATGTGTGATGTCCTTGGGTCGTGAATGCCGCTTGTCGGAGAACGACGATCAAGACCTGACAACAGTATCTAATGAGCTCTGGAGGAAGTTGTCTCAATGCTAGATCGACTATGGCCCATGTTAGTGTCACATCGTATCTGCCAGGGTAGAGAACAGAGTTGGATTGCACACTGAAACGCAACCTCATAGCACTGGATCGGAGGGAGGAAGAAAAGTGAGCCATGGTATCACAGTAAGGATGTGGTACGGACGATGTGCAAAAGATGATTCAGACACGCCAGACCCCAGCTTTCACTACAAGAAGCAATTGCTATAGGGTAGCAAAAGTGCAAAAGAAGATTCCGACACGGGGAATTGAACCCCGGCCTCCTCGGACCTAGTTGTTCTTGCGAACGGTTTGAGAGCGAGAAATCCTAGCCACTAGACCATATCGGATGTTGTTAGAGAACTTGATAACAGAGACCAATATGAATCTCACTATAATGTGATGAGCACGTTTACATCGCGTGCGTCCACCTTGGTTTCTCCAAGCCCCGCTATACGTCATGCTTATGATGCTACACTCAAGCTCTTGTGTTAAAGGCCCTGCAAGACCCACAAGTTTACCAACCTCAGTATCACCACAACTCTTCATAAACGCAAGCCAAAATCTTTCATTCACCAAGTCTTGATCTGAAAATCATCAAACAGTACGAATGCCCAATGTTACTTCTTATCTGCATCCCACTAACACCTCTCCCAGAACGACACAACACATAATGTCTTCTCGCACCCTCCACCTCTTCCGCTCCACCCGCATGCAGCGCATCCGCTCTTTCCCGCCCACTTTCCGCACCTTCACTGCCTCTCCCCTGCGCATGATCAAGGAAGACGCCTCGCGCAGCCCCGAAGAGCTTGAGCGCACAAAGCAAGAACAACTCAAGGCCCAGAAGGAAGGCAAGGCGCAATGGAACGAGAACCTGGCTTCTGCAGGCGAGGCCAGCATTACAGCCGACAAGCAGGACGTCAAGGATCACGATAGCCATATGGAGGATTTGCAGAAGCAGACGGCGGGACAGGCTGAGAAGGAACATCCGCATGGAAAGAAGAACTAGAGAGAGAACGATGGAATCAGTTTTGTAGTAGAGGAGTTCTAGTGTCGGCCTGCTGGCAGGCGTATGCATAATGAGTATGTCATGTTATTTCACAAAACCGTCCAGCGATGTCCTCCATACCTTGACGCTAAACCCACGGAAATCTATCTACACAGAATTCTGAGGAAGACGGTCACCGGATGGTCAAAATTTGAAGCGCGCCAGACGTGTATGGTACGGTAATATGAAAGAGACGCGTCATCAAGGCTGGCATCAGCAGATTTGTATTCTCGTTCGCCGAAGTGATGAGCATTCTGGAGCCATTGAAGCAAGCTCTGATAAAGTGCACTGGCAAGGCCAGGGTCTTCCTGGCACGGAGTTACACCAACATGAGTGATCGATCTTGTCTCCATCCGTGTGTCAAATTCCTCCGCCTAGGTGTGTCTTATGCGCCTTCCTGAGTATGAACCGATGTGATGTGGGCATGGTCACTTCGAAGCAGCACCTGTAATGGCGCTAAAAACTGGCGATATAGTGCTTGATAGTCATGATAACGGAAATGTCGAGTCCAGTAGCTCTTTCAATCGCCAGTGTCGAGTTCGAGGTCCAGTTGTACACCGTTGCTGACACCATAATCGTCCAGAGTAAGATGGTCCTTGAATGGGCGTTCACCCTGTCTCTTCAACATAATCTCATGAGGCTGACGACCAATACGTGCAGCGACCATGGCCTTGAACGCNTTCTACACTTGAAGTCAGCATGGGCCAAGGAGAAGATTAAAGCGTAGAGAGCACTTACTAACGGGATCACTACCCAAGCAAGGAATAGCAGCCTTGGTTCCCAAGCGATCATTGACATTGACAATAATCATAGGCTCGGCTCGGCTGGGAGCAGCAACAGGTTTCGGCTTCTTCTCCTTCTCTTTGTCTCCTTAGGCTTGTCCTCCTTTCTCTTCTCTTTCCTCNTCATCCCTGCCTCCATCACGTCTGGGCGAGCGTCTCCTATCACCTCCATCTCTGTATCGATCACGGTCATCCCGTCTCGGCGATCTGGGGCGATAGCTATCCCTGTTGCCATCGCGTCTGGGTGATCGGTCGCGGAATCTGTCGCGATCATTGTCGCTGCGGCGGGGTGGTGGAGAGCGGCGAGGCGCATCTTCGCGGTTGCGGTCGTCAAAGTCGCGGCTGAAGCTGTCGTTTGCGCGCGAGCCCTTGTCTTTCCAGCGGAATCCTCCTGATGATTTTGGTTTGCGTGGTGGTGAGCGCGAGCGGCTCCTGTTCCTGGGTGGTGAAGGTGGCATCTTTGCGATGTCCTTGTATTCGTGAGAGGGCAACCAGCTCTGGTAAGTTGGATCTAGAGCTTGGATGGTCAGGGTTGTGGTTCGTCATCCGACGCTTTGCGTGCGAAACATGTCACTTTACATGTCAACGTTTTCCACCTGATTTCACCAAGTCGGATCTGCTGTTCCAATTGGAAGGTCAGAATCACGATGAAAAACATGTTGACTGTAAAGAGGCCCTCGCCAACCACGGTGCTGTACAAAGTGTCAACGCGCTCAGCAAACAACACAGTCCCAGCACGAGTCCGCCGCACGCTCATCGGTCTAGTCAGGATACTAATAGGCCTGACTCTACTATGCATCCTCGTTGCAAAGGCCCACACATCAGCAAGTCCACGCTGGAAAAGCCATACAGACTACGCCTCTACTTTTCTTCCTCCAGCGCTGACCGAACTATCTACGAGTTCTGCGGCCCGTATTCCCTGGCTCTATTTGGCTCCTATCAGTTTGGTCGTCTTTTTTATCATCTTTAAGAAAGGATATACAACAGAGTCTCTTCTGGTCATTCGTGGAATGGGTGTACAGACAACGACGAGCAGTCCGACATATCTCAGTACTGCGACTACGAGATTTATCCCCACCAACATGATTCAGGATATCTTCGTCTATGAGGCTTTCAAGGGCTTTGAAGTCAGGTTCTATTTGGCTATCGTGGTCGAGGGTGAACACGATGTTGTTGTGGTCTTTCCAGTAAGTTGTTTATGAAGTCTGTATCTACCAACTCATGCTGATATCTATGGCAGANGTATACTTCCAAGAAGACGGGTTCTGGAAGAGGTTTGGAGAGGCGCGAAATCATGTTTGTATGAGCCAAAGTCATAGCCAATGGCTTATTCTACTCATCTCCCTCATCCTTGCGCATAAACTTGGGCTTGTACGGACCCTTTCTCTCGAGATACCTGGCGTTCACCACCTCAACAGGCTCCATCCTCTGTTTGCGAGCAATGGGAACATACGTGCCTACTGGTCTGGGCCAATCGCCGCCATCAAACAGTCTAGGACTCCTCTCGGTCGCTGGAGGCAGTTTGACATCTGCGGGTGATCGCTTACCTTGTGCAGCGACAATATCCATTAGACTGCCAGCCAGCATCTCGTCCATTTTGCGCTTGTGCCAAACCTCCCATATCGAGTCCATGATTCCGCCCTTTCCAAACTTGCTGTCTCCACCATCCAGATCGGGACGCTTGTTGGTTTCACGACCGCCGGTTTCGCCTACATAGATCCAATCCATTGCATCCTCTCTGCTCTGGTCATTATCGTCATGGTCGGGGAAGATGCAGTCCCAGAGAACGAGTGGAGCATCTGTTGCCATCTCATACTTTGGCCTTGTAGGATACTTCTCCATGTCTAGCAGATCCGAGATGATTGATGGAGGCTCGAATCCTTGACCGACCAGGAACAAAACTGCGACCAAATGGCGCACCTGGTGCCACAAGAAAGCAGACCCGTTGACATCGAAGGTATAGATCTTGGGAATGCTCAAGTCACCGTTCACCCCGGTCTTGTTCTCACCATCTACAGCCTGTGCAAATGCCGGATGGGATATGAAACCTGCAGGCGTCTGACTTACATCGACCTCCTCAATCGATGCCTTGAAGATCCTCCTCTCGAAGTTCGTGATCTGTTTTGCTGGATCCACCTTACAGAAATTCCGGAAATCGTGTAATCCCTCATATCTTTTCGCCGCATCGCGCATGGCTTCAATATCCAAATATCCTTCTCTTAATGTCTTTCCGGTTGCCGTGGTCATCAACCCTGCGTCTCCGGGGACTGGTGCAAAAGCAGGTTGGGTGAAGAAGTAACGGTATCGGCGTTCGCGGCAGTTGAATCTGGCATTGAAGTCGGCAGGAGGAGCAGGGCACCAAGCGAGCACCCTGATGTCTTCAGGCAAGACGCGGTTGAGCAGTTGGATATACGGTAGCTCGTCCCTGATATGATCCCAAGGCTTCTCCGGTTTCTTGTCCTCTTCCTTGACTTCTTGCTCTTTCGCGTTTCCCTCGATTCCTTGCATTGCATCTGCATTCTCTTCTTGGGTTGGCTTTTCCTTTGGCATAGGCTGCAGACTACGCACGCGGATACCGATGACTTGGCCAAAGGCACTGACACCTCTGTCCGTCCTGCCACATTTTGAGTAATCTGTGCCCTCCCAATCAATTTCTCCTTCCTTCAATTGTCCCTGCCTTGAAGGAAAGATCAACCGCGTTTTTGTCAAGGCCTTCCACAACTCTTCCTCGATAGTAGGCAATGGCGTCTTGTTTCCCGTATGGTGTTCAAAACCATTATACCTCTGACCCAAGTACGCAAACTTTAGCGCAATGTGTCTGGTGTTGTAGCGACTGGCATCAAAAGGGCGATCTTGCTTTTGCTTCTTTTTCGGAGGGAGCACGATCGAAGGATCGGGAACGGGTGCGATGCGGTTGTTCAAGAGCTGGGTTTCTAGGTCTGCTATGCGTTTTTGCAGCTGGGCGGGTGTCCACGTGGTGTAGTCTGGTGTCGCTGCCGGGTCGGGGAGGCCCATTCTTTTTCGTCTGGCTCGGCGGGATGTGCTGGTGCTGGCTCGTGTGATGGTATATGAGGTGAGAGGCGAAAATGTCGACACTCTGGAGTTTGAGAAGGAGCGACTCGCTGTCGAGGTCAATGACCAGAGGGTTGGGCGCATGTGGTTATTGAAGCGAGCATTAATTTTTTTGTGACTTTCAAGATTCATGATGCTCATCATGGGGTCAGAGATGCCAAGGCTCGCGCGACCTTACCTTTCCATCAGCCCAATGTGTGAGCTTCTCTCAAATAGACACCTCGGATAAGTTACTCTGAAAGCATGACTGTGCTCACACAGGACGTTGTCTTGGTTGAATTCTTCATATGGTAGTCTTGATTTGATCTTCGATTCATTATTGTACTATTATTTGAGCTCGACGTTGTCTTGACTTGGTCGGCTACTGCTCAAAGTACGCTACCCCTCCTTGTTGCTAGATCTGGTCATTGCATGAGCGACTTCCATTCACAAACAACCCGTGCTCGTGAGGCCTCGTCTTATTTGGAAAGCCATCAACAACGTGCTCAGCCCGTTCGATAACTCAAGCTGAAGTCAAACAGCGGAAATAATTCCCTGACTCGGTCTTTGGCCGACTGTCCGGCTCGCCGAGTTGAGCAACCCCCGGTCCTTTTTCGTGCTGTGTCCGACTCCAATCTCCCCAGACAGCAACCAAAGCGCCATTTGTTGTTCTGCCCAACCTCTTTCCTCCACCACTTCCGATCCGAAGGGAAGATCGAGCAATATTAGCTTTGATATTTTGGCAAGGCTGGGGATGCAGTCCCAGCCAACCCGGATGCGAAGATGCGGCATGCTGTCATGACGGCGTATCGTCGGTCGGCGAGAAAGAACTCGTTGGGACCGATCAAGCTCACCATGCGCCGCGGTTGTGGCTTGTTTTGGCTTGTGGATTTTCATGTGCAAGTCTTCCAGAAGTATCATTTGCTTGGAAGTCCTGCCAGCCGCTTATCTCATTCAGGGGCCTGCAACGAGCGACATGCGGCGTGCGAGCGTGTTTATCGATGGCAGCTCGATTTGGAAAGGGTTGAGTGTCTGCCATGCGTTGTTGACGAAAGACTGAAGCCACTGTTCCTCTTCTTCTGCCATCTTCATCTGAACCTTGGCCAGTTTCGAACGCTTGATCGTGATGCCCGGCACCACGGACTGCCTTCTCGGGTAGATCGTCTTGGTCGGGGTCATGAGGGACATTCTGCGCTCCGAGAAGTATGAGAATGAGGGAAGGGGAACATCTTCCGGAGTTCCAGGTGGTGTCATGGACAGCTCGAGCTTCTCACACTGACGCATCAGGTCCTGCATTCCGAGGTTCAAGTCCTCGGCCTTGGGCTCAACGTATTCGTAGTACTCCGGGCCCCACAGTTCGTCTTCCTTGAGAGCATCACGCAGGGAACGGAGGAAGAAGTCGAATGAAGGGAGTGTAGGACCATCGCCAGGTTCCGGGCCCTTTGCGCAAGATAGCATGCACGCGGCAATCATCAGTCTGATCTGAAACTCGGCGTCCAAGGCGTGTTGGACAACGCAAGCAGGGCAGTTCTTGCTGAGACACCAGTCTGCGTCATCGGCCAAGAAGGATGTCAGCCAGACAAATGCGTTGCGGCCCTTGTTCCTGAATGCAAACTCGATATCCTCTGGCTTGATGGCCTTGGTGTACTTTTGGGCAATCCTTGTTGTGTGATCGTGAAGTGCTACAACGGGTGCAAGTAGGGCGTGGAGAATATCCCTCATGAGGATCCAGGCTTGTTGGTCTTCGGCAACATCTGTTTCGTGGTCCTTGCANAAGTCGTTGCAGCATTCGTTCGAGAGATGGTCGCGGAGAATGCTGAAACCTTCCGAGTCTTCTAGCAAGATGGCATCCTGGACGGTGATGAGGAATGGTGTGGTGTTAGGCGAGGAGAGACACGATGTAGTGGAAGGCATGTTGGCGGTGAGTATGGCTGACACTGAGGGGAGTACATAAACACCAGACGGATGAGAGAAACCTTGATAGAGGGAGGGAGAGGGCGTTCATCATACATATACCTGGCTGACCGTTTAGCGCCAATACTTAATCCAGGAATCAAAATTGGCTCTTTTTGCGCCATGTGAACATGCTCTCAGGCTTCATGACCTCTGGTCAGGGCACTTCACCGGCGGAAATAGTCCTAACGCATGGACAATGACACATGACCGCGACTCGAGCGAGAGATGCACTAGGAGCGTTTGCGGACCAACCGCTCAAAGACATTTGCTTTCTTTTCACGAAGAAATAATGGCTTCCTCGAGTCAAGGACGCACGCATTGGAGATTGCTCTTTCGACGACTTGCAACCACGATCGCCTTGCTGAAGTTTATGCCTTTCCCTGCCTCCTGAACCAACCGGAGCGCATCACAAAGCCGGAAGGCTGTTCTGCCATTTCGGGCAGCCTTGTCTCACCTCGACTTACCGCCTCGGCTCAAAGGCGGTTGAAGCTGGCTCTTCCTCGGCAAACTTCTGACGAAGGTGGCTTCAGATTTGGCGAACAGTTTTAAACTGTGGACGCAGGCTGGAAGCATCGAGCCTCCATGTCGGCCCACTGAAAAGATGCCATGGGGAAAAACCAATGCGAATTCGATACTGTTGCAGCGCTGTTGTTTCCCCTCCCAGCAGCCGTTGCAAGTCGACGACGTATCTTGTCGCCCATCATCCTATATATTGCCTGTAGCATCCTACCTAGACCCTTCTCTTGTCTTTGCGCCCGATCAATTTATGTCATGGACCCCGCATAGTCGAAGAGCATGCGTGTCCGCGCTTGAGGCGCTGGGGGACTGATCTAGAACGGACAAATGTGAAGCCTTTGGACTCTGAACATAGCCGGTCCCTTCTGTCTCAGCCTATGTGACTTTGGCTTTGCGAGATATCTCTACCGGCTGATTTGTTTTGACTTCGCGAGCGTCAAAACGTGGGAGCCCATGGGGTAGAGACAATGGATATGGGGAATAACCGTCAAGGACTCGGGTGAAGACATAAGATGACTACCGACCGCTGCAAGCGATAGTCTTTTCGATTGAATTGACAGTGAACAAGACGATTACCGACAATATCAGGCTAGAACTCCAGTCTCGCGAGTAGCAGTGCGCTGTTCAGTTTGACCATCGTGTTTTGAGACGAGCATGCTGTGCAGCGAGACCATATCTACAGCGACTAACTTGGAATGTTGTGTTGTGATGAAGATGAAGAGATGCCGGTATACCTACTTCGGTCGCATCCGTGTTCGGTAGAGTTCCGTACTCGGACGTGTTCCAACTTTCGCTCAAAGACCGAGCATGTTCGGCTGGACAAGTGAGATCTCAAACATCTGTCATCTTCCCTGTTGTGCAGAGATTTGACAAGTCCTTGATGAGCGGAGCAATGGCCATCTACGGAAGGACACATCAAACCGGCACTGATTCTCGGTATAGGAGAGTTCTTCCCAGATGCTGAGTGCCTAGTGATGCCTGTGGACTCGTCGTAAGTGCCCTGGGAGTCGCTCTGTCAGGAACCAGTCGGCAATCAGGCTAGAATCAAGACGGAAGGGCTGATGCCGTGAGTTCAAGGACTCGAAACTTCTGAGTCTGCTGCACCTTACGAAGACTCACTCATATTTGAGTTGTTGGAGTGGCTGACAGTGTGTGGCTGGTACATAACAAGGCTTGAAGAGCGGCTTGATCTGCTGGGGAGCGTCCACGACAAACCACGCGGCCTCTCTGACCAAGAGTACGGTCAGCCTCTTCGAGATGGTACACCACAAACCTTGTTGGAAACTGCTCTGGGGGCAAACCGTAGACAGCGGCAGAAGAGTGCCGCATCCGCGGCTCCAAAACTTGGATTGCAAACACTTTCAGGAGATTGTTGGCGGAAGCCGTTGCTAGGCACGGACCAATTGTTGATGTTGTGACAGTTCAACGCAGAAGAATGCTGTCGGCAGTCAAGAAAGGCAACACTGTCAAATGCAAGATTGTTTGAGAGATGTAGCGCGCTGCTCACCAGTATCACATCTGGGTGTGCCTGCGTCTTGACAAGCATATGATCTACAGTTCTCCATGGGGAGGATGGATTGCGCGATGAAACTGCAGTGGATCCCCTCAGCCTGAGCCAGATCATCCTTCTTGATGCCGCTAAAACATGGACTAAAGTCAAGTTAGGATTATAGATAGGTAGTGGTGGCCGACGGCTTTTTTCATTTCATTCTAGTACGACCTGCTTCTGTTGTTTCACTCTTTGCGCCGGGCTTTTCTTCGACCGTCCATCACTTGTCACTCGCTCATCTTTTGTTCTCGTGTTGTTTGAGGAAGCCACAACCCCTTGCCTCGTTTGTCTTCGTATCCGCTCAACAACGGCATCAATCAACCTTTTGAAATCTCTTGTTATCAGACATAATTTTCTTGTCAATAATTCTGCTTGATTTCTTCCGAGCAGTTTAACATCGACCAAAATGCGTTCTTCTCTGAGCATCGCATGCGGACTCGCATTCGCTGCAATCGCCTCTGCTATTCCCACAATCTCGGTCAAGGGAAGCAAATTCTTCACCAGCGATGGCAACCAATACTTTGTCAGAGGTGAGCGATATGACATCTGCCAATCGAGATGTGCCAAACTAACAATCTACCCTANNGGTATCGCTTACCAGCTTGTTCCTGAGGACCCTCTCGTCGACAACACCCAGTGCTCATTGGATGCATCTTTGATGAAGACTCTGGGTGCTAATGCCATCCGTGTCTACCACGTGGACCCGGAAGCCGACCACCAGGCCTGTATGAAGACTTTCGCAGACGCTGGAATTTACCTCTTTGTCGATCTCGACACTTTCACCACTCAGATCGAGCAGACCAACCCTCAATGGAACCAGTCTCAGTACGATGCATTCGCCAAGGTCATGGATGAGTTCCAACAATTTGACAACACAGCTGGTTTCTTTGTTGGCAATGAGGTTCTGACTACAGGCAACGGCAGTGTGGCCGCTCCCTATGTCAAGGCTGCAGCTCGTGACATGAAGGCCTACCGCAACAGCAAGAATTACCGCGACATCCCCGTTGGTTACTCTGCTGCAGATATCTCGTCGCTTCGTCCCAACCTTCAGAACTACCTTGCTTGCGGCACCAACTCTTCTGATGCTCTGGACTTCTTCTCCTTGAATGCTTACGAATGGTAACAAAATCTTCCGCTCTTTTGATCTGCAATAATCTAACTCTTCTAGGNNTGTGGCGAGAGCTCTTACCAAACTTCTGGTTATGAGCAGTTGACCCAGAACATCACCGACTACAACATCCCCATCTTCTTCTCCGAGGTCGGTTGCAACACTCCAAAGCCCAGAACCTTTGATGATCAGGCCGCCATCTTTGGCCCTGAGATGTCGCAATACTGGAGCGGTGTTATGATCTACGAATGGATCCAGGAGACCAACGATTATGGCCTCATCTCTTACGGTCCTCAGGTTGCCGCAACTGCAACCGGCGCTAACATTGCCGATGGATTCACTCGTGCTGGAACTCCTACACCAATCTCGCCCGACTTTGCCAACTTGAGCAACCACTGGAAGACACTCACTCCCTCTGGTGTTTCCGAAGCTGCCTACTCTCCCAGCAACTCGGCCCCTGAGTGCCCTGCTTACACTTCTGGTGCCTGGGAGGTCAGCGGTAATGTCGCTCTTCCTACCATCGGCCAGGTCTACAATGCCCAGGTCAGCAGCTCTGCCACCCCTACTTCGGGCACAAGCGGTACTCAGACTGGCAGTGCCAGCGGTAGCAACACCGGGTCTGCATCGGCCGCTACGACCAGCCAGACCGGTATGGCCAGCCCCAGCAGACAGATTGCTGGTATGAGCGTTGGTCTGGTCACCGTTATGCTCGGATTCATCTGGTGGTTGTAAATCATGCTCGATCTGATCTGGTATTGGAGTTTGGATGCGTCTGCGTTCATGGCATTTCGTTCATGTCCCTTCCTTAAGAAAATATTATAATTTGTATTATACCTCCTCAAAGGGCCGGGCTCTACATACTCCCTTTATCGCCCACCTTGTCGCTGTGGTGCCTCACTGTTTTGTGTGATTTAATGAAGATATGTCACAACATAAAGAAAAGTATATTCCTAGGCCAGGGTCATCCCAATATCTTCCGTCAGTAGACACCAAGCAATGGATCTGTGTAGAATCTGTGGTTATAGGGAGACTGGCCCAGTAAGGCGAAGACATGTTCTTAAGCATTACCCTTAAGTTGTGCCGATTGATGGGTTGGCGTTCTCGATTGATGATGAGCTCTCTGTTTGACAAAGCAAAATCCAACTCTGCGAAATTCAAACAACACGCCGCCAGCGCAAAAATGGCTTTTGAGATACTTAGTGACTCTGACATCTATAACACGATGGAGGGCTTCATGTATTACATCAACATACAAGGCGGCGGCTCCGACTTTCCACCTTGGTTAGTAGTCGTGGCCACAGCCGTCTTGACAACATCCTCCCAAACCTCAGCACACAGCTCGCCTGTTACAGCGCTACACTCGCAATACCGATCACACCTCATCTCTGCCGCAACCCTCAGCGCCTCCTGCGGAAACACCATGCCCTCTACGTTCTCTCTGCGCAAGTCTCTCTGCAATCCAAGCACTATAACAGGAATACTTTCATCATAGTTGAAATGCGTTTCTACAATGTTTTTCCATTGGCCTTTGAGTGATATTAGAGAATCTCGTGATGTGATGGAGAAGCAGAGCAAGATCAGATTCGGCCGGAGCAGGGTGTAAGAAGTGGGAGATGAGGTGTCGTAAAACTCTAGCGTGTATGGTCGCGTGCGGCCACGCAGCTCAAAGGTAAAGGGCTGATCGAGGTCTCGTAAAACCGGTAGAGCAGAGGAAGTGTTGGTTGGCCCCAGAGCTAGGCGGCTTGGAAAGTTCGTCAGGTCATGGTATGGATGCCGTGTTTGGCTGGCATCGGAAGGAGTGAGAAGCAGAGGAAACTTGGAATGGCGAGGAATGTGCTACGTCGGAGTGCGATCCGTATGGCTATCGAGGAGGCATTGGAAAAAGGCACGTTGTACATACGAGAGAAAGGTGGTCTTGCCCACGTCGGCATCGCCCAGTAAAAGGATGCTTACTTCTTGAGGTTCCATGTCGATGCGTGCGTAGCTAGTATGTCACTTGAGGCTTAGGTCAGAAGCTCAGCTGCAACAATGCGGACGACAGGTCTCCAGACGAGGCAGATGGCCGATGACAGATGAAACACAGCACGGGCAGCATGAGACGAATAGCTGGGATCTCGAAGCGGTGGCCTGCCCGTCGGGGAACGGCATGCGTGAGCGCCAAAGCTTGAGGGACAAAAGGCCTTTGACCCCAAGTTTGCGCGAACTCTATCCCGACATCCCACCATGACGGAGTCAGACTTTTTCCCTCTTCACTCATCCCTTGACGGCGCCCTCGACCGCTCGTAGACACCCTCGACACCCTTCCTCACCTTCTTGACCGCGTGAATCAACTCGCGAGCGCGCAGCTTTCCCCCACACAGGGAAGTAAAAAAGCCGGACAGGAAAAAAAATAAAAGTGACAGGAGCTTGGAACTTCGTCAACAAGGCCCGGAAGTCGTCCGATCCAACAAAGAAGACCAGACCTACATCGTTTCGCGCGACATACCATTCGTCACCATGGTCCGTAACCTGGTCGTTCTGGGCGGCAGCTCGCATCCTGAGCTGACCGAGACAATCTGCAACCACCTTGGTGTTCCTCCGGCAAACATCCTGCTCAGCAAGTTCGCTGTCGGAGAGACGCGTGTCGAGATCATGGACTCGGTCAGAGGCAAGGATGTCTTTATCATCCAATCTGGCGGCGGCAAGGTCAACGACCACTTGATGGAGTTGCTGATCACCGTCTCTGCCTGCAAAACCGCCTCGGCCAAGCGCGTCACCGCCGTTCTCCCCTTGTTTCCCTACTCGAGGCAGAGCGACATTCCTTACAACAAGACCGGCGCTCCTCTCGCCAAGGCTCCTACCCAATTGAACCGCAATGGTAACTATACCTTCGACAGCAGACCCACAACTCCTCTGCCTGGTCAAGCAGAGAGTGCTGGAATGAAGGGTGGTCCGGACAACTTGCACAAGAAGCTGATGGACATGCAATTGCGTGACAACGGCGACGGTCAGCGTAGTCGCAGTCCCGTCAAGATGCCTCGCCGCTCTACCATGGAGTCTGTTACCTCTGAGAAGTCCGACTACTTTGACGACAACTCGCTCACACCTACTGTGACAAATGGAAGCTCCAATGGTGACAAGCCTGTGGCTAGATTCCACAAGGCTCCTCCTCACTTCGAGCCCCAAAGAGGCTACAAGCAATGGGTTGCACAAGCTGGTACTCTTGTCGCTGACCTTCTTACCTGCGCTGGCGCCGACCACATCATCACAATGGACCTTCACGACCCTCAATATCAAGGCTTCTTCGACATCCCTGTCGACAACTTGTACGGCAAGCATCTCTTGCGCAAGTACATCCAGTTCCACATTCCTCAGTACCAGAACGCCGTCATCGTCAGTCCGGATGCTGGCGGTGCCAAACGTGCAACTGCCATCGCCGATGCTCTTGGTATGCCCTTTGCGCTCATTCACAAGGTAAGGAGACGTGATCGTAGAGAAGCCCAGGACGGGAGTTTGACCGTATCGCAGGAGCGTCGCCCGACTCAGATTACCGACCGCCAGAATGCGACCATGATGCTGGTAGGTGATGTCGCGGACCGTGTGGCTATCCTTGTCGACGATCTTGCCGACACTTCCAACACCATCACTCGCGCTGCCAAGCTCTTGAAGAAGGAGGGTGCCAACAAGGTCATCGCGCTCGTCACACATGGTGTGCTCAGTGGAGACGCCATCGACCGCATCAATGCTAGTGCCATTGACAAGGTCGTCGTCACCAACAGCGTTGACCAAGAGGAGAACAAGAAGCGTTGCCAGAAGCTGGAGGTTCTCGAAGTAGGAAACGTCTTCGCCGAGGTAAGTTGGGTTGCGCCTTCTCGAGGAGTGGTCATTCGTGACGTTGCGCGTCGGGGACAGTCCATTGACAAGCATTTCAGGCCATCAGAAGAGTCCACCACGGAGAGAGTATCAGCGTTCTGTTCCACGACTAGGTGGCTGCTGCGAATATTGAATGATCTTGCTGGCGTTCGGGGCATGCCTGGGTGGCACAACTGCATAGAAGGGGTANCTNCCGCGAGGACATTGCTGCGATATACGAACAGAGAGCAATTGCAAACTGGCTTCTAGTGCCGCTCCGCCTTGGGCTTCGATCTCCCCGACGCCAATCAGCCATATCACGATACTGATGGTTGCCCCTTTTTTCATCAAAACCCAAAGGCAGGTCCTTGTTTTCTTGAATCAGAAGCTAAGTATATCGTCGCGCGCTGCGGCATCATTGCATCAAGTGCGACAGTGTTATAGTGTGCTGTTGACCTCAAGTGCGAGCCTAGCCCCTTTCCCTCTGCCAGACCATGCCGACTACACCATCCCATTGTTATCATCTTGGAACATGCAATTGCACTGCGCCTTCGCGGCATGGTTGTTCTCGTATCTCTGTCTATCTTGTCGTGTTGACAATCCTTGCCACACTCCCCTGCCTCGCGTCGATGATGGCAATTGGTATAGACGCTATGGACTCTGGGCTGGCGAGGAGTTCGGACTTCTGATCTTGCCTAGCTGGAAGCTGTGATTATCCGAAAGCCTGTTTTCGAGCAAAAGCTCTGTTGCTATGGTGTCAAAGTCGAGGGCGTGATTCTCCGGCGGTGATAGTGGTTGTTGTGTCCGGGTGATTCTGGTTGTCGCGTCCAAGCTCCGTAGAGGGTATTTCAGCGCGTCCAAACCCTCCACCCTCTCTCCTTTCTTCCCAATCGTAACTTCAGTCCTCAGAAAGCATACCAGTACTTTGCATACTTTTGTCAATACTTTTATAAGTCCATATCAGACCGCATCGAATACCAGCAGCCTCGATTACCAAGTTTCCATATCCAAGTTCTCGAATTATCACAACAAACAACGCGACGCGTCTGTTCTCGTTGAACAATACTCTACCGTATCACAGATACATATCAGGTATGTCTTCTGTGTCTCTCCTCTTCCTTTTCACACGCTGCCGCGGCCGTGGTCGTCGTCGGCATCGACTCTGCACGTTGCATTTATCTTCTCGATGGTCGGCGTGCAGCCAATCAGCGCGTCGTGTGGCGTTTTGACAAAGCGGTGCATGCGTCGGTCTCGGCGGCGTGCCGAACAAATATTCTCCAATCCCTTGCATTGAGCTGTCGCTGACTTGTCCGTCTATCGATAGCTAACACAACCACAAGATGCCTCGCGTCACAAAGACAAAGGCACCAGTTGTCGCCACACCAAGACGCGCAACTCGCTCCACAGTTCGCGCTGGCAGTGCCAGTCTCGAGGAGCCCATCGAGGTGCCAGCTCCCAGACGCCGCGGCTCGCGTTCTAAGACGCCAGAGTCCAAGAACTCGTCGTTCGAGAAGTCGCAGCCCGAGAACCACCTTCCCGCTCTCGCCGAGGTTGAAGAGTCACCTCGTGTCGTTCTTCCACAGCCCATCGAGGTCGCTCCCATCGTCGACGCATCTCCATACGTCACTCCTCAGCACTACCACATCGCTGCTGCCACCACGCGCAACCCGCTCTACGCTCCACCTGCCGTCACGCAGCTCCTCGACGACGCGCCTACCGCCAGACGCAGTCCCATTCAGTCGCCTGCTTCCAGTCGCAAGGTACACAAGTCACCTGCTGTCAGCCAGACTGTTCACCAATCCGTTGAGATCTACGTCGACGAGGACCCGGCCCAAGACAACGACGACATCCACTCCGACAACGACGTCGCCCAAGTCGACCAAGAAGAAGAAGAAGCTGTCCAGGAAGCTGTTGAATCTCAGCTTGCCAACGAGACAGCCGAGGCTGGTTTGTCACATTCTCATCCTACTTCCNCTGCTTTGTTGAAGACTCCTACCACTCCTGCAAGCCTTGCCGGTCACTCTACCTCCAAGAGAAGACGTTCCGCTAGAAGTGGCGGCTTCCTTCGCACTCCCACCTTCGACAACAGCCCATTGCATCACAGCCCACTGGCTGAAATCTCTGGAAACTCTGTTGCTTGGAAAGAATTCTTCCCTTCTTCCATGTTCGAATCCTCTTCACCTGCTTCACTTGCTGTTCCTCTCATGGATCGCGCACTCCAGAGCGAAGAGATCATCCCCGAGCTGACCGATCGTCAATCCACAGCGCTCCTTTTGGACATGCGCAGAGAGATCTTGCGTCTGCGCAAAGTCGAGGAGCAGTTCCTCGCCGCCTCCAAGCAGCAAGTCGCCAATTCAACTGCTCAGTCAGTCGCCAAATCACCTGCTTCACCTGCTCAGCCACCTGCTACCCAGGAAGCATCACCGGAGATCCCACGCACCATGCATCGCCTCAAGGATCTTCGTTACCAGAGAACCATTGCCGGACCTGCCAGACAGAGACTCTTGGCACAGCGCGAGGCCGAGGCTGCTGCCGCTGCCGCCGCCGCCGCCGCCGCTGCTGCAGAAGCCACTGAGAGAGCCGAGTTGTCCACCATTCAAGAAGAGCAGATCGACGAGACTCCTTCGCGCTCTCTTCCATCATCATCCTCGCGTTCAAGCTTGTCATCGGCTAGCAGCAAGCGCAAGAGTGCTCAGGCCCCTCAGAACAACACTTTCGAAGCTCAAACTCCTCAGATCTCATCGCAAAACTCAGCATCAGCTGAGACACCCGCCGCCGCCTCTCCAGCATGGGGCCTCACTTCTCTCTTTGGCTCGGTCAAGAACATCTTCACTCACCGTCCCAGCTTCTCGCCCGTGAAGCCAATCGAGTTTACGCAGCCTCAGGAGCCCATTCAGGAGCGGCAAGTTGAACCTCAACAAGCAGCTCAGTCGCAGCAGGCCACACCTTCACCAGTCAAGAGACAGAGACGCCACCTCTCTTCTTCGCAACAGAGCCCTACGCCAAAGCCTAGAGCACCCGCACCACCTGCAACACCTGCACCAGCTCCTCAGGAGCCTGAAGACGATGGTCTGTATGGTCAGACACCAAGAACCACACGTCGTCGTGGCGTTCTGCCCGGTTCTATGCCTCGCAGAAAACGCGACACCCCTGCCAAGCCAAAGGAGCCCAACGCAGATCTCAGAGCATCTCAACTCGAAGTGGCAGCTCAGAGAACTGTCGAGCGCGAGAAGGCCCAAGAGAAGGCCGACAGACTCGAGCGTGAGCGTCAAGCCATCATCGCAGAACTGAAGCTGCGTGACTCGACTTACAGCGTCGGCGATAAGCGCAAAATTTCGGTGAACGTCGACGAGCTCGCAGTCATCCCCAGAAAGGCGTCAGGCGCAAGCTCTGGGACATACGGTCTCATGGACGACTTCTTCAATTACGACGATGATAGTGACATTGTCGAGATGGATGAGGACGATGTTCAACTGCTCCCAGCTCCTGAGCACCCCACCAAGAGGGTCAGACTCGATGAGAACGTCTTCCAGCCAAAGACACCTGCACCTACACCAGCACCTCAACCCACTGCCATCAGTCCTGTCAAGCAGGCAGCAGCACCACAGCAACCTACCATTCCCGCAACACCTGCTCCCAACTACTCGCAGCTCACTCAACAAGCCATTGAGAAGCAGCGTCTGCAGATGTCTGTGCACCAGCCCAAGCAGCCTTCGCGTCTGCGTCACGTTGAGCGTCTCTCCAACGCCAGCACCCTTGGTGCCTCTTCGCCACAGCAGCTTATCGCTGCGTCAATCCAAGACACCCAGGAAGTTGCGGCTCCTCTCCAAGAGACTCAGGAAGTTGCTGCTCCACCTCAAGAAGCTCAGGAGGCCGGCCCTGTCTCTGAGCTCCCCAAGGCACCCGCTCCAGGGATCTTCAACTGGCCAGAACTCGAACCATCGATGGAGTCACCCGAGACTTGGGCTAAAATTGACAAGATCTACACACCCGAACTCAGAGCCGCCGATCACGAATTCTTCATGGAAGGATTCGCAAATGCCATGGCCAACGCCGAGAAGTAATCTCTTCAGACCGTTTGAGCAGCGCGAGGCAAGACGAACAAATTCACAATCCTGGTCGACAGAAGAAACGTCAAGCAATCACCGGTTTGCAGCTGGTCCAACAAAGACTAGCTCGCCATCAATTTCATGGTTTGCAGCTGGCTTCACCACTAGCTCGCCATCACCTGGTTTGCAGCTGGTCATTACACTAGCTCGCCATCTTCTTGGTTTGCAGCTGGTTCTTCATACTAGCTTGCCATTTTTTCTGGTTTGCAGCTGGTCTTTCAAGACTTAGCTCGCCATCTTCGTTGCCGAAACTCGACAAGGCTTGTCCGTTCATTCATCTTACTCGACGCCTGTCTTTCATGAAGAGAAATTGTTCATCACATCGAAACCAGTGTTATTATGCATAGCGAAAGGAGTGCATTGAAAGGAAAGGAAAGGAAAGGATATTGAAGAAATGGGAGTTTTTACTTGCATCTGCGGAATTTCGGTCGTTTGTTTCGAGTAGGAAGACGAGAAGGATAGTTGGGTTTTGGATTTTGTTTTTTACTGCGAGTTTTTGTTGTTGTTGTTGTTTTCTTTTACTGCACATGTTGTTGATACCCAGAGAGGAGAAAGGGATAAGGGGTTTTTACACTCAAGACGAGCTCAGAGCCGTTCCAAAAACAGAAAATGTTTATACAAAGCTACAGTGGCCTTTTGCATCAACGTGACAGTAGTAGTGTGAGAGGAGAGTTCAACAAGGAGTCTGAAAGGCGCGGAGGAGTCTCGATCATCTTCTTGACAATATTTAGCTCTGTGATATGTGACAACAGTGTAATGGTGGCAATGCTTACAGAGTCTTCCTAACCCACATCTAGTGATCTATCGAACAGCAGTGCCCAAATAGCCACCACCTTCTCTACTCTGCATCTCAAAGCCTTGACCCACCATCTCCTCTTCATCTCGAATCCTCTCAAACACAGCCTGCTCACCTGCCTCGTCAAAAGCATCATGAGGCTCATCACACCCTCTACTCCCCAACGCCGGAAACCATCTCCTCCAAACCCCATACCCAATCCCCAAACCCAAACAACTGCCCACCACGACATCAAAAACATCATGTCTATAATCCTCTAGTCTGCTAATAGCAATCAATGCAGCACCCAANAAGGGCGAGAAAGCAACAAGAGTGCGATAGAGTCCTGCTCGTGGATGCAAGATGCGGAATTGGGAGAGTAGGAAAAAGGAANNAAGGTAGCCCAGGCCAGAAAAAGCAAAGGAACTGTGGCCAGAAGGGAAACTGCGCCAGCCGTCGTGCAAAACGTGGTGGTTTGGGTTTGTGCAGGAGAGGTGGGTTATTAGTTCGTGCTCTGGGGTTCCGGGTTTGGGGTGGCAGCGGGCGAGGAGGTCGGGGCGTGGTCTGCCTACTGCGTTTTTGATGACCTGTGGGAGGTATTAGTGATGGGAACGCAGAGGTGATGAAGGAGGTATACTTACGTCTGTTACGAATAATGTTACTAGGAGACTGATGCCGAAGCCCAGTAAGGTAACATGTGTCTTGTGAGGTCTGAAGAGGGCAAAACTCCAGACCAGGAGGATTATNGAAGGGAAAAGGCCAGCATAGATCAAGAGCCAGGTCACGGGCACATGCTCGATTTCGGCATGGGGATATTGAATCCTTCGGTCATCTAGAGCAAACATGCGATGAAATGGCTCGGTGAAGATGAAGAGCTGTAGACATATCCAGATCGGTAGTATAATGGCCAGACCGATGTAATCAGCAGCATATGGTTGNCTAGGATATGTCAGCCGGATAGAGTGTGGATGGACATGGGTAGTAGATACGCATTTCTCCCGCCATATAAGGAGTATAGTTTCGGCAAAAGAGCCTGAAGAAGGCCTTCTTCTTGTGTCCGTGTGAGACTCGGATCCAGGCATAACTGACCTTCGGAAGTGAAGTGATATGGAAAGAAAGTGAGTTGTTCAATCAGGGGGCGTTAGGGAGTGTGAAGATGTGGCTGGTGCTGTGGCTGCCTCCCCCAGATTTGGACTCTTCCAGTTCGACCTTCTTCATCGCATTGCGAACAGTAGCAGCAACAGCATGGCAGATCAGGCACAGGCGCGCATGCTGTCAGCAGCCTTCCCGACACCCCCGCCGTACTACAAGCACTTCACCAAGCAGAATGTCACAAAAGTCCGCCAGATCCGCAAAGAGGCCGCAACCAACACCAACCAAGTCGACGTGGAGTCATTACCCGCCGAGCTACGATACCTGATCCCGCCCGGACCACCGGCAGATGGCCGCTATAAGAGCTTTGGAGCGCAGCATGATGTGCGTATATATTGAAAAGATAGAAAGAGCAAGAGACTGACAGACGAGAGCAGTNTGGCGCAACCAGCACAGTCTCTAGCCCAAGCAGGAATCCAAGAGCTGTATCCCGCAGACGTCGCCCACCTCGATCCGACCNCCCATCTACAGACCTTGACACGCGCCGTACTTCTCAACTTCCTCGAACTGGTTGGCACGCTGTCGGTCAATCCTACACAAGGTCCGGAGAAGGTCGAACACCTGCAAACCCTCTTCTACAACCTCCACGATCTGATCAACCGTTACCGCCCTCACCAAGCACGCGAGAGTCTGATCATGACCATGGAGGACCGACTGGACAAGATCAGAGCTCAGATCAAGGGCGTCAATTCAGCAAAGGATCGCATGCAACAAGTTCTGGGCGACATCCGCAGTCAAGCCACGTCCGAGACCATCAATACGCCCACAAAGCAAGAGAAGCCATCGGTACAACCAGAGGCACCTCAACCTACCGACGGCATACACCAAGCCATGTACGAAGCTCTGGAACAAGATCTCGACGATTGATGCCATTACCACAACTAGTCTACCTTGACTCCAGCTTCCCATTACCCGTCGTTGGTTCGTGGTCCTGATTGCATTTACTTCTCGCCCGCCAAAATGCGCTCCCGCATCTCTCTTCCATGCGCCTCGGCGTCGGCGGCTCCGGCAGCACTTCCATTGCCCATCGCTACTCCCTTGATGGCCGAGTTGTCTTGTCTGTGTTCGACTTCGCTGCCATCGGCTTGCTTCTCCTTCTTCGACTTGCCCGAGAAGGCTCCTGAGAGTGCGCCAAAGAGGTTCAGGTTGAGCTGTGGGATCAGTCAGCTATACCAATCGCAACGACCACATGGAAGATGAACATACACCGGCACTTGCACTTGCGCTTGCACTTTGCTCTTTTTCNNTTCACGAGCGTACTGAGGTTGGCTGGCAGCAACTTGCTGGCCCTTTACTGGCTTCTGGGCGACTTCTGAGGATGTCATGATTTTGGGAGACTAGATTTCTGGTTCAAGAGATTGGTATCCTGATGGAGAGAGAAAAGATAAGCCACATAAGAGTGGTTCGCCTTCAGCCACAAACAGGGAGAGGCTGGGTTGATATGAACACCTCAGTCGCACAAACAGGATTCATGACTGCGAGTAGAGCCGCTTGCGTCATGGGGTTTGGCAGTATCACACCAAGCAACATTCTTTGGCGATGCGAAGGAGTGGTAGCGAAGAACATGGGGGAAAGCATGATGATATGGTTCTTTCCGAGCTTCAAGACGCAAAGATTGCGATAGGCGCATCCACAAAGTCAATAGAGTGTCTCCCATACCATGATCTTCTGAAGCCAAGAGCTGTGTGGTCGTGAGGACAATCTCCTGTCTCTGTTTCAAGTCCGATATCCAAATTAGCTATTCGGAGCAGAATTCTAGAGAATGAACAAGTCATCTGTGTATTCGATGCTTCCAGCAGCAGAATCGAGCAGTTCTTCTCAATTCATGTTCAAAATCGATCAAACAACAAAAAGTCGTTGACGAACAACACCCACCCCGCCATCGCAGCTCAGCCCCACCTGCTCCCTTGTCGGAGCTTCAGAATTCGATTCGTTAGCGCTGATGGCGTGTCCAAAGATTACCAGAGCACTACGTCGACGTCCAATTCTTTTTGTTTCACTCTTCATCCTGGCATTCTCACTACTCACACCCTTCCTCCCTCGACTCCGTCTCCTAGCCCGACACATCAACCCTCCACGAACTCACACCACCACCGCCGTCATGTCGACCGACTACTCAAAAGAGCTCAACGTTGCCCTCCTCGCCGTCCAGCGTGCCGCCATCCTGACCAAGCAGGTCTTCCACAGCCACGCCAAGGGCACTCTCAACAAGTCAGATGCCTCGCCCGTCACCATTGGCGACTTCGGTGCCCAAGCCCTGATCATCGCTGCCATTAAGGCCAACTTCCCCGACGACGAGGTTGTTGGTGAAGAGGAGGCCAAAGACTTGCGCGAGAACGCCGACCTCAAGAAGACCGTCTGGGATCTGGTCAAGCAGGCCAAGCTCGACGATGATGCTGCTGAGAAGACCCTCGGAGGCCCCATCGAGAGCGACGACCGCATGCTCGACGTTCTTGACATGGGTGCCAGTCAGGGCGGTAACAAGGGCCGTATCTGGGCCCTTGACCCCATTGACGGTACCAAGGGTTTCCTCCGTGGTGGCCAGTACGCAGTCTGCCTCGCCCTGATGGTCGACGGCGACGTCAAGGTCGGTGTTCTCGGATGCCCCAACCTGCCTATCGATGACAGCGCTCCCCTGACCGAAGACCTCGGTGCCAATGCCACCGACTCCGAGGGCAAGGGTGTCCTCATGTCTGCCATCCTCGGCAAGGGCGCCGACAGCCGTCCTCTGACCCGCGGCGCCCTCAAGGACGCCACCACCATCTCCATGAAGACCGTCAACGACATCAGCAGCGCCACTTTCTGCGAGTCCGTCGAGGCCGCCCACAGCGCTCACGGCGACCAAGCCCAAATCGCCTCCAAGCTCGGCATCACCAAGCCCTCGGTGCGCATGGACTCGCAAGCAAAGTACGCCAGCATCGCCCGCGGTGCCGGCGATATCTACCTCCGTCTGCCCGTCAAGAAGGACTACCAAGAAAAGATCTGGGACCACGCTGCTGGTGACTTGATTGTGCGTGAGGCTGGTGGTGAGGTCACCGATGCCCAAGGCAAGCGTCTTGACTTTTCGGTTGGCAGAACGCTCAAGAACAACAAGGGTGTTGTTGCTGCACCCAAGGCTATTCACGGTAAGGTCCTCGAGGCTGTTACCAGTGTGCTTTCGGCCAAGCAGTAGATGATTGATACGAGGTTATGACCATGGAAAAGTAGAAATGTGTATATATGTTATGCTATGTCCAGTTGAGACGTTTTAGGGACGTTTCTCCCTTCAAAGCCTTCGTGCACACAAGTTCCAGACCATCCAAGAATCGATGTGCTTGGTCTCATCAGTCTCACGCCGTTCCTTCAAAAAATAATGCATTCATAGAACCTCACTTATTGCCCATATTTCATCTGGTACATGAAGACGCCATGTATGGACAAGTCTACCAGATCCAAAGATTTTGCACGTCTCGAGACAAAATGATTATGATCTCGTCAGAAGGATCGACCAATTCCTTCCGATGGGTGGAAGATTGGCAAAAATGGAGTAGCTGGGAATCGAACCCAGAACCTTCTCCACTCAGTAATGCTTGGAAGAGCAATGCTAAGAAGATGTCATACCACTAGACCACAACCCCGTTCGATGATGGGTCAAATGTGTGATAATAATATAGTCTCTTGTCCAGAGAGAGCGCATGCAATGGGTGTCTTCTGTCCCGTCTGAACCATCTGATTGCTTATTCATGACTCCAGATATCTTTCATTAGTTGTTCACTGCTCCGCAGGCTAAATCGCTCGAGAATAGTACGTTAGTTTCTTGCGGTCTCGTGGTGTCTAATTTTAGCACGGTACAGATCAATCCTTCCACTTAACGTCTCAGATCCTCTCACCTTCCTATCTTATGCAGCCACAAAACGCCTCTTCGCAGCGACAGCCAAATGTATTTAGGCTGCTTGGCTGCGTCGTAAGCAACTGATAGGATATAGCAGCTCTGCGTCATTGACATCTAGACGTAAAGTCCTCCTGGCAGGTTGCTGTTCCGCTCCCTACTACATTCAAGAACAATGAGCTCTGCAGTCTGTTCGCCAGCCGCAGACAGTGCCTTTGGGCCTGTGGTCGAGGGTTGTCGACAAAACTTCGACTTTACCCTCGCGTTCGAGTCCTACCTTTTCTCAATCGTACCTTCTGTATTGTTGCTTTGTTTTGCGCCGTTGAGGTTCAAGACGCTTAGTCGTGTGCGACCTAAGACCAAAGGCACTGCCTTCAAATATGTCAAATTGGTAAGTCGATGAGGGGTGCTGTCGAGGGAAGTCGCAGCTCACAAAGGTAATTGCCTAGNNTCGGTCATTGCAGTGCTTGCTGTTTTCCAGTTGGCATTGATTGGTCTCTTCGCCAACAACACTCAATTGCAAGCATGGAAACCATCAATGGCAGCTTCTGTGCTATCCTTTGGTTCGAGCATTGCTCTTCTCACCCTGTCATACATGGAGCATTCAAGATCTCTTCGACCATCCCTGTTACTCAATGGCTATCTCTTCGCTACCGTTATACTCGATGCTGCGACTCTTCGAACACTCTGGTTGATGCCACACTTCTCTCTCCGCATCCGCAACATCTTCACGGTGGCGTTTACCGCAAAAGCCGTGGTTCTGTTGCTTGAGGCTAGAGGTAAAAGAGCTTACTTTAACACAGAGAGGGACATGAGTCCGGAAGACTTCAGTGGTATCTATGGTCAAGCACTCTTATCTTGGCTGAACAGCTTGGTCTGGAAGGGTGCTCGCCACGTATTGAAGCCAGAGGATCTGTATGCCATCAGTGATGATGTCGCATCAGAAACGCTCAGCACTCGATTTTCCCAAGAATGGGACAAACGTAAGTACCTCTTCATTCAATGTTGATCAGAATAATCACACCTTCTCCAGNAATCGAGGAGCGGACCAGCCGACTTGAAGAGAGTCCTCTTTGTGTTGTTGAAGTGGCCAATCTTGGTCCCGATCATCCCTCGGCTGGCTCTCCTGGCTCTTACTTTCTGCCAACCTCTGCTGCTGAGGAGACTACTCGACTATCTGAACAACTCAGACGTGGAAGACAAGAACATTGGCTATGGACTGATCGGTGCCTATTTTGTTGTGTACGTTGGTCTCGCTGTGAGTTATATTGCTCATACTAAACGTGTTTTGCCTTCTGATATTCAATACAGANCTACATCGGCTATTTACTGGCACAGGCATTACAGATTCCTAAGCATGCTCCGCGGTACACTGATAACAGTAGTTTACGGCAAAGCTACCGACATCGTCGCCGTGGCCAAAGACAACAAGGCTTCTATCACACTGATGAGCACGGATGTCGAACGCACTATTCGTGGTCTGATTGACTTGCACGAAATGTGGGCAAACATCGTTCAGGTCGCTATTACCACATGGCTGCTCGAGGTAGAGCTCGGTGCTGCATGCGTAGGCCCTGTCGTCATTGCGTTGGGTAGGTTTTCACCTTTCCGATTCTCGTACCTCTGTCTGATTGTTGGCNTAGCCACGACTGGTACCACCGTATGGTTCTCTGGATATACTGCTTCGTTCCAGCTTCTTTGGATCGATAAAGTTCAAGCGAGGATTGGTAAGTGTCCATGAGATTTTGCCTAGAGAGGCTGTGGACGGTATGTACTGATCGTTGCCANNGGCATAACCACATCCATACTCGGCTCTATGAAAGCTATCAAGCTTTCTGGCCTGAACTCGAGGGTAGCGAGTCTCCTACGTCAGTCTCGTGTCAATGAGCTTGACGCTGCAACACGCTTTCGTACTCTTTCCTCAATCTCAGTCGCGATAGGTACGTGAGACTTCCGCACGCCATTACTTGGACATCACTACCAAGCACATCTCTGATAACATGGTGTTGAAGGGAACGTGCCTCAGCTTATAGCACCTGTCCTGACCTTTGCGATCTATATTGGTGTCTCCTCCAAGCAGCACACTGCACTTGATACAACCAAGTTGTTCACATCGCTTGCTCTTATTCTTCTTGCATCTGAACCTATGTTTATGCTGATCAGTGGCCTTATCGAGTTACGCTCGGCGATTGGCTGCTTCGCACGCTTAGAAACCTTCTTGCAGGCTCCAGCACGATGCGATACTCGAACCATCGTACTTCCTCAACCGAGCCATATTCGCTCTCTTACTGGAACCAACNCCCCCAGTACCGTCGTAATGCGCAATGCTTCCTTTGGCTGGAAAGATGGCGATCAATTGACCATCAAGAATGTCAGTCTTCGTGTACCTGTCTCAAGCTTAGTCATGATTACAGGCCCCGTCGCTTGTGGCAAGAGCACTTTATTGAAAGGCATACTTGGCGAGACACCCCTATCAGAAGGAATGGTCGAACTCTCGAGCTCTGACATCGCATGGTGCGAACAATCTCCTTGGCTGATGGTAAGTCTTTGCTTCTGGTCACATTTGATGTCCCGTCCGCTTACTCTCCTTGCAGNNAATGCATCCATCCAACGAAACATTATCAGCTTTTCTGAGTTTGATCCGGAACTCTACTCATCAGTGATCCACGCTTGTGATCTTGATAGCGACTTGGAAGTATTACCAAAGGGTGATGCAACGGCGATCGGAAGCAAAGGCTTCGCTTTGAGTGGCGGGCAGAAACAACGCATCGTATGTCTGACCTGTAACCAAACTGATCGGTGATTTCTAACAAATCAATCAAGGNCTCTGGCTCGCGCTGTTTACTCAAGATGCCCTATCGTGGTTCTCGACGACGTCTTCAGCCAACTGGATCTGAGTACTCAGACTATCGTCTTCGAACGTCTCTTTGGACAGCGGGGTCTGCTGCGCAGATGGAAGACGACGGCTATCATGACTACTGGTGCAGCCAAGTTCTTCTCTCGAGCCGACCTCGTCATTGTTCTCTCTTCGAATGGCACAGTCGAGGGACAGGGCACCTTCCAGGAACTGTGTGCTGCGGGTAGCAACGCGACCAAATCCATAACCTCGATTGAAGCTAGCTCTGAAGATCAAGCAGCACCGGGCTCTACGACTGACAAAGAGTCTATCGGTGTTGGAAAGCCACACCTCGCCGAGAGTGATAACAAGGTTGACGACAAGACTTTGGAAGCAGCACGCCAGAAAGGTGACTTTGGTATCTACAAGTACTACTTCGCATGCATCAGTCGGACTGTAGCAGCCATCTTCCTTCTATTACAGCTCGCGTATGCGTTCCTCTGTACTTTCCCTAGTAAGTTTATGGATACACTCTAAACGGCCATGTGCTAGCTAACGAAAGAAGCTGTCTGGCTCAAGTGGTGGACGGATTCGAACATGCAAGAATCTCACTCGAAATACGGCTATTACATTGGAAGTTACACAGCGCTACAGATCGGAGCTCTAGTGCTTTCTGCTGCAGTCACTTGGTAAGGTATAGCCTTGAGCAATCATGGACCAAGAGTCGACTGACACGTGCTCAGGTGGTCTTTCAATGTAATGGCTGTCAAGACAGGCATCCAGCTACACAATACCCTTGCTAAGACTGTCATGTCGTGAGTCCGGGTAATCTTTCTCATGAGGTCTACGATTCTGACGATGTCTAGGGCACCGCTCTCATTCTTCAGCAAGGTCGACAGTGGAAGTATATTGACAAGGTATGTGCTAACTATGTACCTACACTATGATTTATATGTCTAATGGAGANGCAGATTCAGCCAAGACATACAATTGCTCGATATATCCTTACCACTAGCTCTCATGGTGGTCGCCACCAGTAAGTGACCCAACAGCCAATGCGAAACGGATAGCTAATCTGTTGTAGATACACTTATCTGCCTCGCTCAAGTAGGGCTAATCGCTTCAGCTTCTGCCTGGATAGCTTTGAGCTTCCCAGCATTGTTTTTTGTCTTCTATGTCGTCCAAGGGTTCTACCTGAGGACGTCGAGACAGATGAGACACCTCGATCTCGAGGAGAAGGCTCCAGTGTAGTATGTCAATCACGAGTATCGAACTGTAAGAGGACTGGCACTAACTCTAAAATNNAGTACGCAATTCATGGAGACCCTCGATGGGTTGGTGACCATCCGTGCGTTCAACTGGAGCCAGCCATCCATCAAACACAACTTTGAAATCGTGGACCGCTCTCAGAAACCCAACTACCTGATGTGGGCACTCAAAAGATGGCTAGCATTAGTGCTCGATCTAGTCATCACCGGCATTGCAGTTTTGACAGTAGGCATTGTTATCGGTCTGCGAGATAGCTCTTCGCCAGGGTTTACTGGTGTTTCGCTGACACAGATCATCTCGTTCACCGCTAATATCAAACTCTTGATCATGTTCTGGACACAACTCGAGAGTTCTCTGGGCGCAGTGGCTAGAATCAGACAGTTTGAGAAGGAGACTGTTGCTGAAGACCTAGAGAGCGAGACCCATGATCCTCCGTTCAATTGGCCTAGTCAAGGCTCGATCAAGATCAACAATCTGTCAGCGAAGTACAAGTCAGTATTGAGCCATCTTTGTTGATCCTAACTATACTGACGCGTGAAAGACCCGNACAGCGAGCGTATGACACTGGACGACATCTCCATTTCTATCCCAGCAGGCTCAAAAGTCGGCTTGTGTGGTCGAACAGGAAGCGGCAAAAGCTCTCTTCTTCTCACCATCTTCAATCTTTTGACCCCAGAATCAGGCAACGTTGTCATGGATGGCCTTGACCTATCGACCGTTCGTCGCGAAACACTGCGCTCTCGCCTGATTTGTATTGCCGAGGAACCCTTCCTTTTCCCAACCAGCGTTCGGGATAACCTTGCTCTCGACTGCACTACTCTCACTGATGAATATATGGTTATGGTGCTGCAGCAAACAGGGCTTTGGGAGGCTGTCAATGCAAAAGGAGGATTGGATGCGAAGATGGAGGATGTACACCTGAGTCAAGGATCGAAGCAACTTTTCAACATCTCCAGGGCTTTGCTGAGAAAAGATGAAGGCAAAGTGTTGATCATGGATGAAGCTACCAGCAGGTCAGTAAACGCTCTCTTCCTTTCCTTCCTCGACATGTTCTGTTTCTTGTAGACTTTACTTACTAACAATTCTCTGCNNAGTATTGACACTGAGACGGACATCAACATTCAGTCGCTCATTATAACAGAATTTTCTGAACACACTATCATCTCGGTAGCTCACAAACTGCAAACCATCGCTGGGTTCGACTTTGTGGGCGTCATGGATCAAGGCAAATTGGTCGAATATGACGACCCGAAGAAATTGTTGAAGCAAGAAGGGTCCAGATTTAAAGAGTTGTGGGATGAGCGGTAGTCAATTTGGCGAAGAGGAACCAAATGTGTTGATTCGAGACTGGGATTCATAGAAGTGGTTTGATCTGGGTAATAAAAGTATTTGTGAAGATACAGTTGTCTAATGCTTGTCTACACTGACCCTTCATATAGTTCCATGAAAGGATCTGGTCCATCACGTAGTTGAGCCAAAAGTTCTGAGCCAGGATCTGTATCTATTACTTCTGAATGGCGGCTCTACATGAGATTTCTGATTGCATCTCGCGTAGCGATGCGTGTGGCGTATGGCGTACAAGAACGGTGTACAGTTGTTTATCGTTGAGGCTCTCCTTTATATTCCCTATATACATGAGCATGACTCGAGTGCCAAGCGTGTGCCCTGGAAGGGAACCTGTTCCATGATCGTTCTTTCCCCTTCGGTTGGCAACACTCCACTTCAACTCTCACATGGCCGCTCTGATATTTGTCGACCTCAAACATGATCCCACAACTCTCTTTTGAGATGGTTGTCGCGTTACTCTCGCAATGAAGGCTCTGGCTGCGCCCTTCGACCCTATCTACTTCTAATGCGAAGCAGTCTCAGACGGTCGTTCTTAGGCCGCTCGACTCTTTGCTCGACTTCAGATTCTGTACTATAAAGATGAATCTCCACAAGAAACGAGCATCCAGACGCTGTAGACTCGGTCATCGCCGACAGTTTATCGACCGTTGCTCTCATACATCCCTTAAGCATTTCACCTTTTCCTCAATGTATCTCGTCGAGAAATTCGGTCGCCTATGTCAACATGGCTCCAGATACTATAAATGCAGGAGAGATGTGCCTCCAAAACTCTTCTCATCACGCAAGTCCTCCTTAGCAAGATGTTCAGTCGGAGGCTTCTGTTCCTCGTTACGTTCTTTACCCTCGCCCTAGGCGTATTCTCTTCCCTCTGCAGGAACGGGCAACCTCGAAATGTACTGCAAGAGATATCGCTATTGTTCGTCGAACTGTCAGTGATGAGGTTTACTTCTGCAAGTGGTGGCTTTCCGAGTACGTCTTATCAGCGCTGTTGTATATCTATCCCTGACATGAATATAGCATCCGTACAAGGTCGCCTTTCCTTGAGTTCACTCAGTCTCAAGTTACAGATCTCTGCAAATGCCTCGCATTGTCCAGTACTGTTTCCAAGCCAAAGCGTGAAGAGGGCTCGATTGAGCATGTCCTTGAGAAGAGGCAATCGCAAGCTTCATGTCAGGCCGAGATGAGCAAGCAGTTCACCCAACCCTACCACTTCTGCACCTTCTACAACGCATAGTATGTTTGACGGTCCTGATAAAAACCACTCAGAATGCTGACATGATACAAGCCCTAGGAGCACCTCTCCATTCGCCGTGTACTCTGCTAAGCAATTGCTCACGCTTTGCAAATGCGTGGTCACAAAGCAGGCTACTTCAGTTCCCTTCTGCTCTTCTCAGTCTACGCTTCTTGCAAGCAAGCCTACGCTGCTGTCGCAGGCTTCGCAGTACTGTTCGTTGCTCTTGAGACCTACCGTCTCGGCTGTAAAGACGATTACCAAGGCTACCACTGTCGCAAGAACTAAGACACAAGGAACCTCGATTATCAACATTGTCTCAACGATTCAACGCACCTCTACTGTCAGCAAGGTTACCACTGAGCAGGTCGTCCAGTCTGTCACAGCAAAATCGACCGCTACTGAGACCAGCGTCGTGGTCGACTATGTTGACACCACAAACATTGGCACCGTTTCCCTGGCTGTTGATACCGAGACGAGCTTGCAGACTGTGAAAGTAGCCCTCTCTACCGAAAGATTCACTATACCATCAATGCCAGAACCAAATATCGCTCGCAGAGATGCATCCGCTTCACTCGCCGTCCCAACAGTCTGGAAAACTCTCGCACCTGCTCAGGCTACTCAAGCATGCAACTGCTTGGGCATCAAGTCCGGCTCCTTGAAGCCGACCGCGGTGTACACTTCGACCAAGACGATACTGAGCACCGCAACGAGCTTTGCCACAAAGCAAGCACAAAGCACTCGTATCATCTCCGTCACTCGTATCTCGACTGTGAACAAGCTCTCTACTATCCGTTCGACTCTTACCTCGATCGTGTCGACTGCTGTGCAAATCCAGACTCTTCAGAGCACCTCCAAGGCTACTTTGACGACTTCTATGGATTCTGTATCGACAAGCATCAGTCAGATCTTTTCCATCGCTACATACACCTGTCCCAGTGTCGCTTCTGTGACCCCTACATCTACCTTGTGGACTACCTCATTTTCTACTGTAACGGATACAGTTACCACGACCTTGCCAATGAATGTCGAGATAACGACAACCGAGCGGGACGGAACCGATACGGTGACCAGGCGAGTACTTCTGAGTATCAACACGATATTTGAACACGCGAACTAATTGTCAACAGCTTCGTCACTGCAACGACCTGCACCTACACCAACCCAGTGACTGTCACGTTTGAAAAGAGGATTATCACCATTAAACCCACATTCTATAGCACTGTGTCTGAGTGTCCCCTTACGTCGACTCTTACTTCTACTATCACATGCACGACATCGGGCGTGACGACTTCGACATCGATTGAGACGGCATATGCAACAACAACAACGCAAACATACAACGATTACAGAATGGGATTGTTCACGACGGAAACCATCATAGCCACAACTACGCCTACTTGCACTACGCCGACGATTAACGTGCAGACAACAACCGCTACCCCAGATCCAGCCACGTCGACCACTTCAAGCTCGGCCGTAGCGGGCACCTGCCCGGAGCCCTTCTCCCAATACAACTACGACTACGAAGGCGTGACATACAACGTACAATGTGGAATCGGTCCCGATAGCGGCAATTACTTTACTGCAATGCGCTTCGCAGCTATAAGTCAATGCTATGACTCGTGCAACAGCTCTAGCATGTGCAACTACTTTGTGTGGCTCGAAACATCAAGCAACATGAACTGTATGCTGTACGAAAGGTTCAATACTGTTGGCACTGAGCCTGGCGGTCTGCTAGCTACAAGACGTTCAAGTTCATCAAGAAAGGCTTGATGAGCAATAGCTATAGCTAGAGCATAGTCTTCGTAGAAAGACACTTAATTCTTTAATATTCCAATCCCTGCCCAAAAAGCAATCTCAACAGATCATGGTTTTACGAGGTCAAAAGAGAAGGTGAGCCTGAAGTGCACCTTTCCTAACTGGATAGCATCATAAACTGTCCAGTCCAGTTTAAAATGCTCCTAGAGGTGAAGTACACGTTCTATTGACAGAATAAAATGTCTCGGAGAATATTTCACAGAAGATAACCATAACCTGAATCATGTTTTGCACCTTGATGGCTATAACGTTGGTGGTGGTGAAGTAGGATAAAAGGTTCAATGTGGCTCTGAATGCTTAGTGTACAATGCCAGGCAACAAGGACATGTGGCGCGTCCATGAACGAACTTGACGACAACCTCTCAAGCAGGCGGCGGCGTGTACAATAGTACTCGTCGGTTGCAGAGTGCAAAGTACCCAAGGAAGCGCGAGTCTTAATATCATGGCAATGCGAAGCCGGTCAGAACACAACGCGTCGGTGGGCCCCGGAGATATCTCCTAGTGCAGACGAGGTAGTGGGTAGTGCTTGACGGTCTGCAGAGAACAAGGAGCATCTTCTACGAAGCAAGCCTGCTGAGAAGAGAGCGATGATGACCCGGTCAGCGAACTGTGTGCCCGCGGCGTCTCAAAGATATTTGCGCAATCCATCCCATTCCCACTCGAAATCCTTGACGAATCTGTCTGCATACTCCTTGATGGAGTTGGGATTGCCGTAGTTGTAATCATGGCTGTTCCTTATGAGTCCGTCTTTTGCAGGCTTGGGCATTGGTATAGCCTGCTATTGAGCTGCAACAGGAGACAATCTGGTCAAGCACAAGTGACTTGACCAGCGAAACAAAGAAGATGTCAATACGAGTGACCGAGAAAAAAGAAAACAATCACAACACCATCACCTTACCTCACAGACACCTCTAAGGACCAAGAACCAGCAAAACAGATCCCCGCTACTAGAGCTCAGTCGTACAGAGCCCTTTCGCGGGAAGAAAGCCACCAGTAAACTGGTTTCATTTCGGTTGTTGAGGGGTGGGAGCGTCGTGGCTCTAGAAGATTGGCGAGGTCGAGGCTCGAACCGAGGACCTTTAAGATGCTAGCGGGGGTCGCCAACAATGTGTTGGCGCAAGACCGGTGGGCCAACCACCGCCTGGCGGTAAAGTGATGGTGGCGATGTAATGGTGGCAGCGGTGCTGGTATATAAAGTGAGCAAGTGAGTAAGTGGTTGGTTTGTCGGAGATTGATCTTTGGTCTGCTTCTTGTCACTGTTAACCAGATCCAATAGATGACTACAGTCAATATGCCAGTGCGATATGTGAAAAACATGTATTCATCACTGCTTTCTTAGAGCAGATTTTGTTGGCGGTCGCCTTGACGCATCGAGGTTCCAGCCTCCAGACATCAAAAACGACCAGTTCGTAATATGCGTTATAATTCCCCCAATTTTATATCACCCTCTTTATCCAAGGTGACTGCCTCTAGCCTTCTTCTTTCTACTTTGCGCCAAAGACTCTTTCGGCGTGAGCTCCATGGTATCCAGTTTCGTAATCAAATTGCGATTCTGGAATTGCGTATCCGGCTCTGGTCTTTTGTGACCCAGTGACGGGCATCTCGAAGGCATCGCCAGTCGCGAGGTGTGTTAGGCTCTCGTGAGAGTTGTTTGTGAGGCGTTCTTGCGAGTTTGATCGAGAGTGGACGTCGGTGTATGGGCCAGTAGTCATGGGGATATCGCCAGCCTTTCTGTCGCCGCGAAGATTCAGGCGGAAGTGTTGGCCGCGTAGACCGTTCATACGGCTGATATGGATATCCAAAGCGACTGCCATTAGAGTCGAGATCCTACGGCTGGTCAGTAAATTCAAGTAGGGTCTTGCGCAAGTCGTTACTTACAGTCCGAGCAGCGCAAAGGTGAACAAGGCCTTGTATATCTTGCACACCATGATGCCAGTATCGTCATTCCAGTGACCGACGTCGCAATAGTGTGTCAAGGTTCCCCACATCCACCAGGACAGCATACCAAAGCCGATAGTCCAGATGACGAAGATTGTGGAGTTAAGGATGAGGTTGAGACGAGGGTTGAGACCGGACTGCAGGTGGAGGGCGATGGTGGCAGCCAGGATAGCTATCGTTATCCACGAAACGCTCATGAGCNNTAATGATGTACGTCAGTCTCGGTGATCAACCAGGGACTTGGGTGCTGAGCATACCACTTTGAATGTCCATGGTGTTGGCCAATGGTCGTGTGATAGGTGGTAGATGAAGAACGACATTATACTGCCAACGATAATGCTAGATACTAGCTGTGCAGCACGAATCGCGTGGAATGGCACGCGAACTTTGTCATAGCCATACAGCTGAGTTCGCGACCGACTCAGCAACAGATCTGAGAACATTATGGAGAAGGGTGACGGGGACTCGTTATTAGGTATCAAGACGAGAGAAGGAATTCGAGCGGTATGTGACAGGAAGCAGAATGATATCTCAGAAGGAATGTGGCTCGTCAAGAGCAGGAAGGAAGATCTCGTCACAGATAACAGCTTCAGCTGGTCGACTAATAACCTACCGGTTGTGAAGGAGGGGACGGAATGCCTATGTAGGCGCGCCTATTGGGACTGGTCTGCAAGGTACGAGGTTGCCGTCTGGGGATCCTTCTTGAGTGCTGCTTTTTTAACCACGGTGGCTTACGTCGCAGGTGTTCATTGGTGCACTGGTGAAACCAGTTGAAGCCAAAATTGCAATACGAGACCGAAGGGTAAAACTCTTTAGACGACTCTCCATCATAGATATGATGCAAGAGGGTCTATCGAGCTCTCAGCTGAATGCTGAATATTGAATAAAATGTTCGGATGCGTTGGCGATGAACAATACATATGTTTGTAGGAGAGATCAAAAGAACAAAATGGTAGGATTGAAAATCCACCGCCATCTGTCTGCTTGGCACTATCAATCAAGAAGGAAGTCGCGTTCCGGGCACTTCCCCTGCAGCTCATCCTCCGATATGAATGACCGCGAAACGAATGAAAGCTCTGTGACACTCGTGCATCGGTTACTGTCACAGTTTCGAGCAGCCACTCCACCCGCCTCCATCTTTACTGCTTCACGCTACGGAGTAGTGAACGTGCCTCCCAAGTAGAAGTAGGCATGTCGGCAAAAATGAGGCTTTTGAACATGAGATCCAGCTCTCGGAATAGATATTGTACAGTAAATACAGAGCACAAGGAGCGTATCGTCTATTTGATCTTCTTGGCCTTCAACTTGATGGTTTCGTCGTTGACAAAGATGCCCTTACCCTTGTAGGGCTCAGGCACTCTCCATGCACGGATCTCGGCAGCGAATTGCTTCACGACCTCCTTCTCGACACCTTCGAGTAGGATACGTGTAGGCTGGGGCGTGCTCGCCTTCACACCCTTGGGAACGCCAAGTTCGATGGGATGTGAATAGCCGACTTTGAGGGACACGAACTCCTGGCCAGGGTACTCTGGCTGTTTTGTGACGGCCGATTTCTCGACGGTTGCACGGTAACCGACACCGACAAGACGGAGAATGGCAGAGTGACCTTCACTGACACCAAGAATGTGGTTTTGCAGATATGCGCGGCAGGTTCCTTTTTGTTTGTTAGACTTGTAATCCCAGCTCTTTGAATGCATCTCTCACTCACCCCACATCTCCCTTTGCTTTCTCTCCTCCTGATCCAGAATGCTCAAGCTGTATGTGCGCTTCGCTTCGTCCGAGACAATGTTCATGTAGGCGGGAATGGGCATGGAGAGCTTTCCAAGAGGGCCTTCAATGTGAATTGTGGCGCCTTCTTGCGTACGGCTGACTCTTGCACCCTTCTTTTGGACCGGGGCTTCGACGATGTTGAAGTTGACATCCGGAGGCAATGATAGCGGTGCACTACCGATTTTCGACTGGCATGGCGACGAGGTGGAAAAGGACGACGATTGTTGCTGGAAAGCTGGGATCGAGGTTTCTGCGGAACGAGAGTTCTTTATCGCGCTGACACAGCGCCGCCTTGCCGGAGTGAACATGGTGTGTGTGGACGGTGTGTGTATCGCGACAAGCACAACTATTCGCTGGAGAAACAATTGGACGGCGATTCGACTTTCCCACCTCCGCGCTCGAGTGAAGCTTGGCGACGACTCTCTCCGCCCTCGCCGCCGGCTCCGCTCATTCAACACCTTCTACCATTCTGCATTGTCAACATCACAATTGCAAGTCGGACCTTGACCAGATCATCTATTCAACCATTGTCCATTGTGGCAAGTAAGCATCCGAAAAGATCTCTCGTCGTCAACCTCCTTTCCTTCTCCTCTTCCAACCCCAACATCCCTCCCATGCCACTCAGGTCACACGATCTGAAGCCAACAACTTTCCTTCTCTGATCTTGATCATGAACGCAACCATGCTGGCCATGCTGCTGTTCTCGTTCTTCTTGTTCCTCCCTTGCATGGGCTTCCAACCAGCCCTCAAGGTTCACCATCTCGACTCCAGTCTCTCAGACCTTGCAGGTATCGAACTTTCTTCCAACAAGGTTCGCATCACCGAAGGCATGCACACCATCATTGACACTATGCACAGAGTCGAGAAGCTCCCTTCATGTCAGAAGCTGGCTTCGAAGGCTCTGCTCAACACTTGTTCTGAAATTGATCATGCTACCAGCCTCGCTACTGACAAAGGTGTCGATGTCATGCTCGAACGCTCCAAATCCATCTATGCTACACGTCTGGCTATCTGCGAACTCATGGATGCCAACGCCAACATTCCTTCCTCTTGCTCACCCTTCAGGCCTGTCGAGCATGCTTCGAAGTTCAATGGTTTTCGAGGTTTCATTGTCAACGGTCGCTTCACCAAACCCACAGCTCCTCGCGACTTCGACGACAGCCGAGATCTTGATCGTTGCTCCGCTTCTCTTTCTTCCAACCCAGTGTGGTGGACTAGCTACTCAAATGCTCGCCAAAACGCTGTCCTGCTCTGCCATTCTATGAGGGCGGAACTGGACAAAGGTGGGTCCAAAGCTTCCTGATCCTTGAGGCGCTTTCGCTAACGTGCGTAATCAGATGACATGGTCGAGAAAGTGAAGCTCATGTTCGAGGCTGTCTTGGAAGCATCCAGTGTCATGGCAGACACAACCGAGGAGCACCGCGCTTTCGAGAAGCAATGGACTGAAATGGGCAAGAACATGCAAGCCTTCCATCTTGCGCTGAACTCAGATCTTGACATGCAGAATCGCATTGTTCAACAGTGGGCAAGTTTCCAAGCCAATATTCAGGACCTCGACGACAATATCCAAAATCTGGGCAGGGACGTCGAAAGAGTCCGCNGAAGTAGGTTGAATATCTCTTTCACGGTTCACCTTGATGTTGACGTAAAGCAGGCATCTTCTCATATCACTTCGGACCTTGAAAGCCATCGTCTCCGGGCTCAGGAAGCACAAGCAGACGTAACACAGCACCTCAGTCAGGTCCTTGACATTGCCGTCCAGATTGATCGATCTCATAACAATTCACTGGCGGCCTCGACGGCTCTGGACCAACAAAATCAAGTGAGTTTTGATTTCTATACGCGCTCGGTTCTCATCACTAACAGTACCAAGGAACTTGCATATACGCTGGCTCGTAACGCCGAGACTGCGAGAGCACTTCACCATCAGACCGAGATATTGCTAGACGCCATATTCACTGTGACGGAAAACGTGACAGACGCCGCAAGGACCGTTTCTGAGTTCCATAACGATATCCACAACCTACCTACCAAGGTCATCCAACAAGTCTTCGAAGCTTCGCTCGGTGGCTTCCCTTCCGGCTGCGTCTCGGTTGTGCTACTGTCTATCTTCTGGTGTCTCGCATTTGCTGCTCTCGACACTTGGCGCCTGCTACGCGCGAGAAGCTCGGTCGTTGCATCGCTCGGCATGGCAATCGGTAAGTTCTTCTGGTATGCTATTGTGACGGTTTACTGACATTTCAAAGCCTTCACTTATCTTGTGCTCGCGATCCCTCAGATCGCCGAGGCTCCCGCAATCAGTGTCCTAGGCATTGTCGCAGTCACGTCCGCTGCAGCCTTTGTTTGCAAGCTTTGGTACAAACAACAGGAGACTTCGAATCAGTCAACTCTTTTGAACAGCGCCAACGAGGACTTGAAGCAATCAGTCCCGCCGTCGCAGCCACTTTCCAGCACTGGTCCACTCCTTCCTTGAGCTCCCACTCAACAGCTTGCACCTCTACGTTCTTGCACTACAGTACCTTTACGACTCTTTCATATTGCTTTGCACTGGCATGATTCCACCAACGACCACCACGATGCGATCATGAGCTTACGACCTTACGAGCTGACATTTGGCAAACTTATCTTGCTTTTCTTCCCTTTTCGTTCAGTTTTACATATATCTTTTTTGCAGCTGGCATCCGTTCAACTGACGACGCTCCTCTACTATCAGCATCTTGATCTGAGGGGTATCTATCATGCATTTGCCAGAGCTCTTCCTGCTTCTTTGTTGCGTTCAATCTTGCTTATAGAGACACATTAGCTCGTTCTCTCTTATATCTACACTATGCTCTTCAAGACTGATCATCCTTACAACGCGCACTTGTGTTCCTAGCCGGCCCAGACTCGACGAGACATACATCTCAATGCATCGCAAATCTGACGGTCGAAGGTTTTGTTATCAGAATCGGAACAAGTAGCGTTCTCTATACACCATACAACAAACCACGGGTATTTTGCACATCAACAACCATGATCCAGCGTCCCAGCAAGGTAGAAGCCCTCGCTAGAATTCTCCCCAAGCGGGCATGCAACGGTAGTGATGTACATTTGAACTCGTCAGCCCATGAAGGAAAGAGTGGGGAGATGTATATTTTGATCGTCCCGTCGACGCTCAACACCACTCGACAGGGTTTACAAGGATTTCGACTCAGCGCAAATTGCGGGCCTGATTGGAGGGTTTCAGGCTTCCTACACCTGCTGCACTGCCTGGTCGGTCATGATCTGCTGTGTTGTGATACATAAGAGTTGTGATGCCCACAGTTTGCACCACTACCAGATCTTCTATCACCTTCCATCTCAACTGCTTGCCAAACCCAGCTCGTTCAAAAACAAGGTACTTTCTGAAGCTAATTCAATACTCGGTTCGATCTCTAACTTACTCTAGACGACTATACCACCTTTTATGTACTATATCGACGAATTCGACAACCTACAAGAAACCGGTCAGGGTCCACCAAAAGTCATCTTCACACTCGAAGCTTTCAACTGCGCCATGGCATACGAGAACGCAGTCCCAGTTGGCGTCATCATCGGATTTGTTTCTTCAATCATCATTCTGGTGCTCATACTGCGCTGGCTGAAGCACAAGAACAATCAGAGGGAAGCACGTGAGAAGGATATCGAGGCAGCCAAGGTCGAGGCTTCTGCGTTCGATGATGGAGCATCAGATATCTTGACGCCAGTGGCATCGCCTAGAGATGCTTTGTTCCATCCAGATCAGCGTGGGCATGGTGCTGTTACCAACGTGCATGCTGCATCGCACAAGACGGAGAAGGAGTGGAGGGCAGCCAGACGGGCTCAAGGACATGCGTGAGCGGCATAGTAGGTAGCCTGCAGGCAGAGCTAGATAACGAATTCACGACATCAACACCTTAGGTATCTGAGGTGTCTTTCAAAGTCCATGCGGAAGTGTGATGATGTTTGCGAGCGTGTTAAGCAGTAGAAAGAAGAGGTCGAAGCTTCCCAAAAGTTGAGAGATGCGACTTCCCTCGGTGGAGAAACTTCGGGCAAGGCCTTCAGGGTATGATTCGGCCAAGCTCTTTGTCGACTTTGAAACCTTCAAGGTGTTTCGCAATCCAGTCGCCAATTCATTTGGATATCGCTTTCTATTACTAGGATACTGGACCAGACTTACGACAACATCGCTATCTGCCTGGTGGGGTTGCGCGACGACAAAATGACGTCCTACGAGGATAGTGTGACGGGCCATGCCTACAGCACACTGTTGCGCCTGGGACTGCCGGCATACACGATGCACTTTAAGAGCCCGACGTATATGCGGGAGTCCATGTTGGAGAGACTGGACAGGACCGTGTGCAAGGATATACTCAAGGCCTCGGCGCAACAACCCGAAGTCAGGTTAGTCATATGCGCGCCTCCACTCGCACTCGCCATCGGCTAATGCGCTTGTCAACGTGCANGAGAAGGTCTAGGTACCGATGACAATATCTGGAAAGACATGGTCACCTTGTTCCGCGCCGCTATTCCCTCGCTCGAACGCCGCTCCTTTGCCGTCTGGGATCCTTCCGCCGTTGACTACGAATCAACCTCGGGTGCTCTCATCGCTCAGAACTATCCTGGATTGTGGAAAGATTTGGAAAGACTCAACGACCTAGTGTCAATACTGCGCAATACTTTGACGATTGGAGAGAAGGCTCAGGATCTGGCTGCCGAGTGCACCTTCGACCAAGAGATATTCAGACTGATCAACTGTTGCGTGCGAGTCACGGCTAGAGGCTTTGATGGCGATGCTGGTACAGGCGACGAGGAAAAGTGGCAGTGGATTGTCAATGCCTACAAGAAGCTTCTTATAACTTCTTTACAATTTCTAAACAACTTGGTCGCTCGCAACGAACGAAGGAAGCTGATGCTATGGGTCGCCCTCTTCGACAACTCAACCGAAGGCATTCTGGCTGAAGATGCCGACGATGCTACTGGAGGTCAACCTGCTCTCGGCGAGATGCCCAAACCACCTGTCTCCACCGGTGACATTCTGGTTGCGCTGGGCGAGACAAGCAAGGCTACTTACGACGCTGCACAAGACGCCTTGAATGCGAAACGACTACTTGCGAATAAGGATCAAATGAAACCGCCATCGAGGCCTGTATCTGGCTATGTATTGTTTGTCAGGCAACATCAAGCAGAGACCAGAGAGGCTCTTGGCCCAACTGCCACTCCGGACAGCGTTGCAAAAGCTCTGGCTGCCAGATGGAGTATCTTGTCAGACAAAGAAAAGATAACATACAACAAGCAATACGACGCACTTGCGCAACAGTACGAGAAGGAACTGGCCGCTTATCAGGATGCCCGTCGTCTCGCACAAGCCGAAAAGGACAAGTCTGATAGAGCGCACGCAAATCAGGTTGCTGCGCGTATTGCACATATCGAGGAGCAACTTGGTGATCGCATGAAGCCCGAAGGTACAAAGGTCGTCCCGATGGAACCCCCGGTTTATAACGCAGATGGAGCCATCGCTTTTCCGGACGAGAAAACTTCTACAGGACCTAGACCGGTGGCAGAGGACGACTATAAGATGATGTTCACAGCCTCGGCAGGAGCAAAGATCCTCGAGAGTGGCAAATCAGAACTCATGAAAAGACTTGAAAGCTATCCCGTTCCACCACCGCAACAAGCTCAAATCGCAAGCCCGGCTTCACCCATAGCTTCTCCAGCTTCACCAGTATACGAGAACCGGACGGATGAGGATGACGTAGGCTTAGACGAAGAAAGCGAGGAGGAAGAAAGCGAAGATGAGGACGAGTATCCTGGATCTAGCGAGGATGGACGTGGCCTCTTGACCGATGTCCCGCTAATTCTGGGTCCGTCGGAAATCGAAGTGTTACCCATGATCGTCATGTCTGGAATCGTCCCGCCTGCAAAATCCACACAAGCTGGTACATCGACCGAAGAGACTAATGCCATTGTCAATATGCATACAGTCAGATGTCATTTACTACTGGCTCAAGACAATGGTAAGAACTTGTTGAGAGAGCTCTTAATATTCGTTGCTGCTTGGGACCTGCGAGAGGAAGAGCTCTACTTCAAATTCATGGTCAAGATCATGGAAGCGATTTTGGTAAATGGCTTGATGCCTTATGCATACCACGCCTTCCGAGACAAGTCCAGGTCCAAGGATATTATCTCACCGGCCCAAGCAGTGATTATGAAGCTGCTCACAAATATCTTCAGATCAAGAGCTGAGGCTTCCAAGACGAATCCTCAACCCAGTGATTCGTATCCTCTCAGAGTCGACGTTCACATCGTCAACTTTATCTTTACCGAATTCCGCCAGCATATCATTCCGCAAACATGTGCACTCATCTTCTTGCAAGGCAAGATTCATCAAAACTTGGCCTCGCCCGAAGACTTCCCGCTAAATCTGTGGGACATGGAGCGTATGTATGAAGGCGTGTACCAGTATCTTGAATTCTTCGCCGTGCTCACCGAAGAGAGCATTTGGAAGGATGTGATGGCACAGTGGGAAGTTGCGAGCGAGCTTGTGACGTTACTCAAGGAATTGGAAGCTGCGATCCCCAAACTTGGACCCGGAGGCACCTCACATGGACCCATTCCAAGACGCCCGGCTCCTCATCAACAGAACCACAACTACCAATCACCAGCTCATAACTACCCACCTCCGCCGGCACCGCCCCAGAACCTCAAGCCCCTGCCTATAAGTGTGGAACGACCATTTGATCTCTCCCCAGACTTGGCCAACACCCTTCCACCGCTTCCCGTCCCACCAACGGAGGCGAATACTCAGCCCCCAAACAACACAATTTTCGAAGCCGAGACGCCCTTGGCTTACCCAGAGGATCCGCAAGATGAGCCTTCGGACTTTGAGTGGCGCAATCTTAAGAAGTTGACGGTACTCGTGCTTTCCTCGCTGATCTGGAAGAACCGCAAAGTGCAGGATCAGGTACGCGAATATGGGGGTCTGGAAGCGCTGGTCGGTTGCTGCCGCCACGATGAACATAACCCGTACATCCGCGAACATGCAATCATGTGCCTTCGCTTTGCAGTCGAGAACAACGAGGACAACCAAGCCGTGATCAAAGACATGGCTGGCATGGCAGCAGCAGGCGAAACCCGCATGCCCACCTACGCCGAGATCCCACACGGCAAACTCACCCATCCCGATCAACTGATCCCATTCCAAGTCCCACCTGTGCCTCAAGAGGTGCTCGACACCAATGGCTACGAAACATTTATGGACGGAAAAGGCCAAGTCGGACTTAGAAGGAAAGACATCGGCCAGTTGTCCTCAGGACCTCAGAAGCCCAGACCTCACCCCAAGATGACGGCAGAGAAGGCAGCAGAGCTCATGCAGACCGCCTTGCGCGACCTTCCTCTTGGCGACAAGATCTTGCTTGATAAAGAGAAAAAGGAAGCACTTGCCAAGTTGGATAGAGCATTCTCTTAGGACTTGGACTTTCTTCTCTTGCTTGGCAAATACAGGACGAACACGTGTGCAAAGAGGAACTTCTGGAGGTTGTTTGGCTAGGAGAGAGACTCTGTTCAGAACCCCTTAGGTGGCAGTGCTTTGGGCCGCCTAAGTGGCAGATGCCCATCTTGCCTGGATATCTTGCGGTGGTATCGCTGCCCTAGATGTGACATTTGTTGGCGTCTCGTGGACGAATGCACGTGTCCCGAAAGCGGTACTCCTCGTACACCTCGTCCTCCCCGGCGCACTCCTCACATCCTTATGGACGGCAACAAACTGATCGGCAAAGTGTTCCGATGTATCCTCTGCCTGATGCCTACAAGCCGATGTGTTTGTCACCGATGTGCAAAGTGTTGGCACAGGATGGCGAAGTGCAGGTGTCAAGATCCTTCCCACGGAGACCTAGAGCGATTTGCAATGGATACAAACGTCGGGAAGAGTTGGAAAAGCACTTTCGCTTTGCCATCTTCACTCGCTGTTGCCGATATTGAAAACGGGGAGTAGATAGACATTCTCTAGAAACATTCATATCAAAGAACAACCTTGTCTATCTTTTCTTCACTCAGGGTCGCCAAGTGATATCCTACCATTCAATACCGACAATGTCTTCATGAGCTATCATTTGCGCTTTGAAAGGTATTCTTCCAATTCCATATTTGCACAAGTATCAGTGCTAGCACCAATGGAGACATCTCCAACTAATTTATATGCTAGCGATTCTTATCACTGTAGACTGCTAGCTTGGTAGTCTAGTCGCAGTTCATGTCAAGACGAGAAAAGTGTAGATTCGAAGGAGCGGTATCGTATACAATGTTGTGGATTCAGGAAGGAGTGAGGATAGATGACACATGGCCGAAAAAGGGGAGCAATCCATAAGGAAGGAGCGACACACGAAGGAGTAATGCACAAGGAAGGAGCGATACATAACGTAGGAGCGATACATGAGAAAGAAGCCAACCATGAAGAATGAGCGATGCAAGCAAATTGAGCATAGAAGAGAAAACAACGACCAACACTCATCCTTCCTAAAAGTCAGAAAGGACCAAATCGGAAAAAAGGAAACCATGATCAAAAGTCTGGAACAGGGGATCACTACAGCGAATATTGAATCAAACATTTGACAAAGAAGTCTGCCTTGTCTCCATTTGATCATGTTGCCATCTACTCTAATTCTAGCTGTTCCAATCATGTATGCCAACGATTGAAAGGGCAACAAAGGGAAACGCCCTGATATGCAGACCCCATATTACACCTTCTACTTCTCCTTCCCTTTTGGTCCCCTACTTTCTGCTTAACTTATTGTGCAAAGTATGCTCCTTCATAAACAAACTGACCACTCCCGCCAAAGCAGCCAACACAACAACAACAAACCACACAGCCCTCAAACTATCGATATAGGTATCTTTGACACCTTTTTCCCACCCAGGAGGCAANAAGGAAATATCGCCCACATCATCTCGGATACGACTGATGATATCCGAAGCACCGGGCAAATGTCCAAAGCGATCATTTAGACCATTGGATAGCTTATTCTGGAAGACCGCAGAGGCAATGGTGATACCGATGGTGGAGCCTGTAGAGCGGAATGCGTACGAGGCGGATGTGATGACGGCTTGGTGTTCGTGGCCAACTGCTGAGAGGAGGGCGAGAAGGGTGACTGTTAGCATGGCGCCGTATGCTGTTCCAGATAAGAAGAGCCAGACGAAGGGGAGTACACCGTTGACACCTGCGTTGAAAGTTGTAGCGATGAGGACGGCGGTGATGATGTAGAGGGTTAGTGCAAAGGTGGACAGCCACCAGTAACGTCCTGTTGCGCGCATGAGGACGCCGGCACCTAGAGAACCGCAGGCTGTGCCTATGGATTGAGGGACTAGTCTTGTGCCTGCTGCGGTGGCGGACAAGCCTTGGACAATCTGGAAGTAGATGGGGACGTAGTAGAAGAGTGCGTAGACGGCCATGGTGAGGAACCAGTTTGTCAGACATGCTGAAGCCACGGTACGGCGGAGGAGCAGGCGGATGGGAATGACGGGTTCCTTTGCGACTCTGTCCTCGACATAGATGAAAGCTATCAAGGCAAGTCCGGAAAGGGGCAAGCTGACATAGACCAGAGGGTGATTCCATGGCACGATGTTACCACCGCTGTTGAGACCAAGCAGCAGCAAGACGAGAGCAGTGCACAAGGTGATGGCGCCGAGAAAGTCGACACGCTTGATACGTTCCTTTGCATTGCCCTCCTTGACGGGGATGTCGACAAAGAACCATCCTAACAGCCCGGCAATCAAAATGAATGGCACCTGAATGTAAAAGGCCCATCTCCAGTTGAGGTGATCGTTCATAAGGCCGCCAAAGATGCCTCCCAGACCCATACCAGTGCCGTAGATGAGGTTTGCGAAACCCTGCCAGAGCCCACGCTTTCTAAGAGGGATCAGGTCACTAGCGATGAAAGTAGAAATGGTGTTGAGACAACCACCACCGGTACCAGCAATGACGCGACCGGCAATCATCATGGGAGCATTCTGAGCCAGACCGCAGATCAAAGTTCCAATAGCGAAGAAGGTGGTCGCGAATATGATGCCAGCCTTTCTTCCATAGATATCCGACATCTTCCCTGAGAGAGGCTGAAAGGCAGCATTGGCAATGAGGTATCCGGTAGCAATCCAGGAGAGCAGAGTAGAAGAGTGGAAGTTTCGGCTGATGGGCGAAGCAAGCGTGGCCACGATGGTCGAGTCTACAGAGAGGATTGATCAGTATGCTGTCGTCTCGGTGTCGTGATTAGAAAGACACTCACCCATAGCAGCCCAGAAGGAGCCCACCCACAGACAGATCATGATGACTACGACCTTTGCAGACGTCGGCTCATCAACCAGATCGGCCTCGCCATCTTCCTCTTCTTGTGCAGCAACATTTCGGTCAATGGTTCCATGATCCGGGTGTGCCTCGTCCAGCAAGGGCCGTTGTTCGTCGTCGTCGAGTGGTGATGGTGGCAGTACCGTGATGCTATCCCGTTCGCCCGCCATGGTCGTCCGGAAGAGTCAAAAGAAGACGGCGAGGTGTTGCAGGAAGAAAGTTCGTTATCGAGACTCGGAACATGAAACCCCACGTTTGGCCTGTGACACACACGCGACAGGATCCGCCGTCACCAGCCGGCGATACCAACCTCTATCCCCGACTCGTCATAGTTATTGTTGAAAGCAGAAGAAAGAAATTCTCCTGTTGGCCTGCTGAAAAGCTTCAGATCTTGTGTAACGAAGGAGACCAGGGAACATACTAGCATCTTGACGCCGTATTGTTGTGACCAAGATGTTATGAGTTACGTCTTACATCTGGTCTGTTCACAACCACTAACCGAAACGAACACGGTCACGTCGATGCTATGCCATCGAGACTCACAATAACGGCCTCTTTGCTACAAGACGCTCCTGAAGCGAATCAAGATGCTATTCATGCACACCTACAAGCTTTAGTGTGTGATATGGCCTGTTAAAGAGGAGGCGTTTTTCAGGACAGGGTGTTGCACGGGACAACGGACTTGGTTAAATAAGTCTTCTCCATAACGACCGTGGATTCATTGTACTCGTTAACATCTGCTTCTACCTGTTAGATGGCAGGAGGTGCCCTTTTCTTGAAGCCCAGAACCGTTTTCAGACGCCTCAATTTTGATAGTCTTTCCTTGTCATGCTTTTCTGTCTCTGCCCTGCTTAATTCCGGCATCGATGGCATAGTCTCCAGAGCCAAACTCTCCCTGCCATCATCCGTCGCACCTGCACCACTCTCCGCCTCACTGCCAATTGCAGTAGGATCTTGGATGGTACCTCTAGATCTGCGCCTCTGCTCGTCGATATAGCGATCCAACACATCGAGGAGAATAGTATGAGCGGATTTACCAGTATAGTTTCCAGTGGCGGCTTGGGTGGTTGGGTTACGCCATGGGCAGTGCTCGCGGTGTAGTTGGATGAGGTCGAGAGAGCGATCTCCTTGTTCGTCTTCTTCGTCGTCGAATCTGTGGGGCTTGTAGTCGGGCTGGTACATCCAGAGACCTATTCTTTGGAAGCAGGCCTCGCAGGCTAGCAGCTGCGTGCTGGATTCTGTCGAGCCTTGCCAGCCGCAGAGGGCGACCTTTAGTACCTTCTGCTTTGTGTCTTCTGTGGCACCCGTGTCTTCGCTTGTTTCATTTTCATCTGGCTTGTCCTCTGATTTGTCGAGCAGGGCTGTTGGGAGGTTGGCGAGAATCTTGTCTGGAGAGGGNTTGAGTTCGACGGGTTGTAAAGTCAGGTTGGCAAGTGATGGTGCTATGCTTAGGAGAGATTGGTAGCGTGTGCGCAGTTCGGGTTGCCAGACAGTCGACTTGACAATAGGTAAGCGGTATATGTCGTCCTTGCAGCCTGCCTTTCTCCACAGACAATCGTCCGAGTGTCCCTCGACAATGAGTTCCTTGTACTTGTCTACTAAGGCCCGCTCCAGCTCTTCCTGGTCGTCGTCTTCGTCATCCTCGCCTTCATCTTCCTGCTCTTGATCCTCCTCTTCAGTCTGGACGCGACGTCTCTTGACAATGGGCTCAACCTTAACCACGAGGCGCTGCTGACATCCTCCCTTGCAAGCGACAGTATTCGTATCGACACACCACCATCCTCGCTTGGCCCATTCGACTTCGTTGACAGCGTCAGGCTTGGGGTGCCAGCTAGTGACAGGCCCGAAACTGCGCAATCGCTTGATGAAAGCATCGTGCGACCATGGCGCAAAGTTTGGTTCTCCTCTGACTGGGTTGATTGATGTCTTAGGCAGTGTCTTGCTACTTGGATTAACGGCTAGGGATGTGGTCGAGCCGCTTGATCGGATGCGCTTGGTTGCTGGTTCGCTGATTGTGCCTTGCGATACGGGTCTGGGAGGAGTGGCTGCCGGCGCCGAGGGAGATCCGAAGCGGCTGTCGAGCAGCTTGTGAAACTTGCGTTTCGTTGTCGCAAGTGCTTCGGGCATTGCGTGATGGTGTGTTGAAAGTGTTTCGGAAGCGATCGAGTCTGCTGTCTTTAGGTTGTGTTTTTGTTGACAAAAGTGCGACAATCACATGCAGCTCGGCTTCGGCTCATGCTGTCAGCAACAAGCGCCATCACTCCTGCCACTATCCATCACAAACCAAGTCTTGTATTTTCGTTGCAAATCTGAGGGCTAAGTATATGGCTGGTATGATACTGCTGACTATCTCAGTCGAAGGGATAAGCACATAGTCACAGCTCCCTCTCTGGCTCTTGATTATGATACCCATCCACACTGGTAAAAAAANNGCCCTTCTCCCATTTCTGGTTCAGAGCCGCGTTGAACATCGCTTCCCGCCGCACGTTCCTATCACTTTGAGTACTACTTGGAGTGCTGCTGTGTCCAGACCTCGATGTCTTCACTCGCTTCTGCGGTGTTTCGTGTTTTACTGTTGATGGGCTGCGACTAATGCTGGCCTTTGATGTCGTTACAAGGGAGCTCTGCTCTGTCTGAGCATATAGGAGTGCTGGTTTTGAAACCTTCGGTCCTGGTGACAGCGACCTGTCCCTTCCAGGTGATGGGGTACTCCTCCGAGACTCTTCATCATTCGCCTCTGGGTCCTTGATACCCAGTTGTGCATGGAGTTCTTTATCTGCTTGGAAAATGTTGGCCGAGCAAATGTCTCCGAACAGCATTTCCATTGATACGTCGTATGTGTAGGTCGATCGATCGACAGTACAAGGATATATATCCTTTGGTTTGAAAGCTTGTACAAGTTCGCGAAGCTCCAGGTAAGAAGAGTGACGAGAGAGTGGAAATGTCNNTGGATCTGTTAGCATTTATAACATCAGAAATTGTACCAGACTCACAATCTGCCGTTGCTGTTTGATGCGATCTTCTTCCTCCTGTTTCGACTTGCCGCTGATTAACCTTGTAAGAGCCGGAACTAGCTTGTCAATAGGCAAGTTGTCCATGTCGAACTCGTCATCGGCTCTACCGTCTTGACTCGTGATATCGACTTCGTCACGCAAGATCTCGAGATCAAGGTCGATGGACTCTTTGCCGTTCTTCATCAAAGTCGTGAACCACTCTTTCATTGGTCCCTTGAACTCGGGCTTAGTCTGAAGGGCTCTATTACAAATGAGTAACAGCTGCTGAACGCTAGCCTGGTCGTATAGCTCAAGAGAGTGCGTCTGGTTCAGATCACCCTGACCTCCACCAGCACCTATTTCGGCGATCTCGTAGACTTTGTGCCGAGCTATTATTGGCGTGATCCATACCACATGAGCTGCATATGGTGTTAGGATTGAGTGTGTGCGCTATTGTAAAGAGACTTACGANTTTTGGAATACTTCGCAACGAGTTCCCCGTTCACAGCTGTGGATTCGTGCGCCTTCCAACGAATTTGTCAGGCATCCAGGATGCTCGTGATTGCCGAGTTTGTAACCCACTAAAGGTGCAGTCTGCGGACCATAGCATGTGGGCTGATCTCTTTGCGAAGAGTATAACCGCCAGCGATAATCATCGAGGTGTACTCGGGTCTTTAGAGCGGCTGAAAGTGCAACCCAGGCCTCCTCATAGCCAAACGTCCACGTGTTAAGATAGAAGATGGTTTCTGGAGGATATTGGGAGGCTTTACTGATTAGCTCGGTCAGGCCCTCCGCCTTTGAGGGCATTTCGTACTCCAGAGCATCGCTAGAGGCGAAAGTCGTATCGAGGTAGATGTTGTCAAGCCTCTGAGTACCTTTGGTGTATGGTAGAAGAACGGGATTGCGAATGAGTGTGTTGACCCACCATTGCTCTGATCGAAGATCGCCAGTGTANAGGATGGCTCGACCATTGCCTTCTATCAGAAACATACATGATCCCAGGCAATGGTTTGCATCGAAGAGGGTTACTCGAATGGATTGCCCAGGAGCCAATTCGATCTCAGTCGGTGTTTCGAGAGGTATTGGTTTGATGTAATTTTTGAGGCGGCGATATGTCTGCTTTCTCGACTCCAAGATGCCCCTCGCGAAGTTCATGCGGTGGGGGTACTTTTCTAGGCGAAGTAACAGCTCTCGAGTTTGAGCAGTGCAATAAACGAATGTCGACTTGAACGACTCGAGTCCTTTCAAATGATCACTGTGAACATGGCTTAGGAAGCAGGCGAGCGGAGGCGGCTCGTCTGGGTAGTTGGTGAAGTTGTCAATGCGGATTGAGGGGAACTCCCTGACGATGCCGTCGAAGGTCGACATTTGATTATGCACTTCATCTATCCGAAACTTGGATGCGGAGGATCATCGATGGTTCCCAACGAAGACTCGCGCAGGAGAAGACGCGTTGCGACGCGGGCGGCATGTGAAAGTTTTTGATGACGTTTTGGCAGATTTGACAGCGCTACAAAGGCTCGCAAGGCAGCGAAGCGCCCTTCACGTTTCTAGAGGTCATGAAGCGCTCATGGAGCCTGCTGTGGGAGCCACAAGGCAGGGGAAGACAAGCTGAGTGGTTCCTTATGGATGCAAGACGGGAACAAACAGGAAATGGCAAAGGCAGTGAATAGCTACCCCGCGATTGACACGTCCCTCGCGTCACCGATCAAGCTCAGCTTGGCAGAAGCTTAGCTGGTTGTTGGTTGAGCTCGTGGTGACGATTGAGCTTGTAAGCCGATCTGTGCCGCTCTCTGTTTATAACACGCAGATCTCCCCTGCGTTCATCCCTTCTGCTCTACTCATCCTTCTCCCTAATTCAAAACACATCATACACCATGGTTCACCTCGGACAAGTCACAAACGATTCGGAGATCCAAAAGGATGCCTCCGAGGGCATTGACCTGTCCAAGCTAGGTCCTGAGGGCAGCCAGCCTGACGACTTCGAGACCAGCATCTATGGCAGTCGTTTCGCAGCAGAGGACCTCCCCAGACATGAGATGCCTGACAAGGAGATGCCCGCTGCCACTGCCTACAGAATGATTAAGGACGACCTCACCCTGGACGGCAACCCTACCCTCAAGTATCTCCACCACTACGCCAATGCACGCTACACTCGCTGACCAAAACACAGCCTTGCTTCGTTCGTCACCACCTACATGGAGCCCGAGGTCGAGAAGCTCATGATGGATGCCTTTGCCAAGAACTTCATCGACTACGAAGAATACCGTAAGTCAACTAGTCAAGATGTATTTGGTTCGTTGTCTAACAACATCAAATGTANNGCCGTCACCGCAGACATCCAGAACCGCTGTGTCAACATGATCGCCCGCCTCTTCAACATCCCCACTCACGACGATGACACCAATGCCATGGGAACCTCGACCGTCGGCTCATCCGAAGCCATCATGCTCGCTACATTGGCGATGAAGAAGTCCTGGGTCAACAAGCGCAAGGCAGAGGGCAAGGACTACTCTCGTCCCAACATCATCATGAACTCGGCTGTTCAAGTGTGCTGGGAGAAGGCTGCCCGTTACTTCGATGTCGAGGAAAAGTACGTCTACTGCACAAAGGACCGCTATGTTATCGACCCTAAGGAGGCCGTCGACCTGATCGACGAGAACACCATCGGTATCTGCTCCATTCTCGGTACCACCTACACTGGCGAGTACGAGGACACCAAGGCCATCAACGACCTCCTGGTCGAGCGCAACATCGACATTCCCATCCACGGTAAGTTTCCTCAGGCTTCAAAGCATTGGTTCATGCTGATTATTACCANNGTCGATGCCGCATCTGGTGGTTTCGTTGCACCTTTCGTCAACCCCGACCTCGTCTGGGACTTCCGTCTCGAGAAGGTCGTCTCGATCAACGTTTCTGGCCACAAGTACGGTCTCGTCTACCCTGGTGTTGGCTGGTGCATCTGGCGTGATCCCAAGTACTTGCCCACTGAGCTGATCTTCAACATCAACTACCTTGGTGCTGACCAGGCTTCCCTTACCCTCAACTTCTCTCGTGGTGCTTCCCAGGTTTTGGGCCAGTACTACCAGCTGATCCGTCTGGGCAAGCACGGCTACCGTGCCATCATGTTCAACCTGACCAGAACTGCAGACTATCTGGCTGCCTCTGTTCAGAAGATGGGCTTCCTACTCATGTCTCAGACTCGTGGAAACGGTCTTCCTCTAGTTGCCTTCCGTCTCAATCCTGATGACGGCCACAAGTTCTNNGACGAGTTCGCTATTGCACACCAGCTCAGACAGCGCGGTTGGGTTGTCCCTGCTTACACCATGGCTCCTCACTCTGAAGGTCTGAAGATGATGCGTGTTGTTGTCCGTGAGGATTTCTCGCGCAGCAGATGTGATGCTTTGATCGCCGACATCAAGCTTGCTATGGAGACTCTGGGCAAAATGGATGAGCAGAAGATCAAGGAGCACAAGGACCAGATCAAGAACCACGGCACCGCCACTGGCCGTCATAAGAAGATGAACCAGCACTTCACCGACGAGAAGCACTCGCTGCAAGGCAAGACTGGCAAGACTCACGCTGTCTGCTAGAGTGTGACGAAACAATACACGACAGCGCATATAGCCTTATGAATCAATGACTTCCCTGATAATCTTCATGTATACAGTGTTTGTCGCAAAGCATAAGTTTTATGAAGGATCATAAACGCCCCAGCCGAGGCCTCAGTAACGGAGACCGAATACTCTCGTTGCCGACGGTCCGTCTCGGAAGGCTTCACGGCTGCGAGCGCCACTCTCGCAACGCCTCGAGTGCCTCAGTTGCTTGTCCTTGCTTAAAGAAGCCATCTAGCTTGGCATGCTCGTATGTAGGTCTTCCTCGGCCACGGAAAGTAGGAAAGCAGGAAAGCAGTCGACTCAACAATCTCGTGGACTTGTACTTTTGGCAAGCCAGGGCAGTTCAACACCGACTATCGTTGGCCGGATCACCAAATTTTCTGTGTCAAGTCGTTGCGGAGGATGCAAAGCGCGCGTACCGCTCCGCATATCGGCATGATCTCCAGGTGCAATGATCTCAGAGTGCCCCATGACATCAATTTTTCTTACCACACCAAAACCAATACTTCTGGGGCAACCGTCCGGCGAAGGGACTATCTTTGGTCATCTTGAGGGGTAAGATAGGAAACTCTGGCTCTTAAAGGATCTTTCACTCCCTCTTTTCTGTACTCTAGACGACCGTGTCTTCCTACCGTACATCCTTCTCGAAATCCTCGCGTCGCAAGGGAAGAAAGAGCTGGAGAAACATAGAGGACAAACAACAACACCATCCACCATGACTGGCGGCGACATCTCGGACGATGCGCTACAACTCGCGGCTCTGGGGCATACCCAGGAATTGAAACGGACCTTTTCGCCGCTGGCTATGCTCGGCTTAGCATTCGCCATCCTGAACTCATGGACTGCGCTGGCGACGTCGTTGTCAGTGGCCTTGCCTAGCGGTGGCCCTACCTCTGTCCTTTGGGGACTCATCACGGCAGGCATTTGCAATCTATGTCTTGCAGCAAGTCTAGCAGAGTTCCTCAGCGCGTATCCCTCGGCTGGCGGCCAGTACCACTGGGCTGCCATGTTGAATCCCAAGAACCGCATTATCTCGTGGATCACTGGATGGATCAATGTGAGTGATACCCCAGACAGCCACCCCGCAACCCACGTTGTACTGACACATAGAATCAGGNTCGGCGGATGGATGGCTCTGACTGCCACTGGTGGACTGCTCGGATCGCAACTTATCCTCGGCATCATATCGCTGATGGACTCTTCCTACGAGCCTAAGAGTTGGCATCAGTTTTTGATCTACATCGGATATAACGTGTTTGCATTCTGCTTGAATGCTTTTGCCAACAGAATCATCCCGCATATCGACAGAGGTGCTATTATCTGGTCGATTAGTGGATTCGTCATTGTGTCCATCACGGTTCTGGCATGCGCGGCTCCAGAATACAACTCCGCCGAACTTGTCTTTGGCCAGTTTATCAATGAGACTGGCTGGCCTGACGGTGTTGCATGGTTGTTGGGCTTGCTTCAGGGAGGCTTCGGACTTACTGGCTACGACGCTGTCGCACACATGATCGAGGAGATCCCTAACCCTAGAAAGACCGGACCTTTTGTCATGATCACTTGCGTGGCCATTGGCACTTTTACCGGATTCATTTTCTTGATGTGCCTTCTTTTCGTTGCTGGCAACCTTGACGACATCATCAAATCGCCTGCTGGTCCTCTTCTGGCAATCTTGTACAACGCTACAAGCTCGCGTGCCGGAGCAATTTGCTTGCTCATGTTCCCCTTGGTGTGCACTGTGTTTGCGACAATCGCCATCATGACAACCAGCAGTCGCATGGCTTGGGCTTTTGCCAGAGACAGAGGTCTCCCATTCTCCAGATTCTTCAGCAAAGTTCACCCGGGACTCGACGTGCCTGTCAACGCACTCGCTCTTACCTTGGCGCTGGTCATCATCTTCGGCTGCGTGTTCCTCGGCAGTTCCAGCGCTTTCAACGCCATTACCAGTGCTTCTGTCGTCGCTCTCGGCATCACCTACGCCATCCCTATCGCCCTCAACGTTCTCCAAGGACGTAAAGGTCTCCCCGCCGACCGCGCTTTCATCCTGCCCTCATGGTTTGCATGGTTTGCCAATTTGCTCGGTCTCGCCTACGTCGCCATTACCTCTGTGCTCTTCCTCTTCCCTCCCGAGTTGCCTGTCAACTCCAACAACATGAATTACTGTGTTGTTGCATTTGGAATTTGGTTGTTGATTTCACTGTTGACGTACATCTTTGACGGCAGAAAGAATTACACGGGTCCAAAGGTGGATATTGTGGATGAGCATGTGCTTACGGCGAGTCCTTCGCCTGAGATGACGAGGACGATGAATAATGAGGTGGATTATTCAGAGAAGGGCAAAGAGTCGACGTTTTAGATTGCGCGTAGTATAGCTTGCGAATATGATTATTATTTTAATTATGCAAGGCAGTGAAATGTGCTTAGCATAAATTACTATGTTTGGTTTATGCTGTGTATCGCACAAGACAAGCTCACCCGTCACCTTCATGTTGACAACAGTCAGCACCTTCCACACCTCCAACCACCAACCACTAATCATACCACCCCTCACTCCGCTCCTACAAACCCACAAACCATGCCCCAACGCAGCTACTCCAAAACCTTCACCCCCTCGAATCAAACCCACAAATCTTCACCTCTTTAGCCCACTCCCTCGGCCTCTCGTCCTCCTTCGCCTTCCACGAAGTATATTCTCTCGACGAACAATCTTTTGACGGTAGGGTACTAGCCTATACGCTCGCGTTTCCTACATCAGATACCTATGACACCGATCGAGCAGCCGAAACTTCCGAGTTTCGAAGGAATGGCGAAGAAGATGGTGTCAGTGAGGGTGGAGTGAAGCAAGAGCAAGAGCAAGAGGTACTATGGCTACGTCAAACCATCCACAATGCCTGTGGTCTCTATGCTTTACTACATGCAACTTGCAACGGTAAAGCCAGGAAATTCATTAGTTGCGTGTTTCACTTTGCTGATCTTAATATCATATGCTGACCATAGTAGATCCGGNGCTCGATTCTAGATGAACTGATAAAGACACCACCAAGTGCACAATCAAACTTCTTGGACGGATGTGCAGAACTAGAGACGGTTTATGCGGAAGCAGCTAATCAGGGGACANCCTCACCGCCAGAGGATGGTGTAGAGGTGGATTGGCATTACACTTGTTTTGCTCCTTCCGCAAACGCCCACAAGCTATACGAGTTAGATGGGGATAGGTGGGGTCCCCTCTACCGTTCAGACCTCCTTCCCGATCTTGCGGACTTCGACGCAAAAGCAATCGACTTGATTAAAGAGTACTTCAAACGTGAGGTGGGAGGCAAGGAAATTCAGTTCAATGTTATGGCTCTAGTGGATGAGTCCTCTTGTTGAGGACTCAATGGCAATCTAACACAAGATCACTCTCTCCAGTCCACCACTGCATCCTACTTCTTCGCGCTCGACAAAGGTTTCCCTGTGCCAACCGAACCATTTGGTGATTCTCTTGGCGATGCTTCTCAACATGATGGGGTCTAGAGATGAGAGACGAATTAGCATGGGTCTTGTACGAACCTGGGTATGCACTGTGATCCAGTCCCTGATACAGAACATTCTGAAGATTTACTTACTGATAGTGGCAACGGGATGAGGACGATGAACAACGATTGTGTTGATACCCTTACTCTTCTCAAGCTTGAGAGTGACAGCACTACCTTGACTCTGCAGAATGCTGAAGCCAGCATCGGTCATGGCAGCGAGGAAGTGTTGCCAGGCGAAGCTGCGGGCAGAGTCTTCNCCATTCTCTGGGTACATGGCTTTAAAGATGGCAATATTGTCGCGTTTGATAGCGATCCTGACTGGTTTGGGCTGTGGCAAGGGAGCTACTGGAGCCTCGATAGCTGGCGTAGGCGACTCGGTACCTCGACCAGATGATGGTGGAGACCTTGTTCTGTTCTTTCGGAAGACAGGTGTGATAGAGGATGGACTGCCAGTGTCCTCGCCCCAGACAGTCTGAGGTGTGGCGTTGACATCGATAGTCTGCTTGTTAGCACGCGCAATCTGGCGAAGGACGTATTCTCTCTGGGCTAATAGCTCTTCCAGATGCTTCTCTCCTTGGGAGAAGCTCATGAGCCCATCGAGGTCTTCCTTGATCNNTATGGCGAGACAACAATCAGTGAAACTTCCAAGACACAGACGATGTACTGTCAATGTACTTACATAGCGCTCAGCAACTCCGCCCTCTTCACGAAGCCTGCGTGCCCAGATATTACGCATCTCGGACCAAAACACGTCCAAAGCCTTTTGAGAGGCGTCAGCTTCCTGGAGCCATTCCTCGCTTTTCCTTCCACGAGGCCAAGGATACTGGGTGCAAGCACGCTCAAGGAACTCTCCAAGCTTATCGCCAATTTCATTGTCTCCAAAAGGTGCGTTGATCTTCTTGATGAACTCATCGCGGTGTTCTTCTTGCATGAGTATCTTTGCATGCTTTCGGGTAGTACGAACATCACGGAAAGGTCTCAAGTTGATAGAGGACATCATTTCGAACAAGATAGCCATGTCGCTCAGCTGGACAAGCAAGCTCTGGCTGATACGAGCTGCTTCCTTACGGTCGATACGACACAAATGATCGATAATGGCAAAGTTGAGCGAGGGGTCCATGCTCAGAGACCGGTACTTGTCGTAGCCCAAGGAACTCACAGCCCAATATAGCATGTCGTTAGGGAAGTAATCGTCCAAGCTAAACTTGCGATTGAATTTGTTATCCTTCCCGTCACCTTGGATATCGAGATTCTTCTCGAAGCCACGCTGGTAGAGAAGACTTGATTCGACGTTGTTCTCAAAGACGGCGAAAGTTTCCAGGCAAAGATCCCAGACCGTATAGAGCATATGTTCAAACTCAGCTCTGGCTTCTGGGTCGGATGGAGAGTCTTGAACTGCCTTGAGCCATTCTCCCATACGCTTGCTCTCATTGTTCAATTGACGCCAGTACATCTCCCTGCGAAGTGGAATACAGAAGAGCTGGTCGACGAAGTATGGCCATCTGTCAGAACCGGACCAGGTCTCGAAGAAGTGGGATGAGGCTAATTCACGAGCATGGAACTGGACATACGCAGGGCCTGTCTGGAGGAGTTCGACCTCGTCTCTGACGGCGCGATGGCGAGAGGCGATAAGCTCCATGATTTCGACGGGATCGAAAGAAGGTGGAGCGGAGAAAGGCTTAACAGAGTCAGTGGACCAGCCAGAGGTAGTGCCGAACCTGGAGAAGTCTGTACTGATTAACTGTGACCACTTGGGATGGATCTCGTAGACGGGTGGTTCGTTAGCCTCAGCCAAGAGTCCTGACACAAGCCTAGTCAACATTGCCATCATGCGAGATTGAGCCGCGAAGACAAAGTACGCCTTTGTGAAACCCATGATCTCTCTGCGATGCATCTGCTGAGCATTCCACTTGCCCAGCTTGCCATAATCGGGGCTTTGCACAACAACACACTGAGCGTTGAATACATGATCGATGGGCCCAAAGCATTCGGCGAGAACGACATTGGAGCTGTCAAAGGTAATCCATTTCTCAGGTTCGTTAAAGGTGCGGTGGTGCAGCAACGCCAGAAGGAGCATGGGGTCTTCGGACAACATCTCTGCGTCAAGGTACGGCAAGAACCATGTGTCTCGAAATCTGTTGATAACTCCCTCGGGGTCTCTGGGGTGGGGNGTCCTACGAACACGCTTCACCTCGCCAGTTTGCATGTTCTTCGCGATGATATCTCGACCGGGTCCAACCCAGTAGACGTGCTCTTCTTTGCTATGAGGGTAGTTGACCGCATTGAGAAGATGAACAGCTGCCCACTTCTTGGGATAGAGAGCGCTGTGTTCCTCCAAGAAGGCAAATCGCTTGTCACGCGACTTCTTGCGCCATCTGGTGACGATGAAGTCGGCATGAGCAGCAAGCGCACCGCGGAGGAATGCTGTGTTCTCTTGTATGGTCTCTGTCAAAGAGGACATCTTCTCTTGAGCAACGGAGTTGCTGATCATTGTTGTAGCAGGGAAGAACTGTGGGAAGCACTCCACGCATTCTTCATCCTCGCAATCAAAAGGGTTGGGAGGTGGGTTATCCTCGTCGATGACTGTTCCAAGAGGAGGAACTTCCTTGCCTTCATACTTGAAGTTGATAACCTTTTGTGTGATCTTTGAGCGGTACAGAGTGTCTCGCACTTTCCACATCCTTGAAAGACGGGGGTGGTCCTTGGGAAAGTTGAAACTGATCTCAGTGAAATCGATTCTGGAGGGCATGGTCGGTTACAGTTCGCTGAAGAACAGCAAAGATGAAGGGGATGAGGAGGAAGAGAATGGAGTCTGGTTGGGGATGCAGAAGATATAGTCGGGTGATGGCTTGAGGGGTTTGATGCAGGAAGCCGAGCGCGTATGCAGAGTGAAAGTGAAGCTGAGGCATCAATTTCCCGAATCGACCATGTTTGACTCTGATCGCTCTTTCCAAACACAATGGTGACGCGAACGAATGCAGAGACACAATAATAGTGCATGAATCAGCTCGCTGCCAACAAAACACCAGTGTGGACAACGAACTCATTGTTTGTCATCAATCATTAGCGTCTCATATTGAGAAGAATCTGCTTTTGCGACCACAGAGTGTTTGTTGTCGGCTAAGACTTTGAGTCCAAACACTTCTGGAGTTGGGAGAATATGCCGATCCTGTACATAGTCATCGTTTTCTCGACATCAAAGCTCGAAGCTGGGCGGCAAGCCCCTGAATGTAGTAAACAATCCTGGGTCCAAAATATTGGTGGAGACAAAGCTGCTAGATCCAAAGACAGGTCAGCACATAACGATAGGCAACGGGGAAGGGGGTCGGTTTATAGAAAGTATTCCTTTCGCATTTTCATCTAATAGAGTACTCTTGACAAGCGAATAAAGCAAAGAGAGAAGGCCTGTCCAGCAACAAGGAACTTTCGGCCAGGCCCCAACGCAAAATGAAGCCATGCCATCCCAAAGCCCCCAGTAATTTGACGCCAAACCGGCAAGAAGACAACAGAAAGCAGAAGTTGAGAAAAGGTACAGCGGAAGAAACGAGAAAGCAAACATCCTTGTACCTTTTCGTCCAGCCGTTAATCGGTCAGTAACGAGAAAAGAAAAGAGAAAAGGAGAAGTACATGAAGAGTAAAAAAGGCTCGGCCAAGTCAAGCGGCGACATCGTCGGGGTGCTTTGACTTCATGCAATTCGACAAGCAACATAAATCATCAGCTAACGATAGTAGTGGCGTCTCAACAAGAGATGATGAACGTTGCGCTCGTGATGGCTGATACGCTTGATGGCAGCATCAATGACGCCAGCACCACCAACACATTGCTCTTCTTCAACGATGCGCTTCGCATAAAAGGGACCGCAGGAATTCTATCCCTGTTGGCCCTGCGATCCCACGTTAGCTAGGCGTTGCGAAAAGATGATCAAGTCGTCACGCGCGGCAGGTTCGGACGCAAGGATGTCGCGCATGTTAAGCAGAACATGCTCCTCAACATGGTTACCAGCAGCAGAAAGTATTTGGGCAACCACTGGTGTATGCGCCAAAGGGCCTAGGATGCCATGAACCATGGGATTCGGGTGAGGGGGCAGCTGTGGGGAAGGCGATGGGTATGCTCCAGCTCCAGAATTAGGGGCAGAGTAGGGCTGTGCTGGCACAGGGGATTGTGTGGTATATGGGTTGGGNGGCATGGCAGCACCACCAAACTGCTGCTGGTGAGCGTGGCCGTTTTGCATGGGAGTGAATCCCTGAGGTGGACGCGGCGAAAACTGAGGACCGTGTGCGTTGTTGCCATTGACAGGGCTGGCACCGATTGGCTGGGGAGCATCGGGTACGACAGGGTTGTCCCAGTGATCAGGCTTGTTGACAACGAATGTGACAACAAGCATACGCTCGGGTACGTTGGGGTCGAGTGTGTTGTACTCGAGCAGATTGATGTGTGGAGGCAGGTTGTGGCCAGGGCCGACAGGGGTGATGTAAACGTCCTTGACGATCGAGGACATGCTGCGGCCCTTGCTAATGACTGCATAACGACCACGAGTAGCGAAATAATCAAAAATCTGGTCGAAAGCAGCGCGGTTGTCGTAGGGTGTCAGTGCGAGAACTGACACGTCGCTCTTCTTGCTCCACTGCAGACCGCAAAGGTAATCGTCAGCGCGTTTGGCTTCCAGGCGACCCTCGATTTCAAGGACAGAGGGCAAGAGTTCAGTCCAAGGCATGAACTGGCCGAAGTCGTTGCCGGCAGCATGGCGGGCACATGCAGTGAACTCGGTAACGCCAGGCTGGACGAGTTGACCCTTCCAGACAACGCCGTTGGCTTCGGGAGGGGCATAATCGGTCTCATTGTCGTCAGCGAGCATGCGGTCGACATCAGCGTCGTGCTTCTCGCCCTTTTCTTGAGATGTCTGCGTCTTGGCGAATGAACTGCGTCTGCGAGCGGGTTGTGCTTGTTGGTCGGCGGGTGTCTTTGCCCAGACAGAGTTGATGTCAAAGTTTGATTCGCGGCGATCGACCTCCATGGCATCAGGGGATGCGGCAGCACCAGCAGTAGCAGGAGCATCAGCGTCAGGAGTGGGTGGCTTGTCCTGGTCCTCTCTACTGCGCACAGGTGCTGAGGTGAAGACTGATTCGTGTGTGCTTTCGGCCTGGTCGTCAATGTACTCATCGCCCTTGTGGGTACGGCGGACACGAGGCTTGTCGTCTTCATCGTCGCGCATCATGACAGCTTGTTTGTCGGCCTCTTCCTTGAGTTGTTGGCGCTGCTTCTGCAGCTCTTCGCTGGCCATGTCTTGTGTAGACATGGTTGCGAGGCCGTGTGCAGTCAGGGAGTTGTCGAGCATGCGTTGAACGAGCATGGGGTTCTTCTTCATGTTGGCGTGGATGGCTCTAAATTGTTGCGTGTAACCTTGCGATTGAGGAGCGCCATACAATTGGAACAGTTCGTACTCGATGCGTGTGGCATGATGATGGCTGACCGAGTCGGCGTTCTCGCCTTGACCAAGACTGTAAGANACTGAAAAAGTATGGGTTAGCCATTGTTGGATTGAGATGAATGAAACAAGAGATGCGAAGGGTGCGACGAGGGAATCAAGTTAGAAGTGGGTGGGTTGTGAAAGCAGGAAAGGACGAAACGCAAAAGTGGAAGGTGCGACTTACCCAGTTGTGACTCTCTCACGAACAACATCGCCAAAAACCTTGATGAGTGCCTGAGCAGGACCTTGTCTCTCCTTGGGCAGGTCCTTGACATCGACAAGCGCTGTGTCGGCGTCAACCTTGTCGTCCTTCTTCTGCTCCGACTTGCGGCGCTTGGACTGGGTGGCTGCTGATGATGATCTTCTCGTCTCCTCGGCCTGTGCCTCTACCTGCGCCTGCTCCTCTTGTGGAGTCTCCTCCTCGAACTTGCGCTTGCTGCCAGCAGCAGGAGCAGAGTCTTGCGAAGGGGTGGGATGGATGCGGAAGCAGTGGGCGCAGGGCTGGTCTGCTCGCTGGCTGGAGCCTCGGACTTGACTNTCACTCTGGCGTGCAGCTTTCTGTTGACGACTCTTGGGTCGCTTCTTCTCATTGCGTTTTCGGCGCTTCTCTGCTTCGTGGTCGGCAATGCGAGTCTGCCATAGCTGTTCTCCACGTTTGAGGGCGTCCAGCAGCTCCTTGTGGTTCTCGGGCTCGCACTTCTCGCAGAAGTAGTGTTCGGGCTGGTTCTCCTCCTCCAGCGGCACGCCCATGCAGACATTGTGTTGCCATACTTCGCAAGTGTCGCAGCTGACGTACTGGCGACCAACTTCGTCGTCCTTGGTGTCTCCACAGACGCAGCGAATGACCTCCTCGGCGTCCGGGTCGTCGTCTGCTTCGGGCTCAGGTTCAGGCTCGGCTGACTTCTTGTTGGCACTCTTCTTGGTCGAGGCAGTGGCGGTGCCTTTCTTGTTCTTGGGTGTGTTGACTTCGGCAGCCTCGAGTTTGGTGTGCTGACCCTTAGTCGCGCGACCACTGCGTCTGATGTCTGTTCGAGGGAGCGCGTTAGCTACCATGTCTTGTGTATGGCGCATTGGAGCGCGTAGCCGTGTTCGTGGTATAGGCAGTGTGTGCTTGTGTGTGTGGTGGAATGTCTTTGCTTACCGGACATGGCTGTCGTGTTTGGCGTGTCGTCTCGTCCTTCTGCGTACGAACTCTTGCAACCACAGACAAGGGCGACCTTTCAAAGGCGCACAAACGAGTCAAACGTAGGTGTGGGATTGGAGACAGGCGGCGGAAAATCACTCTCGTGGCGGCGCGTGTGCAAAATCACAAGCTGTTTTTCAGAGCTCCGGCGCCGTCTACTACTGGCGACGCTGTGTGTCTGTGACTGGCGCGCTCTCTTGCTCTGCGAAACAGGATGCGCCTGGCTTGTTGCACTTTCTGGTCTCCACTCGGCACGCGATGATGTAGTCAAAGACGCGCAGAGACGAGGTGATGGATGTTTGTCTAACTTCTAATCCCCAAAAGCGCTTCCCAAGAATGAAAAGCTCTCCTCCCTGCACAGCTGTAGCGGTGGTCGTTGCTGTCGCTGTCGGCGCGTCGCGTGAGTGGGCGCGAAGGACGGCTTGTGTCGGTCGTATGCGCAAGCTGAGATGAGCAGATCTTGTGAAGGTCGCGTGTCGTGTCGCGCGTGCTTCAGATGATGGCAGATACTGTCGAGTCTTGCGCGCGCAAATTGCTGCTATGTATGGATGTGGTGATGGATGATGACTGAGAGAGGAAGGAACTGAGACCTTTCGGCGATTGCGAGCTTTCGCGTGGTCAGTCTGTGACAGGCAGCTCGGGAGTGCGGGAGAGGGGAACCATGACGCGCAGCCAATCAGATCCTGTCGGATATCTTTCCTTTTTCGATTCTCTTCTTCCACCCTCCAAAGGCAAGCCTCTGCGGCGTTCGAGGGATGCTGTCGCGCTTCACAATCAAGAGTGACTGGTAGATGAGATCATCTGAAGCAGTCACTACTCGGTTCGGGCAATGATTGCACTAATAGTGAAGAGACTTGTCTATGTGCTGTCTATATTTTCTCAAGGCTGTCTAACCAGAATCCCGCGTCTGCAAAAAGAGAGCTTACCGAGAGCATTTTGAAACCTGTGGATTTCACCACAGACCAAAAGGCGAACAGCGATCATGGCAGTACCGACATACTAATGGGTGAAAAAGGACGTCGTTCGAGCAAAACACGTGCGTGCCGCTTCTGTGGATCGAACACAGTGCCTCCAGAATACTCTTGCGGCTGCAAGAAGGACAGAAGTTGACTTCAGTCTGGCGCTCTCCCAGATGAGCTAAAGCGGCGAATTATACCTAATTTGTGTTTTGAATCACCAATGATCCTACAATCTGGTTCCGCAGCTTCCGACCAGAGCGCGATGGTACGAGATGCACATCGAGATGCATCAAGAAGCATGTAGATGCTTCTGCAACCTGATAGCATGAGCTCTGACTTGCGTGACACCTTCCGCGCGGTCTAATGGATGCTTTTGTCAACTATGTTCCGAGTCTCAAAGCCACTAGCCGGCTCGCTGGTTAACATCTGTAACCATTTTCCAAAGATATCCAGTGAATAGTCAGCACATCTAACCATGGCAACATCCACATATCAACGGCAGGAAATGACTACAAGGGACGCTCAAGCAAACACGAATGATATTTTGGAAGGATTATGGGTATGTTGAACTTGATTCGAAGGTCCCAATGCTTGCAACAGGGTTGTTCCATCAGCATTGCTAGAAGAAAAGCCGGCGTTCAACCGAACGTGCAGGTTGATGAGTTCATCGCTAAGATCGAGAGGGGAGGATGAGATTCAAAAAGAACAGAATTTTGGGATGTATTCAGCCGATACCTATTGTACTGCATCGTGGGTGAAGGCCTCGCATGAAGAGGCACAGAAAGTGAATGCGAAAACCCCAACACCACACGCTATGAAAACCCAATCCAACCAGAAAAGTGATAGAAGGAAATAGAGGATAGCAAAAAGAAAGGAGCGCCTTGACACCATCGAGGAAAAATGTGAAGGAAGTGAAGAGAACAGAAAAGAAAAGAAGACATGGAGGATCAACGGAGGAGAGCAAGATTACTATTCAATGCTCATCCTCATGATACCTTCGTTTGTGTCGACCATACCCTGCAGACCTATCCTTCGAGGAGCAGTACTGCTACTGTTTCCACCACTAGTGCTTTTCTCAAGCGGAGCGCCATCCTTGGGTAGAGCTTGATTGCGTGCTGCAGCAGAAGCAACGGGTGATGCAACGATTGGGCTGCCACCGTGCACACTCATGCTAGGACTGACGGCTCTGCGCTTGAAACTCTGCATGTCGAAGTCATCGTCTCGACGACGTTTGCCAAAGGGCCTGCGTAGGGCGTCTTGGCTGGTGTATGTAGAGTTCTGAGTGTCCGTTTCTGAAGCGGCTGATGGTTCATTCATGCTGATGACAGAAGCTGAGCGCAAAGCGGTGCTCTCGGCTGGCGAATCCATAGCAATGTCACCAGAAAGTGATGAGCTGCCTCTCGTGGGGAAGGCGGGTGGAGGAGGTGTATGCAGTTCATTCTCCAGTTTATGCCAGTAGTCGACACCGCCAGAATTGCGATGAGCATGAAGGTTGAAGCTGATAGGATTGTTGTTGATGGTATCGGGCTGTGGGTCGTTGGGATCGTTAGGGTTGACGTTGGGTTGTGAAGACGAGGGGCCAGGGGACGGGCCTTCGAGATCAGGGACCGGATCGTGGTTGTGGACTTGACGCATAGTCTCTGCCTCACGGCGGACCTCACTGTCGACAGGGGCGGACTCCTCGAGCAGGGCAGCACGGATGCGCGCAAAGTTCTTTGTCTTTGGCTGAGAAGGGGTTAGCTTATTAGGTGGTGGCATGTGCGGACAGTCACAGTGACTTACTAGCAGGTTGCCCCGACGAGTGACGGCACGGCGCACAACACCAGGAACCGAAGAAGAGGCAGCTGCTTCATCTCCACTGTCGTTACCTGATGAGAGAGAAGGGTGCTCAGGCCTGGTCTCTCGGAGACGCGGCCAGCCAAAGTGAGCAGAGCCTTCGATGCTGCGCAGCGGCGGCGGCGAAGTTGTGCGCGGACTGGGCATGGCCGAGTTGTTGCTGGCACTACTCGAGCTCTTTCTGCTTCGTCCTTTCTTCAAGCGACTCCGCTGGAAAGTCTTCATCAGACTGGCGTGTGCGGGNGAGAAGTTGTTGCTCCACATGACAGTGTTGTGATTCCCAAAAGGAGTTGTGGCTTGCGGGTTGGTAGTTTTCCGAACCTGTGGAGTTGTAAGGATTTGGTCGTCCATGTCGTCCATCACATCATCGTCGCTGGTGCTGTCGTTGCTGTCTTCATCGGCAAGCATGCTAATGCTGCCCACACTACTACTGACAGCACTGCGGTCGGTCGGACCCTGGGGCCAGAGGTTGGGCGAGTCGAGCATCATGCTGTTAACGCTGGGCTTCCGGACGGCGGCTTGGGTCATGATGGGAGACGAGCTGGGAGAAGGGTTGTCGGCTAGCGTGGAATGGTGAAGATTCGTGCAGGCTCTGGAAAAGTCTAGACCACGCGAGTGACGTGGTAGAGAGGTCTGCGGCGAGGCGTAGGACGTCTGAGGGTCGAGTTGAGGAGAGAGCGGTACGCGCTGGATTGTGCTGGGAGCAGCCATCGAGGTTGTAGCTGTCGTCGCCGTCGTCTTGGGTGGCATCTGCAGCGACAGTCCTCTGGCTAAGAAGTCAGGCCGCCTGGGCGTCTGTGGTGAAGTGTCCAGCAGACTGTCATCTTTTGTCGCACTCGCCAACCGACTCGTCAGGAGCGGTGAGGGCTGCAGTTTTGCAGCCGTGGCCGTGGCGTCTGAGATGGACCGTCTCTTGGAAGGTGTGCCCATATATGTATCCATGGCTCTTTCACGACTCTCAAGTCTGTCCTAGCCTCTGCTGTCTTCGCTGTCTCCGCTGATGGTCGAGTCCTTATGTAGGGGCAATCATGGTAGAATGGTCTTTTGTCTTATCGTCGTCGTGGCAGCCTGGGGAGTGTCTGAATAACCATGTGAATCAAAGCCTGCTGTATTCGTACAGCTTCTAAAAGTAATTCTGGTGATGATGAAGCATCCAACAAAGTCACGGTCCAAAGTACGACCGTTGCTGTCAACCGCCGAACCTCTTCTTCCCCACATCTCATCACCAGCCTTGCCTTTATCCAGCCTCGTTACCACCAAGACCCGCATACCCATACGAGTCGAGCATCAAGTCATGTTAGGATATGCTAGGATATCTGTGAGAGACCTTGAGAATACTGCCATGTCTGATCAAGACATTCTGATGGGTTTTGCGGTTCCTCAAGACACTCTGATCCAAGGTTGATTGCGGAACACCTCACCTGGTAGCCTCGCTCGCATAAGAACACCCAGCGTTACTCGAGCCCCATCACTCGATTACTCGATTACTCGAAACTCAGCCCAAAGTTGCACCAACATTAGGCACCATCTCGCAACCACATTCACCACAACAAGTGACTCCAATCCACACGTCCGCCTTGTCTGAAATCCCAATCATAGTGCCGTCTTCTTCCACATGCTGCAACAATGCCTTTGAATTCTTCCCAAGACCTTTTACGTCAATTGGCCAAGAGCCAAATGTCTGCACCACCGTGACTCCCGTCCTGGCACATGTCAAAACTCTCGACTCCAAGCCGTACTCTCAGATGTACCAAATGTCAGGCAGGTATCCTGAACATGTATCAATCCCAGCCGCCTTGATCGTTGACCGCTGCGTGCGACTCTGCTCACTCCTTGGTCGTTCGCAGTGACACTGCTATCAGTTCCGCCGAAGCACAGCTTGAAGGAAGCGCGTGCCGCTATCCGCGACAAACCATGCCCGGCACGTTGTCTTTCTACAACATCTCTGATCGGACCGCGGATGCGAAATTTCCGCAGGCACGTCTCCGCGACAGCAATCGTCGTCGAGTCTGCAAAGTGCAAAGTGCTGTGCAAGGCGCAGTTGTCCGTTGCAAACGAGCCTCAATCGTGCCCCACAGCCAAGCTCCTTCACCGGATCCTTGAGCCGCAAGGTCACCACCTCATCCCAGTCACCTCCATGTCAGCAATTGGTCAATCTATGAGCTGAACTCCTCGAGCGCCGTGCTGATCCGCTCTCGGCGCGCTGTTCCGAAGGCACACGCGTTCACGAGACTCCTTGTGCATATGTAGCCGTGAGTCACGAACGCTGCCATCCGCGAGGGCCAAGAGGGCGAGGCAGCTCGTTTACGGATTGACGGAACCACCATTTGCGTATCTCAGCCTTCCCAGACTCTTGGATCGCAATCAAGGTTTCTTGTCAATCCGTCCCCAAGCCCTTCTAGCGTAGCTCCATGCATCCCATCCGCGAGCTTGTCGCTGCGGCAGTGTGTCGCAATGCATAGCCATACGTCGCCGCAGCCTTTCGGCGTCCCTTTTGGGTAAGGTATGGTCTGCCCGTAATTGACGTCGAGAGTTGTGCACAATTCAGGCAGACGAACGCTACTTCCCTGAGGTTGATATAAGTAAACGTCTCATTCTCTGTCTATCGTTCCTTCCCTCTTTCCCCACTCTCTTGTCCACGCCTGCCAACTATAAGTAACCTGCTACCCAACAACAGTCTTCCCAACAAACATCTTCCATCAGCACCTTGCCTTTCCTTCAACACAAACCAAACAAACCTACCCCAAACATCCTCATGACGAGACTCACTCCATCACTGGCCCCTGCGGTCAACCAACCTATTCCCATCAGAACAAGAAACAACATGTCTACCGCCGCTCCTGCTGTTCAGCCTTCTACTCCACCCTCGCCCAAGGAAGTCCGCTTCTCGGACACTTCCTCAATCGTCACTGGCTTCTCACGACCTCTCACCTCGGAGGAGGCATGGCTCTTGTTCGATTTAGAAACCCACTCTCGCGAATGTCGCCAGTGCATCTCTCCATACAAGCAATGGCAGGCAGGTGCTTCGTTGTGCCATAAGGGAATGCACATGTCAAAGCAAATCGCCGATACCATGTACATCCACAAGGGAAAGGTTTTCGAGAGATACACCCGTCTTAGGAAGCCTTCGCAGGTCGAGATCCCGCATACGTACACATACCTCCGAGAACAACTTCGCGTCTTTGAAGAGTCTGCAGCTATCCGTCATGCTCGTCGACAAGAAGAAGAGCAAAGACCGCGTGTTAGAGTCCACAACGACAGCAGTCGCCGCAACGATGAACCCCACAGATCCAGCAGTGCCGAAGTCGTCATCGAGGGAGGCCGCAGAGACGACCACCGTCGCAGAGACAGGTACCGCCAGGAGGAGCCTCGCGAGACTAGGTATCACGATCACGACCGCGAGCGCAGACATGGTCACAAAGAACACCGCTCAGAGTACCGTCACGAAGAGAGAAAGGACCGAGAACGTCGCCGAGCCGCAGAAGTCGAGGCAGAGATCAACGTCCGGGAGAACAGGTACCGCACACAGGAGAGGAGGCCAACTTGGGCAGAAGATGATTCGAGAGCACGCCGGTAGTTCCATTGTTACGTTGCTCACGACTTTATGATTCGACGATCAGTTTTACTTTGGCGTTCTGGCAGGGATTTGATACCCCGATGCCGCATACAGCTGTAATGCTTCGAGTGTTGTTATTGCTCACTGTAATGTCTTCTTCTAGTACTGTTATTACTATTATCATGTTTCACACCTCTGAGTACTTCCGACATTCCTCAACACCGTCCATCCCTCTCTGCATCATCAACAAGATGGTGAGCCATATTGATTTTAAGAGGCGGTGTGTTCCCCGCTCACTACTTGGGAAGAGGCTCGAGGCGACCCATCACGATGTATCGGTACCTGCATTCGCAGCTGCCGTGTTATCGAAAACGCATCACTCATCCATGCACAGATCTAGCGGAGAACGCGTCTGTGGCATGATTTGACCACTATCGGCAACATCCTGTGGCTGGTGATATCACCCACCTCGCTGAGAAGAATCAGCTTTGTCACTGTCATGCCAAACCAAGAACCTCTTTATCTCGTCTAACGAAAAGTGCCCAACGGCTACATTGAGGTCCATGATGTCTACATATCTCTCTCGCCGGCGATGCAGTGTGTTGGCAGCCTGTGGGTGTCTGCCTGGTCTCTGAAGGGTCAGCCTCTCTTGATATCCGCCATGTTGAAGTCTTCGCTTACTTGCCGAGTGTCGTGCATACTCTTGATTTGCCTATATCGGGCAAGCAAGCGCGCCAGAAACACAATATATTGCGACATCTGCTCACATCCTCAGCCGTCATTTGTTCAACTTACTATAGCGAGCAGGATGATTGGACAATATACATAAGTCGATTATGGCGATTGGTTTCACCGTGTACTGATTATTCTTACCCAGCACGTGGTGCATGGAATGGTGTACTCACAAACAAGTTTTGCCCGCGGCTGATCATCTCGCCGCCTCATCTCGATGACTTGGTCATGATCCAATACCCCTTGTCCTGGGTATGATCTACCGGTCTTGTTTGGTGGATGGTGACCGTCTTTTTCTCTTACTTATACTGATCATAGCAGGTGTGTCTCGGTCTTTTCTTCTGTTGGCCAGATACTGTATCTCCCCCACGATACCACACATCCCATGATCGAGTGCCTATCTCCCGCCATGATCCAGTCCATGGCCTCTTGTACCATAGACCTTTCGGATGCAACGAAGATCACCATATCGTTACAAAGTCCGAGTCCGAACCCAATCACCAAGACTGCAACGTCACAACACAAGACGTCGACATTAGGCAACTTCTTCCACACCGCCGCAATCCAAAATCTACCACATGTGGCAGTCACTTTTTTATTCAACCAATAACCGAGATATACATGAAAACAAAAGACCCGAGCCTTTGGTAAATAATGGGAAGGTTATGCGTATTCAGGCGGCTCCGGAACATCCTCGTAAATAAGGCTCGCCGAGTTTGTCCGTGTGGAGCGGTGCACTTGTGCTATAACAACACGACTTCCATCCAGCCTGCCCAGGATCTGGTATACCAAAGGGTTTAGTTGTAGATTGAATGTCGGAGGTGGCCGATGCTGACTCTGAGCCTCTATCTTCTAGGCACTCGTGTCTACCTCTTAGCTGAGAGGCATAACTTTGCCATTTGTGGTGAGCACAGCAGTTTGAGTGAGTACGAGGTTAGACACAGTACACACTTCTGGACTGCGATATCGCTGCTTCTGATTTGATTGTTAGCTGTGTCTATTTACGAACCCCTAGACCGCGATATCGCTGTTTCTAAATCAGCTCTTGCGATATATTTTGTGTCAACCTCTACTACCTCAATCGCCAACAGTGAACGAATCTGCTGATGAACGCAATAACACACCCTTCTGGTTTTGACATGAATGACCGGTCTGTCATCAGCTCTTTGACCATGACTGACGATTTGCCATCTGTCAGACTTGTAATATCCGATATCGCCTCTAATACATTTGACTCCACGACCTTGATCACAAAACACAGACAACAATTCTGACATGTGGGTGAAGGAACCACATTCGCCTTCTCCAGATTTGATATGTGCAATCTCGACTCACCGGTGGGTTGCCTTCCGTCACCTCTAATCAGACGTCTTTTGCTCAGACCAAGTATTTGTTGCCAGCTCAGCGTCAGTTTACAAGTTTTTTCCTGCCTGATGGTATTTGGCTTGATGTCCTCGTGGTTGGTGGATAGAATTAGTTGGGGCTCTTATCTGAGCAAAGTCTATCCTAGATGCATCTGTTAGTGTTACAGGCAGAGTATTGTCTGGAGTCTGGACCAGATAGGGAGGAGTGAGCACTTGATGTTGCTTGACTGACAAATCTGTTCTGTCTGATTCATTCTGTAGTCTCAAACAAGAGGTGCATCTTGATATAGTGATCAGTTGACAAGATCATGTTTCTTTCAAGGTTGCTTCTATTGAATGATGTGACTTATTCACTTGCACGCATCGAATCACAACGCGAAAAGAACATGACACCACCAGGGATTGAACCCTAGCCCTTTCACTTCCATGTAAATTATGCATACCATAACAAACAAAGTCCACTGTCCTATTCTCAATACACAAGAATCCTCCCCGCCAGATCACAAAGATCGTACGCATGCAAAAAAATAAAAGTAAACCCAGTGCAGCAAAAACGTATTGATCCGTAAGCTATTGAGGATTGTTGGGATGACTGGGTATATAAAGGTTGACCAGATGATTATGATGATGTGCGCAAAGGAAGTCTCATAGATTTATTGATGGCATCTAGATGTTTGGAGCGGGTTATGGGAACAAGAAGAAGTGTGATGGGCATAAATCGGAGCGGAAGTGTTGGATTGTAGGATGTGATCTTTCTGCATCGAGCCCCTTTTTTTCTTCCTTTTCCTTTTTCTGGCTTTACTTGAGACAAGACTTTCACTGCCAGCTACCCGCAAAATATCTGGATGCCCTTGAACGCGACACTCTGATCCCTCTGAGCGTATGAAAACTTATCTCTGGCTGTAGTCAGTGTCTATGACGGATGATGGACCAGTAATAGCCCCTTTCTTCTTGTTCTTCTTTCTATGACTCCAAAATTGCATTGTGAGTATGGCGCTTGTTACAAGATCTGACCTGATCCTTAGATGCACACAAATTGCTTCTCTTGGAACAACCTTTGATTGCATACGGCCCGACCTTTACTGTTCGTTGTCCCTCGCTGCTCGTCTATCGGTGCAGAGGGTACTCGCAAAAGCCGCTAGGTCATCAAACTTGAAGTGAGAATCCGGTTCCTTGGACTTGAACTCCCACGGTATCTCGGTTAGCTCTTCCCATGTCGCCTTGACACCCAAGTTTCTGGACCTTGGAAATATCTCAACGTCTTCAGGAGGCCATATGAGTTTGCACCCAGAGCATGGCATGGAGGGAAGGCAAATTTGGTTTCCAGGCCTGTTGTGTGCTGATTCCTTGGTTTCGAGATCGAACCGATGTTTCTGGTTCACTGTGATGATAACTATTGTGGTGAAGCTGCCCAGATTGTGAAGCAAAAGCCTGACGCACTTCTTTCAAGTGGTCGATTGTTGACTCTGAGATACAACGTAGATGACAATTATCGGTTCGGATCTCAGGATGATACGCACTTGATTGTCCGGGCGATCCACGCGGTTATCATAGCCTTCATTGGGATAAGACTCACTGTCCAAAGTCTCTTTAACATGGGTCCTAGCCAACGGTCTCGCAGAAACTCCTCGTATCGCATGACCGAACACTTGATTGATCTACTGGGCGATAGAGTCTGCAAGACACTTTGCCAAGTAGTGACCAAGAGGATGTCTGTTGCTTATGACGAGAGAATTTTTGTCTCTTCGACCATCGCTACGGATGTATGGGATATATTCCAGATTCAGGAAATTATCTGGATACAGAGTTGTAAGTATACCGCTGACTCGCTCATAGGTGTATCTTCGTAGGCCTTTGACAATGATATGATCGCGGCGAAAGAATGCTTTTGGATGGAAACATTGTGGATTTTTGAATGTGAAGGCACGCGAGATCATGTTCTTGATCTCGGCATCCCTGGGTTCATGGTACAGTCGGTATTGAGCTCTTAGTACTATATTCTCCGTAGATCCATTTGACTGGGTTTGCTGAAAAATTTCCGCCATTGCGAGAGACTTTTGATGTGAAGATGAATCCTGGATAAGAAACGGCAAACATTGGAAGAAGTCTGCATTCGGACAGAAAGATACAGTAGATGACTTGATGCAGGATCATGACGACCAACATCGGCTATGACTCTTATCCGCCGATGAATCACATTGCAGCATGTTGTATTGATCATCAAGCGCCATCTTCTCTGCTGGCTCGAGTGTTTTTGGGCATCGAGATCGAACCCACTCAAAAACTATCCACAAGGAGAGTCGTACGCAGTATGCAAAATTTGAGAATCTCGTGTCGCCTGGAACTTTGTATGATAGAGGTAAGCAGTGATAAACAGTGACACTTCACGAAACACTAGGTTTGAAGGTGGTGATGTGCATCTATGGCAGTAGCAGGGACGAACGTCACTGCCATCTATGGCTGTCAAAACATGGTGGAGGTGGGAGTCGGATCTGAACTCAAGAAACCACGCACAAGAAGGAGCAAATTAACTCAAACCTCAGACACGTGTTTTTCTTTCCGCTTCAGGCATGGTTGACTTTATAATCTCGAGATGCGACGATTATCTCCATCTTCGTTTTGTCTCGGCAACTTTGCAACACTTGCTGCAACGCATCTGGACGCAAGACTTCCAATAAAGTCTTAAAACCTCTCGACAATATGGATAACCATACATCCGAGTTGATAGACCACCGCGCCTCAATATTTTATCCACTCCTTATACAGAACAGATTCCAGCCATCGAGGCGTCTCAACAATACACTACAGAATGATGACACAGGACCCTCATCCAAAAACCTCTGGAAACGACGTGCACAGCCTGCTGGTCGGATCTGGATTTGGAAAGTCAAGAGACGGTGCGCATACCCTGCGGCCATCATTGGTGCACAAAGTGCATAGTACGAGTATTCAATACCGTCCTCAACCAAGCACAGTGGCCAGTCAAGTCCCATACGAGATGCAACGTTCCTTTCGATGCAGCAAAGCCACTCTTCTCGTCAGAGGAGATTCAAAGACTGATTCCTCTGATTGAGGAGTTCGAAACTCCCAATTCGGACCGAACTTATTGTTCGAATGCTCGATGCAGTGGATTCATCTCTCCGGGACAGGCCAAGGACCGCATTCTGCGCTGTCAAACTTGCCAGATCGACACATGCTCAGATTGCAAGGGACCTGCGCATCAGAGCTATTTCTGTCCACTACCAGACACAAACGAGCAAAAAGCTCTGAAGCTAGCATACAAGAAGAGATGGCAACGGTGCATGGAATGTGGCCAAAGGTGCGAAAGATCTCAAGGGTGTGCAAGGATGACCCGCCCATGCGGCCATGAATTCTGCTCTCACTGTGGAAAGCCCATATTCAACTGCAACGCATGTCCTGGTATTGAGTATGATTACCTGCTAACGGACCATACGAGACCGGGAATGAGAACAAAACGAGACAGAAGAACATTTGGTCGTCAAGACGATTTTCTAAATGGGTTCGTAGCATTCACTACGCGAAAGGCTGGAGCAGGAACAGAGGGTGAGACGCCATTCCAACAGCAACGTCGACTCGAGGATACACGACGTGAAGAGGCAGAAAGAGCTCAGGAGGAGAGAGATCGAGGGAAAGAGCAAGTCAAGAGCAGCCGGGTTCTATGTTCCATCGACTTCGCCGCAAGATCGAACGACTGTGTGGCAGAGGGTTTGGATCATAATGTCTCTCCTGTATGTATATTTGCGGGAAAAATCTCAATTGCTATGATATCCGGCAAGTCTCACAATGAAGATATCAATCGATGAATCTAGTCCTCAAACTTCTGGACTTCGAGTTGATACCCTTTCATTGGACAATTGCTCCAACCAGAAGCAGTGCTATACAATCAAACGGAAGCTGAGAAGAGGGGTTGGTATAGCATGAACGTTTGCTCTTTGATACACTAGTAAGGACTCGTCATTCTGATCATACATTTTACAATGATAAGTCTCAATCTCGACTCTCCTTTTCTCTTTGGTTGGACGCTTCCATGCAACACGCGGTGTTGATAGAAGACTAGAAGTAAGAAAAACATGACTTGGTGGGCCGAGGTACTTTTCTGTGTCCATTAGATCATCCAGATACTTTTGCAACCAGCGATACTATGACAGTGGCTCAGCCGGCACCGTAAGGTCTTGCAGCGAATTGACGCATCACTTCATCAACACGCTCCCTAAATTCGCGATACCCTTCTTGCTCATGCCATCGCATAGCTTCTCGGAGACGAGCGACTAGACCAGCGACTTCCCACTGTCCACAACGGCAGGTCTTCCATTTTGCACCGCAAACATAGCAAAACTCATGTCCGCAGCGACATNNCTATGAAGATGTCAGTACCAGGAACATCAAGTCAATGACAGCAGATACTAACGTGATGTGATTGCAGCCCTGGCTTAGAGCTACGAGTCTTGTACACGATGAGCAGCGCTGCCAATTCTCTGCTGCAGCCAAATCTTCGAGATCATTGTCGAGCTTTGTGGTGTCTCTGCCGCGTTCGAGTTTGCATGCTCCAGGGTGTGCATAATCTTTGCAAGTGTTACAAGTCAGATTTCTGCACTTGCGGCACCTGAGGATACCATTGTTTGCTTGACCTAAGAAGGAGTTGCAACGGCTGTCTGCGCAGTAGCGGCGATCAATCTCAGGGATGTTATACTCGAGAGCGCTTCTTTCGAAGGCTTGGACTTGTGGGCGATGGAGTACATGTTTGACTATTTCGATGTTGATGGCTTTCGAACAGCAGGTTGGTGGAAAGTCTGCCTCGTTGTTGATAGCCATGTTGAACATGACATGAAGGCAGTTGGCGCAATATATGTGAGCGCAACCGGGTAGCTCTACAGTCCTCTTGTTGCTGACCTTCTCAAAGCAACAGCCACATTTGACGTTATGCTTATGCTGCTATAGAATCATTAGAAACTTCGAACATGTGTATATGGGGTCTGGATGAGGGTCATAAACGCGTGCCTACCTGATGTCCATGCTGTGTGTCTCCTAAGCTGACCTTGCGTTGGTTGTTATCGCGGTGATGCCCTAGTTCCATCTTGGAAGGAGGGGTTATGTCCTTGTTCTGCGTGTTACGACAGGGGTCGAAAGGATGTTGCAGTAGCATGGAAGAAAACCGCAACGATATGTCGAGCGAGTGAGAAGTGATGCCCCAAGACGAAAGATCGAGTGAATGTTGTCACGGAAACCACTTTTTCTGACAAGATCTCCAGGTCTCCTGCCGATTTCTGTCGAGTCCGTCCATTAATGACTTCACTCAAAAGGTTTATCAGAGACAGACACGGCTAGGAGGATTCCTCAGCGTTCTAGATAATCTATTGACCCTGCTCTCCCAGATTCCAGAAAGAGGTAAAGACGCTGTCTGATCCCAACTCCTTGATCGAGACATCAAAATCTCGGAGGAACAGAATCATGGGCTCTTCGTGCATTGTCACTTTGATCATTTGTTATACAATGGTACATAGAGTAAAATTCGAGACTGTCGTCGTGGAGCCAGTGGAAGAGGCAGTGACGAAGTTGAAGGGTTTGGTTACCTATCTTTGTTCGGCAGCTTCAACACGCTCTGAGAAGCCAGATTCGTCGCCACCCATGGAAGAGATCAGAGTAAAGGTGGCTGCAGTGGATGGGGTATCAAGAGTCGAGACGGCAGTGACGACCTCACTACAACTTGGCAACCATCAAAGATACACCACCACTCGATATCTCTCTTTGCATGTTGCTGGGCTTCGGTATTGGGAGCTACGACGGTATTGTTCTCTGCTCTAGCATCAAGATTGACGTTTTTGGGACAAATCCAGTTATGCCCGTCCTTGACACATCCTTCCAGATCCATGCACTCCTTGGTTCTGTGGCAAGTCAAGAAGCTACAACATGGATCCCTTTTCATGAACCAGGTCGAGGGTTTGGCCCAGTTGGGCGAGACATGCTTGATGACGGCGTTGTTAGGCTGAGCGTCGATGCTCTTTTCATAGACATCGATGGGAGCAGCATTGGTAGGCAATAGGGTACTCATGCCGAGGAGGGCGAGAACAGTGGTGGACATCTTCATCGTTGATAACAAAAGTACTTTCTTGTTCTTGAAGGTGAGGTTGTGGTCCGATCGGAGACTCTTTGGGTTGATGGAGAAGAAATGGAATTGCGACGGAGATGGATTTGTATTTTCTTGAGCGAGAGATTATGAGTCGATGACGGTCATTAGACAGATAATATGCTCATATTGTTCATCGCACAAGCCGAACCAGACACAGAGATACTTTGGCTGCGCAGTCAAAGTAATAATTGGTTGGTTGCGACGCCTGCGAGGCAGAATCTGAGCGAATTAACGAGAATTATTGACATCTCGAAGTCTAGTTTTACTGTCATCTCCAAATAGAACGTACAAGTCATGTCATCGTATCAGCAAAAGATTTACATCATCTGCAAGACCATGCCATCCTTCAAAGCCTTGATTTGTTCATCTGATAGAGGATCTTTCTTGTCAAAGGCGTGCTTTTTTNNTCTCTCTGCGCGAGACCATTTTGTGATCTGGAAAGCCTGTCCACCAATCTTGCCGCCTTTTCCGTATGACTTGGCATACTTNTTGGAACTATGAGATTGTTAGTACAAAGGTCACTTGACGGGGAGAGAATTTATACTCACCTTTGTCTTCCAACCAAAACGATCTGCTTTCTTGGGTGGCAATGTGACTTTGTCCTCAATCTGTGCATTCCACTCTTCGACTTTGTCGTCGACGTCCGAGACACCATTAATGGGAATGCCAGCCTCCTTGGAAAGGGCCAGGAGATAGCGGAACCAGAGAAGGTTGAAGCCAGCATATTTACCAAGGTCAGAGTCACCACCCTTACCCTTGCTATCGTCAAGAGGATCCTCAACGTCTCCGCCAAGGTCGTCAGCTGCTCTTGCCCAAAGTGAAATCACCAAAGAAAGATCTTTGTACTTTGAGTCCGGCTTGAGTTCGCCTTCTTGATCGATGCGATTCAGGGCGGTGAGGAACATGAAACCAAGCAGACTGTAAGTCAACCACGAGCGTTCGCCATCGTCGATCATGTGCCATGGAGCATGGGGCTCTTCCACGATCCACCAAACCATCGACTCCATGATAGTCCAAAGCTCTTCGGTCTTGCCATCCTTGCTGTTCAGGATCTTGTTGAACTCGGCCATGTTGTTCTCAACAACTTCCTGGTAGCCGTAGCCAGCAAAGTCGTTGTAAACGTACATGCCGAACATGTCAGGATCACGATGGGGGATCTCAATGGTCTCTGCATCCATCTTTCTTGCAAAAGCCTTTCGCATCATGGACCAGCCATCAGCGCGGCTCTTGTCAAAACAGGCGCATTTCCTTTCATTGTGTTCGTTGGCCCAGAGCTCGCTTGCTTTCTCTTCGTCAAAGTCTTCGTCATCTTCGTGCTCTTTTTGNTAGCGAGCCTCGAACTCGAAACGAGGGGCGCAGTTCATGATGTAGGTGTGAGGATCTTGTTTAATCTTCTCTTCGGTCATCTCGTGGTCGTCATGATCATCATGAGAGTCGTCGTTGGTAGGAGATTGCGAGGTCGAGTCGTTCCCTTGGACATTCGCTTCTTTATGGGCCGGTTCATTCGAAGCAGCTCCAGCAGTAGTCGAGGCATTGGTCTTTGTGCTCTTGGCTTGGGAGGTAGAAGCTTCGGAGTCAGCAGCTCTCTTCTTGGATCCCTTTGGAGGCATGATTAATGGTAAGACTGTGATTTATGTGAATGAAAATCATTCAATTGAGATGAACGAAAAGATAAATCTGAAGCTGCAGAGCCCCGTCGGTTGTGCCGCGTTCTTGTACGTGCACACGCGTAGATTATTTCACTGACGTAGCTGTGTCTGCCATCTGATACCTTGTCTATTATACGCAAACCTTATTATCTTGCGATGGTTCGAACTCGAGAAGCCGAGCATGCTTCGATATCATGCGACTTATTGATCAGATATGATCAGTCAGATGTAGTTGGTAAGGTGAGCGATAAAATGATGGTTGCTACGGAGGACAGCAGCACCCGCCGTTGATGGATGGCCGTAGCTTCCCCAGATCCTTTTTCGCGGCGCGTCTCACCAAAGAGCATCAATTTAGCCGCCATGACTTTGCATCCTCATCGACTTCTTTGCGTGCAAAAAGTCAAAACTGGTTAATGATCGGAGGGTGCTCACTGCATGCACGACCTATATATCACCTCGTACTCGTTTCAGCCTTGTTCAGACGCAGATATGGGTCCGTTTCGGGTTGCTCCTTGATGTCATGGCCACCGCGGAGTGCGACATCGATTCGTCTGGGGTAAGTGCCAGCCACCAACACCCGTTGCTGCTGTTCGCATCTCTTTCCTCCTCCTTTTCTGTTTTCTCTTTCTTGTGTAAACAATCCACTCTTTTCATCTCAATCTCTCCCTCTTGTCCATCACACAATGCCTCCGAGAAAGGGAAAAGCTGCGCCCAAGGGCAAGGCTAAGAAGGAGCCTCAAGCTGAACCTGCTACCAATGGCGATGTCGAGAAGGTTGAGGAGACGGCAGCTCCTGCTGAGGAAGCACCTGCTGCTGAAGAGCCCAAGATAGAGGAGCCTGTTGTCGAAGAAACCAAGACAGAGGAGCCAACTACTGAACCTGCGACCACAACCGAGGGATCCAAGGCTGACGAGCCCACTGCTGACGCGCCATTGGAAGCTGAGCCTACAGTCGACGCTGAACCCGCCGCTGCATCCAAGGAAACCAAGCCAAAGAAGCGCAAGGGAGCTGCTGAAGCCGCCATTGAGCCAGCTGCTTCTGAATCCAAGTCAGAGGAGAAAAAGGCGTCTAAGAAGCGCAAGGTCGATATCCCAGTACCCCGACCAGGCGAGCGCAAATCCGGTCGTGGCGCTCAGAAGGCTGCACCCACGACCGAGCAACTCCTAAACTACCTGCTCTCTCCCGCCTCGACTGAACTCTGTCGCCCCGACGACGAGTCTGCAGAAGTTGAGTCCAAGGGCGCAGACTTCAAGACCTACTCCTCCTCAGCTTTGACCGCATTTGAAGAACTCGTCTGCGCAGTTGTCCTCAGCCGCCCCATCAGCCACAAACTCGGCCTTCGCGCCATCCGCACAATTCTCAATGCTCCCTACTCCTTCACCACCCCCTCAGCCATCATCTCCGCCGGCAAGGAAAAACGTCACCAAGCTCTCGACGATGCAAAAACCCAACACAAAGACAAGACCGCCGAGCAAATCGGCCTTGTCGCCGATGTTGTTTCCCACAAGTTCTCCAAAAACGACTCCGATACCAGTCTCGATAAGCTGCGCGAGCAGGCTTCGAAGGGCTGGGACATGGAGCGCGATTTGCTGCAGGAAAACATCAAGGGTGTGGGAAAGACCGGCTTGGATATCTTCTTCCGCCGTGTGCAGTGGTTGTGGCCTGAGGCTTATCCTTTCGTGGACGAGAGATCATCGCGTGGAATTGAGAAGCTGGGGCTTCCAAAGCATCCCGACGAGCTAGCTAAAGTGCTGGACAGATATTGGGCTAAGCTGGATACTAGCAATCTGGCAAAGGGCGACAGGGACATGCAGAAGAGAAGGGCGTTTGTCGTGATCTGTGAGAGGGCTACTAGTGCTGACCTGGAGGGCAAGTCTGATGCTATCCTTGAGGCTGCTGCTTCTTCGTAGGTGAAGTTTGAGGAAGTTTTGCGAGAAATTAATCTCGAGAAGACGAGATGCTGGCACGATGAGATGTTACAATGAAGGGACCCTGCAATGCCGGAACATGGAGATGCTGAGACGTACATATTCCTATATAGTATTTCAGTCGCTGTGTGAGGCCGAAAGGTCCACACCAGCGCAAGAGTATAAAGAATCATGACCTTTCCTTTAAAATCCTCCATCTCAACGTCTCGTCAGGGGTTGTATAGAAATCGGTCTAGCATCTGTATCGACAAATCAAGGTCTTCCAACCATCAAATTGGTCCTCTAATTCCTCCCCCTGCCTAACCTGCTCGAGAATCAAGAATCTGCAACTAGGCTCAAGGTTCACCTGCTCAGAGAACAACAATTCTCATCGTCGCTAGCTCTGGATCCGACTCTTGCATCAAAAACACGTCAAGAAGCAAGATCGGAGACGTGGAAATGAACTAAATTGAGAAAGAGACACTCACAATACAAGCATCTAGAATCCAATCACGAAAGTTTTGAGAAAGAGACATTTACAGCCATCCACAAAGCGAACTCCTGCTTTACAATGAGGCTAAAATCGTCTTCTCACCATCTTCTCTCCAAGTCAATGCCGTTCGTACTGCCTCCTAGGTACTCATTGGTGTTGCAACAGCATTTGTGGCTTTGGGTAAGAAGAAGCGAGATAGATGGTTTGAGGTGCAGATGCTTGTTATAATTGTTGGTGCTACTATCTTGGTGTTTCAGGTTTTTTATTTTCTAGTGCGTCTTGTCGTTGTGGAATAGATTAGTATGCACAACATTGCAAGAGAGGGATGGAACGATTGAATGATCGTCGCCAAGAACAGAGATGCAGACGTGATTAAGAAGCAGAGACGCAAAAAGCCTGTATACCCAACTAGTAAATTAGAGATATCCTATCTACACAAAACAGCTTCCCGACTGTCCAGAACCAACCACGTCCTACCACGTAAACAGCATCAAACTAGGATTAAGCGCAATCGGCAACAAAAAATGACTAACCACCACAGTAGCAAGCGGATAAATCGCAAANAACTGATCAATCCTCCAGTTATAAGGAACCACACAAGCAAGCACCACCATAGCAATTGCCGCAGTAATGCAAAACAAAAACGTAAAGCCAAACTTCTTGATGACTTTGGGGACTTCGTTGAAAAAGGTAGTGTTCTCAGCTTCTTTGGATGTGGCGCCCCAGTTCATATCGATACCCACGAGATGGGAGAGTAAGGCCTGAGATACGTGTAAAGACAAGCCGCCGAGGAAGACTGTCATTAGTGGGATCCACATGAAGTTTGTGAGCAGTGAGCGGAGCAGAGATTGTTCGCCGATGCGGTAGCGGAGGACGGCGAGAGCGACGTTTCCAAGTCCTGTAAATACCACAATGATGGACAGATAAACTTGAAAGGAGTTGAGATAGTACTTATCGAGGACGGTATTGTACCAGCCGACGATAAAGTAGTTGAGTAGGGTGAGGAGCCATGCACAGCCAATGGCGTAGTAGGTCCCGATGTACGACAAGATGGTAAGCTTCGATGGTAGTGGCATCCCCGAGCAGATGAAATCGCGGAACAGTTTCGTAAAGGGTCCTCTGAATATCCAAAAACGTAATGGATGAAACAATAGCTCGCTGCAGCCAAAGGCATACTTTTCCCAGCGAGCCAGCTCGTCGTACACGGTGAGCGAAACACCTTCTTTGAACCCGTCTCCTGTATAAGCGCCAAATCGCACGAGATAGCCCTCGGACTGCAAGCGTAGAGCCATGTCAAAGTCTTCAGATACAGTGGATTCGGACCAGTATTTCTCGCGATCATCGTCTGCACAGTCGTACGCAATATCTTGTACTGCAGACCAGCGGAGGATGGCATTGTGTCCGACGAATGGCGCAACATCACCGTTTGCGATCGCGTATTTGATCTGTGTATACACCATGTTCGTGAAGAACGTGATGCCATTCTCGAAGAAATTATCCGTCACGTTCATGACTCCGGAAGAATATTGGATGATGGCCACTTGTGGTGAGTGCGTCATTTCGCTGACTGCGTCGAGCAGGCAATCAGTTGGTACTCGCGTGTCAGAATCGATGAGGAGGATGAAGTCGCCCATGCGAACATTGCCGTCGGCCCAGGTACGGTTCTCGTCTTCTTCAATGATTTCCTCGAGCGCTTGGGCGTACAGGCCAGCTTCATCCTGTTGAGTCCAGTATTCTGGTCTCGGGCTTGGGTCAATCATCTTTTCCTCGATACGGTTACTGACCCACAGAGCATAATTCATGTTCGAAGCCTTCTTGAATTTACCGCGACGAATGAATGGAACCTCATTGTGCTCTCCTTTCGGATCATGACGAGGTCGAGCCACCCATCCGATACTATGTTCTTCGTAAAAGTCCATACGAGCTTGAGATTCTTCACGGGACAGTAACTGCATGCCATCATCGTTGATGAAGATGTTTGCGGTCCCGCCTTGCATCTCATACGTCGAGATGGCAGCTTTGATCGAAAACACCGTTGGGGCGATGACAGACTGCAGGCCCTCTTTGTAGACCGGGCATTGGATTGTGACGTGGGGCAATGAAGAACCAGTTGGCAGTCGCTTTGGTGGTAGCCCAGAATAGTACTTGGTGTTGCTCTGCACCTGACTGATTGGGCCGAAGATCTGGAATATGTTGCCAACGAGAGCCTGGAAGAAGAAAAATGAGACCCATATGGTGACTGGGGCAACCGCGATCAATGCCAAACGGATGTAGCTTTTATCCAGAGCAATCTCCTGAACGATTTTTCTATAGCCGGCGCCGAGAGTAACGATGATCAGACAGAGAGTGACCGCGGTCGTGATCGAGTGGAGTAGCACTATGCGACGGGGTTTCTCTGTCAGATCCTCTTCGCTCGCAGTGATGTCCGTTTCGTGAACAGACACCCTATCGTTCTTCTCCTTCTCCGAGTAATTCTCTTCGGCGCGAATGGACCAGATCAGTTGCATGAGGCCCTTTTCGATCTTTGCGACGCGGTCAATAAGGTTCTCTGCCTTGTCGTCCCACACTACCAATATGCCTCTGTCGGCAATAAAAGCAGCAAATTGATGCTTTGCGCAGCGACTCAGATACGAGATATCAGGGAGAACCTGGATACGAAGATCGTCGCCGATGGGAATAGAGCTCTGATCGCTGTCTTGAACGAGAATCTTGATTACGCGTGTGTTTACCGTCATGGCGCTCNNTGATAATCGCTTAGTCTCGTGTATAGATGAAACGGACTGATAGGAACTTACCTTGACGTTCAAGGCCTGAATTGCTTCAAAGAAGCCATCAGGTCTTCGCAAGTCTGGAGGGCAACACACGTACTGGTCGCGTCCTGCCTTGATGACCACACCCTCGTCTTCGTCTCCAGTGAACCAAAGATTCTGTGCCTGCTGAGACCAGATGTGATTGACCATGAGTTCGCATTTGGCGTTGTTAAGTCGATGCATGGCGATAGCTTGTGAATCTCCAGATTCATGAGAAAAAGGTGTGGCACATCCTGAAGGGGTGAATATCGCCGGAGTTATCAGACCGCTCGCTGGTTGCGAGAATTCTGATGATTGAACAGGTTTGCCGCTTGGCTTGCGGAAATATGATTTGAGACCCATGATGAGGGGTAGGCAACGAAGCACAGGATGGTAGGTCTCTTGCGAGGACTCTCAAGTCCAGTCTTTGTATCCGAAGAAAGCTTGGAATTTCTATCGTGCGCAACGAGAGTATAAAAATCAAGGGTCAGAAGCAGCAAAGTAAGTATCTCAAGTATGATACTTTTTTGAGCGGATGGACTGGTTTGCAGGGTCTTATACCAGGGATGTGCACTTGAAAAGCACACTATATTGAATGTTGGGAAATCCAGTCACACCATCTGGAAGCGATCGCTCAAGCTCAGCTTGGATCTGTCAGTGTGGCTATTGCATCGAAGGGAACTTTTCTCAGTATAGCCACGTCGAGATTCAGCTCGGCTCTTGTGCCGCTGCTTAATTAGAGATGACTGCTTGTTGAACGCGATGTACATTGTACATTGTGCCAGCACCAGCTGATGAATCCACGTTCGCATGTTAGTACTGGGTAGAGCTGACTTCAGCCAGAAGTAATCAACGTCGATCGAAGAACGGCCGATAAAGGTTCTGTTGTCGATTGATACCACACACAATCTCGAGTTGTCGTTCGCCTACCCCTCCTCACAATCAGTTAGTCAAAGAAGTGCGGCAGTGCCCGCTTTGCATATTTCAGCTGCCTACAGCATAGCTCGCTCCAAATTTGATGAAATTATGCCGCTCAGGCATGCGATCCCGCGGAAACAAGAGCAGGTAGAAAATGTAGAGTTCGGGCTCCTAAGGAGCCAGAGTACAAAACAACCTTAGCCTGATTATAGAAGCTCTGCCGTCGATTGATGTTAATTCAAGTCTTACCAAAATCCAGTATTCCAGCCAGAAGATGGCATAAGATTGCAAACTCTTGGTTGGGGGTATACATTTGAGAGAGCAGGGTAGTCCAAACACACTTCGTAGAGCGGGTGGGATTGATACTTCCAGGCTGGGAAGGAGGTTCGAGATAGGTTCGGTGGTCTGAAGACAATATTTTTTGGTAGATCCAAGTCCAAACAGCCAGCGGATGTGTCCGTCCTGCATGAGCGTAGCCACTTTAGGGAAAGACTCTTGGTAATGATGCCTCTTCAGGGACGGTTCCTGTCAGAGCCGAGGTTCTTCGAGTGCACAGGACAGATGCCGAAAGATCAGAACTTGTTGGGGGTTAAAAGCATAATCTCGAAAGACAAACATTCCTCCAGCCACTGGATAGTCTTCTTTGCAGATGGCTGATTTTAGCTTGTACTTCTATTTGGAATGTTTCGTCTTGTAAATGTAAACTCATGTATGTGCAACCTTACCAAATCTTATATGTGTACCTTGTGTATCATGAGCCTTGGTCCCATGTATGATGCGTGATATCCGTACGAGGATTTCTTATTCCGGCTGTAGAAGATTCTGCGCACGGCGCTTTGTGGATGTATCCAGCCACTGATCTTTGCGGTGTCCAGGTACCAGGGGTGAGAGACAATATCTGTAGGTACACATGCAGGTCCGAGGCAGGTCCACAGCAGATCCAAGGAGCACAAACCACAGAATTTGATACACTGGATCGACAGTGACCGCCGAGTAAGCTTTTCCCAACCTGGGGCTGCAGATACTTCCGGTACCCCGACCTAGGTACTTCAAATCTCTGCCGTGAGTATTCCCAGCACGGCTTGTTGTCGTTGCAGTTGTGCTTGCAGATCAGACGACTACCCACGCAACGAACCAAGCCGTCGAGATGTGTGACCAAGGATGTCGAAAGTCCTAGGAGATTCGGCAGCAAAATCTACGGCGAAGTGGTCTGGAACAAGCATATCCATCCTTGATTTAAGACCCAGTATTAATACTAGCGTTGTCGCGTACCGACATACTTCGCCCCAGAGAGTCCAACAGTACGGGGACCCCAAGTATGGCGGGGATTGGGGCTCCAGGCTGATGCTCGGGCGTACAAGCAAACACGTGAATTTGTGTCACTTGGATGTCGACACCATCATGTCTGCGGGAGGAACGCCGAGGACATGATGTTTCCGTGGTGGGGGATTGACAGCAACGACATGTCTCAGCGAGGACGCAGTCAACGACTGAGAGGCAAATTCCAGCGACGGCAAGGTACACTCTGGCGATGGTAAGGTGCCGCGGTAGCAGGTACCTAGTACTGCAATGACGGCAAGTGTTCAAGGTGTGCCGGAGCGGGTCGAAAGATGGCAGACTTCAAGGTTCAGTTTGATGTCGTTGATGTTGTTGTCAATGAGATGTCAACTGATGTTGACGAGCCGCACGCCGATGGCGCGTTCCCATGACTCGTGCATACGCCACATCTATTCGGAAGCTTAACATGCATGTAATTCCGCTACTTTATCATCACGTGCGGCTCAGTTATTCTTAGTCTCGGCAGCGGTGCTGTGGGTGTAGAGGTGAGTTTGACCGTCCATAATGCTTGTTGCAGAGCGGAATTGTGGATCTCAATGGCGGCAGTAAACTCTAGAGTAGGGAGCAAAGGAGGCAGAAGAGCTTTTGTGAACTGAGAAAATGAAATAACACTATCTAACGACTCTGCTATGGATGCTAGCGAGGAACGACAAGATGCAAACGCCTTTCCTTCGATGCGATCAATGCAAGCACGACTTGATCCCTCATCCCCATCTTCGTCAACGACAATACAAGGCGCCAAACACGCCTTCATAGAGACCAGCAACAGCAACAACAACAAAACCCAGGCACTCTTCATCAACCAACAACACCTTTGAAACTCAACGCCTCCAAGAAACCACTGAGATCTTCCTTCTTGACCTCAACGACTTCGTGTTCGAATGAATCGATTCGAACTCTCGCTCGGGTCTCTTCCACGACCTCCTGGAACGCAGACCCAAACTTGTTGCTTCCATAGCCTCTCTGCTTCCTCTTCTCTGCCTCTTCCTCATCTTCCGAATCATCTTCCGAGTCCGAGGAATCAGAGCTTGAGGACAAAGACTCAGCATCAGAGGCCTCGTCATCAGAGTCGACGAAGATGCCATTGGCCTCATCACGTTCACGGCGTGCTTGCTTGCGTTGTGCCTTCTGTACGGCTTTCCGAGCTTTCTTTTCCGCCTTCTTGGCTTCACGAGCGGCTTTCTTGTCTGTGCGGGCTTTTTGCTCTGCGCGGCTGCGTACACGTCCTGAAGCCGCATCTCCACCACCAAGACCGACAACGACATAAACACCTCTACGCTCGTCAAGAGCGGCAAGGACAAGTGCATTGTCTGCCGTGCGTTTGGCGCCCTTTTCTGCTTCCAGCACGGAAATGGCCTCGGAGATCCAGGTGGCGAGTTTGACGAGGGCGCCCGGGTGGATGAAGAGGTTCACGTCTGGTCCTTCCCGGACGACACCCATGCGGAAGGCGCGCAAGTGGCGGATCTGGTGTTTTGAGATCAATGCACTGCCAGTGCGGAGGATGGCCCTGTGCAGATGCTGTGCAGTGGGTACGTGAGATAACAACAATTGCAGTGCTGACGATGAAGGAGATAGAGCGTCGTAAGCGGCGAAGAACCGGTTTGTTGTCCAGTCAGGATCCAAGATTGAAGCTTCGTGCTCGAGTTGAGATGCTGAGGGTGATGAGTCGCCATTGTGTGATGTGGGTGGTGTGGGCAGTGCTTGCATACGTGAATTGTAGTTTGTGGAGAAGACCTTCATGCGGAAGTCGGTGTGAGGGTTGGCGGCGGAAATGGTCTCGAAAGATTGATCTGCGCCGACTTCGAGAATGGCGCTTGTGATGACAGCGACATCGACAGCTGAGAGACAAGCTTGCCAACCCCAAGAGCGGACGAAGCCCCAACCTTCGTGTCTGTGACGATGGCTGTCTTCTGATGGTACCAGTCCATCGAGGCCATACATAGGAGCAAACTTCAGGAGGCGTTCTCGTAGACCGCGCTTGAGTTCCATATCCATGTGCGTGTAGCCCTTTTCGGCTTCGGCAAGGGAGACACCCATCTTGGCCAAAAACTTGTGCAGTCTTCTTCTTCCAGCGTCAGACCAGATGTGCAGTCGTGATGACAGATATGGTGAATGAAGCATGCTCTCGTACAAAGACCAATGTCTGATCAGGAGGAAGCGTGGCTCTGGTGACAGACGGATTGAAGTGTCTGTTGGTGAGCGTGCATGAGTAGGTATGATGCCACCAGCTTCATCTCTTTCTCTGGCAATATCTGAAGCCGGTACAGGGTTGAGACGGCGCACTTCATCGCGAAGTACATCACGAATCTGGTCACCTCGACTCAAGTTCCATGGGTTCTGGCGTGTTTCTGTATTTGCCGTTTTGGATCTGCCGTAGAGTTCTGTAGAAGACATGCCGACTAGAGCCAACCAAAGAAGGTCATTGTCTTCACGACCGAGCTCAGAAGCAAGCGAGTACAGCATTGAAGATATTGGCTCAGATGCTGATGTTCCTAACGAGTAGTATGCTTCCAGTACGGCTTCGTGCTTTCGCTTCATCTTGAGTAACTTGCGGCGAAGTGAGCGTGCTGATGGCTGTTTGGGGTGGAGCGGTGGTGATGAAGGGACTGGACCAAGTTGTGAAGACGAAGGGTGGTTGGACATTTCCAATCGTTCATGTCGTGATGCTGGTGATCTAGGTGTGGCGGGTATTGATGAGTTCNNTAGTGTGGTAGTCAGTATGCAAACTCATTCTCTGGTTTAGGCGCAACATACCGAGTTACTTCGCCGCCTCTGATATGGTCTGTCTCCATCATCGTCACTGTCGGCCTCTTCCTCTGCATCGTCATCACTCCATGTCTTTCGTTTTCGTGTTTGCGAGTCTTCAACAGCATCTTCATCGTCACTCTCTTCATCGAGGTCACCATCGTCTGCTTCTTCGTCAATGTCGGGCATGTCTTGCAGAGCACAAAAGGCTTCTTTCTCGGCGTTCAACTCTTGTTCAATATCGCCATCGTCGTAGACAATGATTCCTCCTCTTCCCGGCGTGTAGGACGGTAGAAGTTTGCCTCCATCAACGCCTCTCCTCCTCTTGGCCACGGCTGGGGTAACTCCAGCATCTTGATCCTCTGGTGGTGCCATGGCTCCTGTTCCAAAGACGTTTTGCAAGTTCCAGGGCCTTCTGGCATCGACGACCCAGACTTCGACACCGTGGTCATACATGTTCACCTGTGTCTCTGGGTCCTCACCTCCATCCAGACCGAGCATCTCTTCCAAGTCGACCAGGCCACCAACGCCTAGACAGACGACGATACCACCTTGACCGCCATGTTGACGCGTCAATGGAAGCACCAGATCCTTGCCAGCAGCAGATAATTCACTGTAGCCAGCTACTGGTTGAACTTTGTGGGGGATGTAGTCGCGTTTGAGTAGTGCTGTGAGGATTCGGCACGCGCAGAGTGCGTCGGGGTCGAGGGATACGAGGATCAAGACTGGTGGTGAAAGTGGATGCGTGTTGCGGACCAGATGTGTGTAAAGATGCGAGAGAAGAGTCCTCGGAAGATACATTGTGCAGGTGTCGTCTTAGGTCGGCATGCGTGAAATTACAAGTAAGAGTCGTCCAATCTAAGTCGTGGTCGTGACGCGTTTTGTAGGGATGTCGTAATGTCTCATACTCTGGATTACAGAGCTTGTGGGCAAGTGTGATGTTCGAGCACAGCTGTACAGTGCTATACAAAGTAAAAGAATGGCCGTGTGTCCGTCGTGGGTATCTCCTTGTTCCTTGTCAGACGCGGGTGCAGGGAGTTTCGAGGCACGCGGATTGGCTTCGAGAGCACGCGTCGCGCATGCCCAAACTTTGGCGCGTCGAGGATGACCAACGACAATGCTTGGCGCGCGTCAAAGAGTCGATATCGAGTTTCGGGCTTTTCTTTCTTTTTCCTCATCAAATAATTCATGTCTGATTATTATACTATCACAGTCATGAGGACTCAAGCTATGACTCTATACGGCCCCGATTCTGTGTCCTCAATGATCGAGGTTTAGACAATACCTTCCTTCTTCTGCACTCGAAGTCTCTCCTCAATCGCCTGACGAGGATGCAGCACATCTTTTNNCAAGCCCAGCCACTCTGTATTGAGTGGGCTAGGTCCAGTATAAATGAAGGCATCGTACAAGATTCCTCCAAAGACACATCCGCAGAACGGAGCCACCATTGGAACNTTTCCATCTAGAGTCAACATGCTGCAACTGCTGAGGGTTGGAATCTACTCACTCCAAAAATAGTAACCTCCTGCGGAGAACACTTCATGCCCGTAACCAAGAGCATAGCTCATGAGACGCGGTCCAAAATCACGAGCAAGGTTGACTGCANNACATGTCAGCATGGATTTTGATGAATTCTTGACGCACTCACTAGCATAACCGGTTTCAACACCGAAACATGCTCCAATTCCAAAGATCAGGAAGAAGAGCCCAAGAGGGAACCAATTACCGCCTCCCTGAGATACTCCATTGTTCGTGTCGTCTTTGAGAGCAAAGATGACGAACATCAGGATTGCACTGGCGATGAACTCGGAGAAAAACATGCTCGCCTTGGTCATATACGCCTTGGGATATGTGCAAAAGATTCCTGCTGTTGCCGTCGGGCTCGGAGGAACCGTTCTGATGCCATGGCCTTCAAAGGCGTTGATGTCATTGACATAGTTGCCGTATATGATGCCAGCAGCGACCAGGCCTCCAAGGAATTGCGCCAGGAAGTANATAGGAAACCTTCGCCACGGGAGCTTGCGAAGGAGGCAGTTGGTGAAGGTGATTGCCGGATTCAGGTATGCTCCGGAGTCGCCTGCGACATACACACCCAGCATCACACCGATNGCTGTCATCATTGTCAGCGATCGATACCGACAACTATCACCAAGGACTACTTACGCCCATCCCCATGAGATGGATTGGTAACCTCCATACCCATTTCCACCTGGAGCTGTTTTGTCATTTGCTCCCAAGAGCACTTGAGCTACTGCACCATCGCCAAACAGAACGAGGATCATCACGCCGAAGAACTCTGCAAAGGGCTCTCGCAATGCCAATCTCACTTTACTCCACCACAAGCTGGAGTACGGTGTCGCATCATGTTCTTCTGCAATCGGTGCATGCGGATGAAGGCCCAACAACTTTGATCTGGTAAATTGCAATCCTTGAGACGACGACGTTGTTGTGTTGGTATTCAAGGGNGCACCGCCCGCATCTCCGTGTTCACCGATGTGTTCCACATGATCACCTGGTCTCGTCGACCATTTCTGAAGCTTCATGGGATCCTCATCCGGGTCGTGGGATTGGCTCTGCACAGCATCAGGGTGTTGAGTCAATCCCGAGAGCTGTCTGTCGTGCCTTGTGGAAGCTTGCGACCATTCTTCGTATGGCCTCGAGGTTTGAGCATTAGTCCATTGGCCAGAACTCTGCTCGTCGGGGTGGCGGTTGCTCATGCTGATATAGTGTAAGCCCTTTCTGCTATGTATAGCAAACTTTCTAGAACCAGCTGTAAGTCGTGTATAAGAGCAGGGGAAAAGCAGGTTTGAAGCAAGAAAGGGCCTGAACGGGAAAAGAGCTGAGAGTTAACATATGAGAGCTTACATGCGCCTTCTATGTCACCAGGGCTGTCAGGCTGTCAGCCCGAAACACTCCTTGGGATTCTTTCGGCTGCGAGGGTATCGGCTCGATCTATCGCTGCCAAATCACAGTGGTCTGTTGCTGAGTATTGGATGCTTACCCCGCCTATAACGCACCAGGTCGTTATGTATAGAGCCGCGCCTCCCGCCGAACCGCCCTCACAAGACATCAAACCTTGGACGATCTTAGAAGAAAGCATGGACGATCGTGCTGAATGCTGACAAGGTATCTCTTTCCACCGTTTCCTGTCTGGCTTTCTTTTTGCACTCGACAACAGATTTATGCAACGTCCCTATCTGCCCTAACAATCTTCAGCTAAACGGCCTCCCAATCTGTTTCTCTTTGCTTTCGCTTTGCAAGACATGTTGCTTCCTTTGGACCGCTTGGGACAAAACAAAGCAAGATGTGCCCCCGGATCTTCATCTTTGCCCCGTGGGGATGTGCATCCTCTCAAGTGTGGGGTTGCGCCTCATGACGTTCGAGATCCAACAACACCGAGCATGTCCTTTATTACTGCTGAAACAGATTTCTGGGGCAGGAAACATGAGACTCGGAGGATATATGGTGTGGAATCTGGTCTTGCTGCGACAAAGCCAGATCCTTTCAAATGTATTACCCAGAACCACAAAGAACCATGCTAAACAAGGTGTTGCTTCGAATCCACCCGAGTGCAGGCCTATTGCATGTTGCAGTATAATCTCTATTGACTATTCTTCTCGCTCGGAGTTGAAAAGCCGCTGGGCATTTGATTGTCGCCCTGATGTTTGAGCCCAAGTCTTGTATCGTCCCACGAGATTTGTACGATCGCTGAATGAGAGCGCCAGATGTAAACAAACCAAAGACGTTATTCGATGCAGTAGAGACTGGTCGCTTTCCTTGACACCTACCACTCATCCATCATGACATCCGTGACTGGTTGTACAAATACATTGTTCATCTACTCGTTCTGACTTGACATCGATTGATGCAGAGTGGAGTACCCTACGCGTGTACTACTGTAGATTTTATGGTTGGGATGGATTTGTTCTCTGGACGATGTGAGATTGATCTGACACATCCGCCAAACATCTCGAATCACACTGCTCAATCCCAGGGATCAAAGTCTACTCGATGAGTACAAAGAAAACAAATCCTGTGGGATAATTCTACATTAAGTAATAAAGTCCTCGAGTCGTGTTGAGCTCATTCTCATTGCTCGTTGCCTTTTCTCCAAATCCTAGTCCGTGGTATATCCATTTCCATCCATCCCAGCCTCTATTTCTCTCAACTGCGAGCCTACCCATTTTCCGCCTTTTTCATGGCAACCCATTCCCGAAGACCCAAAAGAAAGCGTTCAACCCAACTCCCGAAAGAACAGGAATGGTAAGATTATCGTCTAGACCAAAGACATCGATGGCTTCGCTGACTGCGGCAACGAAGCCACTGACCACAGCAACGATAGCAGTAGCCACGGTACCAGACACTGTGGCCTCCTGCACTTTCCAGCCAAGCAAGTTTTTCATGACCGGCGGTAATGATAGCGTGCCGTCAAAAGCAAAGGAGTTGATGCCGGTACTCCACTCGGCAGGTACCCTCGGCGCAACAACCACCCAGAAGACCACAGCAGCAGCGACACCCGTTACGAAGGCCGCGATTGTGCCAGCGAGACTCTTTCCCTTGCGCACGCGAGGAGTGTAACGACCCCAGAGACGGCCGAAAGTTGAGGCTGCAGTGTCGCACCAGGAGAGAAGGAGAATAGACATGACGGCGATATCTTTAGGACAGAAGCGGAGCACTGCCCATGCGCCGGCAAGGTAAGAGATGACGCCGTTGTATTTATCGTGGGCTTCTGATTCGCGCATGAAGGCACCTAGAGCGCGGATGTAGAGGTGGTTGAGCGGANNCTGTGGTGGCCTATCAGTATTCCTGGTAGGGTAGAACGGATGAAAAGGGTAGACTCACGGATAATGCATCCTTATAAAGTCGGCGGCAAAGATGGGTACCAAAGCCGTAAGCAGCGGAGGGTGAATAGCACTTGTCTGGGCGCCGCTCACAAACAAGCCCAGCGTGAAGAAGCCAATCGACACATGCAGAGCCTTCCTCGGAATCTCATGCCTGTGGATAAAGGTGCGCCATTCCCTGTGGAGAGGAATCAAGCCCAGCGGACTCGGACTACGACTTAGGTTGCGCCAGTAACTGCTTCCCATGCCAGCACTGCTGGGATCCAGATGTCCATCTGTTTTTATTGGCCCTGGGACCTTCTTTGACGAATCTTTACGGCGGATTTGGGGGCTTCGTGAGCGTGGTCGGGCGCGGAAGGATTCTGGGTCTGAGGATTCTGGCGATTCTTGGATGGCTGGGGTGGGAGTGGTGATGCGGCCGTTGCGTTTCTTGGTGGTGGTGGTGAAGTAGCTGTCGCGTGCGGAGGATGATTCTGTGGGCGTGGGTGACGGTGATATGACCCGCGTCACGGGTATGGGTTGTGCGGATGCCATGATTCCGTGCTCCTGCTCTTGAACGGAGGAACGAGGAGAAAGTCCAGGATGACGGCGGACGTGTCGCGTAGAAAGCAGGTCAAACGGCTGTCAAGTGCCGGCGCAAGATGATGTAACTGTTGCGGGTTACTTCTTCAGAGACAACACGCAGGTGCTAGAGATGAAGATGAGAAGAACTTGATCAGATTTGAGAGTCTAGAAGAGTGAGATGGAATAAAATTAGCTGTCCACTATTGCACCATGTGATAGGGCAGGCAGGTCAGTCAGGCAGGAAACGGAAGGTCCGGTCCAGCAGAGGGAAGGTGCAGTTCGGCCCGCTGACGTTTTGCATCCGAGCGCGATGACTCCGACTTTCACATGCCGATTGCCCTCAAGCTTCAGCTCAATTAATCTTCTGTCTCTTTCTTTACTCCATACATATATCAATCCACAATGTCGTCCCAAGTAACCGCCTTCAACCTCAACACGTGTGCTCGCCCCAACATCTTGGCTCTCGAGCCCTATAGATGTGCCAGAGAGTATGTCCTACCCTTCTGTATACCAAGACGATGCACTGACGAGTGACTCAATAGCGACTACAAGGACGACGGCACAAACATTCTTNTGGACGCCAACGAGAACGCCTACGGCCCTGGTCTGGCAATCGACGCTGCTTCAGGCAAGCTGAAGAATGCATTGAACGGAGACGCCAGTGTCGAGGTCGACCTTCTTGGTCTCAATCGCTACCCAGACCCGTATGCGCCTGCCTCAACACCTACCTCATGACTCATACCTGACAAGACTCGACAGCNNCACCAGCCCGAGCTCAAGCAACTGCTGTGTAACCTCCGCAACACCCACACCCACACTGAAAAGAAGCTGACGCCGGACAACCTCTTTGTCGGCGTCGGCAGCGACGAAGCCATTGACGCCCTCATACGCGCCTTCTGCGTCCCTGGCAAGGACAAGATCCTGACATGCCCTCCCACTTACGGCATGTACTCCGTCTCGGCTCAGGTCAACGACGTCCAAGTCATCAAGGCCCAGCTAGATGTTAACGACAACTTCGCCCTCCAACCCCACCTCATCAATGAGATTCTCGAGCAAGACGCCCACATCAAAATGGTCTACATCTGCTCACCCGGCAACCCCACCGCCAACCTTGTGCGCAAAGAAGACGTTGAGACTGTCCTCAAACACCCCTCCTGGAACGGTATTGTCGTCCTCGACGAAGCCTACATCGACTTTGCCCCCGACGGCACCTCGCTCGCCGAATGGGTAAACGACTGGCCCAACCTCGTCGTCATGCAAACCCTCTCCAAAGCTTTTGGTCTCGCCGGCATCCGCCTAGGAGCTGCTTTTACTTCCCCGCCCATCGCCCGCCTCCTCAACTCCCTCAAGGCTCCTTACAATATCTCGAACCCAACCTCTCAGCTCGCCATCGCCGCCCTCCAGCCCAAAAACCTGAAAGTCATGCGCCAGAACCGCGACAAGATTATCCAACAGCGTGACCGTATGCTCAAAGAAATGCCTTCCGTCCCTGGTATCGGTAGGTTCCGCGGCGGCGCCGCTAGTAACTTTTTGCTCGTCGAAATGCTGGACGCCTCCAATCAGCCCAGCAATGAGATCGCGCTGGCAGTATACGAACAGCTCGCAGAGTCTCGAGGCGTCGTGGTCCGTTTCCGCGGCAAGGAGTTGGGCTGTTTGGGATGCCTGCGCATTACCGTAGGCACTGAGGAGGAAGTCACTCGTTTCCTTAGAGAGATCACAAGTGTGTTGGAGTCTGTGAGGAACGATCAAAGCGGCAAGACCTTGGACAAGACAGAGCAGAAAACAGAAGACAAGGCTGAAGAGCAAGCCAATGATGTAGTCGCTTAGTGTGCAATCGCATGCGCGTTGAGAGCGCAAGGAAAACTGGGTCCTGACAACGCATGCAAGGAATCGGGTTCAGATTCCAGCCTCGAGGGTCCGCGAAAGAATGGGGAGGCGGACATCGATCCCGCCACGGGACTTACAAGATATGTTCCTCGCTTGCCAGGCGACTTGCTTTCGCGCCGGGATTCACCTTCCATATGCAGAAATACCCCTCCTGCTCGTCTCAGATACAGAAGACCGAGTGAAGGTGGACGGCCATGGCGTTAGCATTATACTCGGCCGCTCGTTTAGATATATCGTTCAATGAAAACAATTGTTTGGTTACGAGAACCGATGAAGGACTTTTACGAACAAGCATTACATTGCTATTTCCAAAATCATGCCTGCTCTCTTGAGCTGTAGACATCATCGCGAATTTTGTCTTTGCTAACAAGGCTGAGAAGTTCGAAGACTCGTGCTGCACGCGAAGGTAGTGACTTTTGGCAATCACCCACAACGAGCGAAAAACAAAGTAGGACATCACGTTGCAATCAAACGCCTTTATCTTGCTCCAAGCAGGTCACGGGTCGATTTGTAGAGTGAAACGATTAGCCCGTAGCGGTCTCGCCTGGGATCGAGCAGAGAACATGACGCGGAGGGCAAGCGCCAACGGACCGCTACAAGAAACAAAGCAGACGCGTGGTTTACGAACTATCAAGTGCGACCAATGTTTCGGAACCATGAGGGACAAAGGCTGAGATCGAGATGAGCCAGAGTGATATAAGGAAAAAGATCTTCAGGAGAAGTAGGAGAGGGCAAAAAGGACCTCCCACTTGACCATACCTCCCGTCGGCCACTCCGCTCGAGCGGCGGCGTCTCAGTCGGTAAGGCGAAATGTTCAGACATAGCGGCCTCGCTGGGGGTCGAACTCAGAACATGGTGCAGATGGCAAGCCATTACGCCAACGGACCGCTACATTGAACATAGCAACTCCATGGTTTATGAATCCCCAAGTGCATTTGGTTGTCTTGGCGATGCAGCGGAGTTTTGAATGGAAACTTTGTTTGGTGTTTTGGTGTTGTCGTTGTTTGGCGGCTGGGTTTCGAATAATAAAAGTTCTGTTTGGTGTTTGGTGTTTGGTGTCTGGTGTTGTTGATTATTACATTTTGATGACTGAACGTGTCAGGGCGTTTGACATTTGAATTTAATCGAGTTGCCATTGATCTCTTGCATTGCCGCCGAAACGAGCCATGGGATCCTCATCTTCGTCGCTGTCAATCTCTTTGTCGTTGTCTTCGAGTGGTACTGTCAACCAAGCTGGCTTCTCCTCGGCTCCGAATGTAAAAGTGAACCAATGCTGTCTTGCGATAGATAGAAGCATCAAGATTGTGAGTGGCAGCATGATGAGCAATAAATAGCGAGAGGTATGGGCATCGCGGCATGACTGATTCAAGACTTCTCTTACTCTTGTAGGCATGGTTGTGTTGACGGGGCCTGAGACCAATGGCGCGATCTGACAAGTCCAACTCTCGAGAGTATAGCTTCCATGACTGCTAGAGTTTCCAAAGATCGTATTGTCCATAGCGCCATTGATTGTTAATCGGTTTAACTGGTCTGCGACATTGTCGCTGGCGAGATTCTGGATACCAGCGATGATGGTCGGATACAACACACCAATAACGGCAAAAACGGAGAATGTCCATGCCATAAAAGTATCTCTCGGCCCAGTAGCATTGATCCATCCGGTCAGATTCAAACTTCTCACGCCCTGGACGTGGAATTTCAACTTTTGACCTTTGGGTACTGTCTTGACACCTTCATCCAGTGCAAGCAATTGGGAAAAAACATGATGCTGTGCTTTTTCCATCGTGTAAGCCACAGCGCACGCAAGAGCTAGCAAGCCGCCCCAGAAGATAGCAGCACGGCCATGATCGTAGAGAGAGGCGGGCACATAAACAGTCGCAATACTTGTATTGCTATGACCAGGATATTGGAGAGTGAGAGTTTGGTTCGAGAGGATGGTTGATAGGTCGCGCGTTAATGGAAGCGGTCGGTTGAGGATATCCACAGCCCTGAATCCAAGAAGGAATATGGGGATACCTATCAGTATCCGAGACACAGATGCAGTGATCGTAAAAGTCATCGTGTTGGCTGTCGTGATTCCAGAGAATGTGGGCAGGCGATGCCTGTAATGAAGGAGTGGTGACTTCCTCAGGTCGAGGTCCTTGAGGCCTGATCGAATGGAGTAACCTCGGGTCCGGGACATTTGCGGTTGCCCAGACCTCAGTATCTTCCTGATGGGCAGCTAGAGATAGTTATTAGCAGTATTTATTTTCTCCATACTGGTCGCATCCGGGAAAACTTGCATCGTTCGATACTCTCCTTTGGGCAAACTAATACAGCTGCTAGGACCAAGTTCTGCAAAGTCCCGAACTTCTCAGTCGGATTTTTCAGATAACCGGCGACGATGAGGGGAGTGCCCACCTCAAGTCTTCGCTGCCACTCATCGTATGCGTAAATTCAATCTGGCGAGAAACCATACAGCATATGTTGTGGGCAACATCATTTGTGACCGCGCTCGCCAGCATTCGAAGAAAACGTCGACAGATGTTTGCGTCGTACATCAGGACATTAGACTTCGAAAGTAGCGACCGGGATCCTACAATTCACACTCTTCTTGGCGACCCACAGTTCCCAGGGCTACAGCATCTTGCACTCGGTAACCCTCTGAGAGATCCCAGTAGATTTGAAGGCCTTGGTGGTGGGATACATGATGGCTGGGACTTGACGATCTCTCAGTATATTCAACCCGCACTCGAAAGTCTAAAAATATATTGGTGGGACGCTATGTTTACTGCGAGTCTTCTCGAAGATATTACGATTAGATGTCCCCGTCTGAGGAGCATCGCATTGGTGTCCGTCGGTACTCGGATCCAACCTGACGACTTTCTTACTTTCTTCGAAGCCAATGATCAGCTCGAGCAGATTAATATTGGTGTTGGTTATTTACAGCCTGGTAATGATCTGAGGAGTCCCTTGATTACCAATAATCTGCTGCTTCAAGTTCCAAGAATGCCAAAGCTTAGGTCGCTCGACCTTGGTAACTATATGGATCAACCAGTATTCTTTGAGACGATCAAGGCGTAGAACAGTAGTCCTTTCCAGAATTTGACGGTGCTCAGACTCAATGTAAGTACACAGAGACGTGAGAACCTTGACATGTCCAGTTTCATTATCCCGTACCTACCTTACTGATCAATCATACAGGGAACGTCGAAAGCGATATCCGCTGCAGCACATGTCTTTCCATGGGTCGAGAAACTCCCTTACTTCCTTCACAATGGAGAGGGATCATGCTTTGAGGATCTGTCCGCGATGCCAAACCTTCGTGATCTGCTCATTTTTAGAACTCGAGCAGCTTCATACATCGCTCACCAAACTCCGGCACTTCTCGNNATAGCACCACAAGATACTGATAATCTTCCCTATGTGCAAGAGTTCAACGATTCGCGTCTCTACTATCTGCTTTCGTACTGGCCAGACCTCAGATCCCTGAAGTGGATGGAGTGGCAAAACTGTCGTATCTCTGTACTTACAAGTCTGGCGAAACATTGCCCTGAGATAGAATTCTTGACAATCTGGGGCGAATATGAGATATGGGTCCTCGAAGAGGAGCAAGTTCCATTGCTTCCTCGATTGAAAGAGTTGAAGCTTGGCAATTGGTCAACATGTGAGACGTGTGTTCCACTCACGCCGTTCAATATCGCTGAGTTGATCCACTATCATATGCCTATGCTTGAGTGTCTACGATCCAGCGACACACGCGCCAGCAATGAGCTTGTAACAGCTTGGGAAGAGATCGCCAGACAAGGAGTTGGGGGTAGTAAACCTTCGCTCTTGGTGTAACAATGGACCAACAGTCATTGGTCGTTGAGGAATGCGTCAGTCATGCAGTTATATGAAACATCTCGGCTCTGGAAAATCTGGTGGCCGGGCGCTTAAGATTGACATACATATCATCCCTTGCATCTTTGTTCATAGAAACACTGGACTTCTTTCTCTTTCCTGCACGCTACAATATCTCCGAGTTGTATCTCTCCTTTTCAACATGAATCAAGTTCTGGCTTTGTCAGATATGCCCCTGGAAGTGCTCGCCCAGATATTTGAGTCTCTGCCCTCGAGATCCTTGCCCTGGCATCTCGCGTGAATCGCACCTGGCGTGAAGCCATCACCCGGATACTTTGGAGAGACACGCCTGTCGGATCACTATACAAGGTCGAAGGGTCCCGCCGTCAGTACTACGTGTCGCACATATGCACTTACACCGTCGACGCAGTTTTGGAGCAAATGTCGTCGTGTTACAATCTCGAGTTTCCAAAACTGCGCCAAGTCACACTCATGAGGTCGCGTTATCGGCAATCTGTTTGGGAGTTGCAGTACCAGAGTTCTAGGCTCCGAAAACTCGACTTACAATGCACAGATGCAGTATCTTACAACAGCTTCCTAAGGGAAATTGTCGAGAAGTGCCCTAATTTGGAGCATCCGGCACTGATGAACAAGCGCAAATACGACCCCGAAGACGAGAGAGTGTGGGCTACGATGGGGAATACGACTAGCGATGTTCTGGTCTGCATTTCCAACATGGAGAAGCTCAGACATCTTGAGCTTTTCGGTCAGTTCAATAAGCCAGGAATATTTGAGCAGGTTCAAACGCGGAGCCACGCACCTTTCCGGTTCTTGGAACATATCAGTCTGGGTGTATGTAGTTCATGATCGTCATTTGAGTGGTCGACGCTGACTGGTGTTAGTCGTCTGTGATATCAGTTGCCATCCGTGTGTTGCCGGAGATTGACAGCATCAATATCACAGTTTTTCCATCCGACAAGCGTTTCTCTTTCAAGGAGCTTCTCGCCGTGCCGAAATTGACTTGAACTGAAATACATCTGGAATGCTTGCACAATGCGTTTGATGGGAGAGACCTATATGAACTGCGCGCTCTAAGTCTCCGACATCTGAAGATAGTGTTCTGGCGTTGATTTACCATACCCATGAAGAACTTCAGCGACGCGGATTTCACTTTCCTTGTGGAAGCCTGGCCAGATCTCGAGTTCCTGAGCTTTTGCTCAACCTGGGACGACATGAGCATAGGCGTCTTGAAGGGCCTGTCGTTATACTGTCCCAAGTTGAAAGTCTTAGGGCTGAGTGGTGCCTACGACCTGTGTCCTCCCTCCAAGACACCACAAAGGCCCATGTTTCCGCAACTGAACCGGCTGTTCTTAATAGATTGGACCGTGGAAGATAAGATTACGCGGAAGCAAGTTGCTAGACTGATTACTAGACATGCACCCAGGTTGGAAGATCTAGAGTTCAACTACGAGCCTGGAATAGTTTGTATGTGGAAAGAGCTACAGCTCCGATGTCGCGGCTCATCACTTTGAATTCCAGATTTCGCAGATCGTAGAAACTGAGCTAGATACACAATATCAGACCGTAACCAAACAACCTCCCAAGTAGTCCTCGGCAATTCCAGGGGCAGATAGGCGACAGAGAACACCGACGTATCCATCCGGCCGGACAACAGCAACAGCTCCTTCCCCTCTCGAAATACCATAGACGTCATAAGCATCTTCCTTCTTCGTCAGTCCGTAGGTTCTCATCTCCGCAAGTTTTTTGACGTCTGACGGAATTTGCGTCCACTCGAATCTATCCTTGATAGGGTGCAAGACCACAAGGTCAATTGAGCCAGCCGGATGACTTTCTACAATATCGGCGCATGCTTTAAGTGCTTTTTGAGAGTAGCCAGAGGGGTCAAGAAGGTTTGTACTGGTTAGTACGAGAAGACGGTATCGTCCATTCGATGGCAGTTCTGCAATAGTAAGACATCAGCTCAGTCATCAACCAGGAAGTTGGAAAGTATTCTACTTACCGTCTTGCAGCTGACGAGTAGTGTTATCGGCAAAACGCTTGAGCTCAACATTCAGCACTCTTCTACCTGGAGTGAGAGCACCATAAAGCGGATCTCCTGTCGAGATTACCATATCTTGAGAGCTTTTGGCAGCCCGGACGAGCTTGCTAGGTTTGTACTCAAGGCCACAGCCACTTGTAAAACCACTTCCATCGCGGAACACTTTCAGAAACTCGTCGTGTGTAAGTCCTGCGGTGGAAGAGTCGCCCGACCCAATTTTGCCAGAAAACATGTGCGAGAATTTTGTGTCAAATTCGATGAGTTGACGGGCAGTGTCAACACGCTCCAGTTCGAAAGTCTCCAAAACTGTATCTGCGCTGTCTTTAGCAGCTTTGAGAGATAGACCGAGGATCGAGTGAGCTAGCTTCCAGGACAAATTATAGCTGTCCATCATGCTGACGTTCATGCCTTGACCTGCTTTCGGACTGTGTGTGTGGCAAGCTNNAGATTACGGTCAGCGATGTTTTTATATCATTTGTAATCTTCACATACCATCACCGACGATGAAGACTCTATCGACGCCATCTGATGTCCTCGACGAGAACTTTGGCGTCATTCTCTGGCCAATCTGATACGCGGCATACCAATCCGGAGCAGTCCCTTCTCTAACCTTGATCTTGTACGGTGCGAAAACAGCATTTGCTTGCTGAAAGATGTATTCGAGAGTAACTTCAGCACGCTTTTTCTTGCTTGCGTTCTTCTTTTCGTCTTCGGTTGTCGTTGTGCGGTCTGTTTTTGCATCGACATCGCCTGGTACTTGGACGTAGAGACGAGTGAGATACTCTCCTGTGGCAATTTGCTCTCGAGGAATGACCATGATAGAGCCTGCTTCAGAATGCACTGCAGAGCGATTGCGGATATCCGGGAAATCTGTATCAGCGACAAAATCGCAAACACCCCAGATGTGATCAGATGTTTCTCCTTCCAGTGAAAGCCCCATAGACTTTCTGACCTTTGAACGTGCACCATCACCACCAACCAAGTACTTTGTACGAACAGAGCCGGGCACGCGACTCCCGTCCTCAAGCTCGTGCTCATAATTGACAAGTATGGGATACTCTGGGTGGTTGACAGTGTCAACTGTGTAATCCAAGAAGTGATGAGATCTTCGGATTGTATCCTCGGGCGCATAAACACTGAGGTTCTCTTGAAGAATTCTCTCAATTCGTCCTTGATGAATGGTAACCTCGAACGGGAAGCGTGCCGGAACGTTAACATCGGGTACAAAAGAGGTTCGCTCGATACCACTCTTGCCGTCAGCTGCAGGGTTCCAGAAAGCTACTTCTTCCATATGGCATCCTTCCGCAATAATTTCAGAGGCTATTCCAAGACTTTGCAAAACTTCAAGTGTGCGAGGTTGAAGGCCATCTGCTTGTCCCGCCTTCAAGGTACCTGGCTTAGAGTCCAAGCAAAGTAAGGACGATCCTGATATTCCATATCTGGCAAGTAGTAGCGTGAGGAAGAGGCCGCTTGGTCCGGCCTGAGGTAGATTATCGGTATGATGTTATTGGAGTCATTTTTGGACACTTACACCGATGACAACGACTTCGCGTTCATCGCCAGTCGTGGATGTCTTGGGTGAAAAGCGTGGTAGTGGTAGAGCTCGTGATGGTAGGATCCTCAGATCCCGACGCGCATCAGAGGTCTCTTCGAAGACGGGCATGATGATGTTGTGGTGCTGGGTATTCGAAGGCCAAAAGAGACCAATATATTAAGACCAAATCGGTTTACGACGGATATACTTCTTCTTTGTTCAAGCCCACGATCAAGAGCTCGAGGAGTTCTTGACGACGACAACTTGTCTCGGTTATCCGAGCCGGAAAATGGGAGTCTGAGGAGATGCGGAGTTGAGCCGAATTTCCTAACTTCCGAGCTGGAGGTCTTTTCCGCCAGCATCTTTACCACAAGCGCGTATCGAAGACCTCGAGAAACGACATCGATAATCTAGAGAGCAATGCAGATATCGCCAATGCTGCCAATTTTTCATTGAATCGATGAGTAGGAGGCGGTCTCGACTGAGAAAGAGGACGCGGGAAGCGACGATGCAAGTTGCCTAGTCCGTGCATATAACCAAACTTCCGACGCGTCCAAGTGCCTCCTTCGCGACACTGGAAACACAATCAAGAATCTATCTGATTCTGATGTTACAGTGATGAAAACATGGAAAACGAGTCGCCGGATACTCGTCCGCTAGGTCCTCGTAATAGGCCTCGTGCGTCACATGCTTGTGAACGCTGTCGGATCAAGAAGGGAAGGTGCAACCAGCAGCAGCCTTGCTCGTCATGTGTGCGTGTCAGCGCGCCATGCTTTTATGGAGAGGAGAGAAGGAGAACAAGAAGAAGGAAGGGTGATCGAGTAGGGGAAGCTCCGNAGCAAGATGATATGCGATCGCAAGCTACCCCTCGACCCTGGCCATTGACTCGGGATGCTGCGTCGCTTTCTGCCCAAGATGTCCTCGAAGATGTATCCAACAGTGCTTCCATTTTGGATATGAGTCCAGAAGTCAACGTCAACTCCGTGCGCTCAGGTATGTCGTTTCTTGTCAATTCAGGCTTTAAATCCTCAATCTGATCATCAAAGGCGGTATCTNTGACCTCACATGATCGTGACGTGGTAGGCGATGTGAATCAACACACTCAAGGAACTGAGTTTTACGGGACATCTTCCAACTATGTACTGCTCAACCAGCTGTTCTCTCACGCTCGACAACACAGTCTCTCCAGACAGACCCCAAATCCTGGTCGCTCAAATCAACCAGCAATAAACCCTGATCAGAGAGACCCTACTCCGGCAGGAAGAATGTCTCTTGTCAATCTACTTGCAAATGAAGATGATCTGCTGCCTCCCTCGAGAGAAAAGTCACCACATCAAACATCTCCTTCGGCAGTTCGGTCATCCGCTTTTCGTACTCTACAACAATCGAATGACCGTGCGTCGAGCAGTATATCTCCTGCTTTAAAGTTTCTCGTTGCCGAAAGACGCCTTGAGAAAGCACTCGTTCGCAGCTATATGCATAATTTGCACTATCTGCATCCCATGATTGACTGTGACACATTCATCGGCCTATATGAGGAATACTTGGCACAGTCTTACAATCTGCATGAAAGATCTCCTCAGCTCAGGCACTTCTTTGCTCTCTACAACATTGTTGTTTCTGTTGGAGCACTCGTAGCTGGATCAGATCTTACCGAAGAGTTTCACCACGAAATCAAAATGATGCTGCAAAACAGAAAAGATACCCAAGATCTTGGGAAAGCTCCATTACAAGGACTATCAAGGCACTATTTCCGAAAATCGCGAAGTCTGCTTGGAGACGTGTTTGAGGCATGCTCTTTGGAAAGTGCTCAGACGCTCTTGTTGATGGTAAGCGGTCTGAGCTCTCTAATTGTATTCATGGCTGATGTTGCATAGTCTCTGTATTGCCAGAATTCGCTAAAGCCACACGCATGTTACATGTACTGTGGAATGGCTGTTCGAACTGCGCTTGCTATTGGCCTACCATCTGAGTCGATGTCGAATTCCGTCGAGGCTTGCAAGGCTGCACGAAGAACTTGGTGGTAAGTCCCAATCTCTTGGTGTGGTTTATCCCTTACTAAGAATCTGGAGGNNTGTATCTATTCCCACGAGATGTAAGCAGCAAAGCTACGCTTAGGGCGACTAACGCTAATGTTTTGAATTCAGANNGACATGTGTTGTTCTGCCGGGCGATTCGACAGTCTTGGGAAACCAAGAAAGTATCCCATCCTGCAACCTCAGATCAAGGCGAGTTAGACAAGACGGCACAAAGAAAATCTGCTGACCAGAAAATNNAAGTCCTGGGGTCCAGATTCGAGCTCCGACCCGGCCTATCTGGAGGGATCCAATATCTCTATGATCAACGTGATGGTCGACTTCGCGGTCATACTGCGACGTATCTCCAAGGACATATACCATTGTCAGAAAGAGGTAACTGCCTCCCAGAAATCGACTGCTGCTTTCTTCATAGACGCGCTCCTCGATCAATGGAAGCTCAGCCTCCCGGCCTGGCATAACTTTGACGTTGTCGACTTTCGAGAACCAGAATGGGCCGCAAAACAAAAGCTTGTTCTCCAACTGCGCTACCTGAACGCTCGTGTTATTTTGCATCGTCCATTCCTATCAGACTCGAGCATGGGTGCGCTCCAAGAGAGGCAGAAGCATATCGATCTATGTCTCGAAGCAGCCCGTAAGACCATACAAATCTTGTACGAGTCGTACGCGAACAAACACTATTTCCGTACATGGTGGTATAATTCGACCTACACCTTGTATGCTGGAATGATCGTGCTTTATGTTGTCATGCTTGGACACAGCACTGTCGCGCACGATATCCTGCTAGACGATGTCAAGAAGAGTCGAGACATCCTGAGATCTATGGAAGAAGCAAGTGTGGCTCGCCGTAGTGCAGACTTGTTGAGCGAAGTTTTGGAGGTCGCTACTGCTTACACACAGAAAAATCAGGATACAAGGGCCAACGTGCCCGCAGCGCTTCCTGCAAGCTATGCTTCTGACGATCATGCACGCCATGGACCTTCACTTTTGCCAAGTGAGATCAGTAGCACGAGCTTCGTCCAGGATCCGGAAGCATTCATGGCATCCTTGATTGACCCCAGCATACTTCAAGATTTTACCATGGACTCGAACGATTGGACAGGATTTGGCTTCTCTCCATCACTGGAGGACTTCCAGGAAGCAAGCGATAGTCGAACCAATGTCTTTTCCATCAACAGCACTGAGAGGAGACATGCCACGACTTGATGAATTTGACATGTATGAGCAACGAGGACCAGGTCACATCTTTGATATCGGCACTCATACTGGTGGCCAAAAAGAACCTACCCAAATTCGTGCCCGGAAAAGTGTTTATCATATTTGAAAAACATCAGAAGTCTTTGGTCGGAAAACTGAGCTGTCTTCCGAGTTCCGGCTCAAACCCCCGACCCCACATACCATGTTTGCTCACCCCACTTGTATGACTGATCTCATGTGTCCACGGTCTGCACATTGAACATCTCGAAAACGACAGAACTCTTGCCAGGGGTTAGACATGAACATCTCCGCATCTGATGTTGACTCCAACAAGGTCTTGTTCGGCTCANAAAGCGTCACCAAACTCCCTGACGAAATCAGAAGACTGGACAGCTCATCACCACTCATACTCACTTCAAAAGGAAAGAATGGAACACTTCATGGTGAAATTCTGGCCAAGATTTTGACCGATGCCTCCATGACTCCCGCCGCAATCCTCAATTTGGCGGTGATGCATACCCCGAAACCTGTCACGGAAGAAGCACTCGAACAACTCAAAGCTCGGGCTGCAGATTGCATCGTGTCCATCGGCGGTGGCTCTGTCATCGGCTTAGGCAAGGCCTTGTCTATTCGTACTGGACTCAAGCATATCTGCATACCAACAACATACTCTGGCAGCGAATTGACTCCCATCCTTGGCGAAACAGAAAATGGCCGAAAAGTCACCCGCTCCGATCCAAAAATCCTTCCGGACTTTGTGATATACGATGTTGATCTCACCATGTCGTTGCCATTAGCTACTTGCTCTTACTCGGGTGTCAATGCAATAGCTCATGCGGTGGAGTCATTGTACGCCGTGAACACCACTCCGACCATTTCTAGGCTTGCTCTGGAGGGCATCAAAGAACTGGCGGAGGCACTTCCGGCGATCGTTCAGCACCCCGATGATCGCGCTGCTCGCGAAAAGGCTCAGCATGGCGCATGGCTTTGCGGTGTGTGTCTTGGAAATTCTGCTATGGCGTTGCATCACAAGCTTTGTCATACCCTCGGTGGTTCTTTCAGCCTTCCTCATGCCGAAACGCACACTATCATCCTGCCTCATGCAGTGGCTTACAATGCTCCGGCTATCCCTGAGGCGATGAAGGGACTAACATCAGTATTGCCTGATAGCGAGGGTGGTGCGATACAAGGATTGAACATTCTGCTCGAGAAGCTCAAGGTATCTCGTGCGTTGAAGGAATTTGGCATGCAAGAAGAGGATATAGACAAGGCTACGGATATTGCAATGAGCATGCAGTATGCCAACCCGAGGGCAATGGAGAGAGATGAAATCCGAGAGTTGATTCGCAGGGCATGGACTGGCGAGCCGGCGAGAATTTGATCCCCGACTTGCTTTAAAAAGAAATTGGCGATACACACTCATCTGTACACCACTGAGAAGTGGGATGCGATCCAGTTTTGATGGCACCGATAGAGTATAGAAAGAGGCCTATCAGAATGCAGACCGTGTAGCCAAAACGCATGAGGACCTCGGCGGTGATGGGAGGGAAAATGAGGTAACCACCATCCCCGAAGTACGGTATGACCTGGAGACCAGTGGACTCGAGCTTGGTGGTACCGAAGCGCTGAATTCGAGCCATTGTATCGTAATCCTAGAGAAGCAGGCAGCCAGGTGTCTGGAATCCCATCGTCAGAACAGATATTCGCTTGCCAAATGATGGTCTTGCATAGCGCTGAACAACACTCGTGATAAAGTCGAAAGCCGAGAGTCGACATTCAAGTCAACTAGTCAGTGCTTCCTTCCTCGTCATCCTGTGCTTCTGCCTCAGCCTTCCCTTCCTCCCTCTTCTTCATCTCTTCCTTCTGCCTCTCCTTGACTTTTCTCGGTTTCTTTGCACTGATGGGTCCATCAGCACTTCTATCCTTCCACTGTATTATTGATTAGCGTTGTTCCTCTTGAATCTCGGATACTGAGAATACGATCCACAACATACCATACCACCATATCTATAGTATGGATATTTGCCCTCCAAACCACGAGCATCTTCTACACCTCCAGAGACAGACTTCCAACACGCACCAGGACAGACGAAATGCCATTTTTGTGTTTCGTCAATTTGGCAGCGGATGAGGATATCCCTGGGTGTGGAACAGAGTGTGCACGATTTTGTCATGGTGGATGAGTGAGGATAAAAGAAGATTGGAAGAAGTGCCTCTCTAGAATTGAGTGATGGATTCGGAAAATCAATGACATCATCGTTGATTTTTGTTTAGACTATTTTCTTTTGGAGGATGCACATATCTCACATGCATGCTCTATAGAAGCGATTAACGTATATGGGAGGTTGGCAGTAATGGTAGCATTGCGGGTATCAGAAAAAGGGGCAGAGTGCCTTGCTACCTACCTAGCGCCAAAGGTCCAGTCGTCAAATTCGTCCTCGTCGTCATCATCATCATCCTCCTCCTCTTCTTGAGGTCTTTGGATTCTTGTGTCCTCCTGCAAAGCATCTGATGTAGGGGTAGGGGCGTCTGGTAATGTGTCTTGTTGCTTGGAAAGACGCAGAGCTTCCCTCTTCTCTCGCAAACGTCTCACTCTTTCGTCCAATTCGTCCATTTCGTCAAACTCTTGTTGTAGTGCGAGTGCGGCATCTTCGGTATCAGCTTCTATCTCGGCTTCTCTTGCGGTTCGTTGTGCGCTTTGTTCTTCGCGAGCTTTGGTAGCCAGCTCCTCGGCTGTGACAGGGGCGGCGGAGATGGTGGCAGATGCGCTGATGATGGGGAGGGCAGTGTTTTGGGTTGCGGCCATCTCTCGCTCGAAGGCGGCCCATTCATCCTCATTCACGTCTTGTGCAGGGGGTGGTGCAGGAGCGCCGGGTTGTGACTCGACAACCGGAGCGTCTGGTATTGACGGAGCAGGTGCTGTGTCCACATCTTCGTCTTCGCCTTCATCCTCATTCACGCCTTCTTCGGCAGAGTCAAAGAAGCCCTCGGGTACGAAACCTCCTGGTACAGCTTTGACTCTCTTTCTGCCTTCGTCCTCGTTTTCTCCTGCTTTGCGCTTCCGGTTTGACGCTGGTGCTGGTGTTGGCGGAGGGTTCGCGCGCAGATGGTCTAGTCGAGCGGCATGTTGAGCTGACTTGATGTGATTATCCCAAAGCGACTCGGTCTTGATCTGAATGTTGCAGACGGCGCATAGCAGTTTGCCAGAATCCGAGTAGTTTGCATGAGGGTGGTTGATGCGGCGCGAGACACGCTCATTACGCAAGAGCGAGCGCACATCTGCCATTTGCGCTGGATGTGTATGATGTGTTGACGTGCGAGAAATCGTGATGGCGCGTGGCAGTCAGTTGTTGCGCGAGTTGTGTTCTGACGATTGCTTCCAACTTTTGCATCGCAAACGCATCATTTTGCCAAGAAAGGGTATGTCAATCCCTCCTTGTCACCCCTGTTTAGCGTTTTTGGACAAACAAAATCAATATCATCATGATCGTGTGATGTTTGCTACACCGTCGAGTTGAGTACGATGCACTCAATCGACACTTGGTATCTCAGGTTGGGCCATGATGATGTTGGTTTTGTTGCTGGCCAAGGCAGTTTGTTCTTGGTTGATACCGCTTGACAGTCTGCCCTAATGGCAGTGTCGACCTTCATCTATTTTCGCTCGGTCACAGCCGTTTGCCGAAGACGCAACCCAAGACAAACAGTTGGTCGAAAGAAGGCGCATCTTCTTGATGATGTCTTCTGCCCCCTGCCATCCGAGTATTCGATCCGACGAAGCCACCGGCTACATCGCCAAAGGTCAACTCTATCAAAGGTATCACTGCAAGTTTCCCATAGTGTTCCGATCTCGCTCCAACAACTTTCGCGTGTTTTCACAACTGGAGTATGTGCGCGGACCTGACTCCTCCTTGGGTTACAAGATCTTCCATGCCACGTGTGCGAGCCTGTCAGACCACCCGGTGACGCTCGCTCCCTCTTACAGCTGTTCACGACTCGCAAGCGCTCCTTGACGAACACGGTTGACCCCCTGCACTATACAGTGACTCCATGAAATACAGTCAGCCTCGGCTGTACTCACGAGGGTTACTTCTCTGCCACTTTGTCCACTATATCTACGAGTCGCAAGCGACTAGGGCTTACTCGCGCACAGTGGCCACAGCTCCCGTGATAAGAAGGAAGCACCGAAGGACCAACGGATCAACTCCGTCGGCGGTCGTCGCGCCGTCTCCCCAGCGGAAGTCTGACCGAGTCGACCATTTCGATCCTTGGTGAACATCGTAATATAGTATCCGGAACCCGATTTGACCGTCTGTCAAGGAGGAGTCCACTTTTGATGGTCAGCCCATGCAAAGAATGCTTGGCTGCTTGATATGGATGTGCAGAGCCTCGAAAGTCAAATCCCGAGGGGTCAACGGGCTTTGCATGTCGGAATCGTATGTGGTACCTTGCTCACTCACGAACGCAAGGTACAGAACCATTGTATATTTTGGCTGCCTCCAAGCTGAATATACCACCCGTGTGGTGTGGACGTGCCTATAAAAGAGCACTCTAGAATTGTGCTCGAATACTTATGACAGGCAACGGTCTCCCCGGAGTGTTCGATTTAACTTTGGACAGGAGGAACCGTATGCAAGCTTGTTTGGGAAACCTTTGCCGACTTGTCTCAGAACGCAAAGCGCGCTCCCAAACTGCCACTGGCGCTCACGAGGCCGACGTCATTCCGCGGGTGTTTTCCTCATCTCGCACCGACGCTTCTTGTTGGAAAAAGTCTGTGGTATTAGGGCGGTGTCGTATGCCTTGCGCACCTTAATCTGAGAGGATAAAATTTGCAACGATGTGATATATGAGCCCAAAACTGGCTGTCGAAAAAGATGACAGTGGCTGTCACAGTCTGCCATCAATCCGAGTCAACAAAACTGCATGCAGGCACATGCCGATCGATGATATGCAGGTAAGTGGACATGTTTAGACGGCTAAGCAATCCGAGCGTCTATTTGACAACGTGCATGCGTCTCCACCAATCCAACAGGTTAACCTTTGCTTTGGTGCTTCTGATATTTACCCTCTTCGTGCCCGCCCCGCTTCAGAAACCCATTTTCACATTGCTTGACCGACTTGGCCTTAACACAGTCTACCATAATACCGAAACTTCACGCTTGCAAAAAGTCCTCTACGATGCTACAACACGCTCAGATGTCCCATGCCTTCCAGTCGACGGCTACTGGTGTAGGTGTTGTTGCTGAGAGTCTCCAAAAAGCATGTCTTATTGACATCGTTCAGGGCCGGACATATCAAATCTCGAAACTGCCAGAGCTGGACTACGCCATCAACGTGACCATATTTAGCGATATTCTGGAATTAGATGACGAGGACGAACAATACTTCACTCGCTCGTTAGTATGCGACTTCTTTGCTCTCGCCCAACGGACTTTTACAGAGATGGATGCGTGCCTGTCAGTATACAACATCAATTCGCTCCTCTAAATGATACTAACTGGATACAACAGAGAGAGTCAAGACGTCAAACAATTGTGGAGTAAAGCCCGGTACCTCAGAGGTCCCAGTGCGACATTGGGCATCTACAAGGTCGAATTGAGTTGTGCTCGGATTGAGCAAATGACAGCAGTCGCCGACACATTCCAAGCCGAGGGCGACTCGAGGACGACGCTATGCAATTCGTCAACGATCTTATTAGATCAGGCCAAGCAACACTTCGCCGAGGCAGAGAACGCCTTGCGGCGCTTCTATGGAATGGATTGACTGAACGAAGCGTGCCCAAGGAGCGGCATCACTTTTTACGACCTCTCAATTTTAGATTCGATACAGAGGATTTAATGACACAATGGCTGGAGCCATCGATTACCATATCGCTCACCAACATGTCGTCTGGCTTATAAGAGCAGCAACGCCGATTCCTACATTCTATGTAAAACCTGATCTGTGGAGTAATGCCTGCACCGCTCCACCAGAACATCAACTCTACCAGAAGTCATTGCGAGGATTCGACTTCCATATGCAAGGAAGTGGGCTCCTTTTGAGCCTTCGACCATCGTACTGAACAACCGAAACATCAGAAATGGATTTCGAGATATTGGGCCACTGGTACTCACATNCCACAAGCATTGCAAAGCGTTTTCGAACCCAGAGGCCCTCTTCGCCATTCTGGAGAATCGGTAGTGCCGCACTCTTTGCACAGATACTCTTGCGCAAGTTCTTGTTTGCGCTTCTTTGTGCGTGGTTTGGCTGTCCAGGCACCAGTTTCCTTCATCGTCTGCAGGCGTGAAGTGGTGATTTCGATCCCTATATCGCCCATTACAGAGTCTGTTTGTGGCTTTGTGGAAGTGGTCGATTCGGAGAAACTTCTTTTGCTGCGGGACACTACCGATCCTGATACAGAAAGGGTAGTTGATGGAATTTCCGAGTTTGACACTTTTATCGAGGGCTGTTTGTTCTTTGTTAGTTGGCGTATCGATGACAAGAACATAATATATGTGNNCAAAAAATGTTGCTTCAGAATCGCGATCTCGTTTTCCTAGTAGATGATGGTTCTGCTGAGATCCGATCCTGATCGAAGTCTTTGCCAGTATATCTAGATTCTGGAAACACTCACTGTCGTAGCGTTCGCCGTCGTAGTCTCGAGTTTGAAGGTAGCACACTGGACTGTGGTGTCGTCTTTCTGAATACAGGCTGTTGTGGTCGATATTGTGCTTTCGTAGAACTCCTCGGCTTCTCCTTTCAGCCAGGCCAGCTGGTTGGTTAGGCGGATGTTTGTGGTATAGTGTTCGAGGAATGAGTCCATCAAGGATGTACTCGTAATCTGATAAGGTCTTGAAGTCATCAAGCACAGCTTNGTTGCCTTTTTGGAACCAGTCTTGCCGTCCACGGTGTTGTCGGTGTATGGTTTAAAGGTCGACTCAAAGGGCTTGTAGGTATCATCTCCTTGTCGTAGTCGATGATGGCTTCTCCAAGAGCTTCCTAGTGCCATATTTTCCTTCCACTCCAACAGGAATACAGGGATATCGTCGACATTCATGTATGTGCTGATGTAACGTCCAATAAGAGCTTCAGGCTTAATCTGGATGAGCGAGAAGCTTTTGGTNGAAGCATACAACACACGACCATCCTCAGCCAACACCAGCAGTAAGTCCTCAATACCATCCACCACTTTCTGATGGAACCCAGCAGAGCGATCAACCGGCAGACTGTCAATCTCGATCTGGAAATTGGGTGCCATTGTGGCTTTTCCTAGGCGCTATTTGGTATAAGAGTAGAATCGGCGATTTCGCTTTCGTAAAAGGGACGAGAAACAGACAAGACGATAGAGAAGTCAACGATTGGGTCCTCACGAGGAGAAATACCTCCAAGGTGTGCCTGTGTCCGTGCCCCAAGGTGCTGGCTCACAAGCCGCTTAGGCATCGTTTTTTTAGACCACCATACAAGGGATTGGCTTTTCCGGAGCCATATCACTGCCGTTCCTTTTTTGATTCAGGCGCACAAGACAGCAGAGGCTCAATCAACTTTGACAGCTTATGCCCCCTCATCACGCTAACGCCGCACCCTGAAAAGCATCCCGAAGGAAGAGGATCCACCACTTGGCGCACACGACTCTTTCCTGGCCAAACAATCCTCACGGATTTCGCTCTTGTGTTGGTTGGTCGTAGTAAGATTACCGCAGACATGCTCATCAATTGCACCCAGCAGTGTGGGAGAGCGACGGTATGCGAGGGTCATTCCAACTGTCCGCTGGCTTGGCGGCGCAAAAATCACGGCGAGCCAGTCCGAAAGTCGCTTGCGGACTCGTTCTCGCATGCCACCGGCGCATATCCGGTGCCCTCCGAGGTCGCGAAACAAGTCCGAAAGTCAGGCCATGCCATTCTAGACAATCCCATCACCGATCTGAATACCAAAAGGGAAAAGTGGTTGTACAACGACGATACAGCAAAGCAAAGAGCGCAGCGGCAAGAGGTCGAGAACTTCTGCGTTGCATTAGAGCCGCGGAATGATCGTCAGACCCTGGCGTTCTAGATCTTATTTGTGCCTCTTTCTGCATGAGAATTGAAACAGCACTCCACGATGACGGAGAGCTGCTGTAGCCCGAACTGCTCTCGGGGATTTTGCTGCCTCGCGCGAGGAGGGGAACGTGAACTTGGATTCGAAACCCAAGGCCACCACCTCAAACGTCAGCAAAAGTCGCAATAGTCTTGTTAGCAAAGCACCAATTCCCACGTGCAGCCGCACTGATGCTGCTAAACATCGATGATCCAAAGTAGTTACGATCGTCGCCATGTCGCTTCTAACCACCGGACTGTTATACACACGGATTGTGGCTTGCCAGGTTGCCAGGCAATAATCTTGTGATGCAGTTCGGTGATTTAGAAACAGGAGTAGCATTCGGAGTAGGCGTTCAACAATCGACCGATTGTTTGCCTCAAGATATGCGAGTTATCGCGATTTGGTATGCAATCGGTGCAGCATGCTTGCGTGGCCGAGAGCCACTTGTGTCACCAGCTTCATGCCAACACGAGAGACTGCAACAACAGGTCATTTCATCAGGATCAGAAACACGACTCTTGTGAGAGGCTTTCTGCCTCCGAAGTTGTGTTTGTTATCGCTGACTAGCCGGTCACAGGATGGGTCTGAGCATGAAGCCTGTAGGAGATTCTCGTCCTCATCATCTCCGAGACTTCGTCAACAACAGTGAGCATAACCGTTTACCAGCCTGCTTCGATTGGTCCTCCGATGCATGTCTGAAGCTGCGCTTGAGAGAGGACTTTCGCAGCAGAACAAGTACGAATGACCCACAGATTCTCTCATCAAGTTGGTTCTGTGGTGTAGTTGGTTATCACTTCTGTCTAACACACAGGCGGTCCCCGGTTCGAACCCGGGCGGAATCATTGTTTTGCATCTTCCCTGCAACATCTTTGTGTGGTGGAAGATGGTGTTGAGAAGTTGGGATGCTTCCAGAATTTTTCGAAATCTCGTCACTGTACGGGCAAGCTTGGCTGCACAGCGACGCCAGGACACTGTCAAGAGGTAATTCTGTATGAAGTAGGTGGTCATTGTGACCATTTTTTATGTAGTCGTCTCTTGTATAGTCGTGATAGGGCTAAAACATGGAAAGGTTGAGAGAGACAGAAGCGTTGCAGCAGGACCCAATTCGGATACTAGGTCTTTCTGCTGCTCCTTAAGGCTTCGAGAAGAGCTAGGTTCATCGTTGGCACTTGGAACACATGGTTCTAGAGAGTCCTCGAGTTCCATGAGCAAACCCTGGGCTTCACCACACCAACCATCAACCTACTCGAGCACCGACTCGAATCTTCGCTTAGCACGAGGACGTGTCAGAGAGCTATATATTAATCTGCCCGGGGGCTCCACCAAGATCCTGAATCTGGCAAACCGGATTCAACCCTTACAAGCTAAGGTGATGTGGTGTAGTGGTAGCATGTGTCGTTGTGGAGGTTAAATTCCAGCAACGCCGACCCGACGGCGGTTCGATTCCGCCCATTGCCAGGATCGTATTTCTTTTGTTAATTTTGTTATATCATTTTTACTTGATCAGAGAGAGAAAAATTGGCTAAAAGTTTTGAAGCCTGAGGTTAGTGAGGCACGTGCGTTGCTTGTGCTTGGCACGCCGGCTGCCCAACTTCCGATGCGTCCCCCTGTCTTTTTGTACTTCCTCTTTCGCTTGAATGCTCTACGCTAGATATGCAGATGGACATGTAAGCTGACAACCAGAAGAAATTGTAAACATCGTCTCTCAGAGCTTCGTGCAACATCACTAAGAAGGATGCTTCCTTGCTCTTACACGGATAGATTATGTCTTCCAACAACACTCATAGATCAGACCTTGGCCGGCTCGCTAGCCTATGCCCTGTGATAGAATTATATTGCTCCTGCCGGCTTGGTGGATGAAATCGCGCACACGTTTTGTGGTATAAAGCAAAACTTTATCGTACATCTTGATTGTTGGCAGAGGTGTGGTCTGGAGGGCGAACATAGAGAAAAAGATAATCTAGTATGAGACAGTCAACGACAAACAAAAGGAATGACCGGACCAGGAAAATATACACTGGAGTCGCTGTCTTGTGACATCTGCAGCCATACGAATGCGAGTAGGTGGCGCCATCCTTTTGTCTTGTAAGATTGTGGTTGGTGAGTGTGGTGCGACAAAAAAGAAAGAGTGATTGGTGTGACAAACAAGAAAGACGCACACAAGCAAGAAAAGAAAAAGAGCAAGTGACAAAGTTGTATACTATAGGAAGGAGCAAGTGACAAAATCCCATGTCAAAGAAAACAAACATGGAAGCCGCTTGCTGATAATTTATATAACATTTGTATTTCATTGCAAAATCATGCTTTGCTTGACATTTGAGCTTGCTATATGAATACAAGAATTACAAAGCAAAACCAGCAAGTCCCATTTTCCGTATCCTCAAAGCTATTTCATATCATAATCAGCTTGTATAACTATTTCTCCTTCTTTGAGGATCATCATCCTTTCTTACCATATCATCCTTTCTTGTCTGTCTTGCCCTTGTTGCTCTCTTGAGAGTATCCAACTTCTTGTCCGGGGTTCCAAGCTGAACGAAATTGGTAATTTGGCTGAATTTCCATAATCCCCATCTTCTACCGTCGGCTGTATAGGACGTGAACGTGCAATTGTCTTTGGTTGGTTGACCTCCGATTTTAATGTCCCACAAAAATACAAGCCAGTCTTCCTGGACCGGCATGTCGGCAATCCAGGTGGTAAACCGTTCCCAGTGCCCAGTAAGTGTGTCTAGACCTGGGGATCTAACGAGCTTTCGTCCAATTGTGCACAGGAGTATCTCCAGAAGCGATGTGGCCATCTCAGAGCCTAGGGCATTTTCCTTGACTCGAAAGGTACCATCTTTCTTTTGCTGCTTGCACATCAACTCTTCATTTACCGATGACAGCGCCGGAGCGTGAGCTAACGAAAGGTTGTAGACCTGGACGGCGCTGAAACACACGTCTGTTGGGTTGACTGCAAGGTCGGTACAGAATTCAACGGCAGTCTTGCAAAAGTCGACCTGGCCTTTGACATTTCCTTTTCCTTGTGAGTGTCGACAAGCAACAACCACATGCTTTAAGATTTGAAGCATTTGATCAAAGTGTGTGACTTTGTCCAACACCAAGCTGATGTTTATTTGCAACTTAAACTGTTCAACATTTGGTGTTGATTTTCCAAATACAATAGTCTACAAAAATTCAGCATTGTTTATACCACAGTAGTTGGATTAGAAAGAAAATTACCATTGGTGTACAGTTAAGATCCCTATCCATACACCTTGAACATGACCAGATACCGTCGTACTGGGCCGTACAAACAGATTCGCTTCTGCGACACTTGTTGCACTATAACCTTGTTGAAGCAAATAACAAGACAAGAAGGAGAAGAGAATACGGCAAGAAAGTATACCTAGTTTGGTCTTCCAAGACGGCCAGTAATCTGCACTCCATACTTTCTATGGAACTACACTCTTGAGCCTCGTGGTCAACAACAAGGCTTATAATCTCCCATCTGCGCTGGAACAGTGTTGCATCAAAAACTGCATCGTCAGCAGTATCCTTGGGCTTAGAAACATCTTTCTGGTCGCTGCTTGATGTTGCCTTGTCTTTGACTGGAATATGTGGTGTTGTAGACGAGGAGCCACGAGTCTCAATAACCACTTGAACTGACTGAACTCGTCGACGAGCGGGTACCACAGATGACATTGTTGCTGTCAAAGCGATGTAGAAGATCGGTTTGATCCCGTGAGTGATGGTTGTCTTGGTGCGAATAAAAGTGGTCTTGATGTGACCTCGTTGATGTCGTTGCCTGGCTTTTGTTGTTGGCAGGGAAGGAGTCAGCTGCAAGAGAAGAATCACTTGGATGAGGCTTGTCGAGAGCAGTATCGTCCAGAACTATACCGTCGAATGCAGTATCATCGATGTCGCTGATGTCGTCAAAGATGGAAGGTCCATTGGTGAAAGCTGGAGCTGAAGGTGTAGCAGTGAAAATTGGAGTTGAAGATGTAGCTGTTGAAGTCGGAGCTCAAGTCGCAGCAGCTGGAATTGGAGCTGGCATTAATGTAGTGGTGCTCTGTGCTCTTGGTCGCCATGGTGTGGCGCGCAGTCTCTGACGACGAGCTCCTCTATATGGATCGTTAGTCAAGAATAATGGAAAACAAGCATGTGTGTTCAGATACTCTTTTATCCAACTCTGTGCAAACTGTAGGATGCCGTGGGTTTCGAAAACATGTGTCCCTGACCCTTCGTAAACTCTTGATTGTGATGATGTGGTGCATCTGGGCGAGTTGCAATTGCGATGAGAGCTTCTTTATGTTCTCCAAAGACTCTTATTCTGTCCATGCCACCATTTCGAAGTGACGGGCCACGCTGGCCAGAAGGATTCATTGCGGCAACGGAACCCTATTGATATGGTGGAGGACTTGAAGGGTGAATGTAATGAGGAGTTTATGAAGGACAATTCAGTGACAGACGGGGATAGCGAATCGGATAGACTGAGAGATTAGATGGAAAAGAGGTTGGAAGTGAAGAAAGAGAGAGAGAGGAAAGGAAAAAGAGCGGTTAGGCGAGAGCACAAGGAAAAGGACGTATTAGTATCTTCCAATCGTAAAAGACTTGGTTTAGAGGCATACTCCTTCCTCGCAAGACAGCATCCAGGCATCTAAACTTTTGCCATCATATATACCCCGAAAGGGCCACGGCCTTGACAGGATAATGAGGTTCGTGTGATGGTATGGGCAAAAGTAGGCAACACACGAAGTCCGCAACCCCCAGCCATGTCCACTCTGCATAATTTTATACAATATGCACAAGTTATTCTTGTGCACACCTCCGCCCCACTTTACCTCTTCCACCGTGCCCAAAAAAAAAAGTTTGCTGCACACTCAAGAAGGGTTGCAGAAAACCAAAAGAATGCCTCGAGGGAGAATCGAACTCCCATCTAAGGATTACCCAAGCCATGCTTGGTCATATTGATGACCGATATGAGACCTTCGTACTAGCCGTTATACTATCGAGGCTTGATGTGAGAGGCCTCTAAACCAAAAAGTATATTCTCTAGACCACCTCGCGAGACATGAGAGGAGGCGAAACGCTTATGCAAAAGATCGGATCCATGATTCTCTTTCATGGGTAATAACACCGAAGAACTACTTTCCATGTCTCTGATCATGTTACGATGCGTCTGGGGTGCTGGTAGAGATTGTGTTGAAGGTCGAGGTATAACACATGGGTTTGCGTGCACGAAAGTGGTGAAAGGAAAATACATGTCCAAATCCATACAACAACACATTGTGCACGATTGGGCACCGCATGTCACATGGAGAGACATATAAGCAGTCTTTGTGACTGCTTCAAAGTGATATAAAGCGCTCATCACGGTACAAGGCCGTGTTGAGAGGATAGATATATCAGAGTCCGGGTCGTACCACCGGCATCCGACTTGGCCCAATCTATGAGATTCACGAAGGATCACCCCGGTATCACCCCAAGTCTTTTGCGGTCCGTCGATGTGGCATCTGAATGACGATGCAGTTGGTTATTAGGCCGCTATGAGACTATTGACTGCGTGATCTACTCTTCGTCCCCTTTGGCCTCGTCAATCTGCGCTCTCAATCCACTCCTTCCGACCTTCATGGCCATCTCCAACTCCCTCTCAGCCTCGCCCAATCGACCGCGTCCAAAGGCCAAGTCCCTTTCTCTCTTCCTCTTTTCTTCCTCGACCTTCTGCTCTCTCTCCCTCAGTGCTTGTTCTCTACGCCTCCTCTCCTTGGTTTGTTTTTCCTGCTCTGCTCTCTCTTCTTCGGTTGCTGCTTCCTCCTCATCTGGCGCGGGCGCCAAGGTAGAGATGTGTGCTTCCAGTAGATCGTCGCGAGATTTAGGAGGCAAAGAGATGAACCGGACATCGATTAGAAGATCCTTGGGTAGGTTCTCAAGTCTGGTGTTTCTGTTCAAGTGTTTGAGGGGTAGAGACTTGAGGAGAGTAATCAAGTCTGACTTCAGCTGCGAAGACGAAAGCTTAAGACGAGCAATGTGTTCGCGGTATAACTTCTCCCTTTCCTTGTCGCTGAGCTTCGCATCGCGCATGGCGTCTTCTTTCTTGTACTTCCTACGAAATTCTGGCCAGTAAAGTTTTGGCGTTGCTTTTTCGGACAGTAGAAACAGATAAGGGATGCGTGGGTCCAGCTTCTCCTGTTTAGCCTTTTGTTCGCGGAGTTGTGCGATCTTGGTGCGAGTCCAGTCGCCCCAAACCTCCTTCCTGCGCTTTGTAGTCGGCAAAGCAGTGTACCTGCTATCATCTATGATGCGGCCGTCGGAGATGAGAGTTTCCCAAGGTATGTAGGGCGAGATGTGCTGGTCCTCGAGCATATCGCAGAATAGCGCCGCGCCGTCTTCGTCGGTCAGAGGGATGCCTTCCATGCCCTCTTCGTATTCTTCTTCCCCACCACCTCCAAATTCGCCGCGATCGAGACCATACGAGTCTTCCATTGCAGCTAGCTGATAGGCGATGTCGTCTTCGTCGAACTCGAGAGGTCCATCTTCGGCTTCTGTGCCGTCTTCTTCTTGTCGCGGCGCACCGCCCTCCTCATCCTCGTCATCTGTAACCTCAATCTCCTCGTATTCCGAGTCTGATCCAGCAGCATCTTCTTGCGGCTTTTCAGGTTCTTGCGATTTGGTCTTGTCCTCAGGCTTCTCAGATGACTTCTCAGCCACCTTCTCAGGTTCTTGCTTAGGAGCGCGTTCCGCTACAGAGAACTTGTTGGCACCACTGGCCTCGTCCAGATTCTTGAGCTTGTCATCCAGTTTTAAGCGATCGAATTCGACAACGGCCTTCATGACATCGTCTGGGAACTTCCAAAAACTCTCGTTGGTCTCGGGGTTGTGAACGAAGCGTCGGCCAAGCTTGGTGTAAACAACGACCCATGGCTTGCAGTTCGGAATGACTTCTTTGCGCTTTGGGCGGTCTTGAGGCTGTGGTCGACGTCGTGGCTCGTGAGAGGGAGCAGCAGAGTTGAATGCAGGCTGGCCGTATGGTGGGTATGGATTGTACTGAGCATTTGATGGGTATGGGTTGTATGCAGCGGCGGATTGGCCGTATTGAGCGGCAGGGTTTAAGTTGTATTGGGCAGCAGCGTTTGGGTTGTACTGAGCTGGATGGAAGGTAGCTGGCGGAGGAGAATAGGCGGGCTGAGCTTGGGGCGGAGTAGGGACTGCAGGAGTGGCGGCTGGTCGTGTATATGTCGAGGCTTTGGTGGCCGTGTTGTAGTAGTATTTGTGACCTGTNAGCGTGTCAATGAGTGTCTTGAACTGACAACCATGAACTTTTGGAAAAGTACCTGTTGGTGCGGTGTGTTCGGTCCAGCCCGGCGGCAGCGGTGGGAGATCCTGTGCCGCCTTGTATGTCGACTTTAGTCTCTTGCGATCGGGCGCGTCCATGGTTCGTGGTGTACAATGGACGATGGCAGGATGGAAAGAAAGTTGACCATACAAAGCCAAGGCGTCAAGAAACGAGCTCGGACAAATGACGTCCCCAGGTCTGGACACTTTGAATTGGAAGCTTCGATGAGCTCTCCTTTTGCCAATCATTGACAACAAGTTACAAAACTGTCTACAGACAACGACATGGACGAGTTCGCACAGACAGGAGCACAACAAGATGATCTGTTTGACGATATTCAGTACGACCAATCAATGCAGACTCGTGGAGATGATCTGTTCAGCCATGAGATTCAACCTGTGAATCAAGAGGTCCATCATACCACCGAACCGGAGAAGCAAGAAGAACCAATCAAGCAACCGGAGGCAGAAATACCAGCTACGACTACTGAGTTAGCGTCAGAATCAGCAACAGCCCCTGCAGGGTCAACACCAACACCTACGACTTCGGCACCAGCTCGCGGTGGACGTGGAGGTGCTCGAGGAAGGGGAAGAGGCAGGGGTCGCAATAACCAGGATCGCAACGACCAAGACCGCAGCCAACAGAACCGCAACAACCAAGATCGCAGCCAACAGGATCGCGCCAACTCAGACCGTAAGATCAACGAGCCTCGTCGCAATAACAATGAGTCTCGTCGCAACAATCAAGACCGTACCAAGAAGGACTCGCAACCAAAAGATGTCCCAGCCGAACAGCAAGAACAACAACCATCAGCTGCTACCGCCGAGCCTACGAAGCCAGCCACCAATTCTGTACGCGGTGACCGTACCGCTACAGGAGGCCTTCGCAAGCCCAAGCTCAGTGAACAAGAGTTGGCCGAGAAGATGTCCAAGATATCGCTCAAGAACGAGAAGCTTGCAGCCGCACACGCAAGAGCCGAAGCAGATGCCGCCGACTTTGCAGAGCGTGAAGAAGTCGCAGCCAAACGTCGACAAGAAGAACGTAGAGACAGACAACAGATGATGGGCGAAAGAGAAAAGAACAGGTTACGCAAACTCAAGGCTGTAGGCGGTAGAGAATGGGATGCTGAGAAGCCTGACGATGCAGATGCCTTTGGAGGTCCTCGGCAGGCTGGTGGCAGAGGACGCGGTGCACACGGAGGAATCACTGGCCAACGGAACCCAGATGGCTCTCGTGAAGGCTTTGGCGGCGACAGAGAAGACCACACCGATGGACGCGAATACATGTACCGCGAGGACAGGGGTAGAGGCAGAGGCCGTGGAAGAGGAGGTCGTGGTGGAGGCCCGGGCAGAGGGGGACGTGGCCCACAGCAAGAGAAACAAACCTCTCAATCTGTACCCAAGCCCACAGACTTCCCAGACTTATCGGGCTCGGCCTCAGCTCCCAAATTTGATACCGCTCCGCCGCCGACGATGGCCTTCCCGACGAAAACAAAGCTTGAGAAGCTCGACATCGACGAAACTCCTGGCACGGAGAAGAAGTCTTGGGCTGACATGATGGAGTAAACTCGCGAAGTGTATGCTTTACAGACGAGCTGGTCTCTGCAAGATCCTACACATTCCTTCCACTGTTATGTTAGGTTTGTTTATAGGTCGTGGAGATTCATTCTGTTCGTGATGAGTATACATTAGCAACACTTGGTTCAGGCAGTCTGCTCATCAGGTCTAAATCAGTTAGTGAAGGATCACTTTGAAAGTTTGGAGCGATCACTTCTTGGTGAGAATTCGCACCTTCCTTTCACAACACTGTCGCGTCGTCCTGCGCACTTTCCTTCTCACCACTTCATATCAGGCAGACGCGTGCCTTGAGTGTTCACTTCTTCGACCTCTTACTTCTGCACACCTCATCACAATTACCAACACCTTGACACGAATATCAAACAACTTAGCGTGCTTCGCCCGACGCCAATTGTCAACACGCATCTCCATCACCATGGCTAGCACCATTGAGCTCCCAAAGGAGGTCTGGCTTGAGGTCTTCTCTCATCTCGACTACTTCACGCTCAAGAACTGCATGAGCGTCAGCAAGGCCTTCAAGTCCTTCACCAAGCTCCCCACTTGCCAAAAGACCATGTTCCGCTCCAAGACAATCATTCCAGATGGAGGCAATATCAATCTGGCCAATGTGCGTGTGCATCCAGCATTCGATTGCATGTCATACGAATGCGCCACCGACCTCGACGAGGTGTATCTCGGTGACGACACCGTTCTCGCCGACACTTGTGCTGCCGACGAGTACGCTACCGACCCTCCTGTTGCCTTCCTCCGTCTCCGCGTCGTTGAGTGGAAGCCTGTTCAGATCACAAACAAGAGTGGTGTCACGGTTTTGCAGGTCATGAAGTCTCTGTGCCGCTTCTTCTCAAACGAAAACCACCGTGACTCAAGAGGCGATCACACCGGATGGACTGGCTGGGATGAGACAAAGCTCGACCGCAAGGGTCGTCTCGTGCTCGGTGTCGACTGGTTCGACTCCTGATCGGTAAGTCCAGTTCTCGAATTTTATGACAGCTACAATGGATACTGACCACCAAGGGCGCAGCTTCCATCACGGCAACAAACTCAACGAGTTTCGTGACATGCGCACGTTCAAGATTCTGTCCAAAGACCACTGCGCTCTCGATACTGTATATGCTCGCAATGACTGTACAACGACCAAAGTTCGACATCAATTTCATTATCGATTCCTCGAGTTCGCTTCCGGCACTGATTTACGACCTGATGAAGACCGCTGAGACCCCAGCGCCTGTTCTTGTTGTGAGGAAACAGAGGAGAAACTTGTCATGATTAGGGTTGTATTGCAATCATGGAGGTATTCTGGTTGCTCCGATGCCTTGCTGGCAACCTTAACTAGCTATTCTGACCAGACAAGCTCAATATTCAACCCTTCGATTCACCATGTCAATGCATTCTCTAGACCGCAATCCGCAAGGCACATACCTTGAACCATCTCAAGCTGACCTAAGAGATAGAAAGCTGATCTTGCGCACCTGCTTCCGCCAGCGGGAAACCACATCTTGGTCCTCGGCGAGCACCATCTGATCCTACAGTCCAGACGCTCAACAAACAAACCTAATCTGGTTTGCTTTTATCCTTGGTACTGTTGGCCAAGACGTAAATCCATCTTTGGCACTTGCGAATGCGAGCAATAATGAACGCAGAATGAGGGTTCGACGATGTGCTTGTCGAAGACTCATACCGTTCGTCATCAACTATGATCGCCTCCACCATCATCTTGCATACGGATGTGCTCCTTTTTCGACAAACCGCCTCGGCTTTCCTGTCTTTCTTGCGTCTGATGACCTTCTCGAAGATTAACAAGGTACATGGAAGAAGTCGAAATTATGACCAAGGAACCCCTCACGCAAACAAGCAAAAGCATGGCAAAAAGAAAACATGCATAATGCGGGCATGGTATGCGGCTCTAGTACGTAGGGGAATGTGGTCACGCTACCACAGGCAAGTAGATCGTCATCCCAGCACTGAATCGATCTCTGCAGACACGGACTGGGTTCATCCCCAGCTGAAGAAGCATGGTTTGCAACCCTCCCGAGGCAGGCTGTTCTCTCTCCAGATCACCCCATCTCCACGGGGTGAGCTGGACGGGCAGGATAGGCGGTGGGAGAAAAGAAGCGACCATGGCGGCCCCCATTGCCCAATCGGCCCGCTTTGGTCTTTGTCGAGGGGTAGCGCTATACCAAGTGGACCCTCCCCATACCAAGTTCCAACTTCCCGTCGTTTTGCGCGAAACATTATTGACCGTGGGGAGATTAACGCAAAACTTGAAGTCAACCCGGGCCTCAACTTGTTGATTTTCTGGAAAGCAACAAAAGTTATGAGAAGCCTCAACTGTGAATGCCGTGATTCCTGTGCCCTAGGCGTGCGAAGAGCCAGCCACATTGGCGACCACCATGACAACGAGGCAAGTTTTGGCACGAGGAGTTAAGGTCAACAGAAAGTTGGCTTCGAAAAGATCGAGAAGACTTCCCCTTGGGGAACCCCCGACAACCGTGTCTAGCCGTGATATGATCTTCGGCCCGACTACCTCATCGGTCTTCTCCTAGCGTGACATCTCCACGAAACCCCACGAAACCTGGTGAGATTAGCCGCCTGGTTAGCGTGATCCAGACCGCTTAGCTTTTCTACACGCGCCGCTGTAAACCTTGCTTATGCTTGATGAGCAGTCGAGTCGATAGGTAAGACCGCCCAGAGGTTGAGACGATCCGATATTGCCAAGGTCGAGTAACAGACAAGCCATTGAGTGCGGTGTCAAGCATATCGAGCATGACAACAATGCTTGTACTATGGGCCTCGAACGCATCTCGAGCTGCGAAATACCGTTCCAGCTCCAGCTCAAAATTCACGAGACACTACCAAATCCTTCGGAGGGTGCCACCCACCGTGCGTGCCGTTACCAGACTTTTCCGCTGCTCATGCATGATCACGACAATGGGCGTTTATGGCACCCCTTGACTCTGACTAGCAGCCACAAGTTGGGAAAAAAACTTGTGAGATGATGTTGACAGCCGCAACGTTATGCAATCCCAGGTAATTGCCGGAGCTATGCAGTCAGGTTGATGTGGCGTAGTCCGAGCTGTTCTGCAGGCCGATAGGATTTCTTACCGAGAGGAGTCCTGCATGCATACCGAGTCCGATGCACGAGAAATTTTGAGCACTGAGCGGTATGTTCATGCACGAGCAACTGTTCCCCCAGAGAGCTACGGCCAACTGGTAAGCGGTAAGCAAGACATCTTGCCAGTTTACGCTTTACTACTCGTGCGAATTTTCATGAATCGTTGGTCGGATCGACGAGCGATTGCTGGCCAGTCTGCCCATCCCCCACGGAACCCCAGCTCTCCAGGACAGAAGAAGGACCGATTATCGTCTGGAGTTCATCTGGAGCGCTGCAAACCCCAGCAGATCCCCAGGCGGACCTGTACTTCGGACCGAATACTCATGCCTAGCGCATGCCGGCTGCTGGCCGTTGGCCCGTTCAATGTTAGACTTCGTCGTTGCATGGTCTATGCATCGAACTAGACGGTACGTGCTTGTCCAGATCTGGAGTCCCCATGGGTTTGGAGCATGTAGCGATATAGAGAGGCAAGCAGTATAAGTACCAGCTCTTCCTCCTGTCAAACAACGATCATCATCCAGCATCAATCAGCAGATCCAAGTCTCTCATTTAGACTCTTCAGTCTTTCTACCATCGTTCATTCTTTCGAATAACACACCTTCATTACCAAGGATCTAGCTCATTGCTCCTGCACCCACCAATCCTTTTACCACTACTACATCAACAATCGTAGCAATGGCTGGCGGCGGTATTCCCATCGCTACTACCACCATCGCTGGTGGCTTCCTCACTGGAAAGAAGCTCATCTTCCCCATCGCCCTCATCACCTCGCTCTTCTTCCTCTGGGGTTTCTCTTACGGTCTTCTTGATGTCTTGAACAAGCACTTCCAGAATGTCCTCGGTATCACGAAGCTTGAGTCCACTGGTCTCCAGGTCATGTACTTCGGTGGTGGTTACCTCATCTTCTCCCCCATTGCCGCTGAGGTCCTCAAGCGTTTCGGTTACAAGGTCTGCATCCTGATGGGTCTTTCTCTCTACTCCATCGGTGCTGTTATGTTCTGGCCTACTGCCCACTTCTCTTCTAAGGCCAATGCCTCTGCCTCGTTTGGTGGATTCTGTGCATGTACCTTGGTCATTGCTTGCGGTCTTGCTACCCTTGAGACTGCTGCGAACTCCTACGCCGTTGTCATTGGTGACCCCAAGACTGCCTCTCCTCGTCTCCAGTTCTGCCAGGCCTGGAACGGTGTTGCTTCCTTCATCGGTCCCCTTATCGCTTCCAAGGCTTTCTTCTCTGGCAAGAACGCTGACAACCTTACCAACGTCCAGTTCGTCTACCTCGGTGTTGCCTGCCTCGGTGTCGCTGTTGCCATCCTGTTCGTCTTCGCCAGGCTCCCTGAGGTTGCTGAGGAGGCCAGACGCAACAACTCCCTTGTCGAGCCCGAGCACGATCTTGAGGGCCGTGAGATTGGCCAGGGCAGCATCTGGAAAGAGTACAACATGCTCTTCGGTTTCCTTGCTCAGTTCTGCTACGTCGGTGCCCAGGTCACCATCGGTGCCTTCTTCATCAACTACGCTGTCGACAACGCTGGCTGGACCGAGGCCGCTGCTTCCAACCTCCTCTCCTACGCTCTGATCACCTTCACCGTCGGCCGTTTCATCGCCACCGCCATGGCCACCGTCCTGTCTTCCAGCTTCATCATGGTCGTCTACAGCATTGCCACCATTGCTCTTAACGCCTACGTCTGCGCTGGTAAGGGCAAGGGTTCCATTGGTGCCGTCATGGCCATTTACTTCTTCATGGCCCCCATGTACCCCACCATCTTCACCATGGGAACTGCCAACCTCGGTGTCCACACCCGTCGCGGTGCCGGTATCCTCGTTATGGGTGTCGCTGGTGGTGCCGTCTTCTCTCCCATCCAGGGTGCCATTGCCGATGCTGCCAACACCCGTATCTCTTTCGTTACCCCTCTTGTCGGTTTCCTCGTCGTCCTTAGCTACGTTGCCTTCCACTGGAAGCAGGAAGGCTTTGCCCTTCTCCGCATCAAGACTGGCGATGAGATTGTTGCCGCCGCTGGTGTCGAGGGTGGTGCCGTCATCGCCAAGCGCTCCATGTCCATCACCGAGCAGCAGTACGTTGGTGAGCTCAAGAACTAAGAGTGTTCGTTTTGAGTCTCTCTTGTAAATACTATGTCACGAGTTTTATTGTTTATTTTTGGGTCTTTCTGCGGTAGAACAGAACAGCGAAGGCGCTTTTCGAGGTGATTGAACTGGGATTATGATGATGTCTATACACTACTACAGGCTACGATGTTTTTGAAAAATTTCACTCCTTCTTCAAACAAACAATTGTCTCTGCCTTCTTCCTTGACTGAATGTGAATGTTGGTCAACTCAATTATATGTTTTCATCGATACTCAAGGACCTTCATTTGTAAGCAATGGTACACAGAAACCACAGTACGAGATTGAAGTGGGCAACAGCGACATTGACCTTCAATTGATTCCAAGGCTGGACAATGAGTTCTGAAGGTGGAAAGATGAACAATCTACTTTTCCTTGGGCTTGCCGGTCATGTAATTCTTGTTGAATGACTTGTGACGTGTCGAGCGACGGGGTTCTGTGATCTCTTCGGTGGGCTTGGCGTCAACTTCGTTGCTTGCAATATCATCGCTGTCGTCGCCAATCTCATCTCTAGCTGAAGGTCTCTCGGCTGCTAGGTGGTGGTCATCTAGAGTATGTCAGTCATTGGTTCGTTTTCTAGTGGTTTGCTTTCTTTTCCGCATCTTTCGTCACTCAGGGATTAACTTACTATTGACATTACCGTATACCAGTTTTTGGCCTTTCTTCAACTTCAATCTTCTGGCCTTGAATCTTTTCCTAACATCCTCCAGTTCCTTCATGTCACGCTCTGCACGGCGAAGTACCTCTCGTGCTTGCCACAAGAGAACTTCAACAGCTGCCTCTGATTCTTCTGTCTTGCCAGGACCATAGATTTCTCGGCCCATTTCAACAAAGCGGACAGCTTCCTTTGCGTGGTGAAGATAATCAGTGCCGCCACAAGCAAGGACGATGTGTGCGTGGACGCCGAAGAGCAAGGAAAGTTCTGCATGCTCTAAGAGCATGCGGGCAATTTCATTGGCTTTTTCGCTACTCTTGGGGGTGTCTTCGTAGGAGAGCGCCATCATCTGGTCGTCGAGAGTAGCCATGGCCATCTCGCCATGTTTACTCATTGCTGCTATGAGGTAAGGGATGATACTGCTGTTTTTGTTCTGTTGAGTTGATTGCGCTGTGCTTGTTCCAAGGGAAGAAAGGTGTTGGCGTGGGATGGCTTGGGTTCACTTGAGAAAAGTGATTAGAATAGGGCGAGGAAGGTGCACTGAGGACGATCTTGGTCACCCGTGAATATCAGAATTTGAGATCAAACCGAATTTGGAGGGAAGGAGCGCATCAGTGAAGCACTTGACAAAAGTGTGTGGTTCCGTCCAAAATGGATAGGTTCAATATTACCATTGTAGGCTTCGTATGTGAGCGGACAAGGTGGCTCCTATGTGTTAGGGCGCAAAGATATCGATGGAAATTCGTAAAGGTCGTTCAATATGCTTTGTAAGAGATTAATCGTAGCGTGGCCTTTTNTCATCTCGTCCACCACGATCATCATCCCTTCTTCGTCGCTCGCCCACGACAGAAGCATTTGCTCCGGTGGCTCCTTCTCTGTCGCGATATCTGTCGCCTCCATAGCCGGGACCGCCTCTTCTGTCTTCGTCTGCACCCCATCGTCCCGTATCTTCTGCTTTCAAATCCTTGTATTTCGTCCTTCCTTTCCTGCCCAGTTTCGTCATATCGCGGATTTGCATGTATTGTGGCAGAATCTCGCGGTTGCCAGAGTCATCCTGGAATTTGGCACCCATAATGTCGCGCTTGGAGATTTCCTGCAACTGCTCGTCGTCTTGGAAGAATGCACCCTTGTGGTGATATTTCTGCATAAATCCTGCTTGACCCCTTCCTTCTTTTTCTTCCTTTTGAGCAGCAATGTGAGCAGCATCTTCGGCTTCTCGTTGCTCGGCTGTGAGATTGCGGCGGCGTTCGATTTCTTCGCGTTCCTTTTCGGCGGCTTCGATGGCTTCGCGGTCGCGCTTTACACGACGCAATTCGCGGAGTTTCCAGGCTGCGAGTTCGGCTTCAGGGTCGAGGTTGTCGGTGTCGTCGACGTCTTCGAGGGCGTCTGGGTCTTCGTCGTCCCAGGCTCTGCGGCCTGCTGCGCGGGCTTGGGCGTCTTTTTCTATTTGGGCTTGGAGCAAGGCGTCTGCTTTTTCCTTGCGCTTGCGTTCTTCTTCTGCTGCTATTTCCTCCTCATTCTGCTTTGGCGCGGCGACGGTCTTGCGTTGTGCTTTTGAGACAAAGGTCGGGGCGATGAATTTGCGTGTTGATGCTTCCTCTTCAGACTCATCGTCTTCCTCATCTTCCTCAGACTCGGAGCCTTCTTCGCTGCCAGAATCCTCGCTCTCGGAAGCTGTCTTGAAGCCTTCTTGGGCCTTTTGCGCTAGCTCTGCTTCACGGGCGCGCAAGGCCTGAGCCTCCTGTCTCCGTCGCTCGAGGTCGGCTTTACTGATGTTTGAATTGAATTTGGGGAAAGAGGTTGCCTTAGGAGGTGCGGTGGTTGGTTTGGATTGTTGTTGCTGCTCGGTCTCTGATTCGGAGCCAGACTCTTCCTCTTCTGATGATGATTCGTCCGCACCGACGGCTTTTCCTGGGCGGTAGCGCAGAGGCGCCAGAGGGTTTGCTGTCATGCGTTTTGGCGGCATTGTGTGGATAGTGGGGTGTTGTGATGTTTGGAGAAATAAAAGTTGAAAGTCATTGATATGGAGCAAAAGTGGTTGTGACGACGAGGGGCATGACGCGCCGACCAGCAGAGAAGCTATTATTTTATCCACCACTCTTTTCCACAAAACAATGTTCGCTCTTGAAGAGATTCCATCGCGATAATTACTGCTGTTCCTGTATCACTGCTTCATGCACCCACCCTCGCAGACTATCCGTCAATTGCGCTTCCACTCCATGCTCTCTCCAAAAGTGCCCTGCACCCTCGACCTTCTTCGATCTAAAGCTTGACTGCCCATCTAATCCAGCAGCTTGCAATGAAGATTCCTCCATCTTCTTGCACCAGACATCCAGTTTATGAGAAGAAGTGAACACATCCTTGGTGCCAAAGATTACCAATGTAGGATGTCGCACCAAGTTATGCGTTTTATAGTCAGCATGACGCCAGAACATCAGACTTGATGTCGAGAAAGACAGAAAATTTGATAAGGGCGGTAGTAGAGGTGAAATAAGAAGATAATGTGTCAAGACGTGTGGCAAGTCCTCCACTGCTTCTGCAGAACAGTCATCTGCTGAGGAGTCTGATCGAAGTGTTGGTGTTGAAGAAGCTGACTTCTTGCGAGGAAGATGTATGGCATGCTTGAGTCGTGCCGGTACTTCCTTGCTTTTATGTACGAGATCGGTGCTATGGTGGTCCGCAGGAGATGGGCTATCGCTACCTCCATATACGATGGAATGTTGAGAGCTCGACTGACGCTTATGCTGTCTCCTTGATAGTGTGTCCGAGACTCTACCTCGAGTGTCCATCTGGTTAGAAAGTGATGTGTTTGTTTGCAGAGCCAACTCCTTGGCTCGTAGTAGAATCTCAGACACCCAGGTAGATGACTGTGTTTTTNNGCGGAACATGGCCAGAATCTCTGTTGTTGGCGGAAGATGCGTGACTATCAACGAGCCATAAGAATATCCACCCAGGATCAGAGAGATATCTTCAGAAGGTATGCCTGGTACACCGCCAGCAGAAAATCGTGCAGGACTGGCATCGTTGATCCGTGGCGGTTGGAGTTGGTTGGTATAAAAGAGTAAATGTCCAGCGACCGATATGTAGTCATCGCGCTCCGCTTTACCAGTCCAGCTGGTGCTGCCTTGAGAGTTTGCGGCACCCCTGTTCAGCATTCAGTATAAGTGATTATGTATAGTGTTAGAAGTTGAGCAATACCGAAAGTTGAATGTTCCAACAACGAAGTCTAGATCGAGTAATTGGTCCACCACTGTTGTCACGACAGAATCGTCCATGGAACCCCCNAGAGGCGCATAAGGATGTGCGATAAGAGCAGCTTTCCTGGTTCTTTGCTGTGTCGATTGTGCATCTTGAATCGAAGTAGGGTGGTATAGCCGGCAGTCGAGAAGAGTGCCATCAGACACTGACGGGATGGTGAAAGAATAGACAGGTGTGCTATCCATCATCGTGGTGTGACTTTCATGATGGAGGCAACGATAAATATCGGAAATACAATATCTGCATCATGTGCTCGTGAAGTCAGGAGTGTTGTCGATGCCGCGGAGGAAAGCTGACGACCTCGGCCGTACTCTTTGACAATGACTAGCAAATGTCCCAATCAGCGATCACGATCACATAGCAAACGGTCAGAGCTCGATTAAAAAGATATAAGTATTCGAGAAAAGCTACATTCAGAGGGAGCATGGGATATGGGAAATTCGAGTATGCTATTCGGCGAAAAATGTGCTAACAATCATAAAGTCATATCAAGCGTGCCCTAAAACCACTCATTGCAACGATCTAACGGGGTATCATGCGACTACTCAGTATCTGTGTCCTGATGCGAAATCAAAAGCTCTGAGTCAGGTCCATCATCTTCAGTATCCGTGTCTGAAATGCTCGGTGTAGGAATCTTTGCTGCAAAGGCCTTGTCCAAATCGCGGATAGCCTCACCATCATCATGTTTGCTGCCTCTGGGTGTCTGCACCCCTTCAAGCTGTCCAGAACTGCCAGAGATTCCTCTTGTTTCTTCAAGGCTTATCTCACCAACTGCAGCAGCAAGAGCAGCTTCGAGAATCTGTTTTCCTTTCAAGAATGCTTCGAGTTCGGCACCGATGGCCGCGACCAAGAGCTTCCAACTACGGGTTTCTGCGAGTTTGTGCTTGTTTTCGAGCTCCGTAGTAGTCTGCTCGAGCATTGAGAGTAGCTCTTTGGTTTCTGCAGGAGAGTCGAGCTGTGATTGTGACTCTTTACCCATGCGGGACATGGCCTTTGCGAGCGTCCGCTCGAAAGTGGAAACTTGCTTGACGGTATTTCTCCAAACAACGGCACCTTCTTCAAGCGCCTCCCGCTCAGTGTCGCTGATGCGACGTCTCTCAATCAACGAATCTTGCTCTCGATCAAAAACATCCTTTGCAGATTTCAGAGTTCGACTCTGAGATGGTGAACGCCAGAAGCGGTCCATATCCGTAACATTGATGACGGCAGTCCAGTGGCTTGCGGAAGCATCTTGAAGGAAGCTCTGGATCGAGTCGTCGACCAAACCTAGGCTGTTGGTGTAAGATGCAAGACGTGCGTCGACAGTATTTTCAATCTCTTGAGCCTCCTCTCTAAGCTTGTGCTGATCTCTTTTCAAGCGCGCCAGTCTTTCCTCAAGTTCGTTGATCTCGGTTTGCATGTCGTCTGCTTGTTTGTGCAAGTCAAGAGCACGATTGTGATCGTCGCCAGACTGTATTTGCGATGCGCGTGACTGTAAGGCGCTCCGCTTCTTTTGCCATGCATCAAGTTGATTAACGACGGACGCGAAGTGGTCGAGACTGGGGGCCAGATACTGCGATTCCTGAGACTTGAGTTGTGCCAGACGGCGCATTGTGGCATACAAGCCGACCCTAGCTTGACGGAGACCAATCTTCTCCAATTTCGAAGACGACTGAGGCTTAGGCTTCGAACGAAGAGCACTGGCGGTCGGGGTGCTTGAACCGGTCGAAAGAGCATCGTCTTCGCCAGCAGAGATTGGTGATGGATCAAGACCAGCGAGCAGAGCATCGGCCTGTGCATCGAGGAGAAGTTGCAATTGTGCTTCGAGCTCGCGTTGTTTCTGTCGGAAGATCAGGAGAGTGTCGTCAGTCTGAACAGAGGGGCTGGCATTCGAGTGGGCAGTTGTGGGAACATAGATGCTGTTCACGATAGGTTGGGGTACGGCAGAGGCGGCCATCGGAGAAGGTGTATGCCATCGGGGGTTCTTGGAGCGGCGGCGACTGTTGGGCGACAAGGATGAGGGTGAATAGCGAGGGAGCGCATTAGAAAGCCATGATGAACTGTGATGGTTTAGTCTTACTATGTGGTAAAGGTCAATAGGCCCGAAGCAGTCTTACCTGTCCATGTCTGTTATGCATATGACGGCCGGTCAAATATCACATACACGTAGTGGAAGGGCGAGCGATAAGAGCAAGAAACATACTGTTGTCGTGTCGTGGGTCAGGTTGGACGACTATCATGTGAACACATAGATGGCCTGCAAACAGAGCAAACTCGCTGTTTAGCCTGCGACAATCGAGGTGCTTCTGACACGCTACGAGGTTGTGCCTTGCGAGGCTGGAGGTCACTAGCACACATTTTTCAAGACAGGCTTGAACGAAAAGCGCCTGCCTGATTGGACAGACGGCATGTGGCAGGAACAGTGAAGGGGAAAGAGTGAACAAAGAAAGAGCTGCCCGCTGCTTGGTGACTGAGCGGGAAGAGCCGCTTTGGAGCATCGCCATTGCACGTTTCTGGAGCATCACCCAGCGTCAGCGACACGACAATCTTGTTCCCCGACCAACTTTCCTCCTACAACAATCACGAATCGCCTCGAACTGGACGCCATTCAATAACTCCACCGACCAGCTCCACTTTCTTTATTCCTACTCGACAATCGATTGAACATCCACTTCTTCTCTAGCGTCGCAGCGTCGCTCTTTCCACGCAGCATACACAACAATGTCCTTCCTCAACCAAGACTTCGGCGATGACTCTGGCGAGGAGGATGATTTCAACCCCGCCCCTGCCGTCGCTTCGGATGACGAAGGCGACAACAACGACCAGAGACAGGACAACCAGGATGACGATGACGATGTCCAACCCAACCCTCGCCGTTCATCTGCCCAAGACGAAGAAGAGGACGACGATGCTGTCCCGAGCAGGAGTCGCGTAAACAACCATGACGATGATGAAGACGACGAAGAAGATGAAGAGGACGACGAAGAGGATGAGGAGGATGAAGACATCGTGCGCCCCTCCGCCCACCACTACATCTCTATTGCTAACCTTTGCGTGTAGGGCCGACAACGCAAACGCCGCCGCAGAGGTCCCCGTAACCAGTTCCTTGATGAGGAAGCCGAAGTCGACGACGAAGACGAGGAGGAGCCCGATGAAGACGATGAGGTTGTTGGCGAGGAAATGCACCCTGACGACTTGCTCGAGCTTCCCGCAGGTGCCGAACGCGACGACCGCAAGCACCGTGAACTCGACAGACAACGCGATCTGGCTGCTAGCATGGATGCCGAAAAACAAGCCCAGGCCTTGAAGGAGCGCTATGGAAGAAACAGAGCCGCCAATGTCGATTCAGCCGTCGTGCCCCAGCGCCTACTGCTTCCCAGTGTCGACGATCCGCACATCTGGCGCCTCAAGTGCAAGCCTGGCAAGGAGCGAGAAGTCGTCTTTGCCATCATGAAGCGTATTGAGGATCGCGCAGGAACAAGAGAGCCGTTGCAGTTGATTTCAGCCTTTGAAAGAGGTGGTGTCATGTCTGGAAACCTCTACTGCGAAGCCAGGGTTGTCGAGGATGTCACAACTGCTCTCGAGGGGCTTCAAAACGTCTACATGGGCACCAAGCCCATGATGGTCCCCATTACCGAGATGCCCGATCTGCTCCGTACTCGCAAGAGCAAATCTCTCGAGCCTGGCATGTACGTCCGTGTCAAGCGCGGTAAGTACGCAAACGACCTGGCTCAGATTGACGAAGTCGAATCGAACGGTACGGAAGTCACGCTTCGACTTATTCCTCGTCTGGACTATGGTTTGAACGACGATGTCAATGCAGCTGCCGACAACAAGCGCAAACGCTTTGGCTTCGGTGCAAATACTGGTCCTCGCCCTCCCCAGCGTCTGTTCAGCGAGAACGAGGCAAGAAAGCGTCATGGCCGTTACCTGACAAAGGGCACTGGCTTCACCGCAAACACCTGGACCTACATGAACGACACCTATGTTGACGGCTTCCTCATCAAGGATTACAAGGCCAACCACCTGCAGTCCGAGGACGTCAACCCCACTCTGGAGGAGGTTACCAAGTTCGCCGCTGATGCCGAGGATGGAACCGAAAACCTGGATCTCTCCGCTCTCGCTGCTACCATCAAGAGCAACAGCTCTGGCGCTTTCCTCCCTGGTGACCATGTCGAGATCTGGCAAGGTGAACAACGTGGTGTTGTCGGAAAGGCTGTCTCAGTACATTCCGATATTGTGCGCATCCTGGTTTCAGCTGGTGAGCTTGCTGGTCAAATTATCGAATCTCCGGTCAAGGGCCTACGTAAGCTCTTCAGAGAGGGTGACCACGTCAAGGTCATAGGTGGCAGCAAGTACTTCGATGAGGTCGGCATGGTCGTCAAGATTGTCGAAGACCGTGTTACAATCCTGACTGACTCGAATCAAACCGAAATCACTGTCTTTAGCAAAGACTTGCGTGTCGCCACAGATTCTGGTGGTCAGGTTGGTGTTGGCAAGTACGACCTACACGAACTTGTTCAGCTTGATGCATCCACCGTGGCTTGCGTGATCAAGGTCGATCGCGAGTCTCTCCGTGTGCTCGACCAAACCGGCACAGTCAGATCCCTTCTTCCTTCTAACATCTCCAACAAGCTCGAGCGCCGCAAGAATGCCGTCGCCACTGACCGTGAAGGTTCCGAGATTCATATCGATGATACCGTCAAGGAAGAGGGTGGTGAGGGCAGACAAGGTCGCGTTCTCCACATTCATCGCAACTTCCTTTTCGCACACAATCGAGAACAGACGAATGACGCCGGTGTCTTTGTCGTTCGCACAAACAATGTCAAGACTGTTGCAGCCAAGGGTGGCAGAGTTGCCTCCGCTCAGGCTGGTCTTATGAAGATGAACCCAGCCCTGCAGCGACCAGGCGCTCAACAGGCTGGCGCACAAGCCATGCCCCCACCACGCCAGATGGGTCGTGACAGACTCATCGGCAAGACCTGCACTATCCGTAGAGGTCCTCACAAGGGTCTTTTGGGCATTGTCAAAGACAGCACAGACACCCACGCACGTGTAGAGGTTCACGGTAGCAAGAAGATTATCTCCATTGCCAAAGAGTTCTTGACTGTCAGAGATCCGGTCACTGGCGCTGTCATCCAGCAGAATGCAGGCCAACGTCCTGGTGCACCACCAGTAGGCGGTGCTGGTGGCAGACCACCGGCATGGGGAGGCGCAACTCCTGGTAGATTCGGAGCTACGCCCAGAGCATCAGATGGTGGACGCACCCCTGCTTGGAAGCCTGCAGCTGGAGGTCGCACTCCCGCATGGGCTGGTGCAGGTGCAGGCGGAAGAACTGCTTATGGCGGCAACAGCGCAGCTAGCAGTGTGCCGGCATGGCAGAGAGGAAGTGGAGGCAGCACATCTTACGGCGGCGCAACCGCATACGGAGGTCAAACGTCTTATGGGGGCCAGACTTCCTATGGAGGCAGCACTGCATATGGAGGCGTGAGTTGTTCTTCACATACTACATTCGCAAGGAACAATACTGATAAGATACAGGGCACTTGGAACCCAAACACCCGCACACCCTTCCACGGTGGCGGCACAGCCTACGAGTCTGGTTCAAAAACACCGGCTTACGGTATGGATGCACCCACGCCTGGCTTCAACAGTGCACCCACTCCTGGTAACCTGGATCAACCCACTCCCGGATATGGTCAATACCGTACCCCAGCAGCAGCACCCACACCAGGCGCCTTCCCCGAGACCCCTGGAGCTTGGAATGCCGAGACTCCTGCTGGCGACGGCGGTCCCGGATATGATTGAGCGGCGTGAAAGATCATGACTGTAAACAGACACAAAGAAGAATTTGCATTTAGTGGGCGTTGTTTTGTGCCTTCGATGCGAGGTCGTGGAATGGTTGGCTTTGGACTTTCTTTTTCACAAAACAAAAACAGCTTCTACGTGATATCTGGAATGACAAAAATGCAAGTCTTTCACTTTCTCCACTTTGACCAGAGATCGAAATGTGACTTTGATGCCTTGCTACTCTAAATAAGTCGAACGCCTGCGAAGTATCTCTACGCCAATAAATGATGCTTTTTCTTGCTCCAACCAAATAGCAAATAAGTGTGTGAAAAGCAGAGCCGACATGTATGCTCATCATGCCGTCCTCCACGACGAAAAGAGGCCAATCTTCAACCTTTCAGCCTCTTGTGCGATAGACAGTCACAGCACAACTATAGAAATGCACAATGCTTTCCACACAGAGTGATTACCACGGAGAGAACGTTAGATTCAGTCATCTCAATGGTTCACACCTATATTCAGAAAGCAATTGTGCATCTCTATAGCACACAATGACTCTACATGAACTTTGAGAGCACGTCTACCTGAGATCATGCTCAGGACACCTGCCTAATACCCACTTCTCCCACATCTTCCACTTTCTGGTGTCGACGCTGATGCCATCATCTCCCAACTCATCAACACTGAGCGGAAAAGCTCTGCCATTACAACCACACCAAGGTACTGAGTTTGGTGTATCCGGTGAGTTTAGGGGTGGGAAATCCATCTCGTGGGCGGCTCTACCACGATCTTCGTCTTCAGAGTCCGAGTCTGAGTTGATGATACTGTCCCAATCGGAAGTTGACGCTTGTTGCTCGGCATCATCCCAGTAGACATCGGTATCAGAGTCGGAATCTGAAGATGATAAACCGCCGGGAGGATCGTCAGGTAATTCTATACCTGCGTTTTCCCAGACAGTGTCGAAATGCATTGCATAGTCGATTCTTCGCAAGGACACCCAATCTAATCTCCTCATTTCTGTGTGCAGGAAGCCCAAGACAGATTTCCACATGCTTCCTTCTCTGAGCATTACATCTCGTAGCCTCAAACCACGTAATCTGTCTTTGTGGCGTTGAGCAAAAGCGATAATTTCGTCGCTGTGTAGACGCCAGCCTTGGATTCCAAAAGCTAGAAGTTTGCTCCATCGTACATTGTGGAATATTGTTTCGAGGGGGAGACCGATGGGGCGATGGGAGGGAAAGCCTACATGAATAGCTTCCATATTCATGGCTGCAGAAAAGACGGTTTTGAACAGATGAGATAAGTCAAACATGCGGACTTCGAGGTCTGTGCCGTCGTCAAAGTATCCATCGTCGAAGTGCAGTTCTAGACAGGTGAGTCGTTCGGCTAGTGTCGAGAAGGAGCCAGTAGGATTCTCTGCAAGCACGAGAGCGCTCTGAGGACTCAGCATTGGCGAAGAGAAGCGTGAGCATGGTGATCGAGACTCCAAGAGTGCGTTTCCTATTGTTTTGGCGCTGTGAGCACAGGCAGGTGCCCATTTAAGCTCGACGAACTGGGTGATGTTTTGGTGGTATCGGATGTAGATGAGTAGTCTTTCGTCTTCTTGGTCTTGGACTCGCAAGATCTGGACGTGCTGAAGAGCAACAAATGCCTTCATGGCTTTCCTCAAGACTTCGACATCTAGTTTTGAGTTTACAATCTTCTGCTGCTCGTAGATTTTGCAGCGAAACCTTTCAATGTTGGACTTGCCGATGGTCTGTTGAATTTGCGCATCTAGCGATTGTATGCTTTCTCGACCTTTGCAACATCAGCAAATTGCCAGACGATACCCTTTTCTCTTGGTACCTTGCGTGCAGAAATATGGCACCTTGTAGCTAAATTTCTTGACATGTTTCGCCAGGTGCGGTTGATCGGCAATCGCTTCCAGTCTCGCGAGCCCTTTGGATGAGAACCTGGTCGTGACACGTGCAAACTGGTGAGAAGCACCAAGAGCAGCAAATCGTCGACAAAGCAGCCTAAACTTGCCAATGCTTACCACTTGATCTTGGGAAGGTAGAGGGTCTGGTCTGAAGCTTTCTTGAGAGAGATATGCTCGCTTGTCGACACTCACGAGCCTTTCAGGGTCGGCGGCTATGAGATCGAGGATATCGTGGAGCAGCTCGTTTGAGAGGTCGAGGGCCCCTCGATAGCCAGTCATCGCGCAAATCGGTGCCATCCAGTGCCAAAAAAATCGCTTCAGTAGATTTTCAATTCGACTCGTAGAGCATGATACCCAGGGGTCGGAGCAGCAGCAAGGAATGAGAAATCGGAGATGAGAGATCGGGTAAGCACACGACAGAACAAGTAGACTCTCTGGGCAAGTTACAGGCACATGACGACTGCGGTTGAAACCGCAGAATAGGAGAGAGAGCTCTTTGGTGGGTGTGGTCAGGTGGGTGCGCTGTCGTTGGGCTCCTCTGTTGGCATCTGGATACTCGACGCCACCAACACACACCGACGGGAGAGGGCCAAGTTATGCCCGTCACGATCGGACCGGGCCATCACTGCATACAAATCAGATCATGTGATTGTAATATGAAGGAGAAGCGGCAATAATACAAAAACCCTTCATGCAGGTCGCTTCGCTGGCACTCGAGCGAGATTGTGGCAGGGGACGCTGAGTGCGCCATGAGCGGGGGCTTTGCAGTCTTCTTTTCGGCTGATTGCACTTTCTGCAAGTTTGAACAGTTCTTTTGATTCGACACAGGCAGGTACGTACGACAATTATGAGCGTCGAGGTTGCAGGTTAGCTCAGCTGGACTAGGAGACTATATTCTGCGGCTTCGTTCCCGAACAACCGCCCAAGTCTTGACCTCACTCCCTCTTCTGTTATATCGTTATCAGCGCATGGGTTCGCATGAACGGCAGCGCTGTTTCATCGATGCATGTATCTCAACACGCCGACTATTGCAATATACGAGATACGACCTTTGTTACACCACTTGATCATCGTCAAGCTGCAGTGATCCTAAACAGTTCCGAAATCTGTAAAGGCATCGCTTCCATACTCGAGGGCAGGGACTTGATCTCCTCATGGGTCTCTTCCTGTACTTCATTGGTGCTATCGTGTTCTGAGAGAGAAGACGTGCCAGCATTCGCAATATCCTGACTGTCGCTCTCAAGGCTGCTGCAGACTCCCAGGCTATGATACTGTCCTGTTCTAGTCTCCACTTCGGCCAGGCTGGAGTAATTTTGGGCTCTGTAGCCGTTCAAGCCTTTACACTTGAATTCTTGTCTTCAGGCACCGATAGCAGCCTTCCTTGGGTCCCCAAGCCGGGCCACTCATCTCCTGTGAAGCCATAGAGCGATATGTGAGCGTAAAAATGCACAATATCTTCCAGGGGCAGAGCAGCGTCCTTTGAGAGTGATGAGAACATCGAGCTCTTCGTACCGCTTCTATAACGATGCTGTCTTTTGAGCATGCTTCTTCCTAATTTCAGTGCTGCTAAGCTTGCCCTCAAAGTTTTGCTGCGATGCAGCACTCGAAGTCTCTTTAGCGTCTAGGACATCAACTTCTAGCACATCTAACTTGGCCCATCCATTTTCAGTGCGTTTGTCATTGACTGCACTGCCGCCAGCTCTGGTTTCTCCAGAAATGATCAGAGCGGAGATTTCCTTCTCGGTAATGGTTGGGCCAAAGGGATCCCAGATCTCAACGCATCGGACACTCAACCCATTGGGATATCTGATGTTGACTGCATGACCGTTTGGGCCTGACTCGTTGATCTCTTCTACGACGGGATCCGCAGCATCAGCAGATGCGAAGTTCAGAATTGCGTCGAGGAAGCGGTGAACGGATGCTTGACGATCAGACCAGCTTTGGAGTTGCTCGGCGTACTTCTTGTTCTTGAGCAGTTCATCACCTGTGATGCCAACGGTGATGACAGACTCGGGCCGAGTCTGGTCAAGGGAAAAGGCAGTCATAGTCAGTAGAAGCTTGTGACCGATATGCAGGTGGTCGAAGGTACCGCCAACAGCAACGTGGTGGTGTTCCTTGGCCGATAGACGAGGGGTTGCAATGGGCTTTGATCCTCCAGATGTTGGATGGCAATCGCAATGGTGGTTAGCGGCAGCCTGTTTAGCTGCGACAAAGGCACGGACAAAGACTTCTCCCTGATCATTCTCTACGCCAAATGCGTACTGCCATGGACGCTGGCTGGCAGCCAGAGACTGCAAATCAAGCACAGGACCATAGGATGTAGGGTGTGCAGAAGCATCGAAACTAGATTGAGGAGACCAGGCGACTGGAAGGATGCGGACATCAACACCATCGGCGTCTTCGACATTGACGTGCTCTTGAGCAGCAATCAAGCAAATAAGTTTGTAGACGGCGGCAAGGATAGTCTGTGTGGGTGCATAGAGCTCCGCACGCGGAATAGCAGCTTGTGCGGTCAAGTGAGGTATGGCCAGAGCGATATCGAGGATCGAGGGTTGGACTGATTCTTTGGAAGCCAGGTCGGCCTCTTTCAGAACTTGAGTGAGGGTATCTCCATATAGTTCTTTGAGAGCGGGAATAGTTGGAGGTGATGGCGGAGGAGGAAGCAAGAGAAGAAAACTGGCAGCGTCATCCATATTGGTCTTGGAAAAGTCTGATAAAAAGAAGAAACAAAAGGCCTGAGGTGTCGAAACTTGGATTCAAAGCTGTTTCGCGAGTATGGTTGAAGAAGGGTTCGCGAAGGAGATGGCATAAAAGTATGGAGCAAGCTATCGCGACTGACGTTCGCTATGAAGTTGTCGTCGTAATGTTGGACCGTGCTGGCGATGGTCGAACAAAGGCTCGACAAGGCAGCGAGGACTCGGAGTTGACAGCTCAGTTTTCTAATTTCAGATAGCATTTGCTTGAGAGGACATAGATTGAGGCTTGTTCATGTCACATTCAAACAAAAGGTCGATTGTGACGGGGCTGGGACTGAGTGCAGCATCTCCCGGGGCAATCGGGAGTCCATCGTCTTTGGCCGACATTCAGCACCAGCAGCACCGAGACCAACATTACCCTGACCAAACGCCCGTCTGCCATCAACCACAGCATCAAGCTACTAATCAGGTCGCGTCGCCGTCGCATCCGGGCAGCAATCGCGCAAAAGCGTTCGCGCTAGCACCAGCGTCTTCGACATCGGCAAGCAGTGCCATGTCGGGCTTCGACTCGCAGACGCCAAAGAAGGGTGACTTTAACATCCAGCTCCAACAAGCCACACCCACCCACTCGACTTCGTCGCAACAACAACACGACATGTCCGCTTTACCAAATACCCTGCTCCCCGGCGCCTCTTCGTCTTCGCGACCACCCACCGGCGCGACAACCTACTCAGCTCCTCAGACCATCCCCACCATGCCCCCTCCCATCAACACCAACCAGCAGCAGTATACGCCGCGCCCTCCCACCCTCAACTCTCAGCACAGTCACTCGCGCTCAAGTCCTGCTGGTCTCGATCAAAAGTACATTGCTTTCTCCACCACTCCTACCAAAGGCTACAACTCCGTCACCCCCTCATCAAGCCATTCTCCCCTAGGTCTGGCCGACATACGTCCCCGTACCAACTCTGACTTGCTGAACCGCACGGGTGCTCAGTCGGCTGCCGTCTATGACTATGGTCCTAGCCAGACAAACTGCAGCTACATGGCTCCGTGGGCCGCTTACTCCTTTGATTGGTGCAAGTGGCCGGTGCCCAACGGCAACAGCTGCGGTAAGATGGCCATTGGCAGTTACCTCGAGGATCCTCATAACTTCGTACGTCTCATCCTTGTCCAAATCGATCCAATCGGGCATACATGCTGACCAGGATTACAGATTCAAATCGTCGACACGCAGATCGCGCCCCAGGACCAATCGACCATGGGCGGTCCTGCCTACGGCATCGACTATGTCAAGGTCGCAGAAGCCACTTGCGCCTACCCAGTGACACGTATTTCATGGGAGCCACCCTCATCATCTAAGCAATCCACCGATCTTCTCGCTACTTCGGGTGACCACTTGCGCCTATGGTCCCTTCCTTCGTCCTCGCAACCCGCCATGCTGTCCAATAACATCAACCGATCCGCCTCAGTCAACGTGCGCGACCCACCCACCCAAAAGTTGCAGCCTTTGGCCCTCCTCTCAAATTCGAAGACCCCTGAACATACTGCTCCTTTGACCTCGCTGGACTGGAACACTTTGTCGCCAAAGCTGATAATCACATCGAGCATTGACACGACTTGCACCATCTGGGATATCCCTACGCTCACTGCGAAAACACAATTGATTGCACACGACAAGGAGGTCTTTGATGTGCGATTCTGTGCGGGTAGTGTGGATGTCTTCGTTAGTTGTGGTGCTGATGGAAGTGTAAGAATGTTCGATTTGCGAAGCCTTGAGCACAGCACCATTATCTACGAACCCTCGGAAAAGTCGGACAAAGATAAAGGTATGTTCCCTAACATTTCCCCCCCCCCCCCCCCCAGGATGCCATGCTAACATGTCCTTCAACAGNCGGCTATGCCAGCTTCTCCGACAAAATCATCGGCAGCGGGACTACCAGCATCTCCTCCCCTTCTGCGTCTTGCCGCTTCACCACACGATGCTCATCTCTTGGCAACTTTTGCTGCGGAGTCCAACATTGTGCGCATTCTTGACGCCAGACAACCTGGCACTGCTCTCCTTGAGCTTCGCGGGCATTCAGCTTCGCTCAACTCAATAGAATGGAACCCCAGCCGACGAGGCATGCTTGCTAGTGGTGGTGACGACAGCCAAGTGCTGGTCTGGGATCTTCTCAACTCTGGCAACGGAGCCAGTCTCAATGGAGGCGTACAAGGCGAAGCTCAAGCAAAGGGCCCTTCAGCAAGCTGGAGAAGCGATTACGAAGTCAACAACATTTCTTGGGCACCGCAAAGCGCTTTGACTGGCCAAGGCGGCGATTGGTTAGGTGTCTGCGCCGGCAAAGGAGTGTGGGGCGTCAAATTGTAATGATGATGAAGCAAGCGTCGAGCAAAGAGCGACCATCAAATTTGCATATAATGCGTACGCGAGTGGCCTTTGAATGCATTTACGACTGGCGGCGACAGGTGGGGATTGGAAGCGAGGCGTCTTGTGGGTTAAAGTATAGTAGGCATGCTTGCACGTCTGTTCTGTTTTGAATCTGCTGTGCAAGCAAAGGACATTTGTGCATCGAGAGAAATGCCAGAAGCACATAGAATTCAACCATGTCCTCTTCAAAGCCATAACAGTGCCCAACTCTGTTTAAGCCGTATCTGCGTATGCGTCCGTCTTGATACGCTTGATGAGCATACATCACTCATCTCCCATCTCTCGTGAAGTCGTCCGATACCATGTCTCGACGCGCAGCAGCGATCGCCGTCCTTCATCATGGCCGAGTCTTGCGTGTGCCTTTCACGACCTTGTCCTGCACGGTCCGTTGCCTGTCTTGTAGTGACTTGAGGTCGTCACCGCATGACTGTCCGACTTTTCAGCCAGCCTGACCGCACGTCTGGCTTGTAGCAGCATCTCTGGCCACATGCCTGACCCTAAGGTATAACCATCCTTGCTCTTTCCCTTACCTTCTTTCCCTTCTTCTGCCCTATTCACTCCTCAACCTCAATCTTGGTAATATACCTCCCCGGCACAACGACCAAGCCCACAAATCTCTTTACCATGTCCACTTTTACGTTTCCGGGGACGCCTTGGAGTTGCATTTGGTAGGCTGCGTCTTCGACTACGGACGCGGGTGGTTGGCGGTATTCGTGGGTTAGGGAGAGGATTATGTTGCGTTCCTTGGATGATAGGTTAGTGAATATGAAAGGAAGGGACGGGAAGGTAGATCAGGGGATCGGAGAGATGGGTGAGAGGGAGGAAGAACGTACTTGATCAGTGCATTTCATGGTTCCGACAAAGATGCGCGAGTCGGTGGTGTGGATGCGGAGGGTCTTGTTCAGGAGGGAGGTGAGGAATTCTGTTGCTTGTGCGTTGTTGCGGTCCATAGTGGCTGCGGTCCTGTACTCGAACGAGTTGGTGATAGTACTTAAAGGTCGTTGTTTCCTTCTTTGGTGGATGGTTGCTCTTTCCATATAGGTTGCGATGGCAGGTTGTCAACATGACGGAATTGGAGCCGCGAGTTGTTGGAGACAAGAAGGCATCCTTCTCTGTGAACCTCTTGCTCAAACTCTCTCTTTATGGTCGACTACCTTTATTTTGTTACATCAGCATGGGCTATTGTATCATATCATTCAGACTCTGTCGATGTCCGTAGCATACCGGGTGAACACGACATCCACGTTGTCGTCGTTCCAGGGTATCCCCTCAGCGGCTTCGAGTTTCTTTTGTCTCTCCGCTAGAACTCAATTCGCTGAAACCCAATTTCATCCTGTCGGTCTTACATGCATCATTCGATCTGCTGCGGTGGGCTGAGAGTAATGGTATGCCTCTGCAGAGCTGTTCGCCGGTGGGCTTGCGGCAATGATGTCGTACTTGTCAATGATTAAGGTGAAGCTTATATGGCCGTGGCACATTCAAGCGTGAGTGATGGTATAGACAGTCTCTTCTTTACCGAAACTTACTCTTCTGCTTTACTTGTATTTTGAGCTAGTCCACTGCCTTCTCCTTCCTTCTCTCTTCTCTCTTCTTCCTTCTTCCTAGCCAGCAGGTTATCGTCTTGTTCCTCTAACCTCGACCGTCGCTAGTTGTTCACTCTTCTTGAGTTTCTTCCATCACTTCAAATTCTGGCCGAGACTCTTCTTGTCTTGTTACTATCTTTCACTTCAGTAATCCTGTGATCATCTATCATTCTAAAGGCTTCTGCAGTTGATACTCGCCCTCAGGAAGACTACTCAGCATCTGTGTCACTCAACCCACTTGCCGACAAGAACTACAAGAACATGGCGCCGCAGACACCAAACTCCTCACCAAAATGTTCACCGAGGTCACCCAAGTTCTCTTGGTCTATTAGGCACCGACAGGCGTTGTTCGTCTTCCACAAGAGACGGATGAGTGATGACCAGATCACCGTCACTTTCAACCGAATGTTTAAAAACGACATCCAAGCCAAAGGGCTAAACGAACTTCCAAAGAAAGCCATCAACGCTCAATACAACAAGAGCTACCGTGCCTCATGCAAAGCGTGGCAGGAGGTTGAGGCTTCCAAAAATACTGAGCTCGACTGGGTGTATCGAAAGATGGAAACGTTAAATATTGCAGCTACCCCTTTGACTCGTCCAATGTCACCACCTTTCCGAGTTCAGGAGCCAGCTGGTCGGATTCAAAAGCCACCTCAGCTTGTGTCCGTGGTTATTAAGAGTCGGAAACATACCTCCCTAGTCACTCAGCCGTCCCGAAACATCTTCAAGCAGTCACCTCGTTCTATGGTATCGGCTACACGAACGAGGACGATCGGGGGTGAGCAAGTGCCGATCATCAGAGCAACAGACCAAGACCTGTTCGTCAGAAACCCAATCGCTCCGACTGAAGCACATTCTGCAGTACCCGAGCTGTTGTTCCGGTTCTACGATGAGCATAGCCAAGGTGTTCGAACTAAACATGGGGAGATATCCGGACGACATGCCTATCTACCATGTGGTCCCCCAGCTCCACCATCGTGCGACGACGACCGCATGTTTACCGCTGTTCTTTGCCATCTGAACACTGACGAGACTGCGTCCGAGCTAATCAGCACGACATCCAACCTGTTCTTTGCAATGAGATTGGCAGCAAAATCCAATGCAAATCCACGTATCTATGTGATACGCGGCAGTGCAATGCCGAGTCAGAAGGTGTTCCATCTATGGCCGTACCACACACGATTTGTGGCCGACCGGCTCTTTTATAATGGCAAATACATGAACCCATCATCGCATGAATACGCCGTATGGGCCACGATTCCGCGAACAGCCATTTTACATGACTTTGCCTTTGCCGATCTGGAGCGCCATTTGATCGGAAATCCTTACATGGCCTCTGTCTTCCGTATTGACGAGATGCGAACAGAAAAAGGTAATACCCACATCCGACGGGAGTTCAAGAAAGACAACCTCAACTTGACTCTAGCAACAATGGAAGGCATCGCTCGACTAATGCCTCAGTTTGGTATTACCGTCACCAGTCCTGCGTCCGTTATTGCGCGGTTGATATCCGAGATCATTCGTAGCTTTGAGATTGATCTACCCAAAACCACGCCAAAGCAATGGGATGTCCTAGGCGGCGCTTTTGCGTTTGCCCTGTCTTTCCATGGAGAGAGAACCAACGTCGCCGAAGTATACCTAGAGCGGGCGAAACAGGCGTTCTTATCGGGGGCAAGGACAGGCTTGGGAGAGCTGAATTGGCATCTCAATGCGCAGAAACAGGCCAGGATGGTCAAGAAAGGACTCTCTTTGGGTCTTGGTGTTGGTCAGGCTGATACAGCACGACTTGAAGTCAACAAGACCTTTCAAAGGACCATTGCTCGTTTTGCTTACCAGGGGGACCGAGAAGAACACAACGAAGACATGATGATCGACGACAACACGCTGATGGAAAATGCACCAATCAACAAGAACTACATGTCGGCTAAGGAGAAGAAGAACAAGGACAGAGCCGACGACGACGAAAACGACGACGCACTGGTCGAAGACGAAGAAGAAGCCGAGACCGACATCGAAGAAACCATCATGGCCAAGACGCCTCCAAGCTCACAGCGACGACGAGTCTCGTATGCAAGAGAAGCAACACACTCCAGCAAGAAGATCAACGAGACTTTCATCATCTACGACTGCAGCGACGACGAAGACTACGTCGCCGACAGCGATATGGAGTAATAAGAACCGCGGACCAGAACAAGCCTGGCATCGACGAACTCGCTCAGCCAGGACCTCGTCTCTCGTAATCAAACCATCCTCTAAAAGACACAAGTTACCGACAACGACGACAATGAAGTGAGCGACGACAAAAATGGTTCGACTCCATCATGCATAATCTCAGCAGAGCCGATGGAGTTTGAGCAGAGCCATGGCGTTGAGCGATGGCGATGAGGACCAAGTCGAGTGGAGATTGATGAGCACGATACGGGGTGCTGATACGATCGAAACGGAGATAGCAGTGCATCTATCAGTTGAAGAAGAAAACCGGAGAATAAGAAGCAATAAAGTATGACTTTGGCAGCTGAATTGTAAGGGTATCTCTCTGCTCTCTTAATAAAAGTACTGTAATCGAACTGTTTTCCTCCTTTCCCCAAAACGCCCGCTCTGTAGACAGAAATAAAAATAAAGGAGATGGAACACGGTTCAGCCTCAAGCCGTCTTCGTGTCGTTACTCTTGTGGCTGCCGAGCTTGCCAGTTGCCGCAAGGTAGATGACGACAATGAGGATAATGACAATAATAATGGCGACGCAGATGCCCAGGCAGTACCACTTCTTTCTTCTGGCAGATCTAGCCTTTGTGGTAGCGACATCGAGGTGCTCGTTTGCTTGAACCATATTCGTTTGCGTTTCTTCGGCCTTTTCCTCGATGTTCATGATCATGGGCTCTTGCTGCATGACGATGGTGTCCAAGTCCTGGAACAGTTGTGCCAGTTCTGTCATGGTGCGCTCGATCTGCTGGATGGCATCGTGGCGCTGGCGGACGTTTGCCAGTGTGCTCTGGGCTTGGCCACGGCGGTCGCTGTTAAGGAGGGCCTGCTGGAAGATCTGGGTATCGGCGCCGGACTCTGTGGCTTGGATGATTTCTTGCTCGGTAGCGTCGGGGTTCACGATGAGGTATTGACGTCTTTGCTGCTCTTGCACATCCTTGCGGAACTGGCTCTCCACGGTTTGATAATTGTTGATTGCCTTGCGGATCCTGCGGTCGAGGGCATTGACCTGGGCTTCATTGCGCGGGTTTCTGGACTCGGGGCGAGACTTGATTCTCTTGACGCGGTCGGCGAGGGCACGGTAGGCGGACATGATTTCGGAGCCCATGGCGTCGATCTCCTTGTTTGTGGCATTGGTACCCGAGACGAATTGGCGGTGCAGGCGTTGCAGGCCTTGGAGACGGGACTCGACGTCGTCGATTGCGCGGCCGACTTCGCGGCAGTCGTTCAGGATGGCGTTGGGGTCTGATTGTTGGCCGGCGCCGTAGGGGTCGGCGAAGGGGTCGTTGAGGGGCTGCATCTCGACATCGCCCTGGGCTCCTGGGCTGTGTGTTAGCTGAAGTTCTTGGTGTCAAGGCGTCTCGCAGAAGCTCGAAGGCAGGGAGTCTGAACCAGAACATCTCGAACAGACATCGGCCCAGAGCGGTGATGGCCTTGCAGGCAGAGCGATGAATGAGACGTACTGNTATGTGGGAGGAGTGTCGTAGCCAGAGTTAGAGCCATAAGGGTTGCTCTGTCCATAGCCGTTGTACTGTCGCATGTCAGCATTGCTGTACCCCAGGTCACTTGGTGGACTTGTCTGTGCTTACCGCCATGTTGTTTGTTGATTATATGTTGATATAAGAGGAATGGGTTGGATGTAGACAATATTGGGAAAGCACCAGACACGAGGTGTTGTCGTAGAAGCAAGAGAGAAAACTGTTTCGTCTCAGACGAGCAACAGGAGCAGATGGTGAGATTGTAAATGAAAAAGACAAGGCAGGAACAATTCAAGGAGAGCTGAAACGCTAACAAGCCACAGCCCCCTGAGACCGAAACGCCGTTTATAGTAACAAACCTAACCTTGATAACTTATCACCCCACATTCTTCGCTCCTTCCGCCGATTCTTCTCCTCGTTCGTATTGTGCTGCCTGTAAACCAATACAAATTCATCTTCAACAGTTTGCAAAGTGGTTGCCTGAGCCAATCTATTCCTTCTATGCTTATGTACTCGTCATGTCGTGGCTATGTATATCGTGCTGCTGCGGATGTGCAGTCACCTCTTGTCATCATTCTCGGATGCCGTTTCCTCACCCGCCGCGCTTACTCCGTGTTCCCATCAAGCGCCTTCCTTTGCGGTTCCCCATCTCTTCGTCTCATCGCCTCCTGACCAAGATTTCTCGACGTAGCCCAGCTCGTGCTTGACCTTTGCTACCAGCTCCGAGTCGCCCATGTTCTTACCCAGGTTGTCGCTGATCTTGATGCATGGCTTGCCGTCTGCTTCAAACAGCTTGATGACAATGTTGAGCGGCACACTCTTCTCACCAGAGCTCTTCTTGGTAAAGTCGTTTGTGAAGAATGTTCCTACACCGAAGCTGGGTACCAACTTGGCTGCCTGAGTAGCATACATGTACTCGATGCAGCGGTCCACGTTTAGTGAATCTGAGAAGACGATCGTCTTGGGTACTGTGATGTTTTGCTCGTCGTAGAAGTCGCGCATTCTTTTGATGAACTCGAAGGGATTACCAGAGTCTTGTCGTGTTCCAGTGTAGACTTCGGCAAAGCTAGGGTTTGGCTTGTCCAGGCTGGGATCGCGCGAGTGGCCTGGCGGTGCAGGTCTCTTGAAAGCCTTCAAGAAATCGGGCGTGCCGAATGTGTCGGTAAGAGCGATGCTCAGAACTCCACGACCGAAAGTCCCACTCCAGTATTGCAACGCCGTCTCGTTGGCCTTTATGTAGTCGTCGGTGATGGCGGCAATGCCCATGAACCATTCGTGGGCTACAGTTCCAACAGGAGGCACACCGTGCTTCATAGCCATGTGAACGTTGCTGGTACCAGCCCACTTTCCAGGGAAACTGCGCTTAGTAGCCTCGTCCTTTGCCTGGTGCAAGCCCTGCATGACCATGTCATGGGTTTTGTAGTCCCTTCTTCTTCTGCTACCGAATTCAGAGAATGAGCACCCAGCTTCGAGCAAGCGGAGACCCTTCTCATAGGCCTTGTCGATCTGTCCCTCATGGTCCCAGTCGGTATCGCAGAATTTGAAGTATGCCTCGGACACGAGAGCGAGCAACGGGATTTCGTAGAGAATTGTGTCCAGCCAGCGACCCTTCACAAATAGAGCAATATCACCCTCGTCTGACTCGGACTCCTTGTCGGCAGAAGTGGTCGGCTTGAAGGAGAGTTCGACTTGTTCCTCTGGGCGGAGAGAAAAGTTGAGCAGGAAGTCGAGATATTCGGGAGTGAGATAAGAGCAGTGCTGCTTGAGATAGTCAATCTCGTTGTCGGTGACGCGAATGTTGGCGAGCTGGGCGATTTGCTTCTGAAGCCAGTGGTAGGCCTGGCGGTTGAGTTTGAGATCGGCAGTGCGGTTGGTGAATCTGTAAGTAACCTCNTGCGCAGGTTGTCAGCATTCCGCAATTCTTCCTGAAAGAGGCTGAGTGCAGATACCAATTTCGGGGAAGTACTTCAGGACGGCACATTGCATGGTGAGCTTGTAGAGATCGGTATCTAGCAACGAACCAATGCCCTCGGGCATTTCCTCCCTTGAATTCGCCATGCTGATATGAACTGTTGAACTTGGTTGTGTATGACAACAGTGACTGATGAAGCTCGACGCGAAAGCACCGCGATGGAAAAAGTCATGATCCCCACATGACGCATGGACATGTTTCAGCTCTTGTGTCAGAATCTCACGTCTCATCTCACTTCTTACACTGTCGCAGCTGTGTCTGCATGACAGGCAAATGACTTCCATTCAACTCCTTTCAAATCGCCTTTGATTGGACTGTAAAGACATATCCCAGTCAATATTGCGGGACTGTGATCCCCTTTTGGAGCTTTGTACAACTTTGGTCAATCTGGTGAATCTTTAGACCTATTCTGACGAGATCTAGGATACGATCTGGTCCTACATTACCTGCATAGATCCTATACTGTGCTTACAATGTTGTTTTTGGCAGATATACGGTAACATTGAATCTTTGGCCTATAAGCAGCTGCCAGCGGTATACTTTGAGAAAGGTATGAATCTATTGCCGCATATTATACAGTCTGCCCAGCCCATGTATCAGTAGCTCGGTAGTGTTCGGTATATTACAGGTCCTGAATATTCTTGACCGACTCTGCATAGGTTGTACCACGTTTGAGTTGAAGGTGAGAGGCCGAAGTCCTGTTCAGGCTTCACGATATCGCGGCAGCTCGGAGTTTATCCATCATTGTCCCGAGCTGGTCGCACGGCCTCATCGTCATCAATACAGGCTGAATTCGGGGATGCTGCTCCGATAACAATTATCCATTGCGCTTTGCGACAGGAAGGCACGACTGGCGCTTCACTTCTGCATCAATTCACTGCTTTGTCCTTTCTTCTCTCTCGTCGTTCATCTTCCAAGCGCAGCGTGTCCTGTTTCTCTTCCATACCCAGTCTTTCTCACAAACACAACGTCACAATGGCCTCGTTCCTTCGCTGGTTCGTCCTATCTAGCAGGTCTATCCTTTTCATGGCTAACAAGTATCCAGGTATGGCGTGAAGCTCGCCCAGCGTCCTATGCTCACTCAGAGTGTCACGACTGCTGTATGTACTGAGAAATAGCAGACGAGAAACTTCAAAGGTTAACAGGCATGCTAGGTCCTCTTCGCGACTGGTGATACCATGGCCCAGCAGGGTGTCGAACAGGTTGGTTTGAAGAACCACGATCTTGCCCGCAGTGCTCGCATGGCACTTTACGGTGGAGGTATGTATCCATTGACATAACAAGTCAACTACAAATCTAATTGAATTGTTCAGNCTGTCTTCGGTCCTCTCGCTACCACCTGGTTCGGCTTCCTGCAGCGTCGCGTCCGCATCCCCAGCTCGCCCAATACGGAGATCCTTGCTCGTGTCGGTCTTGATCAGTCCGTCCTTGCTCCTCTCAACTTGTTCGCCTTCCTGTCCTCGATGGCTATCATGGAAGGCTCGGACCCTCAGAAGAAGATTGAGTCTACATACTGGAACGCTCTCTCTAAGAACTGGATGCTCTGGCCATTCGTTCAGGCCGTGAACTTCAAATTCGTCCCTCTTCAACACAGAGTTTTGGTCGTCAACGTTGTCTCATTGGGTATGTGCTGCTCCTTTGCAATTGGTAATGATTTTATGCTAACAAGACTCCAGNGCTGGAACTGCTATCTGTCCTACCTCAATTCGACCGGATCTCCCATCCCTAAGGAACTCCCTCCTTCATAAGATTGAAGATACGTCCAGGAGTACGGCTCTTTCTGCATGATCCGTTAGTGTCGAACCTCGAAGGCTTCGACTCGGATTCGCTCAGCGTCACGAAAAGATGGCAAACAACCACAACTTTGCTCAGTCATGGCAACTGTGCCTTGATATATACTTAGCTTTGCTACATCAGACTACAGAGATTGTACGTTAGCTACGGGAGCGATTTTTTAGACGCTATCAAAAATGGCATACACAAATGCTTTTGCTCTTTCATGCTTCGATGTTTGTATGAGTTTGCCTACTAGTTGCCAAGCGTTTGCAGGCGTGATTGAAGACGATCATGACTCTCGTGCCTTTACTTTCTCCTCTTCCTCAAGCGTGCGAGTCTTGAGCTGGAGAGCATGAATGCCGCCCTCAGCAGCCATCTCGTCTTTCAGCAGTGTGTACACCATTCTGTGTCTCGCTGGCTGCATCTTTGATTTGAAAGCATCTGAAACAATGTTGACCCTANNAGAGTCTGTTAGTCATATTTCGTACAGGTTCACTTTTACCTTTCATTCAAGGTGGTAAACATCAGGTTCTACTTGCCTAAAATGCGTTTCTCTCGAAGTTACACCTTCCATTGCCTTGTGGTGAGCATGTTTATGCGAATCGTTGAAAATCTCGAGAGAACTCGGCTTCAACTCTTGCGTNGATCTGAACTTTGTCAAAAACTTTGTTTAGCTCTACACACATTGACTTGTTGTGTATACCTTTTGCTTGATAGCATCTTCCATTGGTGTCATTGAGGAAGTCATGGTAGAGAACGGCCTTCTGGATGCCGACGCAACAAACCGGCGCAACATTGACTGTGACAGCTTGGTTCGATGATCAGTCACGCTTTCTAGAATTCGTGTCTTGGTGAAGGCGGTTTTACTTACCTGAACTTGCGCTGATGGCGAATAGAGTGAATGGTGAATCTTTGGTCAAAATGATGACCAAGTTTGGCTAGATGGATATCATGCACGGACCAGTATCAATGTCATCCGTAGACAAAAACATCTTCGTAACCCTGTCCTTCTACGATATAGCCCGCACAAGCCATTTGGTCTCTCTTGTGCTGTTAGACTTGCGACTACCGAGCTCAATAGACGTCTGTCTAGCAGGCTGTGCAGATATCTTTACAGACAATGGAACCCTGCCTTGATATCTACAAGTCCTACGTCTGTTGCCAACAGGGTCGCGTGTAACTTCCCCATTCCGCCTAGCAGGACCCCTCCAAGCGTGGAGTATCCTTTGGTGGGGCAGCCGCGATTTCGTAGCTCTCTGCCTTATCGTTACCCAAGAACATCCGTACTTGATTGAGGGTTGTGGCCGGTAACTGATTTACCTTACGTAGGTGTAAGCATATATCTACGAGGGTGGTTCCCCCTCTTCTTTTCTTCTCTCATGTACCGCTCCCTCCTCCGTTCTTCTGCTTCTCTTTCTTTTCAGTTCCCAAGATACCCTGCTCCTTTGAAGCTTCTTACGGTTGTTGCTCGCAATATGTCTGGTCTTTCAGTTGAGCTTACGGCACCTAATGGTGTCAGGTATACGCAGCCTACTGGTCTGTTCATCAACAATGAATGGGTCAAGTCGTCGAAGGGAAACAAGATTTCTAGCATAAACCCTAGGTAAGTCTGCTTTTCTGTGTCTTGGATTGTGCCAGGAGGAGTCTCATGCCAAATCACATCGAAGCATGAGAGCGAAGAGTCAAGCAGCTATCCCTGCTGAGCAGAGCTCTGATGGTTGTCTGGCTTGAGTTTCCACGCACTTTCATCTCCTCGAAGCCTGGCTACTTCCTCGACCACAATTTCCCCAGTCTGTGACAATGGCTAACACGAAACCTACAGTGATGAGAGCGAGATTTGCTCCGTCGAAGCCGCCGAAGTCGAGGATATCAACAAGGCCGTAGCCGCAGCAAGAANNAAGGCATTCAAGGGCGAGTGGAGAGAGATTGCCAGCACTGACAGAGGGNAGCTCATGATCAAGTTGGCCAACTTGATTGAACAACACAAGGAAGTTCTTGCAACAATCGAGACTTGGGACAATGGTGAGCAACACTCTCTACAATGCCTCAGAAGACTAGAGTTGACAAGAGTTGTACAGNGCAAACCGTACTCAGTCGCATTGAACGAGGACCTGGGCGAAGTCATTGGAACACTCAAATACTACGCTGGATACGCAGATAAGATCCACGGACAAGTCATCGATACCACACCAGCCAAGCTGGCCTACACAATCCGCGAGCCCATTGGTGTTTGCGCTCAAATCATCCCTTGGAACTACCCTCTCGCCATGGCAGCATGGAAGCTTGGTCCCGCTCTCGCTGCTGGAAACACCATCGTCCTCAAGCCCGCCGAGCAGACTCCTCTTGCTATCCTCTACCTCGCCAACTTGATCAAGGAGGCTGGTTTCCCACCTGGTGTCGTCAACATCGTAAACGGCTATGGTCGTGAAGCAGGCTCTGCCCTCGTCCAGCACATGGACGTCGACAAAGTCGCTTTCACCGGCTCCACCGCAACCGGCCGCGAAATCATGAAGATGGCTGCCGTCAACCTCAAAAACATCACCCTCGAGACTGGCGGCAAGTCTCCTCTCCTGGTCTTCGACGACGCAGACCTCGACCAAGCAGTCAAATGGTCACACATCGGCATCATGTCCAACCAAGGCCAGATCTGCACAGCCACCTCACGCATCCTCGTCCAAGAAGGCATCTACGACAAGTTCATCGCAGCCTTCAAGGACCACTGCAAGGAGACCAGTGTCGTCGGCGACCCCTTTGCCGAATCTACTTTCCAAGGCCCCCAAGTCACAAAGCAACAATACGAGCGCGTGCTCTCCTATGTCGAAGCCGGAAAATCCGAAGGCGCAAAACTCATCTCTGGCGGCGAGCCCTTCAAGCAAGACGGCAAAGGTTTCTTTGTCAAACCCACCATTTTCGCAGACGTCAAGGACGACATGCGCATTTTCAAGGAAGAGGTGTTTGGGCCTTTTGTGGTAATTTCGAGCTTCAAGGATGAGCAAGAGGCGGTGGATAGAGCCAATAACTCTACATATGGTTTGGGCTCTGCGGTGTTTACTCAAGACATTACAAAGGCGCACCGTGTGGCGAGAAAAATTGAGGCTGGTATGGTGTGGATTAATTCGAGCAATGACTCGGATTACCGTGTTCCGTTTGGAGGTGTCAAGCAGAGTGGTATTGGCAGGGAGTTGGGTGAGGCTGGTCTTGAGGCCTACACCAACAAGAAGGCTATTCACGTCAACTTGGGCACCAAGCTGTAAAAATTTGGACGGTGGCGATGATGGATGGACAAGAACCATGTCGGGTTTTACTTGTATATAGCTATGAAAGCTAAGAATATCACTGTCATGATTCAGTGGTACATGATGTCCCTCATCACAAGTTTTGCTTGCTAAGCATCAACTTCGACATCTCTGCGTGGACCAGAGTCGAGATCGGGCATCCAGCCCTTTGGTCGCTCTCTACCGCGAATGACCAGACCGTACAAGGCCTTTTCCACCTTTTCAACACTTGTCTGCATGACATCCATCTTCTTGTCCACATCACGGGCGAACGAACTGCCAAAGCCCACGTTCAAGCCTTCTAGCTCTGAACGCAGGGCGCGCAGATCTGTGAGCACATCTCTGTGGCTGCCAGGGTGGGTATCCACATCCATCTTGTCTGATGATGCAGTGTCGTCCTTCGACTCGACAGAAGGCAGCTTACCATCCGTAGCCATGGTTGTGATGGAGAAACGCATCAACTCGCCCGTCATATCAAAGACACCGAGCAGATAATCCTCGACTGTGAGTTGTACGGGACCACCCTCTCCACCTAGCGTGCGCAATTGCTCTACCGAGTCTTCATATGTGAGAAGCATCCCAGTGGTGAGATAGTGCTGGAAGATGGCAGCCTCCATGTACTCTTGATTGCCACCAGTAATGTTGCGAGCATATCTCCAAGCATTCAATCCTTGAAGTTCGGCAGAGATTGTGTTGTAACGCTCCTTGATGATATCGTAGTATTGCGCATTATTCTTGTTGACATGTGCGGGCAGCGGTTGCGCAAGCTTGCGGATTCTAGCACCCAAAAACCATCAGCTCTGGTATGCTCGAGGAAAGTTCGTTTCGATTGTTCAATGGCACCTTTGAAGGGTAAAGATACTGCAAATCGCCTTTTTGTCAGCCGTGGACGCAGGCAGTGACTTTTTGTATCAAGGGACGGACATCTTTTTNGATGCAGCGGTGATGTCTCGCGATGCTTTGATGGTGCGTTCGCGGCGGTCGTGGTGTTCATCGAGTTCGGCGCGGAAGGTCTCGAACATGGGCAAGAAGGGTGATTGGGTGTTCTCGGAGGCCTCCATTGTGTCTGATCTCGGTCGCTTCTGGCCCATTTGCTGTCTTGTTTTTGTGAATTTCTTTGTCGCAGCTGCTGGCTTGCTGTTTGGAGAGCTTTTGGTTATGTCACTGCGAGAGAGACTCGGTCTTGGCATCGAAGGGTTCCGATCGTGTCCCGCATTCGGTTCCAAACGTCGGCCCGCTTCTTCTCTTTCATCTTTGATCTCATCGTCCACAACTGATACAACAAACTTGACAAAAGCGATACGATCCTGACAATGGGCAAAATCGAAGGTCGGGTCGGCGCTGCTGGAATTTAACCTCCACAACGACACATGCTACCACTACACCACATCATCCTAGCTTGTAAGGGTTGAATCCGGTTGACCAGATTCAGGATCCTGGTATCGATTGCTCAGAGCCATGCTGGTCCAAAGAGAACAGGGCACATTCAGACACTGAGTCATTGTCAATAATGGTAAGTCTCTATGATCATCGTGTCCATGCCGAATCTAGATTCGCATGCTCAGAGAGGACTCCAAACAAGCCGCGTGNGATGTCAAGAANCAAGGAATGTGCAGCCGGAACAAAGGCATTCTTACACCCCTTCGTCCTGCACGAGATCCAGATCCTGCAGTANNATCTCTTGTTGGACCGCAAACGGAAACTGGAGATGAACCATACTGCTCTTGGTAACTGAGATGAAAGGCCGAAAATACAAGTAGGCTTTCAAGGGCCAGCCGGAGTTCGCGTCCTGGAATCCATTCATACCTCGATTACTGCTTCTTGTTCATACATTTTCATATACCTAATCATCATAATCAGAGCCTCCGTTGGCAAGCCGGCTCCAGACTTCACCGCCACGACGGTCATGGATGGCAAGCTCAAAGGTAAAGCCATACTCACCTAGCTAAACCACCTCCAGACACTGACTGGCACTGCAGAAATCAGTTTGAGTGCCTATACTGATGCCAACCACTGGGTTGCTCTCATCTTCTTCCCCAAAGCCTGGTCGTTTGTCTGTCCAACCGAGATTCGCGCATTTAGTGCGCGCCTCGAAGAGTTCCTTCACTCTCGCTCCTGTGCCGTTGTCTTTGCCTCTACCGACACCGAGCTCTGTCTTCGTGCCTGGAACCACACCAATGAGATGGAAGGAGGCCTCGGTGGCGTCCACGTTCCGCTCATGAGCGACAGCAATCACAAAATCAGTCGCGATTATGGCGTTCTGCTTGAAGATCAGGGTGTTGCCGAACGTGCTCTATTCATCATCGACCCCAAAGGAAATGTCAGAAACATCACCATCAGCGATGCAGATGTTGGACGCAGTGTTGACGAAACTTTGCGTATCATCGATGCTCTCGCTTTCAAGGATGAATACGGAGAGGGCTGCCCTGTCAACTGGAAGAAGGGTGATGCAGGTCTGAAGATGGCCGAGCAAACCAAGGTCGAAGGCCCTCTGGACATGAAGAAGGGGTCAACTTGGTCTGAGTGGGCTCGTCCTAAGTTACAGCGAGCCTGGAGTGGTCAGTCGCAGAGGTCTGTGGGCAGTGGTACATTCCGGACTCTGGGTCATTTCAAGTCGGTCTCTGAAACACAAACACCACCTTCGCCACTTGTTTCGCCTACAAGTGCTGTCAGTATGGAGAGGAACATGGAAGCTGCTATGGCCAATCACTTTATCGGTCTTGCTACTTAGTCTGTATTAGTTAGCCATGAAGCAAGTGAATTTTCATGATGAAGTATCAAGATCTGACGATATTGATACGCGATTAACCATGAACGAATAAATCTGATTGGATTCCTTCCATTACATGGCTTAACTCATTCATATAATTGCATGTTTTTGTTGATCTGTGATAACTTTCAGGAGGGATGGGTCAAAATGCCAAGACTTTGGTCCGGCAAAAGTCCACCTCGACCTCTCCTATCCTTTCAGTTCACCAAGCATATAAACTCATCAAAAAACATCACGAGAGCCTTTAATTCGAAGGCATTCTATTCGTCATGTCAAGGTCGACCCCACTTGAGCCTGGAGGAACCAACCCCAAAGAATCAACAATAACAACCCTCTTCTCCAACACCCGCCTAATCCTCAGCATCTCCGCCTTACTACGCGCAACACTCCTCCTCTGGGGCGAATACCAAGACGCAAACTCACCCCTAAAATACACGGATATCGATTACTTGGTCTTCACCGATGCTTCTCGCTACGTTTACCACAATCAATCTCCCTATTTACGCGACACTTATCGATATACACCTCTATTAGCTTGGTTACTCTATCCCACTGCATGGGGAGGTCGCTGGTTTTGTTTTGGTAAAGCAGTGTTTGCGGTTGGCGATATTGTGACTGGGTATTTGATTNTTTTGCTGTTGAGGAGGAGAGAAATGAAGAAGGGACAGGCCATGGGGTTTGCGAGTATTTGGTTGTTGAATCCTATGGTTGCTAATATCAGCACTAGAGGTAGCAGTGAGGGGTTGCTTGCTGTTACTGTCGTTGGCACTTTGTGGGCGGCGCAGATGGGGTATACGAGGTTTGCGGGATGTCTTCTAGGACTAGGGGTTCACTTCAAGATCTACCCGTTCATTTATGCGGTCAGTCTATTTTGGTGGATGGATAGAAGACAAGCAGGGAGTTGGGATGGGAGAGGTGGTTTGCTTGGTGGTCTTGTCAATCGCAAGAGGGTGCAATTGGCTTCCTTCAGCTTTCTCACGTTTAGTGGGTTGAACATGCTCATGTTCAAGCTGTGAGTGCCCTTTCTCTGATTCTCGTTTTGGTGTATACTGACTGTTGCTCTTTCATCCAGGTATGGAATGGACTTCATCCGTCACAGCTATACCTACCACCTCACCCGCATCGACCACCGCCACAACTTTTCCGTCTACAACACTCTACTGCACATGAAGTCTGCTGCCATCTCTCCCTCAGGCCTCGGCGTCGAATCTCTGGCTTTCTTTCCTCAACTGTTTCTCTCTGTGGTTGCTATCCCTCTGCTGTTGGCAAAGAAGGACTTGGCGAGTACAATGTTGGCTCAAACGTTTGCGTTTGTTACATTTAACAAGGTGTGCACGAGTCAGGTATGTTTTGTTGGTTTGGAAAGAGTATTGTATTTTGTTTCTGACGAGTGAAACNAGTACTTTTTGTGGTATATGGTTTTCTTGCCATTCTACCTTCCTCATTCGTCATTGTTGAGGAAGCCTAAGCTTGGGTATACTGCTCTTGCCCTTTGGGTTATTGGTCAGGTAAAGATGGACCTTCCTCCCTCGAACTTCTTGCGTGGCTAACAACCCTGACAGGCGCTGTGGCTGCACCAAGGCTACGAACTCGAGTTCCTCGGCAAGCCGACCTTCGTGCCAGGGCTCTGGGTAGCCAGTGTCCTTTTCTTTGGCATAAATTGCTGGATCCTTGGTATCGTGGTCTCAGACATTGCTTCTCAGCCCTCCAACCCTTCTGCTGTCCTCAAGAAAGCAGAATAACGCATATAGCCCATGCTTCTCCGTGTAGTTGTAAACAGCCCTCTCTTTTGTCCAAAAGCATCAACTCTCTCAATCATCTCCATCATCAACCACACCTTCATTATCCGCTTGGGTAGACACCCAATTCTCCAACATTTGCGTGCCTGTCGAGTTACCAGAAGCATTCTTCTTGACACCTTTGCGCTTGACAATTAAACATAGTATCCGGCCATAGATACTGAAGCCCTCGTATTGCGTATTGATGCCCATCTTTTCTTGTCGTCGTCTTCTTTGTCTGTATCTGCGACTTTGCTTTTTCTCTTTTGCGTGGCTGTGGCTCTTCTTCCTCGTCATCTTCGCTGTGCACAAAGATATGTTCGTCGTCCTCATCGCGAACTCGTTTATTCCTCGCNNGGTCTCCGGGGCAGCTTCAGGGATATCGTTCATGCTCGTCTCGTCTGCGTCTTCCTCGACCAGAATAGCAGGAACTTCTCCTTCATCTTCCACTCTAATCGCCGTATCCTTATCCTTGCCTCCAAAATAATTCGTCAATTTCGAGGCATTGCTTTCGAGTTTCGGTTTTGCGGTAAAGGTCTTTTGTTTCGTGAGCATGGCGTGCGAAGTCGAGGTCTCGGTGAGGAAGATGGAGACTTCAAAGTCATCTACATGCACCAATATTAGCGATCTACTTCTCATGCCACTTCTCATGTCACTTCTCACGCATCAGAGCCACATACCTTGCACAACCACATCCCTGACCCCNCTCTTCTTCTTTCCACCTTTCTTCTTTGCATTCTCATTTTCCTCGCGCAGTTTCGGGNNGAGCACCAGCGGTCGCACGGCTTCAATCACTCGTGGTAGCACCGGGTCGCGCGAGTTGAGCAGCCAGGAGGAGGCAAGAGCTGGATTGTCGAGGTAAATGCGTACTTCGAGGACAGAGTAGCGTGTGATGCGTAGATATCGTCGTATTGGCGCCATTGTGATGTGGGTTTGTGTAAGAGGGATGGTAGGTATTGTCTGTCGCGTTCACTGGTAACGAGTGTCGCGAGAGTCGACGTCATAGGTATGGCCAGGGTCATCCCCCAAGCTACTATATTTGTCTTTGACATACCAAGTATTTGCTTTCCGTAAGCGATTGGCAGTCACAGTGTAGCTATAGAAATGCACAAACCTTTCTCATGACAGAGCTCTGTCCACGGAGAGAACTGTACGTTGAGACATCCCCATGGTGACGTCTCAATTTGGACAAAAATTGTGCTTTTTTATGGCCCATAATAACACAACAAGCTAGTGAGGGAACGAAGACATTGTTACGAGCCATTCTGATAGCTATAGTTTTTCTCAAGATATGTATGCATAATCTGGAGTTCGATTGAGTTGTTTGCTGACGCCGGTGCTATGCAGAACCACCAAATGGCAAGCCATGTGATAAATAATCCTCCCTCCATCCCATTGCGAGAAAGGCACCTCAAAACTCCATGGTAAGAATCCCATCTTCCAGGGCCCATTGCCCATCAAAACACCAGTTACAAACCCCTCGCTTCCTCGTAAATACGAATCACCCTTTACGATAAGTGGAAAGCTCCTTGTCCCTCCTTAATTGCAACACTCAATTTGGCCCTCAGCGTCTCTTGGGAGCTGTAGTTGGGCATTTTCAGGTAGTTGACACATGTCATAACACTCGGCAGGTAGTCGTCAGGCATGAGTGGAGGCTCATTGGGCTTGCACACCACTGTGAACATCGGTGTCAATGATTTGAATCCTGTTTCATGGTTAGCACTTTCGTCAGACTTCAATCTGTTCTTCTGTAACTTACCTCCGATAGGAAGCTTGGGACTGCCAGTAACGAATTGCAGGAAATCGCGTCTTTCAGGCATAGTGAACTCTGACATGGTCTGCAGAAGGTTCTTGACGCTTGCGCTGTCAAGGTTGAAGCCATGGTCGGCCTTGATCGAATCCATAAGTGTTTCAAGGGACCAGTCTTCCTCTGCACGACCGAAGAGCATCACCAGCTCATCAGGTGTGAACGCGTTGAGAGCCGAGTAAGGGAAGACCTGGGAAAAGCCGGCACAGAATGCCTCGACCTGCTTCTGTACTCCTTGACCGAGGGTGAAGTCGATGACCTTTTCAACATATAGCTCGACGTTGTCAATTGTCACATCAACCTCAGCACCCTTGGCCTGGAGCTCGATAGTGGGGTAACCAGGCAGCGTAAAGTCGAGACCAAGGTCCTCAATAAAGGCATCCTTGATTCTGATGTCTTTGATAGCTTGTGTCTTCTGCTCTGCTGTAAGTCCTTCATCTTCTTGGATGTCCTGCTTTGCTCTGCCACAGCGCACCAGAGGCTTCAAAGAATTGGCAAGGTCCTTGTCCACCGAAGCAACAGCACCGAGAGATGGCTTGATTGTGGAGTTGCCAGCGCCAATGCGGAAGAAAGTGGGGTTGAAAGAGACATCAATGATACGCGAGTCCAGCATCGAGCGTGCAACAAACTTGCCCAACATCTTGAACAAGTGCAGCACCTTCTTGCCATGCTCGTCGTTTGACTGTTCCTCGCTCATTGGCGCAGGGAACAAGCCGCGCATGCCGAACGCATAATCATCACCAGCGATCGACTCGTTCTCTCGCCAGAGCTTGATCTTCTTCTTCGAGAATTCCTTAGAGACGGTCGAATAGAACTCAAGAGTTGGGCCAAGGCCAGTGCCGACCTCTTCGAAGTATTCAACCTCAAGAATGCTCGGAGATGATCCGTAAAGCTCCATGACTTTGATGGCAGATTCTAGAATTCTACTGCGAGAGATGCGAACCTTTTGTCTCTGTAGACGACCCAGGAAAGGTCGTTCATCGCGATGGCGTCTGGACTCATTCTCAGATTGAGCGTTCTGCCATCTAGTCATGGATCGTGAGTAGCCGAACGATGTTGACTGAAGGAAGAAGTGCCTGGTCTCAAATGGAAACAGGAAAGGATACAAACGTGCGAGATCCTCGCTCCAAGTAGGAAGGCAGTTGCTGGCCACGATGAGAGGCTCTTCGAGCTGACGGTTGAGCTTGGCGGTCAACTTGGTGTTGACAAACTGGGCCAACGGCTCTGAGCTCATCTGAGTGTCCTTGCTTTGCTCTTCAGCGATGATGTCCTCCAGATTAGCATTCATGTCATGCAGAGTGCTCATCAAACGAAGAATGGCAGCAGTGGCGGGATGTTGACTGAGCGAAGGTGGAAGTTCGGACGTGGTAGCTGTGGATGCATCAGAGGATGAATGCAGCGTGCTAGGCTCGGCAGGAGGAGGACCAGGAGCACGTCTGAAAGAAATAGTGTGCACCCTTGACCAGATGTTACGGCTCGACACCTCGTCAGGATGTGTCTGGTTGAAGTGAACAGCGCGATAGATTGTAGTGTCGTTCGACAATAGCTGTCCATCGACGCTGAACTCGATGTGCCAATCCTGGGACACAGGTTGGATTGCAGAAGCATTAGCAGCGGGCCTCTGAGAAGTGGGAGTAGAGAGCAGTTCTCGGGCTGCAGCAAGTCTTGCAGAGGCGGAGGTACGAGAAGTCGCAGACTGCTGTGAGCCTTGTAGCGGGGTACTGATGCGAGTACCATCCTCCTTGTGAGCAGTTACTTTGCCGCTGTTAGCGACTTCCAAGTTGACTGCCGAGGTATCTTGATCCGCATCCTCCATGTCCTGGTCTTCGTCGTCAAAGTCGTCAACAATGGCGTCGAGGTCCTCTCCGTCATCCTCGTCTTCGTCGGAGAGTGCAGCTTCATCGGCGCACTCAAGTTGTTGATCATCTTCAGCCGCATCAGAGTCCCTTTGTGTGACTTTACGTGAAGATCTACGCAAACGGTTAGTGGCGTCACCGCTGTTCTGAGGAGTGCTATCAGGCTTAGATGATCTTGTGTGAGTGCGTTTGCTCGAAGGAGGGGTCGAAGCTCCTTCTGTAGCATTTCCGTCTCCACGGGCAACTGCTTCGGCGAGACTGCTAGTCAATGCATCACGACTGCGTACAGCTCTCTCCGCAAGGCTGATGCGTGGACGAAGATAGTCATCAAGAGCTCTGAACGTCGCGATGGCATGGATCGAAACCATTATGTTTCTGTATGGCTTCGGGATACCGGAGTCATCGTTGGCTTCTAGTTTGATACGCAGCTGCTTGGCAAGCATTGATGCTGCGCCACTCCTGCTGCTGTCAGAGGCATTCTGGTGGACAGTGATCACCTCGAAGTGCTCAGTACGGCTGAGCAAATCTTGTAGTTTGTGGACCAAGGAACTAAATGCGGTGGCTGGCGAAGCTGTGTTGCCAGTTGCGATTGCCTGGCCTCTTCGTGACATAAATGCATCCAAGAAGACTGACCTCGCAGCGCGACCTGTATTACTGTCTGAAGACTTGAAGATCTCGAGAAGGGTTGACACAATGTCAGAGGTAAGCAGCTCGTAGCTTGTGATGGTTTCGGGAGTGTCGCCATCAAAGTGCTTGGCGAGGCGTTGGAATAATGCAGGTCCATCGGACAGGTTGTTCGAGTTGTAACACTGGCGAAGGTCTTCGGCAAGACGCTTGAGCTCTGACAATGCTCTCGAAGCCTCACCAAGCCCACCATCGTTCTGGTAAGCCTCAACGAACTTGCGAGCCCGGGATGTGATCACGTCTTGTACGCTAGCAGTAAGAGGTGTACGCGAGTTTTGTGCTCCAGACTCTGATTCCGAATCGTCATCATCGTCGTCGTGGTCATCGTTGTCATCATCGTGCTCTCCAACAGACCCCTCGTCAGGATAATCAGGCTCGCTGTGCTCTCCATCATCTTCACCACCGTGCTCTGGTCTGACTGGGAGCTCTGCAGAGAAAGAAGAAGGTACATCGGCAGGCGGTGCTGAGGTGATTCCAGACTCAGTTGAGTTGGTCGAGGTCAGTTCTCGTTGTGCAAGCTTGCTGACCTCGGCCATGACACCTTCACGATAGAACTGAGGTCTGTAGGTCGACTCCAGACGCTTGAGGAGAAGTTCGGCGATCTGCAACGCAAAGGTGACGAGCATCGGATTCTCCTGCTGTGTCAGAATTGATGCGAGATGTGAAGCGTAAGCCACGCCTGAGAGAGCATCTTCGAGCACGCTGGTGTCGAAATTGGAAAGCATCTTAAGCTGTGCAGTGAGCACTTTTTGCCTTACGCTGAGGTTGACGGTACTGGTGTATGCGTGCATCAGAGTCGGGAAGAGTATCTCTGCAAAGCGTCGGACTTCAGGCTGACACTCTCGCAAGAGTTCCAAGCGGTTGTCATTGGGCGAGCTGCGAGCACGAGTGCCCATTGAGACACTGCCGGGACCAACATTGCCAGCATCAGTGAGGTCGTTGATGAACATGAGGTTGTCGGGCGAAACACTTGGGAGGATCTCGCAGACAACGTTCAGAGTTTCGAAGATCTGGTCGCGTGGCGTACGAATGAGAGCTTGCATGATGATGTTCTTATCAATCTTCATGGCAACACCATCGTTGCTTGAAGGTGGCGAGACTCCTGTAAGGATTTGGTAGAGAGTATCGACAACGTTCATGCGCAGCAGCTCAACAGCCAAGCGAGGACTTGCTCTCGCGGTGATGGACAGGACTCGCAAGAACTGGGTATGAATGCTGGGTCCGATCATGGTGGTCGTGCCAGGTAGAAGTAGTCTGAGTACAGCCTTGAGCAGTTCGGGACTGACCAGCTCTTCGAGCTTGGACTCATGATATCTGAAACTCTCTACGATCCTAGAAACACAGAGCGAGCCTTGTTCGACGACCCGTTGATCACTACTCGACAGGACGTTGAGAAGAATAGGCATGACATCGCGTACAGTGGGAAACGAGTCTTCAGACAGGTTTCTGCAGCAGTTTGCGGCAGTAGTAACGGCGCTTCTTTGAGTGCTAGTGGCGAAGAAATCGAGGTAGGTCAGGCAGGCAGTAAGACCACCCTCACGAACGATAGAGGCGGGGAACTCGATCGAGATCTTCTCCAAGGTGCTAAGCGCTTGCTCGGCGACATCAATGTAATGGATTTCGAGAAGCTTTTGACATAGGACAGGGACAGCACCGCCGTAAACGACGCTCGCGGTAGCCTGAGGCAGGGCCTCCATCAAGTTTGCGATACATCTGCAAGCCAACAGCATCATCTCAGGATTCTCTTCACCGGTGAAGTCATTCGGCTGCATGAGGTCCACCAATTCCTTGACGAACTGATCGGGAGAGAAGTGGCCAGCGAGGTTGTCCTCATTGGAGACGAGCAAGATTTCTGAGAGCTCAGTGAGGGCAACCATTTGCACCGAGGGGTCATCCTTTGCACGAAGGTTTTCCAGAATACCTCGCAGGCGTGTCGTCATACCGGACATGATACCACTGAGAGCGCGAAGAGTACTCGATATCCCAGCGGGCATGCCTGCGCGGTTAAGGAAGGCGCCAGAGAAAGGATCGTCACCCGGTTCGCCGCCAGAGTATCCAAGAGCAGCGGCCGCGGCAGCGGCATCTTCGTCGTCATCATCGTCTATTCCCTCACTATCATCATCGTTGTCTTCCGGGTCGTCTTCATCGTCGTCGTGGTCGACGGGCATACGTGGTGGTTCGGGCTCGGGGCGACTTGACGAGGAGTCTGGGACCTTTTGTGTGAGGACTTTTGGAGGACTTGCGCGAGGAAGACGATTGGCCAGATTGAGGAGCTAAGACTAGGTTAGAAGTGTGGTGGGAAGAGAAGTTTGGAAGATGTGGCGGACCTTGGCTGCTCTTTCTACGGGACGACCTACGTTTGCTGGTGGAGGCGTGGTCGTCTGGTGATGTGGGAGAGTGCTTGGACCTGTTCATGGTTGGGCGGGAAAGATCTTGGTCATCATGGCTAGAAGAAGACATGTTCTTGGAGCGCTTGGATGGCTGAGTCTGGCCAGAGGAAGGGTTGGAAAGACGAGCTCTCTTGGATCTGCGGGGTTGGGCGGTGTCCGAAGAGGCAGGCGGCAGTGGGTCGTCCTGAGACAGTTTGCGCTTGCGAGAGGAGGATGAGGTGGTCGAGGTTGATGGCGGAGGAGGTACGGTAGGATTGATGGATGTACCGGCAGCAGTGGGGTCGGTGGTAGGGTGGGCCGGAGCGGCGAGTCTCGCTGAAGAGCGAGTTACTCTGGGTGGCATGAGCGGCGTTTGAGAGGGAGTGTCATGGATGATGGATGGTAGAGGGTGATGGGACAAGTAAAGCAAAAGTTGTGGTGATGGAAGTGAGAAGGCGGTGGACGCGAGGGTGAGGGTGTTGGGTTGGCTGACCTTGAGGCGGTTGCACTTGATGAATGTTCGAATGGTGGCTCTGGCTCATCCATGGAGCTTTCTTTCACAGCTCCATAAGCGAACGGAAAGAGCAAGCCTGTGCGGGAGGGGGTAGCTGCCTGTCACAAACAGGTTCTTCAGTTGTTCAATACAGCAGGATATCAAGCTATGGTATAGCGGGTATCTTCAGAGTTACGGGTGACAGAAGGCTGGCCAGGGTATCAGCAAGTGCCCCGTCGATAGACGTGCCGAAGCGATCAAAGCGCCTCGCAACTCCGAGACAGCAGCCCTCATGCCACTCGTCGACCTCCAATCACCGCTCCGACACAAGTCGCACACCTCTAATTCCATGTTACAGTAGGTCAACAGATCACATTGTCCCTTGTTTTCTGCTCCATACCACGTCTGTATCCGTATACCAACATTCTGCTGCCTGTTCTGCCTCTGCTCCCTTAACGCCGGCCAAGCAGCCATGTCGTCACGCAAAACGTCTTTGGTCTCTATCAAAGCTCGGGCGCGAACCTTGAAAGTCTGATGGCGCGGTCATAGACAGCCAACACACGCGACTCTTTCTGAACCTTCTGATTTCACACTCCTGAATATTGTGATTATGCGATTTGTTCTAGACGTCCAATTCTGTCCCCTACACGTATATCGCAAACTAGAACATGGGTGATCTCTTCCACCAGCTCGAGGTCAGTTGCAAATCTCGACCGGCGACGAGTTCTACTAACATGCTACAGACAGAATACTGTCCACCAATTGATTCCGCTCTTTTCTCTGCTATAGTCTCCGACTATGACTTGACCAACTCAAACGCCACGACCGAGCTCAGGGGTACGCTGGATGCTCTCAAAGCCACCGCCATTGAAGAAGAGGCTACTGGTTTCGACGCCTCTGGAAGCGGCGCCCAACATGAAGACTACAGCCCAGGGCATCCAACCTCTGTGCCGGAAAGTGCTTCCGCGTCACGAGAAACCGACATGACCAGCCTCTCCAACGGCCTCTCAAGCGTCGACCTAGACTCCGAAGGCTCCCCCGACCGTGCTGAATACGATTTCGAGGCTTGCGACCAAGACACCAAGGTCTCCATCCTGAGAGACATCTTTCCATCGCTCTCCGAATACACAATCTCTCACACGCTCGCACACCACGACTCGAAATGGAAGCCCGCTTTCGACGACCTGTTGAACCAAGTGTATTTTGAAGAAGGCGGTACCATCGACGGAAAGGACAAGGTGTCGGCTAAGGGCATCGACGCCTTCAGCGAGGAGAACGTTGTCAAAAGAGGTCGGAAAGGGAAAAAACGTGGCAAGAATATCAAGACTATCGACGCAATGAGGTCCTCTTCGCTACCGACCGAGTCGCGACCATCAACCAACCAATGGCAGACTGCCAAAGGTGATGTTGATTTCATCTCGGATCGCGCCAACATCCCTGCTCAGCTCGTGCTCTCGTTGTACAATCAAGAAGACCGCTCAGTGTCACGGACCATCTCGGCCATCCTCAAGACCTTCTTGCCAGAAGACCCTCGATCAGAGGAGCCCGGAGTTCAAGTGGACGCATCTGTCCTGGGTCAAGAATACCCCGGTCTCGCCCCTGAGTACCTGGTAGCTCTCATCAAGCTAACCCAGCCATCCATGACAGCAGCGCGCGAACTCGCCAAAGCCTTGACCACAAAACCGCTGACCCACGAAACCGGCAGTCGAGTCATCATTCCACAGTATGCTCCCGTTCGAATCTCCGATGCAGACGACTTCAACCAAAGTGGTTTCGACACCGACACTTCAACCGTAGACTTTGGCTCTGCCTCTGCCTCAACAGCCAAACTCAGAGCAGCACGACAAGCCGCAATGGATCAAGCCCGCGCCGCCTACCGCAAATCGCGATCCGACCGCCTCATGGGCGGCGCTGCCGGATATTATTCGCAGGTCGGTCGCGACCACGGCGCTGCACTGCACCAATCCCAAGCCGCAGAGGCAAACGCCATCGTCTCTGCGCAGTCCTCGGCCTTTGAGATTGACTTGCACGGCGTGACTGTAGAGAATGCTGTTCGCATTGCTCGCCAGAGGACGAATGCTTGGTGGAATGGACTCGGCGAGAACAAGGTTAATGGCCGAGTGGGGGCTGATCAGCGTGCCAGTGGGTTCCGCATCATAACGGGTGTGGGACGACATAGTGCTGGTGGCAAGGGCGTGCTTGGTCCTGCGGTCAAGAAAGGGCTTGAGCAGGACGGTTGGAGATTGGAGGTTAATAGCGGGGCTATCACCGTCAGAGGCAAGAGCAGGATACATTAATAGATACACGGCATTAATAGAAATGAGAGTATTGGGCATCTCAAGCCTGCTCTCGAGTAATTTGTCTTTTTCGTGCACACTCATCTTGTCCTCTGCACCGTGTCTACCACATCTGCATCCATCCGCGCCTTTCCTCTATCGCTGCCCATTGCAGCCCCATACTGTTTCTCTGCACCTCTGCACTTTCCTGGTTCATCGCCCCGATCTCTTGTCTCCATCTTCTTCATTAGCGCCTCTTTTTTTTTTTTTTTACTTGACTCTGCTTTCCAAATCCCATCTTCTGTCTCGATTTCTCGCACGAGTCTTCTTTGTCATTTCTGCTGGGTAAGTCACACGCAGCCACATTCTAGTATTGGACCTTTGGAGTCAAGGTACTGTGTTCTCTTGCATGACTTTAGTCCTACGGCTCTCTCGACTCAGAGTTATCACGACTGCGCCAGTCTCTTCTCTCGTTGCTCTAAAAGAATTCACACCTTCTTAGTCAATCCTGCAATCCTTCTCTTGTTCCTTTGTCCTTTCGTCCTTTGTCTTCTTCTGGTACTATAGACCGTGTACATGCTTATGCAACAGTCGATTCGACAGATCAGTTGCCAGTCAGCGAAGCAACGTCCTCTCCGATCTGACCGATGGCAGCGAGCTTGCGCTGAGCCTCGATGAAGTTGGTCCTCTCCTTCTGCAGCTCCTTGCGACGGATCTCGCGCTCGCGATCTTCGGCCAANAGCTCCTTGCAGCGCTCCTGTGCATCGCGGGTCTCAACCTCCAAGCCAGCCTTCAGATGCGGCATAAGGTTGGTCTCGAGTTCGTGGAGAACCTCGGCCTGAACACCTTGGACGACATGGTCCAAGAAGCGAAGGAGAGCGACATTGTGATAGCCTCTGACTTTGGCCATCACCTTGATCTCCTCTGCGAATGGGTCGTCTCCGAGCTCGGCTCTGGCCTTGGTGTCGGATCTGGCCTTCTTCTTGCGTTCGGTTTGGTCGACCATGATCTTGCCGGCGGCACGGTCGGCGTTCTCGAGCTTCTCGACCAGTCTCTGAGTTGCACGACCGTCCTGCAAGATCTGGAGCTCCTTGTCATGATGGTGTTTGAACCCCTCAGTGTTCAAGGTCAGAGGCTTGCGTTGTTCCATGTCCAAAGCGCGCTTTGCTTGCTGTAGTTGGTTGCGCATAGTGTTGGCTACGAAAGCCTTGACGATCTTTCTAGCCTCGCTGAAGAAGGCGGTGTTGAGCCATTGGGCACAAGCCTCTTCGAGCAGTTGGTCCAAGGTGCTCTGAATTTCTTGTTGAACGCTGTTGATGAATTCGAGCATGGGCTGCTCCCAACCGGCGAGAGTCTGTTTGCGAAGATGGTCGACAGCGAGAGGGTTAACCTCGCCGGGAACGCTCGAAGCCGTAAGCTTGCACAGAGTTTCGCGTACCTCGAGGAGGCGGAACATCTTCTTGTTGGTTGTAGGAGCGGAACTGTTTCTGGGCGTAGTAGCGATATCGGATTTGATCTTCTTTGCAGTTGAAGCGATAGGTGTGTCCAACTCGGCTCTTCTCTTCTTGTTAGACTTAGACATCTCCAAGCTGGGGCAAGGAGTACCGCCTGCTTCGTCATCGTCAGAGAGTAGTGAGAAGGTGGGAGTCTCAATGGCTTGGCGAAACTGCTCGGGAGTTGCAACGACAAGGCCAGGGCGGAGCTTCTGCAGGTTTCCGTGGAAGGTGTTGGCTAGATCCTTAAGAGAGTTGTGCATCTCGTTGTAGGGATGAACACCTTGAGAATGCTTCTCGACCGTGATACGGAAGGTAGTTAATGCCTCGAGCACTTTACCCAAGGCGTTTTCTGGCGGGTCAGGATATCCGGTGAGTTCGGCTTCAACCTCTTCGACGCGAGCATCCACCATTCTAGTGATTCTAGGCAAGGTAACAAGAATCTGCTTGGTCAGCTTGACTGACAAAGTGTCACGAAGCTTAAAAGTTCCAAAACGGTCCTGGAAATCGTGTAGCTCTGTGTTCCATGGATTCTGAGCAAAGAACTCAACTTCCGATCTGCGTGCTTCGTCGGCAGAGATGTTGTTATTGAGTTCGAGTTGGTTGGGCTGTTTGGTGACGAAATACCCATGGCCAACGGCAAATGCGTCACCGTGAAGGACGTTCTTAATGAGTTGAGTCTTGCTGCCGAGAGGCCAGCGGTCAGGTTTGGTAAGACAACCCATCGTACGGGCAAGAGCACCTTCGTGTTGGTCGATCAACGCGGCTCCGCTTGAGTTGGCGAAATCCGATTCCATCGAGCGTGCGAGCAGGATCAGAGAGTTTCCCTGCTTGATGTGGTCTGCCACAAAATTCTCGACCAGATTGACAAGCCATTTGTCTTTAGCTTGTGTCATCTGACGAATGACTCCTGGCAGATCGATGAATGACAGACTAGGCTGGCCGGGTGCCGTGATGGCCAGGATCACCTTGTTGGGCGAGAACTCGACCTTCATGGGCATCTCATCAATAGAAGATGGTGCGTTGAGATATTCGAAGGGGTTGTCGCCAGGGTTCAGAGTTGCGCGCTGAGCACGGCTGAGAACACCCTCGAGCTCTTCCTTTCTGTTGACGATGGCAAACTCAGTGGTTGTCGGGGAGTGGTCCTCGCGCCACTTGCCGTAGCGGCCATCGGGGTCAGCTTCGGAGTCGAAGGTGAATCTCTGTTGCAGCGACACCTTACAGGACCAGGCAGCGTCTTCAGAAGAGAACAAGGTGATCTCTAGTGGGCATCTTGTGCATGTGCCATCACTACGAGGGACCTTGATACCGCTGATACCCTCAATGAGCTAGGCCATGTCAGTTGGTTTATGCATGAGTGAAGGATGAACACAGAGGGTTGGTCTTACAGAGCTCTTTCCAGCAGACTGGTCGCCAACGACGACGATCTTCGGCAAAGGCAGGTTACGTGTCTCCACTCCAAGCTGTTCCAGATCCTTGATCAGTTGAACAAGCTTCTGCACAGGGCGACCGAGGAGGCCGAGCTGTGGGTCGTTATCTTGACGAGCTTGATCTTGGTTGTTGCACATGTCGAAGGCGGCACCAGGTGTAGGTGTGGTAGCAGCCATGGTGGAAGTGTCGTCGGACGGCGCAGACTGAGGCGCAGACGGGATCGCAGAGTTGTTGTTGTGGTTGGAAACGCCAGAAGCGTGGTCAACTATTTCAAGCTTGATGCGAGGTTCCGCCATGTGGTGGAAGACGCGTGGTGTTTGAAGAAGCGTGTTGATGGGAGAAGGAAACAGAAGTGAGGTTGAAAAAGAAAACAAAGACAGAGCAAGCGTGTTGTATGGATCTGAGAGCTGTGCGCAAGTGAAGCAACGCGAACTTCAAAGCAACGCGGACCAAAGCCAGTGACCACGCCGAAGAGGGTATTAAACAATTCATGATTCGCCTTCTCTCTTCTGGAAACTCAATAGAGGAGCGTGCGAACCAAGAACAATCAATGGGCAACAGTTGTCCAGTCACTCCTCGATACTGACCAGAGGCTCAATTGCAGCACAGAGGTTCAGGAAGCCATGCTGCACTTCTCGGCAACCCAACAAATACCGTCACGAGCCAGACATACTGTGAAAGCAGACACACCAAGAGCTCCACTTACATTGCACATGTCTTGAGCTCATTGATAAGCTCCACCGAAAGACTCGTTGTGTTAGTAGCCCGAGCATCCCAATGGGCATACAAGCTAGGAAGAGAGGTAGGAGCATCTCTTCATCATCCTGATGTGAGTTCGAAAGCTGAAAGAGATCCTTCACGAACGTGTGACAAGCATCTTCTTGAGGAGAACGGACTCACTCGACATCGCTGACACAGCAGAACAATGGCGAGCTGGTCACACAACAAGCACGCAAGTAAGCATGCACACGAGTTCCGGCATCACCAGATATGCAGCCATGAGCTATCTGACTCCCATGGCGATTGCATTTTGCACGACGAGCCACGTTGCTTGATGCAGGTTCCCGTTTCTTGAACAAGCGAGCGGGCTTGTAGTGGTTGCCGTCTGACAGCACTGAGGCCCTACCCACGTGCTTGACAAGCTGACATGTTCATCTAGCTGTGAGGTCGTACAGATCGAGTGAGCGCGTCATGTCTGATGCCAACGTGATGTCTCTATTTCGCGGCAGAACAAGAACAGAGACAAAAGGAAATGGTCTTTCAGGTGAATGGTGCTTGGTCGACTCGTCGTCCTGGCAGCGGACTGAAGCATGGCGTGAAGCCTTGAAGAGCTTGGTGCGTGTATTGATCATTGTCCTGCAGTTCGAGGTGTCATGTTTCGGGCGCTGGTGTGGCTGACATGTGACCAGGTCAATCGTGAGCTGATAGACCTACACAGCGTTGAACCGAATGCAGCTCGAACAAATCGATCGATAAGTTCTTTAACCCAAAAGACGAACGAACTGAAGGATTGAACGGAATGGTTGAAGAGCAAGACTTGGTCTCAGGTTCCCCAGGAAAAGAGTCGTTTGCTGCCGATGACAGGTCCCACTTTCCCCCAAATTGGCAGTTTTAGCCTTCTCGGCAATAAAGATCCGAGAGTGCTATCTCCATAGGCAATAATGACAGAGCGATGCGGTCGTGAGGAAAGAACGGCACGCAAGAAGGAGGGGGCCAGAAATGAAAAACATGGCAGTCACCGTTCGTGCTTCCTCAATCGACCACTCCTGCTTGTCTTGACATTTCGGTGCTTTGATTACAAACCAACCTCAAGCACCCGCTGCCGCTCTTTCCGTCGCATAAACAATTTACACCAGATCAAACCGTCATCTTGAAGCCCTTCGCACGATCGAGTCAACTTATCGCAGCAGATGATGGAGCGCGACGAATCGGCCAAAGCTGTGCAAGACGACGAAGAGCGCGTTCCCTTCGACGTAGTTCCCAATCCGGACACGCGAGTCGACCAAGGCGTCGACGAAAAAGCAGTGCGTCATTCAAGAGACAGCGATACAGATGAACAACCAAGACCACGATCCAAGGATGAAGAGAGTGGAATCACAGCCACGGGCGACGACGGCGTTAACGAGAAGGAATTCGAAGTCACTTGGGACGGCGACGACGACCCCATGAACCCTAGGAGCATGCCCTACGTCCGAAAGTGGATAATTGTCATTATTGTCTCTGCAAGCTCTCTATGTGTGTACGTAGAACTCACATCAACCCTTCTTGCCACCATCAGCAGAACACATCACAAAATCTCATGCTGTCTATCCGCTTATCTGGACCGATATACCGATACGGCTGAGCATGTCAATCTGACTCGCATGTGAACTAGTACCTGCACCTCTGCGCTCTACACATCAACCTATGCACAATTGGAGCCAGAGTTCCACTGCTCGAGGATAGTCGCTACTCTGGGACTGTCCTTGTTTGTCGTTGGATTAGGACTGGGACCTATGGTCATGTCACCGCTTTCAGAAGTAAGTCAATGGCTCTGAACAATAGATGAAGGCCTCGGAATTTAACTAAATTGAAGTTCTACGGAAGAAGACCCATCTACATTGCCTCGTACACTTTCTTCTTGATCTGGTTGATCCCTTGCGCTGTGGCACAAAACATCCAAACTATGTTGGTCGCACGCTTCTTTGACGGACTTGCTGGCAGTGCCTTTCTTAGGTACGTTCGAACCATTTTAGAGTGTAACGAATGCTTTTCCTGAAGGAGAGCTAATCCGCGATGATGCACAATAGCGTAGCAGGAGGAACTGTAGGAGATCTATTCCCTAAAGCCCAGCTTTCTCTACCAATGGGTGCGTCTTTCACTCGGAGTCGGAAGCATGACAAGACGCTGACGTGACGCAGCATTTTATACAGCGGCACCTTTCGTTGGACGTGGGTCCACTCTATCTGCATGGTCAGAGTTTATGCTTACAGTCGTTTAGCCGAGATCGGTCCCATTGTCGGAGGTTTCATCAACTACTACGCCAATTGGGTATGTATGAACCACATTGAACCATTCAACCACTGACTCGTATCTGTCAGCGATGGACCTTCTACGTGCTACTCATCTGGTCAGGTGGAATGCTGGCAGCCATCATCTTCCTAGTGCCCGAAACATATCATCCAGTCCTTCTGCGCAAAAAGGCCATCAAGCTCAGGAAAGATACGGGTAATCCGGCCTGGCGAGCACCAATCGAAAACATGAACAAATCGGTGTTTCGGACAGTCGCATGGAGCTGTGTCAGACCATTCCAACTCCTGTTTCTCGAAGCGATGTGCCTGAGCCTGTGTGTCCTCTCGGCCATCCTTCTGGGCATTCTCTACTTGTACGTAGCCGAGGGCACAAATGACCGCTCAAGACACATGCTAACCGTGCCCTAAGGTTCTTCGGAGCGTTTCCCCTCGTCTTTGAGAATAATCACGGTTTTGTATTGTGGCAGACCGGACTTACATTTATAGGTATCTTTGTCGGTATGGTCACAGGCGTCAGCTGCGATCCCATTTGGAAGAAAAACTATCGGCGTCTCGTCACCAAGAACGGAGGCGTTTCTGAGCCTGAGTTTCGTCTGCCTCCAACAATTCTGTAAGTCTTCAAAGTGTTGGGAAAAGCGAAAAGATGTTGGATGTGCTGACATTTGTGCTAGCGGTGCCATCTTGGTTCCAATCGGCCTGTTTGGTTTTGGTGAGTGACTGGAGAGGAGGTGAATTGCACGAAATCATTGGATCGCTGATACAAGGCATTGCATAGGATGGACGACGTACTCCTCGGTAAGTGGCTTGGATCGATTATTTCCCTTGGCGCAATGCAGCAAGATCTTTGATTCTTATTGGAGGCAATATACATAATGCCCAATATTCCACTTGCAACCCCGCCGCGGCATCCCACTGGCCCTAGACGTGCCACTTTGCACGACAGGCCAGATGGCAGCCCGAGTCCATGGGAGGAGAAGAACACCCAGCTAACCCCCGTGCTGCAGGTACATTGGATCGGTAAGACCTCGAGCTCGATGCCTTGCATAAGCGATTGGACACTGACTCTTGAATTTGCCAAAGTCCCCATCGTCTTCAGTGGCATCTTTGGACTTGGGTAAGTCAGAAAGCAGCAAGACGAACCAAATCAAGCACGCAATACTGACTCTGAAACAAACAGAAACATCTTTGTCTTTAGCGGTGTCTTTACTTTCCTCGTAGAATGTGTAAGTGGTCTTCAGACGGCATGTGCGGCTACGGACCGGACCGTGGGGTCGCCACGATGCTTCATTTGACCGCCTCTAGTCAAGGTGTGCATAGGAAACTAATTTTTGTAATAGTATCCTTTGTATGCCGCGAGCGCGCTGGCGGCCAACAGTTTTGCGCGCTCAAGCTTCGCTGCAGCATTCCCTCTCTTTGGTCAGTCGATGATATTGCATCACATATTATTCAACTCGAGAAAAGCATGCTAACAATACTCTCAGGTGTGCAAATGTACGACAGTAAGTCTACCGGTTTTAGGCAAAGATCAAAGAAGCGGTAACTAATGCAGAAACCTGGAACAGAGCTGGGATACCAATGGGTGGGTGACAGGCATTTGAATACGACGATGATGGTCAAGTGATGCTAAATCGGTGATAGGCTTCGTCATTACTGGCCTTTTTAGCCCTTGCCATGGCACCGTTTCGTAAGTTTTTCTGGCAAAGGCCTCGTACCATGGTTATTCAGTGCTGACCCTGGCATAAGCGTACCTATTTTTCAGTATGAAGCATTACTTGGTTAGAGGTTTGGACGAGGAGGAATGCTGACAGGCCAACAGGATACGGCAAGCGACTTCGCAAGAACTCCAAGTTTGCACAATCATGAGGACTAATTGGGAAGGCTGAGGTACGGAAATAGATGAGATTGGATCGGTGGCACTGCATGAACAATAGCGCATCGCGTTTTCCCACGAGGCAAGAGACACCAAAAAGATCTGGGCTCGGACCCCTGGGCTGGTGGAGAGCGGCGAGCTATTGTTTGGAAACCAGTCAAAACGTCGAGGTGGGACGGAGGCACACCGAGCCGCGAGACATGAATGGCGGTGACAGGACGAACAAGCGAGCATGTACCACCCCAGGACTCGTGGATATGTTGGCCTGGCATGAGATGGACAACAATACATGTGATGGCGCTTTGACGCTCTTGATGGAGGCTGAAGGCGGGCAGACTGGGGGAAGGAGTGGAGAAGAAGGGAGAGGGTTCGGCCTCGCGGGAAGGATGCGGGCTTGCCAAGGCCGAATCGCGCATGCTCCGTCGAGGTTCACGGTATCGGCGAACTGCTCGTTCTTTGCAATCACAACATCTTCGGAGTTCGTACTGTCGTCGCGCAAAGGTCGCGGACTCATCGCATCATTGAAACGAGTTGCGTCTGTGCAGTGACACGGCTCCATCGTCCCCACGGCCCATTCGCGCGTCCCGACAGTCCAGCCTAGACATGATGACTTTAGCGAGGGTGACACAAACTGCGTAGACATTGCTTTGGTAGACATCACTCTGCCCCTGCTTACCTTGCACCGCGTGGGCGGGACCTAGGGAGAGAGGCAGACCCTTGTGGCACGGCGCATACAGCCACTCGTGATCGCATATCGACTCACCATCCACCTGGGAATCCTGAAACAGAAACAATCCACGGGAAGCTGCAGAAAACGTGCTCGAGAGGTACTCGGTAGTGCCACTGCAGAGGACTCGACTCTTATATCACCCTGGCCATGGCCCCCGATTCAGCCCACCACGGTGACCCAGACGACCAGACAGACCTCACCAGCAACCAGACAAGCACGCCTTCAAAGACACTGCCACTCATGTCCGACTCGATTCATGAACCCTCTCAGATCGACGACAAGGCCTCGCCCGCCTCTGCCTCGTCCAACAAGGACCATAACGACTCGGCGACCAAGAAAGCAAATGCAAAAGATCCCTCGAGGCCACGGAGGAAAAAGGCACGAAGAGCGTGCTATGCCTGCCAGCGCGCACATCTGACATGCGGTATGTCTATATTTACTCTCTGATGTCCGCGACACGCTCCTCTGACTCAACCAGGTGACGAACGGCCATGTCTTCGCTGCATCAAGCGTGGCTTGCAAGACCACTGCCACGATGGAGTCCGAAAGAAGGCCAAATACCTACACGACGCTCCCAACGAAGCCTTGATCCCGCACGCCTTCAACCAGAATCAGAACCAGATGAACCAGTCTACTCCTGCTACTGAGCCCACTCCCGCAGCTCAGTCTTCGTCATCATACTATCAGACTCCTGTTGGTGCCCAAGCCTTTGCGAACTTCGGCCATACTCCTTCTGTGGCTCCCATCCACTCTCCCTCGACCACTGAATCCCCCATGGTTCACTCTAATCCATATGTTCCTCAGCAGAACATGGTTACCCAGCCTTTTCCATCAACTGCTTCTCAACAGATGCCTCCTCCTCAAGACCCCATCTCATCTATCGCCCATAGTTCTGGAGACCCAAAGCCTGGCCAACCGTTTACTGCTCCCTTCTTTGATCCTGCCGACCCTTCACTCTTCAATTTCGACATCTCAAGCCTAAACTTTGGTAATCATTATGGTGCTTTAGAATTCGGCATGCTTGGACATATGAGTTCTGGTGCCGTCGAGACGCCTGATACCGAGAACAACAATCTAATGAATTCGATACCTTATGACCCGGCCAACTCGAACTACTCAGCCACCTTTCCCTACAGCAATACAGGCTTCACCGACTGGCAACGCAACACCGATGGCACCAGGCAAAACAGCTCTGGCCAGGTCTTCTCCATAACAGGAGACAGCAGTTTTGACGGCCAAATGAATTTCCCCAACGCTTTTGCTATCGGCGAGAATGGCTCTATGTCTGGAGCAAGCCCCAGCGCCGCAAACATGATGGACTTTGGCACAGGATATAACTCGAGTCCTGTCGCTTCGGCGCAACACATGCTGCACAATCCAAGTCAAGATTACAGTCGCCATCAATCTCGACCACAGATCAGAAACAGTCTCTCAACCAACGATATACATCAAATACGGCCGAATCAACATAGACGACGACGAGATCCTTCTGATATATACACATCAGTGACCGCGCCATACTCATACACTACTGGTTTCCACGCCTTGACTGCTTGCCTCCAAAGACTATACTCGCCACAAAAGACCGCGCGAATCGCCAGAGCGCTGGCAGCCATTCGACCATCGTTCATATCTTGCACAAAACAATTGAACGTTGACGATCTAATATTCATGGAGAAGTGTTTCCAGAGGACCTTGTTCGAATACGATGACTTCCTGACAGCTTACGGAACGCCGACACTCATCCTGCGTCGCACTGGTGAGGTCGCTGCTGTCAGTAAGGAGTTCTCGCTACTGACCGGATGGTCAAGAGACGTTCTGCTCGGCAAGGAAGCAAACTTAAATATCAACATCGGGAATGCATCAGGCCGCCAGACTGGCACCAGCACAAGAGGTACTGCTACACCTCGTGCCCAAAGCAGTGCAGACACAGCTGGCCGACTACAGCCAGTCCTCCTTCCTGAGCTCATGGAAGACGATAATGTCATCGACTTCTACGAAGACTTTGCAAAGCTTGCCTTTGGAGACTCACGAGGTGTCATGATGAAACCTTGCAAGCTATTGAAGTACAAGACCAAGGAAGACCCCGGCTGGAGTGCAGACCTGCTGGCTGAGCGAGATAACAGACACAGTAGCGGCAAACCCGTCGGCCCACTCATCAGTGGCGAATCAGGAATGAATTCGCTCGGCGATCGGGACGGCAAAGTGTCCTGCATGTTCTGTTGGGTGGTCAAGCGAGACGTCTTTGACATTCCCATGATGATTGTTATGAATGTAAGTCTTCGTATCCTACAATCATATGTGGTCAGCAATATACTAACCCCAAAGCAGTTCCTACCGATTATCTAGAATCCCAAAGCATTGATACTGGGCAGAGTGGCGTTTTTTTCCAGCATGGTGGAAGCTGGAAAGTGATACATGCAATACCTAATCACAATACTTTTGGATATAATGAGTAGAAATGATGGGTGCAGTTCCCGGATCGGAGAGGCATCGTATGCTTGCATGAAGCAGGCAGGTGATATTGGATTTCCGCATCGATACCTTACTTTCGAGTACCTGTGTCCCGAGCGAGTCCGTTTAATACTTGTACGAATGCATGCAATTGTTGATTCTTCCAAATGCATAGCACTGCACGAGCGATGTTAAGTGAGATCTCATGCTCCCTTGTGACTGAATGCTTATGCAATATCGCGTCTATCCTGTTATAGTTGTGATCAAAACACGGGTTGGATTCACTGGAGCGAGCAAGACTTAGAGTTGGCGCGCTTGGACCAATGTTGCGATCAAGTTCCCCACCAAAAAGTTCAAGGTGAGATGAAGTCAATGTTGAAAGCCATCCAGCTCCAGCGACCTTTGAACTCGAGGTTTTACAGCCCAAGTATACAATCAGTCCGTTGCGTACATATAGGCTTTCGCAAAATGGCAAACGTCGCAAGCACATATTCCGGTAATGGCTGCACCAACACGGATTGAGCTTTCTAGAAGAAACACAAAGAATGAGGACCTGACTTTTGGCGGCTGCTTTGCACCCAAACAGATCCCATCCACATTGCCGTCATTGGCGGCACTGGTCTGCAGTCGCTGCCTGGCTTTACTCTTGCTGCCAGCTTGAACGTCGATACGCCATGGGGCACCNCCTCGTCGCCCATCAGTGTGCTGCACCACAAATCTCCTTCGACCGGCAAGGACATCCCCATCGCTTTCTTGTCGAGACACGGTCTGCACCATGAGATTGCTCCCCATGAGGTCCCTGCCCGCGCCAATATTGCCGCTCTCCGCTCCCTCGGTGTCCGTACCATTATCGCTTTCTCGGCTGTCGGAAGCTTGCAAGAGCAGATCAAGCCTCGCGACTTTGTCGTGCCGGACCAGGTCATTGACCGCACCAAGGGCATTCGTCCCTTCACCTTCTTTGAGGAGGGTATGGTTGGCCACGTTGGCTTTGCCGACCCCTTTGACGAGAAGCTCGGTGCTGTTGTGAGAAAACTTGGTCACAGCCTCGAGGGTGACAACGTGCACCTTCACGACAAGGGCACCATTATCTGCATGGGTGCGTAGGAGAAACAAAAAGAGACGGTGGAAACAACACGAAATGCTAACACAACAACACCAACAGAGGGCCCTCAATTCTCGACCCGCGCAGAGTCACACATGTACCGCTCCTGGGGCGGCAGCGTCATCAACATGTCTGTCCTCCCCGAAGCCAAGTTGGCCAAGGAGGCCGAAATCGCATACCAGATGATCTGCATGAGCACCGACTACGACTGCTGGCACAGCTCTGAAGACGTGACTGTCGAGATGGTCATGGGCAACATGAAGGCCAACTCGGAAAACGCACGCCGCTTTGTTGGCGGTGTGCTGGATGAGCTGAGCAAGGAGGAGCACACAGACTTGATTTTGGCTAAGCACCTGGAGGGTCAGACCAAGTTTGCTGGTGGTATTACTGCGCCTGCTGGTCGCAAAGAGGCTGCCAAGAAGAAGTTGACTTGGTTGTTCCCTGGTTACTTCGAGTAGATCGTGTTGACTTGTCTTGATGACGGTCGGCGGTATATGAGCCTTATAGAAATGAACACTATCTACTTGAACAAACAACCAGAACCACAAAGAGATGGTTGTTAATATCAATTGATAGGAATGTTCAGACGCGTTGGCAACGAAAGTGTCGGCGTCGGGGAAGGAGCTGAGCTTGGGGCAATGCGCATGACGATTCAAGCTCCGGCGGTCGCCAGCCAGCAGTCAAGCAACGACAACGAGCACTCACTTTACCCATCCATCGCTCTTTCCGTGTCTTGTGCATATCGCCCTTCCTTCCATCTCCGCCGTCAGCGCATCATATACTGAGCGCACTCTCCCAACCAATCTCGCCTCCGACCGACACTTCTCCACGCAAGCGCCATGTCTCGCCGCTACGATTCACGAACAACCATCTTCTCGCCCGAGGGCCGTCTCTACCAGGTCGAATACGCTCTTGAGGCCATCTCGCACGCCGGAACTGCTCTGGGTATCTTAGCCAAGGATGGCATTGTCCTGGCCGCCGAGCGCAAGGTCACCAGCAAGCTGCTCGAACAAGACACATCCGCCGAGAAGCTGTACACCCTGAATGAGTTCGTCGACACACCTCATTCCTATCTTGTTATTCGTACTGACCTCTTTCAAGCANACATGATCTGCGCCGTCGCTGGAATGACTGCCGATGCCAACATCCTCATCAACTACGCCCGCTCAGCCGCTCAAAACTACCTCCTCACCTACAACCAAGAGATTCCTTGCGAACAGCTGGTCCGCCGTCTGTGTGATTTGAAGCAAGGTTACACTCAACACGGTGGTCTGCGTCCCTTCGGTGTTTCGTTCATCTATGCTGGTTACGACGATCAGCGCCAATTCCAACTCTACCAGAGCAACCCCAGTGGCAACTACGGCGGTTGGAAGGCCACTAGTGTCGGCGCCAACAATGCCAGCGCTCAGAGCTTGCTCAAACAAGACTATAACGACGAGTGCTCGCTGAGAGAAGCCTGCGGTCTGGCCGTCAAGGTCTTGAGCAAGACCATGGACTCCACAAACCTCAGCAGTGAGAAGAGTACGTTCGATCCTTACAATGTGTGTTCCACGGCTCAGCTAACATTTTCCCAGNTCGAGTTCGCTACGGTCGGCAGAACAAAGGAAGGCACTGTCTACCACCACCTCTGGGGTGCCGAGGAGATCGACGCCCTGCTCAAGGAGCACGGCCTGGCCAAGCCCGCAAGCTCAGAAGACACCACCGAGCAAGCTGTCGGCAGCGCCGGCTACGCTGAGAACAGACCCGAAAACTAGATCGTCTTCAACATCTTCTTTTCGTTTGTGTAACAGTAGTTTACTTATTGACGAGCATTATCGATCATGGCATCTTTGGGGCTTACGGGGGGAACTTGCGAAGGCGTTTCTTAGACCTGCAAAGTGGGGTTTGTCAACGTAGAGAGAGAGAAGGATACAAGCAAATGAAAACTGCATGTTTCTCCTCAATCCCGGGGATTCTGTCCCTGGTTTTCCTTTGATACCCTGACTTTTTTGTCAACTTTTCTTTGCTTCGTATTTCTATGTGTCAATCTTTTGAGAAAGAGAGAAAGATAAAGAAATCAGTCATCATCCTGCCTTTATGCAAAAAGGTCAGGTATCTTTTGCTGCTTGGTCAATCAAGAGGACATCCGAAAGATATGGATGCTTCTCTCTGGCTCGCGAGCAACACAAGCTTGCCCTTGGCATCTTCGTTCAAGCCCTCACATGTGTCGATACGGACCTCATGCTCTGAGATATCCAGCATCGATCAATTGTTGAGCTAGCCCTCGAGCTGATCCCGGATCACAAGATACCTTTTTAGGAGATGGCCTCTAGAACGAGATAGGAACATACGGACACATCTGGTATTCATTCCCAGGCTTCTCGGTCTTGCGTGGAAGACACTATGGAGCAACATTACCCAAGCAAAAGTCATGATCAGCCATGGAACACCATCAGTCAGGGCTATTAGATCTGTGTCTGCTTACCTCTAGCAAGTGGTGGCAGCTTCTGTAAGAAAGTTGTTGATGGTCGATGAGATGCCGGGCAGAAAACTCATATGTAAAGGCCATCATCTCCAAGCCTGACCACCATGCCAGCCATCCTGTCCCATTGCACAAGTCCGACTCCTTGTTGTTACCCTTCACTCGGAGCTCACTTGTTGACGGGCACGGAAATTTCGTCGTTCGTCTCGACTAGTGTCGTTCTTTCGCACACACAAATCCTGTTCACTTGTTTACCATAACTTTTCTCAATTCACCTCTCACTCCACCAAGAACTTACGCGCGACCCTGTCGTCGTCGTCGTAACCTTCCCTTCTCTTCAGTCTCGACATCCACCTCGTCGTCTCGGCGTTCGCATAGTTCTTCGTCGTCACAACATCTCGGCGCTCGCATTACTTTACGTCGACTCTACGTCGTGTTCCTACGCACGATCCTGCCTATCCGATCTCTTAGATCGTGGCACAATTGTTAACTGCATTCATCGGACTCGCGCATAAAGACGACATAATCATCAATAGCAAGTTACGCCGTCCTTTACGCGTAAACAAAACGCTTAGTCGAACTCCACTGTACGTATTGAACTTTTCGTTACGCATCTCGGCGCCAAGCTAACTTTGATGGGCTTATACAGTCTTAGCAACAATAAGATGGCCCCTACCGGTCAGAAGAAGGTCTTCCAGACCGCTGATGAGCTGTGGCAGGTCTTCGTCACTGTCACCACTGAGCTGGGCCCAGGTAGCGGACATGCCCGTGGCACTGTTCCCATCCATCCCACTGGTCATTGGCGTGATGATGATGCCGTTGAGTTCTATGGCAAGAAGGTGTTCGATCTTGAGGATCTCCAGATCATGCGTAGCAAGAACTGGTTGGAGCAGGGCCTACGCAAGGTTGGCGTTCGCGATTACTGGGTGCTCGAGCGTGTCATCGCTGCTGCTATGGAGTACACCGTCAGCGACTACGAACACTTGATGCGCGTTTTCTTCGTCGAGTGGGAGAAGGACCTCAAGCCTGACGGCCGCACCACCAGAAACAAGGACCAGTGGACTCGCTGGTGTGAGATCCATCTCGTGCGCCACCACAGAACTTCAAAGGCTGTCCGTTGCCTCAATGTCCTCGAGGCCCTTGGCCTTCTCTACCCAGGCTGGTGGAAGCAAGTTTACGCTCTCAACCACAACACCCCCGTTCGCAACGACACGTACGCTTCGCCCTGGGACGTTCACCCATCTCTTGACGTCGCCGAGATGGATGTGCTCAACCAGAAATACGCAAGAGTCCCTCACNCCTCTCGCGCTCAAGTTCAGGCCGCACCCCAAGTCGTTCAGCAGAACACTCCTGTCTCGCGCTCTGTCACACACAAGCAGAAGAACAAGCGCCAGAAGGCCGCTCAGTTCCAGGAGGATCTGGACGAACTTGACGACGCTTTCGACGCAGCCACCGAAACTCAAGCTCAACCCAAAGACGAAGACGACAACAAGTCTGAGGAATCCTTCACTCCTGAAGACTACTACCCAGACTACGTGCATGATTACGACGCTGTCATGGGCAAGCCAGCCACCACCTACCCCCGGCTGCCCCACACCGTGAGCTTCCCTCCCAGCGCAGAGGCCTGGCGCAACTTGAACGACAACGAGTTCGACAGCGCTACTCGCTTCAACCCCGAAATCAATGCCACTCGCATCGTTGATTCCACCGCCATGGACGCTATCCCTGCCCCTAGTTCCACCAACACTGTTCCTCCTCGCGCCGACACTGTTCCGCGTCCATTCTTTGGCCCTGAACGTCNNCTCCCACTGGTCCCGCCGCTGCACCCTCAATCCACCCCTGCCGCCGCTCCCAAGCCCTTCGTCAGTTGGCTCGACCTCGACGAGCGCGACTTCGCCCGCGCAGTCCAGCAAGTCGACACCGATTTCCCTCACCTCAACGCCCTTCGTCCTTCTGGCCCTGAGGCCGCTGCTGCTGCCAACGACCCTGACGCTCGTCCTGACATCTATGCTGCTGTCGCCGGTTACAAGGGTGTTGCCCCTGCTGATGCTGCCCGTGCTCAGGCTGCTCGCCGCGCTGCTGGTGGTCCTGTTTTCGCTGCCAATGGTGGCGATGAGGCTATTAAATGGGGTTACAGTGATGAGCATGAGGGCGCTCCTGAGGTTGGTGCTGCTCCTGCCGTTTTCGGCGGTTCTAAGCCTGCTTATTGGCCTTTGATGAAGTGATGGAGTTGTTTTTTCTTCGGCGTTTTCAAATGAGGAAGGAGCGCGTTGTGATTCTCGATGATACCCCTTTTGTTTCTGCTTCTTACATGGTACTAATGGTTTGCTTTTTCTGCATTGCTTCGGTGGCTTTTTCAGTAGCTTTTGTTAGCAATCAACTCTCTCTGCTCTTTGATCTCAATGTTCTTGTGTCATGATTTGTGATGCTATAGAATTGCATAAACTTTTGCTAGTATTGGAGATGTCCAAGGAGAGTCGTGATTTTATTGGCTCTCAGTGGACACAGCTTGTTTCTGTAGAGTATCTTGCATTTTTATGGTATACTATTATGCTGTTGTTTGCTATGAGATAGCAAACCCCTTTTTCCCTGTCTGCTGACGATGATTATTTTAACGGCTCTCAGCGGATATGACCTGTTTTTGTTGGATATTGTGCATTTTTATGGTATACTAAAATGGTATAATGTCCTCTGAGAGCTGTCGTTTTGTCTGCTCTCAATGGATGTAGCTTGGTTCTGTAGACTATTGTGCAGTTTTATAGTATACTATTGCGCATGCGGTTTGCTGTGAGATAGTCAACCCTTTTTGTGTGCTCTACTGATGGTCACTGTTTCTTTAGCTCTTAGTGGATGGAGCTTGTTTCTAGAGGCTTTTGTGTGTTTTTATGGTATACTATTGTGTGTGTGGTTTGCTGTGAGATTGCTTTCTTCTGTATGTGTCAGATCTAGGGGTTTCATGAGATACTGGCTCCTTCAGTGGATAAGTGTTGTTTGCTGCAAAGTTTTGTGCATCTCTATAGAATACTCTGATTGTAAGTTTCCACTAAGAGCCTTGGTTCTTGGTGGCTTTCAGGGGATCTTACTTGTTTCTATAAGATATCGTGCATTTTTATAGTGTACTGTATTGATGTCCCTTGGCTTTGAGATATTGCACTTCACCTTGCCTTTCCGTAGGCTTTCCATCATCGAGATTGGAAGAGCAAAATGACGATAACCAAAAAGAAACGCAAAAACATACAGCAGCAGGGATTCCCACGTGGTCACCCACCGTAGTACTAATCTGCCGTTCAACTGCTTATGTATGGCAGAGCGGACGGGATGCCCAGTTTTCAGCTGACTGTGGCCGTATGTGCTCGGTGCATAATTTAATTGCACTATATTAAAGCCGCATCTTGCCACCCGCTTTGGGCAGCACAGGAATGGGTTTAGAGGAGATACCATCAGTCGTGGTACCACCGAGCATTGTGTCAGGTGTTTACTGCGCACCGCGGGGAAGAGCATGAGTATTGTGTTTCTGGTCCAGAGTCAGGATGGTAGAGCAGCCGCTTTAGACTGAGCACGAATAGTTCCCAGAACAATGAGGTCTCTGGGACAGCCGCCGATCGACCTTGAAGAATGTTGTTCGTTGCGGGAAGAACAGGAGATGGAAGGCTCGAGTTGAGGATATTTCCCGGGTCTCTCAAAGGCAATGCATGATGTTGGAAGACACAGAGATGGTATGACTGTATGATCCCCGGCGGCAAGGTATTACAACGGCGAGGAAGGAGAACAGAGTTTGCTACAAGACGTTGCCAACGCCGAGTTCGAAATCCGATGATTCTCCGTTTAGAATGAGCGTTCTTGTCTAGGTTACAAGGAAAGAAAGCATCTCAGCATTCATCTTCTTTCTCACAACCTCGATGGACAATACCACCGATACGGACTCAAGCTCGGCGCCACCTCTCAAGAGAAAGCGTGTGGTGACGGCATGCTTGGAGTGCTACAGGTCAGTGTGTACCGATCAAGCTTCGTTGGAGGACCTTTGTTCTAATCAGGTTACAGACGAAAGCAGAAGGTGCATTGAACAACTCGATCAAATATTCACGACAACCCTGACATCGTTTTAGTGTGACAGAAAAGAACCGTGCCAAAATTGCGTAGGCCGAAATGTCGCTGCTAAGTGTATATATGAGCAATCGCCGTNNACGATTAGCGATAGATGGCGATTGATAGCATCACGTCTAACATAATCTAGGCCTCAACCCACTGCTCTGCAATTCAAGCAATTCGAACCTCACTCACCTGCCTCGGCCGAAGAAGATCTTCCCGTCTCGGAAGCAGTCTCAAATGGCACTGCACTTTCCTCTTTCTATGACGTTCATGCTTTCACAGATCTGAAGAAGGTATGTTCTCTAATCTTCACACATGTGGTACCTACTCAGTATTGTCACAGTNTGCTCGAAGATGATGAAGCTTTTCAACCATCAAGCCATGCTCAGACGTCCTCTGATCAAAGTAAACCCTGTTCAAAGTTTTGGGTCTTTGCTGCTCAACTGCCGGACCCTCGTATCATGACAATAGCATTCAGATACTACTTTGATGAGGTACACTGGCGCTACAATGTTGGTCAAAAGTGCTACATGGACAGGCAACTCGAAGAATGGAAGGTCGTGATATGCACGCCTGCTTCGCGACAAACTGGAATCAACAAGGGTCTGCCATATTTCGTGGCCTTCTCGTTCGAGCTGCTCGCTGTAATTCTTCAATACATGCGACCCGATAGAGATATAGCTCGCCGACTTCACGCAACTGATGCAAAATCAGCTACTCACATGTCTCGAAGGTACCATGATATAGCATCGGAACTTATGCTGCTACTTGGTCGACACAATGGTACGATTGCTGTCGTCGATTATGATCTACTCAGAGCAAGTTGGCTGAAGAACAATGGTCATGGGATTGAGAGTTGGTACGCCATCAGTGATGGAGTCAGGTGAGTCGACAAGCCATACCTAGACGGCTTCGATGAACTGATTATCGAANGACAAGCTCAACAGTTGAATCTCCACCGTGAGCCACGGTCTCTGGCTAAACTTCATGACTCGTCGGAGACTCTCGAGCAGTTCTGGTTCCAAGAATACGGAAGACGAGTCTGGATCAATTTGTTCTGCTGGGACTCTGGAACAGCAATGAATCTCGGTCGCCCACGCATGATCAATGCAAAAGATTGCGACATTATCCTGCCTGTGGATCAATCATTTCCAGACGATCCTTCTCAGACCGTACCAAATCCAAAGGATGAACACACGCCCTCACCTCTATCTTTGCTTCTTGTTCGCTACAGTATCGCTGGCAAGGTTCATGAGATCCGCGAGCAAGGCTTAGACAAGCAGGACGCAGATTATAGCTCAGTATGGGCTTTCCATGGACAACTCACCAATCTGCTGGATGGCCTGCCTTCGTACCTCAATCCTATTAAGCCTGCAACTTATTTGGACTCCAGTTTCACATATCTGCCGCTACACAGAGAAGAAGCACTGAGCCAATTGAACCTCGTCATCATGGAACTACATCGTCCTTTCATCGCAACACATCCGGAGAGTCGAGATGCCGCTTCGAAAGCTGCTACTGGCTCCATCGATAATCAGAAGGCCTTGATGGAGCTCTCGGGTCGACATCACTACATCTACTTTGGTTTCGGGTTTTATACGACCAACGCAGCAATCATGCTCTCAGCAATCGCCCTAATTTACCCGGACGAGAACCAAGTCAAGATTATTGAATCGAAAGTACAGCAGGCTCTTTCAATCGTCATCGAAATCCAGGCTGCCAATATAGTTGCGCGAGCGGCAGTGCCTGTCATACAACGACTTTACGATAAGATTCGAGGTTCTTCCCAGGGATATTCCTCTGGCTCTACCACACTGAGCAGCCCTCAATCGGTCCTGAGCCAGAATAGTGGTTACATACATATGGCGACCTCTTCGATGGATCTTGCTCCTGTTGAACCTGTCGGCGCCGAGTTCATGCTCGAGAACGCAGGAGATCTAGCGCTCCAAGATTTCACAGCATCACCTGCTTGGAACGACATGTCTCAGATCAATGATTTCGACGCTACTTTCTGGCTTGACCAGCTTAACAGAATGCCAGAAAATATGCCATTGGATGGGGTCGTCGGACAGAATATTATGTGGCAGTAAGCTTGCTGGCCATCAGCTTGTTCTCAACTTCTGTAGACCATGTTCTAGACACGTCTTTTTGTCAACACGATGCCAACACTTAACATATGTCCCTAACGTCAGCCATCTTCCTCTAGATTTCGGCCGAAAATATGCCAAGCAACAACATCAGATATCAGCACGGCGATAATGACGACGTAAACTCCTGAGTCCGACCCTTGAGTCTAGGGTTAGGGCACACTCTTGTGGCTGTCTCCAAGCATCGTAGCAATTCTCAACCATATCTCGACGCTCTGGCTGTGGCTGGAAAATGCCAAATCATGCTCGAGTACGAGAGTCTATCTTGATCGAGACTATACGTTCTCCCCAATTGGTACCTTCATACCGTGGAGTCCAGCGTACTTTGGTGGCTCGAATTGTGTCCAGCCCTTCAACAATGACTCGTCGTCCAAGCTGTACACTTCAGCTCTGAGAGGTCGACAACAATCCAACATGCTCTTCTTTTCTCCTTCCTCCCCAGCGCCGCCCTCACCCCAGCCCCAAGCACTGAGATCGCCGCCAGGGCATGCGGATAATGCCATCAACACATCCTGTTCAGCAAANAATTCGAGGTAATCAGTCTTTTTGGCTGGGCTGGGCTCCATGAAGTACTTGCCCTCGGCGTTCAGTCCGGTGACTTGGAAGATGTTGATGACATCGTGGACGTCAAACTCGNNCTGTTCCTCTGAGTCAGCAATGGGAGTCAGGGAAACTTCGGGATAGATAGCTTACGTTAGTCCATATGGCACTACAGCTCTGGTCAGGTTCGAATGACAATGATAGTCGTATTGATCGCCAGTGAGCATCGTGTTCACATAGGGATCACAGCGAGTCCCCAGTAAATCATGACACCTGCCACCCCACTGGTCCACGCCATAATCCTCCAACGAGTCCGCGATAATCGTCACCATAGGCCTCAGATACGGCAAGCAACTCCAAAGACGATCATAGACAGTAACATGGCTAGCTTGCAACTGTCTGGTTCGAGCTGCCCAAAACCTCTCGCGTGGGTTTGACAGGTTCCAGATGTTCAAGTCACCGACTTGGGGTCCTTCTGGAGTTGAGAAGCGCACAATGCTTCCAGCAGGCACTTTCCAGGCTTTGGCTGATCGTGGTGGGATATCGATGGTTTGCTTGAGGATTCTGGATTTGCTGTTGGCGAGGGAGTCGTAGAAGTCTTTATTTGCGTTCAGGATGCTGCCTGCTGTCGGTAAGTAGGCGGGTTGGGGAGCTGCGTGGGGCTTGTCTACGGATGCCATCGTGAGCATGTCTTTATGTGATTGTTTTCTCGAGGAGTATCAATGAGGTTACAGAAAGGGCGCAAGAAGCTATACGTGATATAGCTTCTTATCCGATAGGGATTGTAGTCATATCGTCGCCGTGCAAGATAGCAGGTGCACACCGATCAGCCGAGGGTAACCGTCCTTGGCATTCTATTCCAGCTATCAGAATGGCCAGAACCTTTGGCAAACAAGGCAGTACTCATAAGAAAAAGGTGTATATCTCGACGGCTCGTAACACATATCTCTTCTTTGGAAGCCGTCATCCACGTCCAATGCCGTCGTCTTGGAAGAGCAAGAGAGGCCGATTCGAGGGTGTGACAAACTTTGTCGGGTAAATTAATTAGGGGCCCGGACGCGGACGAGCACATGACTGCGTTGACTCTGGAGGATCTGGAGCTTGGACAACGCAACGACACTTTTGAGAGTCAACAAAAGCAGCTAGTTGTGGGTATATCGATTCAAGCAAGAACCGTTCATGCCGGCAAACCGCTGCTTGTACGGTGATCCATTGGCCCGACGTTGAGATCCCCATCTCGAAGTGCCGGTTCGAGCGCTCCTCATCCATCTCTGTGCCCAAATTTCTCCTCGACAGGCTTGTGCTCGATCACTTCAAGACAACAAGTAGATTTGCAAAAGAGGCCTGGGAGAGTAGGCAAGTGCCTGGTCGTCGCTCAGTCTTATATCAAAACACTCATACAATAACTGATCCTCCAGGCTCGAACAAATTGACCGTGGAGATGTCGTAGACTAGCTGGTCCGGAAAGGTCCCCGAGACAGCCAAATCCCACTTCGCTCGCTATCTCGAATCGCGTCAATAGATGAAGCTGCTCGAGTCATCAACACTTTCCGTACCCGTCTATACTCGCAACTGTCAGAGTCTCAGTGTCATTCTGGTTTCAGGAACAATTGTGAGAAGTGTGGCTTGGCGAAGACCAGTGACCGACCGGTGCGAGCAAGGGCCACGAGCCTTTTAGGCTTGCCGTCGGGACATGGTAGCGTGATTTACAAGACTAGCCGGCGCAATGGGGCCAAAGACCAGATTGATGGACGCTTTTGGTGAGCTCCACAAAGACGGCACTCTCTATTTGCATTTGGATGTGCACCTGCGCCTCTCGGTAGGTAACCGACTGATTGGCACGTATCCTGCCTTTTTATATGACTGATGGGCTATCGCTTGCGGATGTAGGACCCTTCAACTTTTGGCTCCCCCAGTCCCTCTCTACAACTCTATTCACGATCCTTCGCCAGTCTTTCCCTTCGTTCCATCTTCAGGTTATGTTATCGTGAACCATCTACGCAAGGCCTTTCTTTGACTATACTCGACTTATCCCAGCGTCAAGATGTACGACAGGTCTTCCCAGATCCTGGTCGTATGCGTCATTTTCTTTATTCTTTCTTGGGTTTCTGTAGGGTTACGAGTATATGTGAAGTAAGTCCAACACTCATCCTCGAAGAAACATGACTGACTTTCCTCCAGAACTCGGGTGTTAAAACAAGTCGGTTGGGATGATGGAGCCATGCTTGCAACCTTGCTCCTCTTCACTGGCTACCTAATATGTCAACTCGGCAGTCTTGCACATGGAAATGGAAGACGTCGTGAGACAATGACGGACGCAACAGCTCAGATTGGGTTGATGGTAAGCCTGAACCTGACTCTTGTGCATGCCAGCTTCTTACTCAACAATGCAGNNTACTGGTTTCTCTGTGAGCTCTTCTATACACTGGCGACATCGATATTGAAAATCTCAATCGGTCTCTTCTTCTTACGGATAGCCAACAACAAGTGGCATATTTTGATCATCAAGGCTATCATGTACTGCAGCGCAGTGCTCGGTGTCACATACTTCGCCATTGTTCTTTTCCAGTGCCATCCGATCTCCTTCTGGTGGGACCTCAATCCGGATCACCATGGACATTGTTTGAGCGCTTCCGTCATGGCCGACACGAGTTACGTGGTATCTGCTCTCAACTCGTGTGCAGATTGGGTCTTTGGTATCCTGCCAATTTTCATCGTCAAGGATCTTCAGATGCATCGTCACCAAAAAGCGATTGTGGCGGTCATTCTGGGTTTCGCTGCGGTCGGCAGTTCTGCGACAATTATTCGCTTACCCTACGTCTGGACAGTCAAAGAATACAAGGGCGAGTTTCTCTGGCGCACGGCCGATGTGGCGATCTGGACTACCGTCGAAGTTGGAATTGGCATCACTGCCGGTAACTTGGGAACTTTGAGACCGCTTCTGCAACGCCTCATGAGTCTCATGGGCATCTCAAGCTCGACAGCACGCGACTCGAGGACGACCAAGCGCAACAAGCTCGGAGGTTACGGCTACATGAACAGTGGAGCAACACCACTGGAAGATTTCACCGGCAAAGGAGCCATCAAAACGACCATCACGATTCGCGGTGGCGCCTCCAACGACGACTCGAACTGGGGTGGACTCTCCAGAACCGACAGTGAGGAGGAAATCGTGCCTGGCGCAAGCAAACTTCACGAAGGCGGTATTCTTCAGAGTGTTCAGATCGACACGTCGTTCGAGGAGAGAGTACAAGATAGCCTCGGAGTCGGTAACACTTCACCTCGAGCGACACAAACATATGGCATAGTATAGTCGACAAGAGTTTCTCATGTGTTTTGTCCTTGCATTTCAAGCGCTGGCGCCATCTGGAGGGTTACTTGCTTTCAAAAGGTCCGAATCTAATCATCCAAATCTAATGCTCTTCAACGAGTCACCTTTCAACACAACCAAACTCACAATATTCCGCATCAGTGACTGCCATCATCGACTGCCGTGATTACGAAGCCCTTTCCAGACAAGAACGATGAACGGTGTCATGGCGTTGTCCGAAACGCTCGCGTCTTGAGATCGCAAACCTAGATTTTCCTTGAACGAAGTTTAAAGAGTTCCAAAACACAAAGCTTCCAGATGTGAAGCCGTGTTCTTCGCACCTGCCTGATATAGACAGACAGCTGTAGGTCGCGAGGGAGTTGGGAATCTTCCAATGGAACGTTGGATCTCTAGAAGGAGTTTCATCGAACGGCTGCGATGTGCTTACCAAATGGAGACACCAGGTTCCTGGTTACCGAACACCGGTTTTGATTGATATTGCTTTCAATGCCTTCATCATGAAAACGCTCCCATCACAATCCTTTCCAAGCAGACACCCAGAGCCCAACCCATAAACCAGGTTCGAGAATGTTGCATGTGCAGGTCTGCAGCAGCAGAACAAACTTCAGACCAATCGCGGTGGAAACAGAGGGCCCAAGCGTGGCCCAGACGCACGGCTCAAGTCCCACCAACGTGCCGCATGGCGCTGTGCACGGTGCAGGTGCAAGCGAAGGCGCAACTTCCATATTTGGGTAACCGCCGTGTTGATTATTTTGTCACACCACTGCCTTGTCTTGCGAGACAGGAGGGCCGAATGTTCGAAAGGATTCGAAGTGACAGAACATGTTACAGATGTAAAATGTCATCAGAAAAGATTCCCCAAAAAGCTTGAGAGGGTGGCCAAGTGTGTCAAGGAGTTTGGTGAGTCAGGAGGTTGATTCGTCCTTTCGTGTCTCTTGTGCCTTGCCACATTTTGTTCGTCCGTACGCCGTAAAGTTCGCTTTTGATCGTCGCAGGGTAGCTATTGCTGGCAGGATCAGGGGCGGGATCTTCTCCAGCACTGTTCTGGTTTGACGACAACATCCTATCACAGATCACAGGACTCGTCGGCCATACCGTGGTCGGAGCTCTCGAATGAGATCCCGTGATACCCTTGACGACAACCCAGTTCCCCAAGGCAGTTGCAGTAAGCAGACATGTGCCCAAGTGGTTATACCGTCCCTCATGAGTTACGATTACATGCTTGGACCAGATGAGCTTGACCGCTTCTCTCTTCCAGTCATCAAGGTTGTGATGTCGATGGATGCGAAGCGAGCAAAGGAATATGTCAGACGTGCTTCGATAGTTGCGACGTTATTCGCACTTCACAAGATGTCAACAATCTACCTTAAAGTCTCTTGCCGAAGACGGCAAACCTGTCGGCCGTTTCTTTAGTTTGGAGAGATATAGCTCGCGCGTTGATGACACCACCCTTTCGTAGCCTATCTTGACGACAGACAGGCGATGCTGGCATGTTGTGGCTCTATCGAATCATGTCCTCAGCGTGGAGCATCCTGGAAGTCGAGTTGAGCATTCGGGTTGCGGGAGGCAGAGTGCGCTCATGCAACCCCTTTGGCCAACTGCTCTTGTGTTGGTGATCAGCTTTTGTTTTTGGACTTCTTGAACGGGCAAAGCGACAAGGTTTGATGAAGTCGCATGCATAAGCGAAGCTTGCACATAAGGTTGAGAACGCGAAGCAGCCACGACCATGACTTTTGGCCAGCCCGGGTTTATCACCCGTATCGCGACTTCTCGTGCTTGCAGTTGACGAAACATCTACATACAACTACCTCGTAAACCATGCCTGACATCTGAATTGGATATGTTCTCTCGTCTCTAGCTTCCTTCTCACTAGTATCAATTGGATCTAGCATGACATACTGACACGTTCTCTATTGCGGTTAACCTGCACAAAAAGAGCGGTCACGATCATGTCTTGGTGCAGGAGGAACTCTTGTGATCCTCTGAGTGCAAGCGGCAAGCTCAGCGATGGTATTGTGGTTCTATGGCCATCTGATTTGAGATCAAAGTCAACTCCCCGTCTTATCTTGATACTTGTATGTATGATGACAGGGTGCTCCCATAGACAAGTCTTCGCAGGACTAAAAGAGCAACTACCCAAGCAGAATGGTGAGTACGAACGATTTATAGTGCTTGGTACGTCGCATGGCCACTAAAAAGTGCATGTGTTATCGTGGGATTGTCGAAATCGCTTGGTGTGGTCAGTCATCGTTCCATCTGCGAAATTCAACTTTGCAATACAGAAGCTTCACAGGCACCACACGCAACATCACCATCCAACAGCCTAGTCGTATCTTTCGCCACCAAAGAAACAGTCCAGACAGGATACAAGGCAGTTATCTCACATCTTTCAGAGCAAGTAGGGAAGTCTTGCTTTAATAGCATGTCTGTAGTGATTCTGTTATCTCTGATCGACCTTACTCCTTTGACGATCTCAGTGGTCATCTCATCCCCTTCTCAAAATCATCCAACTTGGTAAATGTTGCTCCATTCTTGTAAGGTCGCAAAGGTATCCCACTCGCTTCGCTGCCCGGCGATCCGATGGTTTCTAGAGTCAATGTTGGCTCGGGTGACTTGACATAGCCCATACGGGATGGGGTCGCAAAGCTGTTGCGAAGATGTGCTGATCTTGGTCCATAGGTGTTCGATGTCAATGTTTGCGCGCGCTTGGCGAAGTGTTTGTATATGGAGCGGGATAGGGCGAGGTTCGCGGCGATGATGCCCAGGAACAGCTCGGTGCTGGATGTAGATAAGCCACTGCAAGATAGTCATATCTTAGGCAACGATACGTACTTGGCCCATATTGCGGCAATGCAGTAAGCGTATGAGAGGTCATTCGTAGTCGTTCCAAGAGATGCTGCTCGGACGGTCGAACATATCGTTGCTNNCTGGTCAGGTCGGTCAGCACTATGCTTGTGACATGTCAGGATGGATACGTACACCAAGCCCATGCTCATCAGTCCACAGACCGCAGCTTTTGTTGATAGAGGTATCTTTACATTCCAGACCACATGGATCGGCAGGATGGTACAGACTATATCAGTCGCCACGCCGTACGCNTACAACAAGTTAGCGTAAGAAGCAGAGAGTACATCAATATACGAACATGCTTGGAGGTAGATGCTGTAGATTCGCACTTTGGCGGGCCAGCAGTGTTCTGCAGATGTTCCATTCCAGTACGCTTCCAACGGTGAGCATTCCGCCAGCAGTACCAACAAGCACTCCAAGTTCGTCAAGATCAAACCCGTAATGACGAAGCCTAGGATGTATTTGAGCGTCCGTGTGTCCTTGATGCGCAAGATCAAAATGCAGATCGAGATCTTCATCAGACAGATGGTCGGGAAGAGCAAGACTTGTGTGTACCATGTGAGCATATTGATTGTCCGATACTCGTGGTCGGAGATGAATTCGCGGTGCTGTCCGTTGCCATACCGGACGCTGACGATTTGAATGGACATACGAGCTACCGCAAGTACAGTTGTCAAAGCTATTGCTCCATCGTCGAATCCAAATTGCCGGCATCCCCATCGCACCCAGCAACGCAAGGTAGTTGTAACAATAGCCAGAGTGGTCAGTACACAAGTAAGGATAAGCAATGTGGGACCTTTGTCATCATTGGGTGAGTGTTCTCCCATGTTTGAGGATGATCGGGAACTCAGAAGCTAGGCACAAGAGCAAAAACCGTTGGACAAGAACCTACCAAGGTCTTAACGTTTTTGGCTGCATGAATGCTGAAGGGCTCCGGCCAAGTGTTCCCACATACGATAGTTGCTAGGAGCAGTCCATCATCCTGGCTCCGGCCCTAAGCGACGCGTGTATGCAGCTGATGTTGTGAATAAGCAACAACAAATTCACAGGATCTTGAGTAATTTCCCTGTAGCACATCAATCTTCGCCACTCTTCATACAAAGTATAACACTGGCATTAGCTCTCATCCGGATTGAATAACACTACCATTGTGTTCTCACTCAGCACTGCTGGATTGTCAATGGACATCTGGACATCCAAGCCAACGAAAAACGAGGATGATCAGTCGCGAATGGCCATATCTGACGGCGGACCGTATGTCGTGGTGTCCTTTGAATATTGAGCTACAGCCATGAGGGCTGGGCCGAATACCCAGAAGGGATTCTGTTCTGTCCTCGACCGAGGAGCTTATCCTTGCGAAAGGTTTCTGGTTGGCCAGGCTGGTGGGATGGATATTGGAGTCCAAGCAAGCATGGATTCATGGCGTTGGAGAGATGGGGCCGCGAACGAGCGGTCCATTCATTGAGACTCGCACGGCTCGCTTGAAGTTCCACCTCGCTCTATTGGCGATAAACCCTGCAATCTGGTGGATGATTCGGAACTCGATAGCCCCACGCGGCCCGAGGTGAACGATACGCGATACTCATGTGCCTTAAACCTCAGAGAACCTCGATGCGCCAACGTAGAAATCGAGAACTTCATAAACAGCTTCGTGTGCAACGATAGAGAGGAAAGAGAGGGTCGTCGAGGTTGGTGAAGCCAGGGTCATCTAGCACTGGCCAAGGAAATTGCCGATGCTGATCGACCTTGCATCCCCACCACTTTTCATGAAACCAATCCTTCGCTACTTCTCATCCAGCGCCACTCGTGTGTGCTTGCTATACAATCTAGCGACCGAGGTGCATATCTTGCAAGAGTCATCAAGAACATGATTTTGTGGTCCGCTTTTCCCACAGTCCGTCGGACGCCTCATTCCATCTCAGTTATGCAATCCATCGATCTGTTATGGTGCTTCTTGCCAGACGTCCTGGTCCTGTCATGTGGTAAAATATGCAGAAACTGGCGATCAGCACGATGGTCCTGGATTTTCCCGCTATCGGTGAAGCGTTTTGTATGCTCTCTATGTATATGCAATAACAGATCTTGGCTATGCAGACCGTCTGAGTCGGCCACTTGGGACTTCATCTAACCCACGTTCATCAATTAGCCCAACCCTTAGCTTACCTCCACCTGAACTGCCGGCGATTTTTCTTGGACTTTGCCTCACCAGACCGATCCGAGAGGTCTTTGTATAAAAGCACAGTCTATCCGAGATAGAGGTTTGTCGCAATTCTGGTCTTCGGTTGAACGAATCAACATGGCTCCTTCAGTATTTACGGCGACTATCGTTTCAGCCCTTGCTGCCCTTTCTGTCGTGCAAGCGAAAACTCCGTCCTACGACTTTATCGTTGTTGGAGGCGGTACTGCCGGTCTTGCCGTCGCCAGTCGCTTGAGTCAATATCTGCCCAACAACACAGTTCTGGTCATTGAAGCCGGTCCCGATGGCCGCAATGTATCTGGTATCTACGTCCCGGGTATGAAGGGCAGCACACTTGGTGGAATCTACGACTACAATTTCACCACCGTTGCGCAACCTTCAGCTGGTGACCGCACTTGGGCGCAAAATCGAGGAAAGGTGCTGGGTGGAAGCTCTGCCCTGAACTTAATGTGCTGGGACCGCGCCTCAGTGGCTGAGTACGATGCTTGGGAGCATCTCGGAAACCCCGGATGGAACTGGGACAGCATGATCACAAGTATGCTCAAGGTCGAGAACTACACCCAGAGTGTGTATCCCGGACAAGAGATCGATCAGGGTGTTGGAGTTGATGGCCCTATTCATGCCACAATTAACAGGATCCAACCCAAAGATCAAGACACATGGATCCCGACAATGAAAAATCTTGGGTTCCCAGAGAACATGGAATCTCTCGATGGCAATCCTCTCGGTGTCTCGATCCAGCCCAACAACATTGACACTGCCAAGTACACGCGCTCGTACAGCCCCGAATACCTGAAGATCGCTGGGGACAACCTTCACGTCATGACTGAGGCTCAAGTGGTCAAGATCAATACCGAGAAGAAACATGGTCAGGTAGTTGCCACTGGCGTCACGCTCAAGAACAACATCAAAATCAATGCTCGCAAGGAGGTCATCTTGAGCGCCGGCTCTTTCCTGTCCCCCGCTCTGCTCGAACTTTCTGGTATTGGTAACTCGTCAATCATCACTGCTGCTGGTATCAAGCCCGTTCTTGACCTCCCTACTGTGGGTGAGAACCTGCAAGATCACATTCGCATTCAAAACAGCTTCAAACTGAAGAATATGTCGTCCTTCGATGAACTCAAGTATAACGCAACCTTCAAGGCCGAACAACTTGCCCTCTACAATGCAAACAATGTGTCCAGCTACGACTATGCCGCCTCTGGATTTGCTTACCTGACTTGGCCACAAGCACTGGGCAACGAGTCTGCCGCCGCACTGATCAACACCGCTCTCAAAGCCACCAACGCCAAAGCCTCCATCATCGATAAGACCAAGCTAGACTTCATGACCGGAAAAAAGAGCCATACTATCCCTCAACTCGAGATTATCTTCTCTGACGGCTACACCGGTGTTGGCGGCTACNCCCTGCCAACTCCCTCAGCATACGGCTCCAACTACTTTACTCTGCTCAGCGTCATCATGCACACACTTTCTCGTGGTAATGTACACATCAATGTCTCCGACCCCCTCGGTAAACCCATCATCGACCCCCGATACCTCAGTAACCCCTACGACCTCTCCGCCGCCATCGCCGCCACAAAACTAAACCGCAAGATCGCGTCCACGGCACCCATGCGCGACATCATTGCCTCTGAATACGAGCCTGATTCTGCCATCCAAACCGATCAGCAATGGAGAGATTTTGCGCTAAACCATACATTGACCATTTACCATCCTCTGGGCACTTGTGCCATGCTTCCCGAAAAGGAGGGTGGTGTTGTTAGCCCTGAGTTGAAGGTTTGGGGTACACAGAATATTAGGGTTGTGGATGCTAGTGTTATTCCTGTACAGTTGTCTGCGCATATACAGACGGCGATTTATGGGATTGCGGAGAGGGCTGCTGAGATGATCGCTGCCGAGTGGTCAGGTTGAGATGGAGGTTTGGTTTGTTGTGTGTTTGGACGAGGGATAGACAGTGCGATATAGGCAAGTTTTCGAAATCTCAGGGGAAGCAAATCCACTAAACAAGACTATTCTCTGCAACATTCAGCCAGACATGCTTCTGGCATCGACTTGAACCAACAATGACACCTCCATCTCATCCCTTATTCTGCCATCTGCACCGATGCCTCTCTTTCCAACATTAGAGCTAAATCGCCTGCGTCTCGTCCTCGAGATTTTCTTATTGCTATTTCCTTCTCTCCTTGCAAAACCACAAATGTTAGCAAACTCAAGCATGGCAATTGGCAACAACCTCTCTCTCTACCCCCTGACCTAATGCCCACCACTTTGCCGCTCCCATGAGTCTGTCTATCTCGATCCAAGATATGACAACGCAAACACAACATACTCACACAACGTAAGTACAAGAATGAACATTCGCTCAGTTGTGGTCTCGAGCACATTTCCATGGCGAAAAAGCGAATCCCAGAAATTGCCAGGAGAAACACTGAAGATTAATTACACGTCCAGGCTGCAAAGAGCATTACACAAAGCTACTCGATATCATCTTCCGATCAAAATCCTCGTTAGCAGAAAAAGAATTCAGTAAACGTGTTCGGTGCACCCCAACACACAAGCAACGCAAACGAGTAACACAACCATCAAGAATACACGTGAAGCTCAGAGAGAGACGAGAAGCAGCGATGTAGTCAAGAGATACGAGGAAGCAAACACAATAGGTACCTTAGCCAACCTCCCTAAAATCTGCCAGCGAAGCATGACCAAGCTACCTCCCCCTTCGTCGCCATCAGATCAAAGATACAAAGGACAATGCCTTGATACCGCCATACACATCCCCAGAACCCTTCAGAGACCTAAGTGCAAGAGTCGAGTCGGGACATCCCAGAAGTATTCTAATCATGTTATCCTAGGTCCAAGCATCATTGTTGAAAACCCGGCACGTTATTCTAGACACAATATCACTAGCCAAAACAGTTTTTGAGAAGGGAAGGAAAAGTGTTGTAGCCATGATCCCACACCAACCGAAACACTCCAACTAGCGCAAGCATACACTTGTGCAAGATCCCCAGCATGACATACCGCATTTCCATGACCTCGTCAATATTCAGTAAAGTGAGGCAGTCGCACTCAACGTCCCTCTCTCTATCATCAAGTGCCAGCAACACCTTCTTTCAGATACCCAAGACCAAAACCGATGACTAAACAACACAATATCATTGTGACCGATAAAGTGGAAAAGATGGATACTCTCACAAAAAGGAGTTGCGGAGATAAATGTTTGGTATGCACAAGAAAGGTATACATTGGCATTCTTCAGGTAGGGGTTTTGTACAAAAGGCTAAAGGACAGAGGACAGAGAGAAACCCTCTGTATGCATGAGATTCTGAGATGCGGAAAGAGAGAGAGAAGGAGAAGGAAGGAAAGAAAGAGAGGAAGAGAAAGAGAAAGGGAGACTGTTTCCTTCAACTACCGCCCTTTGTATGTAAAATGTGCGTTTCTCTGGTAATGAGAAAGAAAGGGCGATGCAGTCTGCGCAAACAGTCCATCAAGCAGTGTCGACATGCTAGTCGTTCCATCTTTTGCTTTCTTGTGCAAAAGTCTGCTGTGCTCTTCGCATACAATTCCTAGCTCTTTCTTTCCCTCAGAAAGAAAAAAAACGTCAGAACAAACCAATCTAGGCTGAGAATCCAGAGACGAAAATCAAACACCAGTTCGCCATGTCGCCAGTCATCTGTGCTTCACACCGCCTGCTCCAAGGAAGAAAAAAGGGAAATAAGCAAAAACAAACCGGTGGATGACAGACAAGACCGCAAACGCATTAAATGGGAATAAAACGACAAATTGGAGTTTCCAGGACAGATGCGAGTGAAGCGAAGAGGAAGGATATAGAAACAGAATGCATGCTCAGCTTCCAACCACGACTCTAGCACCCTCCTTGCCCAGAACACCGCGTTCGCGCTCCTTGGCCTTGGGGCTTCGGTCTCTGCCCTTTTTGCGGCTGAGGAAACCGAGCATACCAGCAGGTTTGCGCTCTTCTTGGGGCTGGACGAGGGTTTGACTCTGGTTGGCCATTTCACTCCAGCTGCCGGTTTCGTTCAGCACTACCTGGACGCCACCACTCATAGAGGTGCTTCGGGTGCTGCCACGGGGGCGGTGAGCCTTGTTGATGGCTTGTTGCGGGTGTGAGGTAGGGGGAGCTGGTGGAGGAGGGCCGTCGTAGCGCTCAGAACGAGGAAGTCTTTGTTGTTGTTGGGCAAAGTATTCGGATTGTGCTGGTGAGGGGTTCTGGTTTTGATGGGTCGGTAGCGGAGGAGAACCGTTGGGTGATTGTGTGGATGAGCGGGTACGCGAGACGTTGTGAGGAGTAGAGGCGTGAGGAGTGGGTATTGAGCGGACCTTGTGCAGGTCTTGTTGGGTGTGGTTGTCGTTAGAATCTGATTTTGTGGTGACGGGAGAGTCGCCCTCGAGTTGGACGGGATTCCTGGGATGCATCAGTCTGGTTGGATCAGAGTGGTCGGTTGATGAAGGAGATTCGCACCTGTTTTCGGGGACAGTTAGGTAGTTGAATGGCTCGAACATGGTTTCGATCATGCGGTGAAGTTCGTCGGCGCGTATCTCGGCCTCAGTGGCATCGGCTCGTAGTTCCGGACGGGGCTTCTGTTTCCTTGTGCGCGCTTCCAGTGGAGCTTCCTCAAGTAGCAGTTCCTCCAGATCGTATGTGGCATCGAAGTTTGTCTTTTCGCTCGACGGCTTGAAGATGGGCTCAATCTCCTTGCGCTCGAGGGCGTCAAAGTCGAGCTCACGGAAGAAAGGGTTGTCGGTAAAACTGTTCCAGCTGCTCGCTCCAATTCTTTGCAGCTTGTCTTTTTCAAGCAGCGAGCTGATGGCATGCATGCACACCATCGACACGGGAGGATTGGTCACGGGGAAGCTCGGCTCGCCCTTGACGATGGACTGAATGAGTTGGTCGTGGTGGTGTCCTTCGAAAGGTCGCTGGAATGAGCATTAGCGCCTGACTCTGGAATACTTGTGGGGAAGAGGGCGTCATACCTTGCTGTAGATGCATTCATAAAAGACGACACCCAACGACCACCAATCGCATTCGGCTCCATAACCCTTGCCGCGATATACTTCGGGTGCAAGGTAGGCTAATGTGCCCGATCGACTGGTCAGGGGCTTGCCAGGTGTGAGGTCTGTCGCAACGTTNCTGCCAGACGGTCAGCTAGAGTTCCTCAAAGACAAGATCACGAGGGCAAGGCGTACAAAGTCAGCCAGATGGACGTGGCCGTCAGAGTCCAGCAGCACGTTGTCGGGCTTGACGTCGCGGTGGACAATGTTCTGCTTGTGGATGTAGCGAAGAGCGCAGCCCAGTTGTGAGATCCAGAAGCGGACGGCCTCTTCGGTGAAGGACTTGCGCGAGATGTGGAAGCGCAGGTCACCGCCCGTCATGAGGTCGACGACAATGTACAGGTATTCGACGTCCTGGAACGAGTATCGCAAGTTGCACAGGAAGGGGTGGTTGAGATGTTCCAGCATCCGTCGTTCTCGAATCATGTTGCGCACGCTCTCGCTGCGTACCACNTGCGGATGTGTTAGGCGGGCTCTTATCGAAGCGACAGAGACGGTCGTACCCTCATCTTTGCGAATGTACTTGAGAGCAAAGGTCAAGCCAGTGTCCTTGCGCTCTACGATGCGGACCTTGCCAAAGGCGCCCTTGCCGACGACACGGAGCAGTCGAAAGTGGTCGAGGCTTACNTGCTACACATCAATGCCCAGTCTCAAATGCGGACGGCGGAATTTGTCGTTACCTTCGTCAGTGAAGACGACGGGCTTGCCGCTGGAGTTGCCCATTCTGCAGTCGACTCGGCGGTCGACGGGTCACGGGTGGGCGAAGGCGACGGCGGGCTTTGAGATTTTATCGATGTTGCGTAGAGAAAAGAGAGCAAATGCAGCGGCTTCAGGTCATAACTCGTGTCGTGTGTATGGGTGCTATCTTGATGGTCTGAAAGAGAAGCTGAAGACTCCAAATCGGCCATGTCCCATTGCTGCATCTGCATCCCTTGGCGAGCCCTCCCGTTGGTACGCGCTAAAGTTGCTCCCGCCAAAACTCTGAGCACCGCGACTGACTCGGTCGCTTTCAGTCTCTGCAACTGTTCAGCCCTGCAAGAATAGAGACTTTCTCAGAGACTGTTGTTGAAGACGTTCTTTATGGTTGACTGTTGTATTCCTTGCTGTGCCTCGTGTGTCCCTCTACGACTGGCAGACAAAGTGTATCCTTCCATGCTTGGCCGATCGCCGTGACCTGCATTGCATCGTCGTCTCAGAACCAGGCAACGTACCAGCCACGCGGAAGGCACGTTTTTGCACCACCGACATGACATCCTTTTGGCTCTCCTGCATTCATCTCACCGCCATCATGTCCCACTTCGGCAGACACACTATCTCTGTCTATCTTTGCCGTTGTTCTACTGAATCACTTTACAACGCTCTCTTATCTTTGCCTCTGTATCTTTGACTCTGTATCTTTGACTCTGTATCTTTGACTCTGTAAATCCACCACTCGATCTTAGAGAAACATCTGCGCTGACCTTTACGTTGATCTGGTCATATCTCACTTTGCCCTTGCGCACGCACACCACCACCCATGCTTGACTCTTGTTGAATCTCCTTTTCTTCGGCCCTGAGATCCTCCTAACCTTCCCACAGTGGGGCCGCATCTGGAGAAAAAAGCCATGTTTGATTCCGCTAAACCGTTGTTTGCCTAGCCCTGCCTTGCCCACGCATACACCTCATGTGATCTAGATGCTCGCTGAGGTTTCAGCACAAAAGTTTCTTGAAGCCTATGCGGAATTGTTGGACATGTACTTGAGTACCTATGCATATGAAAATTCAGCGTCTGTTCTCATGGACAGGATAGCAATAAGAATGCAAAGAGAATGAGAGAGAAAAAACGCCGTCCCCAGTTGCCTCCGTGCGCCCCAAACCTGTGTCATCATGTTGCGCCACCGGACTACCTAGCAATGCTGTGGTCTCGGGCTCTGGTAAAGAGTGTAGACAAAATGATTCGCGACCCATCGTTGCTTGACTCGTGCATCAGATCTCATCCATGTTGCCCGCGGGCTCGTCATCGTCCGAGTCGAAACTGCCTACACTGCTCATCTCATCATCGTCGTCCGAGTCTTCGCCCGCATCCTCAGCGGCTTCTCTCGATGCGTACTTGGACACGTATNNTCTGACAGCGAATTAGTCGTGTCAAAGCATGTCAAATACATGACAACGGTTCTCACCCTTGACCTTGGCTTCATAGCTCTTTGGCTCTCGCATCATCAGAGCTGCAGCCTCGCCGTTTAGAGGGTCCGTGGGGTTGGGGTAGCGCAACAGTTGAGGGAGGAAGACCTCGAAGATGTTCACCATCTCGTACATTGGTGACCACGTCTGGTTGATAACGTCGAGGCAGACACTGCCAGATNNCTGAATGGTGGTCAGAGTTCTGATCTTCGTTCTCTGATGTCGCAATGCATCTTACAGCTCATCGATGTTAGGATGGAAGATGCGGTTTACAAAGCCGATGCTGGGACTCTTGTATGGGTACTGGTCGGGTAGCTCGACATGAATCTTCCAGAGACCGCCTTGGAAGGGTNNGCTGTGGAAGTTTTCAGTATCAAGTTGTCACCATCTTCAGTCGTGTAGCCTACTCTCTTCAGGACCCTTAAACCGGACAAAGAACTCTTGCCTNGTGCGTGTGTGAGTAACCTCTACGACGAGGGGATAAGCAGCGAGCTGTCGGGTACGAACACTGCGGTATGTGTCAGCAGAGTATACCAAGGCAAGACAACTGAGTGTGGTGTTACTGTTGTCGTTGACCAGAGTAACCTCGTAGTCGCTCATCATCCTGGGTGAGTCGTCAGAGATGGACGTGGTGAGTCGAGGCATCGTCTATACATACATCCTGTTGATAGTCAGTATATGAGACAGCAAGTGCTCTCTGTGTACTCGCTAACTTACTTCATGACCTGTAGGCAGCAAGAAGAAGAAGGTGTCAGCCCATGGTACTTCCGCTCTTTGTTCTGGTTCATGTACCTACATCCGTCTCGATTCGTCTTTTCGGACTGCTCATGTTGGCGGTGGCTGTGTAGTTCTCTTTGGACAGGAAGGTGCGTCGTAGACTTCGAGAAGCTGATCAGGTCGTTGCCGCTGTTCAGGTTGGATGACTAGGTATGGATGCGGGGTGGCACGGCGGGGCGGAGTGAAGGTGCTACAGGCTATGGTTTGACGGTAAGGGGTTGGAGGTGAATTGGCTGTCGAGAAGGTGTGGCCGAGGAGGGTTGCTACGTGTCGGTAGGTTCTTTGTCTGGTCAGAGACTGTCGTTGGTTGTGAGATGGAGAGTGCTGAATGGCTCGCTGGCGGTCGGATGTAAAGGCTGCTGCTCGGTGTTAGCCATCACAGTGCCCCGGTGTCGCATGACGAGCGACACACAAAGCTTGGCATACGTGAGTCTTCGTTTCATTGTTATATCTCTGTTAGGTATCATTATTACAGCCAGAATTATACATAGAAACTTCATATGTCCAGGCGCATCAAATCATCTTCTGCCCGCGAGTACCGGGTTCTTTGTTCGATGAGATTCTCTGTCTCTAGCCAACATCTTGAGCGAGTAGACACTTTCAACTCGGTGCATGGACAAGCCTTGTCACGACTCGCAAGCAGATCTGCCTACTCAGCCCTACGATACTTGACCTGCAAGACACAACCTCTTGCCGTCGCAAGGGACCCAATGTTGTCCTTATGCCAAACGAACAACTGCACGGAGCCAAAAAAAAAAATGCACATGTATGAATGCAACGGTTGCCGCCCCTGCCGGCGGAGCGCAGGCCGAGCTTCATTTTATCTGTGTATGGATAGGGATGGCTAAGAGAGCAGCATTCTAAATGCAAAGGCCAGGCTGATTACCGTTTACGGTAGGTGCATTCTTCCATAGCATTACTCACATAACGGTCGATGGCAACAAGATCGGCTTAATGCGGCTCTGCCGCTCACAGCATGGTCCCTAAGGCATGCTACCTATGCATGCCATGTGCCGAACAGACTTTGGGATACAGTCTCTGATATAGCCAACTTATTCTTCGTGCGGCCTCGTGCAAAAAAAGATTATCGCCAAGGGGAGGGTTGGCGAGCAGATTGCGGGATACGATGCTGATCAGCTCCGCATGGGTATTAAAGCATTAATGATACATTCTGCGCAACGACATGATCACCGATGGTGGATGGCTCGTTTGCCCTGTGCTCAACCAGAATCTTCCTTCGTTCTGAGAGGGAGGCAGTAGGTTGTTTCGTACACGTTTGCAATACCAAGCAGTCGTAGTGAGAGTCAGGTTCGCGGCGTCGAGATCGAGAGTCTGTGATCGGGCGCAACTTCTGCACTTCCCAGCCCGCTAGAACGTCTCGTAAGGGAAACCTTGGGTGCTCGACAAGCTCAACTTGATTTGGTCCGCTCCGCCATTGCCACCCGCAACCAAGTCCAAGTTCGCAAGCACCTCGCTCGAGTGTTGCCATCTCGCCTGAACACACGTCCCAGTTACCATCTCGTCGCCGACCGAGTCGCAGGTCTTTCCATTGTCGCCGTCGCTCAGAGCACGCAGTCGCTCCGTCCCTCTGTCTCGGCCGAACGTGGCGTCACTCGCATCCGCCATCTCATTCTCAACTCCCGGTCTGGCCCCTTCGCCGACAACGCCCACGCTCCACCGACTTGTATTCGTTCATTTATTCATTCACATCAATCACCCCGAATCCTGTGCACCTACGCCCCTACTGCGACGACCCTCTACCGTGCTTGGACGTCTTGTACGTTCCTCGCCATCGCCATAGCCATACCCACAGAGGCCGCCGCCCAACACCATGTGGTCTGAAGATGAGCGACCTCGTCCAAAAGACAGCTCCACCACCTCGTTGCACTCCGACTCTTCCCAGGAATCACAGCCGCGATCCTCCTCAGAGCGACCTCGCCCATACTCGAATTATCTGTGGCCCGGCGCCGAACAAGCACAGAACTGTCGCTCTCCGCTAGATCCGCTGAGCCCAGACGTCCACGATCGCGTCTTCNCCATTCGCTCCGTCGTCTCCGTCGACCCCAACGCCACTCCGTCGCATCGCTCCGACACCAGCAACAATGGCTATTTCACTCAGGCGCCTCAACAGAGCAGGAGGTTTTCTGTCACCAGCGACTCGGATCACAAAAGCCATAACGGTACATCAAAGAACCGGGCCCCTGGCTCCTCTGAAAGTCGCCAAAGCAAACCGCAAGAGCGCCAACCTTCAATCAGTGCGAACCAGAAGCAGCGGCATTCGGCACAACTGTTCAACGAGCTCGCTTCTAGCAGAAACGACAGCGACAACCGCTCCACCGACTCCCGGAGCACCCGCCCACGTTCGTCAGATCGCGCTCCATCATTAAAGAGTACCGGTGGTCAGGATGAAACAGGCACGGGGCTAATAACTGCTCGCTTCAAGCACGTAGTGTCCGAAGGCGGTCACGCTATCATCACTGGCAGGGACGGAGACACATTACAGCGCTGCGAAGACGAACCTATCCATATCCCCGGTGCTGTGCAGAGTTTTGGATTGCTGATTGCATTTGAAGAAGAAACCGAGGGAAAGCTAATTGTAAGAGTCGTCAGCGAAAACTCTAAGAGGCTTATTGGCTACACCCCAAAGCAATTGTTTGCCCTCGACAGTTTCACCGACATTCTATCCGAAGATCAGACAGACAACCTCCTGGATCACGTCGATTTCATTAGGGACGAAGAGGCTGATGTAGGTTCGAACGGCCCCGAAGTCTTCACCATGTCAATACGAACACCACAACGCAAGTTGCAGAAATTGTGGTGCGCCATGCATATCACCGACAAGAACCCTGGTCTTGTCATCTGCGAGTTCGAACTTGAAGACGATCCTGTCTATCCTCTAGTCCCCGCCAACGAAGGGACACCCGACCTGCCCGAGGACACGCTCAGCTCAAATCCAACGGCCGATGAATTTGCCGAAAGCACAGAGATTGCAAGCAAGCCGTTACGAGTGCTACGGAGTGCCAGAAAGCGCAAGGGAGAGGCTGCCGCCATGGAAGTCTTCAATGTCATGTCGCAAGTTCAAGAGCAGCTTGCAGCCGCTCCCAGCCTGGACAAGTTTCTCAAAATCCTTGTTGGTGTCGTGAAAGAGCTCACCGGCTTTCATCGTGTCATGGTGTACCAGTTTGATGCTTCATGGAATGGCCGCGTCGTGACTGAGCTGGTCGATCCCAGAGCAACCAAGGATCTCTACAAAGGACTGAACTTCCCTGCTTCCGACATTCCCAAGCAAGCAAGAGAGCTCTACAAGGTTAACAAGGTCCGCATGCTGTACGATCGCGAACACGAAACTGCTCGTCTGGTCTGCCGCACTGTCGAAGATCTTGAAAAACCTCTGGACATGACATACTCCTACCTCCGAGCCATGTCTCCCATTCACATCAAATATCTGGCCAACATGGCCGTACGTTCATCCATGTCCATCTCTATTAATGCCTTTGATGAACTCTGGNGGTTGATCTCTTGCCATGCCTACGGATCAAGGGGAACTCGCGTGTCTTTTCCTATCAGAAAGATGTGTAGACTCGTTGGCGAGACTGCTTCTCGAAACATAGAACGACTTTCATATGCCTCACGCCTTCATGCTCGCAAACTTATCAACACTGTGCCGACGTCGAAGAACCCGTCGGGATATATCATTGCTTCATCAGAAGATCTTTTGAAACTGTTCGATGCTGATTTTGGCATGCTTTCCATCAGAGACGAGACCAAGGTTCTCGGACACGTCGATGAAACACAAGAAGCCTTAGCCATGCTCGAGTATCTGAGAATGCGCAAGCTGACTTCGGTCACTGCCACACAAGATTTGAAGGAGGAATTCCCTGATCTACGCTATCCACCTGGCTTTCACCATATTGCTGGTCTACTCGTTGTTCCCCTTTCCGCCGGAGGTAATGACTTTATTGTTTTCTTCCGCAGAGGCCAGCTCCGAGAAGTGAAGTGGGCAGGCAATCCTTACGAGAAGTTCGTAAAAGAAGGTACCGAGGGGTATCTTGAGCCGAGAAAAAGTTTCAAGACTTGGAGTGAGACCGTCGTCGGAAAATGTCGCGACTGGACCGAGGAGGAGATCGAAACAGCTGCCGTCCTCTGCCTTGTCTACGGCAAATTCATTGAGGTCTGGCGGCAAAAGGAGGCTGCACTGAAAAACAGTCAGTTAACACGCTTACTCCTAGCCAACTCGGCGCACGAGGTTCGAACACCACTCAATGCTATCATCAATTATCTGGAAATAGCTCTGGAGGGCAGTCTGGACGATGACACGCGAGAGAATTTGTCCAAATCACATTCTGCGTCCAAGTCGCTAATCTACGTTATCAACGATCTACTGGACCTCACCAAGACCGAAGAAGGCGGCAGTCTCACTAAGGAAGAGCCATTCAACTTGTCTGCTACTTTGAAGGATGCCACGGATCAGTTTGCTGGTGACGCGCGTCGCAAGCATCTCAGCTACGACGTGGTTGAACACCCTGGCCTCCCTGCCACAGTCATTGGAGACCAGAGGAAGGTCCGTCAAGCTATATCAAACGTTACAGCCAATGCCATTCAGAACACCAAGAGCGGCGGAATTAGCATTGAGATGTACGTGCTTTCTAGAGAAGATAACCATGTTGAGGTCGAGATCACTATCACCGATACCGGCTGCGGCATGAACAGTAAGAAGTTGGACAGCCTTTTCAGGGAACTCGAGCAAGTGCAGAGTGAAGTGCACGACATGTTGGATGACGAACCAGCTTTCAATTCCAAGCAAGTTGAGTCAGGGTCAGATGAGAATCGCACCATAGGCCTCGGTCTGGCCGTGGTCGCGCGTATTGTTCGAAACATGAACGGACAACTACGACTCAAGTCGGTTGAGAACAAGGGTTCACGCTTCACTTTACAACTGCCCTTCGATCTACCCCCCAATGGACAGAAAACGCTCGCAGGCTCCATGTCAGAAGGATCTCAACACTCCACAATCATTAGCGCTGGCAATGAGGGCGAGATCACTCTTGTCGAACGTGGAAGTCATAGACGTAATTCGACCGAACATTCTCTATCTCGCACGACGAGCAACGAGAGTTTACACAGCAGGCGCAGTCTACCCAGCATGAAATCTGGGCGTAGTCACGCGAGCGAAGACTCAACCCGTAGTGAGGCTGACAGACTCATTGATGCAATCTCATCACCAGTCGATAATAAGCGGGGTGCTCCCTCCCGTGGAAAAAGCTCTAGCAGCTTACAAAGACCTGCATTGGGATCCCGACATAACACGACATCAGCACTTTCAAGCAGCAGTCAAACACAACGACCTCGATCCATGAGTCACGAAACAAATCCACAGGAATTGACTACTGAAGTAATCAAAGACCCGCCTGGTAGATCAAGTATCGTGGATCAGGGACGACCTGTCAAAGCTGTACGCGTGCCAGAGGAGACAGATGATGTCCCTGCCGCAGCTCAAGATCAGCCACAAGAAGCATCGCGCGTTCTTGGCATCCATCAGCAGGAGCCTCCGGAGAACACAGATGAAGCGCCTACAGCAGATCACATGCGTGTATTGGTTGCCGAGGACGATCCGGTCAACAGTAGGATCATCAAGAAACGACTTGAGAAGATGGGCCACGAAATATATCTCACGTCCAACGGTGAGGAATGTTCCAGCACCCACGGAGACAAGAGCGGCTGGTTTGATGTTGTCTTGATGGACATGCAGGTTTGTGTTGAAAATCCTTTCAATGTGACTGTTTTCGCTAACTGCTCTTAGATGCCCATTGTCGATGGACTCACAGCCGCTAAGGTTATTCGATCGTTCGAGAAATCACATCCTACACATCTACTCTCGACTCGAGCAGCTTACAATGGCCGCATCCCCATCATCGCAGTTTCTGCGTCGCTGCTCGAGAGAGAGATTCAACAGTACATCGACGCTGGCTTTGATGGCTGGATCTTGAAACCCATCTCTTTCCCTCGACTACAAGAGATCATGACTGGAATCGTCGACAAGCAAGTTCGCCACAAGAACATCTATGTCAAAGGCGAATGGGAAAGAGGTGGTTGGTTCGAAGGATCCCAGTCTGATGTTTGGGAAGCGAACACCAAACCCGACGACGACAAGATCGCAATGTCTGGACCGAGCGACGCTGTACAAAAAGAAGCTGCCAGCGATGACCCGCAAGAGAAGGGCGATGACGAAGACGACAGCAGACAGACCCAGGAGCAGCACAGAATCGCCGCCGTTCAAGACCACGATGCAGGGATCGAGCCGCCTCCGGAACAACAGGACCAAGGACCAGAAGACCCCGACGTGAATGGTGAACCACACGATTTCTCTTGATTGTTTGAACACGCGCAAGAATACAGTTGAACTCCACCAAGCTCTGTTCTTTTTTCCTATGAGTGCTTTTTACTCTTTTCTTGTTTTGGGGTACTCGATATGACTCGGAGTTTGAGCATGTCGTGGTGTTGAAGGCGTTTCAGTCGATCATGGCAGGTTGCATATTTCTCTCCTGGGCCTATGAAGGTCAAGTCATGCAACGGATGTTTGTTTGGATACCAACATGCTGGGTTGTTAGAAAAGGGGTGAGCATGATGAGAGGTCTTTGTTCCATCTTGCAGCGTATACTTTATTCCTCCTTTTACTCTTATTGTTTTCTCTGGTTCTACTGGCTTCGAACGACGACTCATGTGTACGATACCTTTTCCGTGTCAGAATATACTTCACGCAATTGTACGAAGAATCCGAAGTTCTCAACATATATCTACCTCTCTGGTTCCTAGCTTGCATCATTCTCTCTGATTTTCTCTGCTTTTCACTGTTTTCTTCTTCTACCTGGGTGACACTGCAGAGAGTGGGTGTTCATTGCTCGTGTATGCATGAGGAAACACAGGTCAAGACTGACTAACAAAAGACAATAGCAGTCGAATCACATGTTCTTGCGCAGGAGAATAAGAGTCTGGTCTATGTTTCTGGTATCTTCATTCGAGAATTGGCAGGTATGACCTCGGTTATGTGCGGTTATATGTTAACCGTTGCCGTGGCTAAGTTATGTCTGTGGCGTTTGGATATCGTTGTTTGGGTTTCTGATAGGGTGACCCCTAGGCAACTTTTGCAGATTTCCCAGGTGTTTCTTCTGGCAATTGGGTAAATTTGGTCTTTGCGAGGAGTTCTGTATACTGTGTGATGGTTGGGGACTATGTCTATTACTGCTAGGATCTCGTGATTGCATGGTGTGGCTCGTCATTGTCGTATTCAAGGAATCCGATCTCGAAATCCATCAACCTGTCGAGAGACGCACGGAGATGATCATCAGTCTCACTTGCCGACCACAAACCCTACTGACTACATTACCAACCACGTGCCATGTAGCTATGGGACACAGATGGGACCCATCCAAATCCCATTCCTCCAGTTCTCAAGCTAAAGATGTCCTAAAGCTCGCGATCGTATCCTCCAAGGTGCTCAAAGTCCAGATCCCATGATTCGCAACTGCCGTACAGAGGCGCTTAACCTGAGAATGGTCTAGTCAATCAAGAAGTGCGCGTTCAACCCCGGACTCCCCGCGCCTTCCTATCGCTGCTGGCCCTAAGCGCAACTGCCGTCTTCTGTATCCGAGATCAATCAAAATGTCCAAAAGATACCCAGTCGAGAGCTGCGAGAAGCCTCCAAAAGTCTATTCGACCAGCCGAGCAGACCCGGTAGAGCTAGAACCACAAAACGGCACAAGAAGTGAAGGCAAAGATAGGAAACTTGAGAGTCGGACAGCCAAAAAGGCTTGGAAATGCTTGAGTCGAGGTCCCAAGTCGCACCCCACGTGGGGTCCCCAGCCGACGACCCCGCATGGTGGCGTTTTCTGGGGTTTGTTTCTTCGACTTCGATCGCATCTGCCGGTTTGAGTGTGAAGCGACGATTGGACGATGGAGCGTGTGTGGAGCCATTGTCGTTGGAAGGAGCTGGATGGGCAAGAACTACATAAGTCTCGGATGGCTGCGTCTCTCGAAGATCTTGCATCGCTCCCTTCTGGTTCAGACTCTTTTTCTTGGGGCTTGTCTCTTTTTGGACAGACTTTGACCTTCGATCTTCTGCCTCCTGGATACCCCATTGACACAAACTTCTTGGTATCATACTTTTCGTTGACTGGGCTAAGGTAGCCATCTGCAGTCAAGATGGAGATGAACTATGATGATGCAGAGTTGCATCAAATCGAGGCCGAGATTGGCAAGGAGATCTTGCCCGGCACAGAGGTACATTCACCTCTTTCCCTTGTATATCGAAAAGACCTTTTGCTGACAAGGGAACCTATCAGANTCATGACCGATGTCGGTAGTCACCATTTCGTCAAGGGCCACAACGGTGTACTCGTCCCCCAACCCTCAGACGACCCCCACGACCCCTTAAACTGGTCCACGAAATGGAAGTTCCTCGCCATCACCTCAAGCAGTCTTGTGTCCTTCTCCCAAGGCTTTGGTCCCTTGGCGCTGGCACCTGCGTTTGGCTACTACATCAAGGAATTCGATTGCTCTTTGGCAGATGCTGTGCAGTTTACCGGTGTCTCGATTCTTATTCTCGGCTTCAGCAACTTTGTGTGGGTGCCGTTGAGTTCGAGTTTTGGACGCAGAGTGGTGTATATTGCTAGTCAGTTGATCTGTTTGGCAAGTATGATTTGGAGGGCTAGAGCGCAGACGTATGGGTCTTTTATGGGTGCTTGTGTGCTGAATGGGCTTGGTGCTGGCCCGGCTGAGTCCATCCAACCTGCCGTGATTGCGGATGTCTTCTTCCTGCACAACCGTGGCTTCCAGAATACTGTCTATTGGACTGCGTACATGGGAAGTTTGATGGTCGGGCCCATCATCTCTGGAGTCATGTCTGACCGTCTGGGCTGGAGATCTTTCTGGTGGCTCAATGTCGGTCTTGTCGCCGTCTCGCTGCTCATGGTCATCTTCTGTTTCCCAGAGACCAAGTACCATCGCCCTCATCCTCATGAGATCGCCGCTGAGGTACCTCGCAAGTACGACGACAGCAAGTCCACCCTTCCCGTCCCTGACAAACTCAACTCCGGCCACGTCGAAGACATTGAAATTCAACACCTCGACTCTTCCTCGCCTTCAGGTATGCCCAACCTCTCCGCAACAAAAACCGCAGATCGCGACCCTTTCCTCGGAAAAGGCTATCCTTCAAAAGCGCAATGGAAGCTCTGGCAACCCAACCCTCACCCCTTCAAGAGCATGGCCCTCGATCTCTGGCTCCCCTGGAAACTATTTACCTTCCCCATTGTCGAATTTGCTGCTTTTGTGTGCAGTTGGTCTTGCAGCAGTTTCTTGACGTTGAATTTGACGCAAGCGCAAGCCTTTGCCGCTCCACCTTACAACTTTTCCTCTGAGGATATTGGCTTTTTCAATTTTGCGATCCTCATCGGTGCGATCATTGGTCTGGCTACTTCTGGAAAACTCAGTGATTGGGTAGCTGCCAGAGCAACCAAGCGAAATGGAGGCATCCGTGAGGTAAGCAAACTGCATCTCAATCTCAAGCAATGAGGATGACTACTAACATCTTCTGTGTGTATTTTTAGCNCCGAAATGCGTCTCATCGCCATGATCCCCTACGTCATTGTCATGTACATTGGCAACATCGTTGCCGCCATCGGCATGCAACGCAAATGGCCCTGGCAAGTCATTGTCGTAATCGCCTTTGGCGCTGCCGGCATGCAAGTTGCCTCTATCCCCTCCATTGTCTCTACCTATGCCGTCGACTCCTATAAACCCGTCGCGGGACCCCTTTTCGTGGCCATCACCGTGAACAAAAATGTCTGGGGCTATGGGTTTAGTAAGTTTATCACGCCGTGGGTGGAAAAGAGTGGTTTTATTCCGCCTATTATGACGAATGGAAGTTTGGTGCTTTTGTGGTGTTTGTTTGGTATTTTGTTTTATTACAAGGGCAAGACGTTTAGGAGATGGTGAGTCACCTTGAGTCGCTTTGATTGTGCCATTNTGGTCCTTGCTAACACACCATTAGGTCTCGCAACTCTTCTGTGCACAAGATGTAATGCGACTCTAATCAAGTTGGTCGAGCGATCGACGACAGAAGAAGTTGGTAGTTTTAGAATCGCCAATGCCAAAATTCCTTTACAAGAATTCTTCTCTCGATGTACTTGCAGATGTGCTTAGGATGCATGAGATGTTTCGACACGTTCTCGACACTTTTGCACCTTTCCCATTCTTTAGCCATGTCTGTGTACATTTTGGATGACTGTGCCTCTCTTCTGCCCTTTTTTCAGCTTGCTCAGTCTTCACAAATACCACCAAACCAAGTTCTACCTTCTGCTCATGTCTATGCGATTCATACTAGATACTATACCACAGATCTTCTCGCAAACACCCAAACCCCCAACTTCAGAAACCTTGCATCATCTGTGGTGAAAGTGGCCACAAAACAAAAGGATAGAAACCAAGGAGAAAACCATCAGGAAACCAAACTTTCACGTCCTTTTTGCTGGGCTGGCGGCTTGAAGTACCGGTTGCAGCAGTGTAAGTGTGGCAAAGGAGGTTATTACGTATCTTTTGCTTCTGCCTCACGGAATGCTCTGTTCACTGTGGCGTGTTGCAATCTTCTAGGCAATTTACTTGCAGGCAGCAAGGAATTCAGACGTGAGAGGTATAATTTGACGATGGTGTTAGTTGGTATATAACCGAGGTCATGCTTGCGCATACCCGATATCCAAGGTTAAAGATCAAGGACTCGATAGAGTGATTGCCGTACCCGACATCCAAGGTGATAGTCGAAAAAGAATCAGGGCTTTCTAAGCGGCTACCGTTGTGCTTGCCAAAAGAGTTTGAATGTGGCAGAATGACGATTTTATCATGTGCATGATCGGCTATCTCGACTCTGTGGTGCGAAACTACGGTGACGCCCTCTCCAAAGGTGTGGCAGCAGCACTGACAAACAAGTCTTGCGTGTTGTCGGTGTTGTAGCCATCAGTACCTGTATCATTCTCTGCGCCATCGCTGTTGACTGCTTTCTCAGTCTCCGTCTCGCTGAGAGCGACTTCTTCCCCCTCTTCCTCTGCGAGCACGTCAATCTCTTCTGCAGCATTTCGCGCACCAGCATCTTGCTTGCACTCTTGCTCGTTACTCGCGAACGTAGGAGTCTCCAAGATACCACTACCTTGCACCCACACCTCAGCCAACTCGGCCTCGATTTCTGCTTTGCGTGCTTTCCATGCTTCGACTTGAGATAACCGCTCCTTGAGTTCAGCGATTTCTTTTTCTGTACTGTCTTTTTCGCTCTCGGTGCCTATCTTTTGCATCTCCCACTCGTCGCCTTGGCTTCCCAGCCCCAAGGTCAGAACATAATCATGGTATTTTTTCAAACTTGCGCGAGTGGATATGGTGAGCAATGTCACTCCCCTAGCCTTCAGAGTTTCATACAGCAATCCTTCCACATCACTGCTCACAGCAGAAGTTCCCTCGTCAATGACTGCAAAAGCGGGCGAATGATAAAGTAAACGTGCGAAACTGATGCGTTGTTTTTCGCCGCCGCTGAGGACATCTTTCCATGTTTTGCGCGTGTCGAAGCTGCCTTCGCGGGAAGGCAAGTAGCCGAGCCGGACATCGGTAAGTATTTGCTCGAGTTCGGAGTCGCCACGTGAGGAGGCGCGCATGTCGAATTCGGTGTGCGGGTAGATGATTTGGTCGCGTAGGGTGCCGGGGGAGAGGTAGGGTCGTTGAGGCAGGAACATGATGCCATCTTGACCGATGCTTCGGGGNCGAGAGACTAGACCGCGGTAGACGGGCCATAGACCGGCTAGAATACGGGCAACGGCACTTTTACCTGCGCCATTGGGGCCGATGACGAGGATGTGTTGGTTGGACTGGATGACAAAGTTGAGGTTGTCGAGGAGTTCTTCTCCGCCTTGTGGCCAGAGGCCGGGTGCGACGACTGGGGCGTTCTCGAAGCGGACGCCGGAAAAGCCTTTGTGCAGGGTCCCTTGCACATCGGCTAGCGAGTAGAGTTCGGGGTATGTGTTGCGAGGTGGATGATATGCAGAGGCGTGTACTCGGTGGAGAGTGCTGATCAAAGTATAGACACGGGAGGTGTAGCCTGCCAGCTCCGACAGGTCTTTCAAGCTGTACATCATACGGCCGCCTGCATCAGCAAGCGAAAGCATGAGGCGCTTGTTGGTGATGAAATTCTGTGTGCGGCTGCCTGATTCGTCTGTTGGCGATTGGGCCATTAGAGCGGCTTCCGAAGCTGGCTGAGCTGCTCTCTTGTCGCCAATCTCTGCGAGTCCAGCCCAAGCAGGGAGGAAGACTGGGAGAGAAGTGATGAGGTAGCCAAAAGCACTCCAAGAGTACTTGAGCACGAAATCTTCAAGCATGTTGTAACGGATCTTAAGACTGTAGATGCCCTCCATCCATCGTTTGAGTTCCTGGAAGCCTTTGTCCAGGAACAGTTTCTCCATCTGATCGCCGCCATAGAAGGCAACTTCTTCGGCATTGGCGATGAGGCGAGCATGAAGTGCTCGGAAGTCACCTTCCCGCTTGCCTTCTACAGCCTTTAGCTTGCCGAAAGGAGGCGACAGTCGTCTCAACAATGTAGCGGTAGCGAAGTAGTTTGCTAGTAGACCTGTCAAGGCCAGTGGACCGAGCGAGCGGTATAGTTGATAGTTGAAGACCAATAGATCTACAAAGGGTTTCCCAAGACTCGAGTACAGACTGGCGGCAGAGTCGCAGAAGAGAGTCAAGTCTTGAGTGACGAACTGATCAGCCCCATGGCCAATGCCGCCATCGAGGTTAGAAAGCTTGTAGAAGTTGAGGTTGTCGTTGAGGTAGAGGTCGTGGATGTAGCGAGTCAGACGAGTACGGAAGGCTATCGAGACTTTCGATTGCAAGAACTTGATCATGCTGTTGGTGTAGCTGGCCAAAGCGCCAATGGTGCACCATTTGGCAATGCCCCAGAGGAAGGGCTTGCCTTTGCCGGCCACCAAGTCTCGCACAATCTCACCATCTAGACGGGCGACAACGAGGGACAAGTACGTCCGTAGAAGCAAGAAGACACCGTGACTGAAGAGTAGACCAGTCTCTTTACTACCCCATCTGGGGATCAGGATGTTCATCAGACTGAGGAACTGATGCAAGAATGCGAGGTTTAGGCCAGGCTTGGTTTGGAGGGGAGGGACTTGTGGTAGATTGCTGTCGCTCAGGCCAACAGCTCTGGGCGGCTGTAAAAACAGACGTCGGTGAGCATCAAAGGTAGTCGGCTTGGTCGGATTGATGACGACCTTTGCTGTAGAGGATTTGTATGCGACATAGATGGTGCGAGTGCCGTCTTTGGCTCTCAGACCAGAGTTGCGACGCAGCAGCTGTCTCCCTGTCTCTTTCTCCTTGCGGGTTTCAATCCACCACTTATATGACCCCACGCCACCGCCAATCAGACCGAATGCGAAGAGGACTGCCGCTAACAAGCGGAGTGCCTGAGGTGTTCGTCGGAGTCGTCCACGTAGACGGTCGAGTAGGCGGTTGAAGAGTGCCCGGAGTGCTTCGTCCGGGCCATGCCGTAACGTCGACTGCGCTGCCATATCAAGATTCACATCACGCGATGCGGTTGACAGTGAGTATGAGAGTCAAACAGCAGAGATAGTGAGACAGACAGCAGCATGTGCACGATGCTCCTTGATGATGTTGATGATGTTGATGATGCATTCCGAGGTTCAAGGGTCGCATGTGATGCTTGGCGCCTCCCCGCATCTCGGCCCGCCTCCACCTTTCCGTCATCGACTAGTTGCCTTTTTGGGAAACGTACGAAATTGAAATTGCTTCATCTACTCTAGAAGTACAGTGAGATTGAAAGGCAAGAGCTGCAAGACAAGCGTGAGCCACGATAAGAAAAGGGACAAGAAACGGCCAGGAGAACAAAAAAGCGGATACGAAGACAGTAGACCAATATCCACGCCGGGTATATTCGCTCCCAAAAACAGATGCAGACGAAGCAAAATGGTTACTCGCAGTCCATGGGCTGGAGGAAAGCGACATCCTCATCGGAAAAGTCTTGAGTCAATTTGTGGGGCGAGCGAGTCTTCATGCGAGCCTTGGGTCTGCTTTGGGGGCTGACGATGCTGCTCTGAGCGCTCAGATTGGGCATGGATGAATGGCTGAGAGGGTACTTTGGCTTGGGTGAAGTCGTATCGTCGAGCATCGAGTCGTTCTGCTCGAGCTCATTGTCGAAGTAGGTATCGAGTTCTGCGTCCATGTCGTCTGCGTAGCTTCTCTTGCGTGTGTTTGTCTGTGGTGTTTGAGGCATGTCGACTGAGGATGCGATGGTGGACTGGGTGTATGACAGGCCAGGGGCAGACGAGGTAGGTTGTGAGCTGATGCCGCCGATCTTGTGCAGTCCACAGAAGGGAGTGAGTTCTGATGGCTTGGTGTAGAGTTCTGGGGCGCTGCTGACGGGCAGGTCGTTCTCATCCTGTGTCGGGATGCTGGCGGGGTGCATGTATGAGATGGTTGGCACTGGCAGCGACTTGTGCGTCTTGTATCCTTCAGGCACCGACTTGCGGACGCGCATACCGACGTTGATGAGCAAAGACTGCACATGATCGGGTACGGTGGGTTTCAGCGGCAGGGCATAGTCGTCGACGTCTGCTGAGCATGGAGCTGAGCTGGTTCCGACGGGTGTGAAGAAGGACTTGATCGACGACTGGTTCGATGGTTGGAACTGGCGCTTGCGAACGTGTGCCATGGTTATCTTGTGCAGTATGATGTATTTGGTAGTTATGCAGGGAGATGTTGTATAGGGTGATGGTGAGAGAATGCACGAGTGAATGTCGAAGATGGCGGTCAGAATGCACTCTACGAAGACGCGGTGCGCGGAACTTTCGCGCCCGCTGCGTTGGCAGGGCAATCGCTCTGATTCATCCAACGACCAACATGTCTCGACGACATCCTCCAACCAGCGAGACCATCTGCGACTTGATTTATATCTCACCGGGTACAGCTTGAGGTCGTCGTTACACTTATGATGCGCATAGCCCGAGATGCTCAACGATATGTTGTCAGGTCGATGGACGACTCAAGCGGTCGTTGCCACCGTCACAACGAACATGTCATTATCACAAGGCAGAGAATGGCCTGTATTTGACTCTGATAACATGCATGCAAGTCTATCGCCGCTTCTTGTGCTCGTGCGGCATCGATGCCCTCGTGGCTCTGCATACCCATGGCTGAAACTCGATCGCTACGCTGGCTTCGGTTGCTCATTTCAACTTTTCTTACCATCTGACCCACATCTTGCTATAAGATAGACCAGTCCACCTCTATACCACCGTCTGCCATCATAGCAGCCTAGTTGTCTATCGCATCTTCGTCGATATACTCACTCATCTCGGTCTTACTCCGAAAAATCATCAGCTCGGTTAGAGGCGCTGCGTCGGGAGCCGCATGAACCAAGCCCAGCCCTACGCTCAGTGGCGCAATATGAAACAAACACATGGCCCACCACATCCGACCCTTTGCTCCATCGTCGCTTCCCTCGAGGTCTGGTATAGATGACCTTGGCCTAATAGACGTCTCTTTGCCGATGCCAGCCCCTCGCTTACCTCTGTTTTCTAACACGCTAACGTAGCTTCTTGATGAGAGTGCCTTCTTTGCACAACCTCGACCATAACCAGTCATCGCACCTGCTGACATACAGCATCGACGCTACACTCATTTCTCGATCTCTTCGAGTCGGCCATAATCGGTCGAATTTCATTGGTGTCGTCTACAGCTCTCTACCACGTAACTCTGTCACTACCCCATCGTTGACTGGGCTGATCAAACCATGCGACATTTGTTCATACCTCCTGCCCCGCTGTCTTCTATTCCGAAACATGCTATACCCCTGCCAAACGGCTATGCACCTACCGACTTGGCGCTTGCTACTACAAGCAAAAACTCTTTCTAGGCTCTGCCATGGGTGAATACATAAGATGTAAAATGCGTCCGCAGCCCAATGTTTCGTTCCTAGGTCAACCTCTCTCCTTTCCTTCTTCTTCCCTTCCAGCCTTGACGGCTCAGTCTTTCGTTTCAACAATTCCCCGGTGGAATCTGTTTCTCTTTTCAAAGTCTTCTTCAGGCCTTCACGGTCCATTTTCCCACTCTTTTACCAGTCTTGAAACAGTCCTCGCGACTCATTCTACCTTCTTGCAACATGGCTCGTTTCGCCGCTCTTCTTCCCCTTGCATATGCATTGGGCGCCGTTGCCCAAAGCGTGGCATACAATGACCCCATCACTGGCATCGACTTTATGAGTTTCCAGGACTCCGAGTCCGGTGCACGATTCGGTGTTGCTACACCCAAGACTCTGGGCAAGGACTTTATTGGTCAGATTGTTGCTCCCACTACCCAGGGATGGGCCGGTCTTGACATGTCCGCCCAGATGGCGAACCACATTCTGGTCGTTGCATGGCCTAACGGCGACGAGGTTATGGCTTCCGTCCGTGAAGCCTCCGGCTACACCACACCCCCTGTTTACACTGGAAACGCTACCACCATTCCCATCGCTAACGGTACCTTTGTTAACAGCACTCACTTCTCTTATACATTTGTATGCAGTGGCTGCATCACTGGCGATGCTGACAGTTTCCCTAGCACCGTCAAGGGCAATGCTTTCGGATGGGCTTACTCTTCAGACGCACCTGCAAAGCCCTCAGTTGCTGACACTGACTTGAACTTGCACTCTGGATTTGGTGCATTCGCTGTCATCTTTGCCAACTCTGGATCTGCAGACTACGACACCTGGGCTTCTTGGACTGAAGCAGTCGTCCCCGTCCCCACGACATCCAGTAACAGCACTGTTGGATCAAACTCGACCACAGGACAGGCCAACCCTTCTTCCACTCCCATTGCCACCACATTGAATACCACATACGACTACATCATTGCTGGTGCTGGTCCCGCTGGTATTATCGTTGCCGAGAGACTTGCCGAGTCTGGTGCCGAGGTTCTCTTGATTGAGCGTGGTGACGCTTCCACCTATGCATCGGGTGGTCGTGCCGTCGAGTCCTGGAATGAGACCGTGACTCAATACGATGTGCCTGCCATGGCCTACTACCTCTCTACTGCGAGTGTCACTAACGAGTACTGCACTGACACTGCCGATCAGGCTGGTTGTCTGCTCGGAGGTAGCAGCATGATCAACGCTCTGATGTTTGTTCGTCCCCAAGAACGCGACTTTGACGACAAATGGCCAACTGGTTGGAAGTGGTCTGATGTATCAGCCTCTGCCGAGAGCTTCTACGAGAGGAACCCTGGTACTATTTCTCCTTCTAAGGATGGCCAACGCTACGATCAAGGTGCTTATGGTGTTCTGTCTACCTTTTTCTCTGCCAACGGATGGTCCTCTGTCAACGCGCTCGAGGAGCCCAACAAGAAGACTGATGTTTTCTCGCACCCGCCCTGGAATATTCAAGATGGCCTTCGTGCTGGCCCTGTGTTGACATATCTCCCTCTTGCCAAGGCAAAGCAGAACTTCCACATTCAATTGAACAGCACTGTCCTTCGCGCTGTCCGCGAATCTTCCTTTGTCAGTGGTGTTGAGGTTGAGCTGTCGGATGGCAGCCGTAACATCATCAAAGTCAAGACGGGCGGCAAGGTTGTTCTTGCCGGTGGTGCACTGAGCACTCCTCGTATTCTCATCAACTCTGGTATTGGTCCCGCCGATCAGATCAAGACTGTTCAGAGCGGTAGTACTGCCGTCAGCCTCCCTGAGGAATCTGAGTGGATTGATCTCCCTGTTGGCAAGGGCCTGAAGGATCACCCCATCGTTACCTTGAAGTTCAAGACCAAGTCTCCATTGTCTTCTTCGGCCACTACTGCTTTCACCGACCCCACCCAAATGAACATTGATTCGTTTGCTCATGGTAGCGGATTGCTTGTTCAAGGTGGCCAACGCCTGAACTTCTGGTCGTCGGTCAAGGGAAGCGATGGTATCGAGCGATTTATCCAAGGAACCTGCAACTCGCCCTCCAACGACACCATCAAGATGAAGATCTACCTTACCCACGGTCTTACTTCCGTCGGCGAGATTGGTGTTACCGCAGAAGGGAAAACTGAATATATCACTCAGCCATGGTTCACCACTGCAGAAGATAAGGAAGCCCTTGCCTCTTTCATCGACCGCTTGATTTCCTTCTCCACTTCTGGAAACTCAACCTTGACACTGGATGCTGGACTTACTGCTTCCTCTAATGTCACTGGTGCTGATCTGATCAAGACTTTTACTACCGGCAGTCACTTTGTGGGTACTGCCAAGATGGGAACAGATGATGGCAGAAAGGGAGGTTCAGCGGTCGTAGATACTGATACCAAGGTCTATGGTACCGACAACTTGTTTGTAGTGGACGCCTCTTTCCACCCTGATTTGCCTACTGGAAACACACAAGCCATTGTCATGGTTGNNCTGCTGAGGCTGCCGCCAAGAAGGTCGCTGCTGTCAAGGTCAGTGGCGAGTCTGCTCCCGAGTNCTTCTTCCTCTGCCGCTAGCTCATCTACCATTGTGGCTTCTTCGACCGCCGCTTCATCTGCCATTTCGTCTTCCGTAGCCTCGGCTACAGTCACTGCATCTGCAACCATCACTTCTGCCCCTGCTTCGCCAACCTCTGAAACCGCTACTTTCACGGGCACCACAGCGATCACTTCTGTCGCTGTGCCTAGCCCGGCTTACACCCAGGTTCCCAAGTATGGCCGTTGTGGTGGCATTGGGTATGAGGGACCTACCGAGTGTGCGCCTGGCTCAACGTGCAAGTACCAGAATGATTGGTATTATCAGTGTGTTTAGTGTATTGGCAGGAGTAAATGGAACGTAGAGAGGGAGATAAAGAGGGATGTGTGTATAGTTCTTTTTCTTGGTGCAGTGAGGTGTGGTGGAAATGCCATTTTTACTTTCTTGCTTTGAATATATATCTTTCTTCATTCCGAAATTTTACCCGTTTCTCTCTATGGTTGCATCTACCAATGACATTTATGGGCTACTATTACTAGATCGTCGATCTGTGGTCACACCCAGCTTACATCTCTGACGAGGAGGAATGTTCGGCTCAGCCTAGCGTTGATGCCTGGATGATTATCTTTCTCCTCCCAACGTCCATAGTTGATATGATGCAATCAAGTCTTTCAGAAGATCTATTGGCATGTCTAGACCAAAAGAAGCTACGCAAACCCTTACCAAGAGTTCCATGAGACTCTGCCAGCGGTACCGAGATCCGCGGCTGACGAACGAGTCGACAACTTTGTGGTATCCTTGGTTCAAAGAAGGATGTGCAAGATGTGCTTGAGTGTTGGGATGTCGTTCTTGCTCTCTTCCTCATTTGGAAAAGGTGACTGTTGGTCTCCCGTATCATGTCAACGGATTCGCAACATCTTGAATCTTCTACTCACGTACAATAGATTGGCAGAATTGCAAATCACCAAGAGTTTCTGCACAACCGTTGCTTTCGTATCTGCAAAACCAACTATCAGAGTATCATTTGTCGTTGAAATTACCTCTGTGAGAGCTTCCAAGCAGTAAGCAGTAGATGCTTGTTTCGATATGTTGTCGGCATGCTGATATTGTAGAAGGCGTCGCAGTATGAGTTTAATGATTCTCGTTCGGGAATAGAGTGTCTTCAATACGCGATTGCCTATCCACCGAGCTGCCAGCAGATGCACGTGTACTCAGTGTTCTCTGATCGATCTCTGGTAACATGATTGCGTGTGTCAGCGATGCGGCTGACGTTTTGAGAAGTTTGTATGCAATGGTTTCTTCGTGCCACGATGATGATGTTGATAGTTGATGCAAACAGTTGGGACATGAAGGGGAGACGTAGAATGAGCATCGAGGGAGTTTGGCAGAACGAGCAAGACCTCAGAGTAGAATTTTCGCAATTCATCGAGTACAAGGAAGAACAAGCTAGAGTTTTGACCCAACGGTAAAAGGAAAACAAGGAAAACCGTCTGCTGCCCGGGATTTCGTTCAGGCTGTGTGTAGACAAAGCAAAAGCAAAAAGCAAAAGCAACAAAGAACTCCATGACCAAGTCTTTCGCATGCGTCGTATCAATCTCAAGACGCTTCACCGTTCCCAGACTTCCTCGATCATCTCTGCTGCATCAATAACGAGCAAACGGAATCTCCCCATCCAACGCCCTTCCCACTAACCAAAACTCAAACTTCATCTCTCCTAACCACAAATTAGCATGCACTCCTCAATCCCCTCCAGACCAGCAAAACTCACAAACCACCCAACTCAGCAACCTCCTTCTCCATCTCATAAAGCCCAGTCCTAAGCACATCAACAAACTGTCTGAGTGCAGCTGTGCCAGTATCATCCTCAATGCCAGGAGTGTAGGTCTGAGTGTCAAAAATATCGTAGTCGTGGATGAGCACACGTTGGCGTTTGAGAAGGTTGTGGGCCACCTCTAGGATCTTTCCGATGGTTTGTTTGGGGTCCGTGGAATTGGTTGAAGTGACGTTTGTTGTAGTGGCGTTGGTTGTGGGGGTCTTGTGTGTAACCTCGCGGGCAATAGCGATGGCTTCATCGATTGCGGTGGCGAAGGAGGTTGGGTCGGTGATGTTGCGAGACAAGGCATCGAGGAGATTGATAGGGCGACCGGGGACTGCTGATGCGATGCGAGGGTCAGGCAAAGTAAAGTAAGGGTTGACACCGCGTGGTGGGTAGGGGAACACAGGACGCGACAAAGGTCCAGTCAAGATTGCAGACCTGGGAACCATTGGAGTGGCAGTCGATGTAGGGGCACTCTTCTGCAAGGCAAGAGTGATGGCAGTTCCTTTCTTGCTCTTAGCTGCCGCTGTGGTCTTGGGAGCCCTCGAGGCAGTCTTGGAGACGCCGGTGGTAGGACCAGTCATCCGGCGTACACGGCGCGAGGGAGGCGTAATGGGCATCTTGGGGTAGTCCCTGCGCTTGAATGGCTGTAGAATGGGAGAGCCCTCCAGACTGCGCGTCTCAGTAAGACTCAGCTCGGCGCCGGGGCTTGCATCATCCTCAACAAACTCGGGAATGGTGGGAGAGGCCACAGGAGTGGAAGGTGACCATGGAGGACTCTCCTCCTCGTAGCTGTCGTCAATCATGATGATTTCTTTGGGAGTGACGGGCATTGCGGGTTCTTGGGGAAGCAGGTGTGCGAGTGCTTCTGCGACGGTCTCGCGGACACCTTCGTTGATGGTTAAAGAAGGACGCGATCCAGTGAGTGAGTAACTTCTACCGGAGCGCACTGGACGCGCAAGGTTGATAGCGTTGGGGGTGCCGTCAACAGTACCATAGCAAACTTTCGAATCTGATGACATGCTGATAGCTGTAGGATATCGGGTTGAGAGGTAAGAAGAGGAAAATAAAGGACCGAAGAAGCTCACCTTTGTTGTGATAGAACTGTTGGTGAAAGTCCAGAGTGAGAGACTGTCGACTGTACAGGGCTGTTTGGAGTGAGATCAGATGTAAACAAACGGAGGGACGATGATAACTGAATCCGGTCTGGTCGTCACCCGCCGAGAACACAATTCTCAATCCCAAAAGTAGACACACGAGTATGAGTCTGTTATAGAAATGCACAAAATGGTGCTCTGTCCGTAGAAACAACACCATATCTGAACTCTCAGTGGAAAAGACCATGTATTCAGAGAAGTCTCTGCATGCTTGTAGATATCACAGATGCATACAGATCATACGAGAGTACAGTCGAGACCACAGAGTTACTAGATATCTTCAAATACTCAGATGTCTATGAGTATGCTATCAAAATACACGAAAAGATATGCTTGTATCAATCTGTCCATTGACACATCCTTCGAGATCAAGAGGTTTAAAGCTTTCACTGGACACCATAGCATATCTGGACTACATTTTGACTTTCCATAGGTGTTGCAAACGTGTGCGAGCAACAAGAGAGCTCACACGAACGAGTGGTTTGTACATATATGATGGAGAAGATGATTATATTGCACATCTCGAAGGATGGGGCCAGTTGCGAGTATGCTATAGAGATGCGCAAATGACCGTGATTATGAGACTTTGTCCATCCAGATACTCTGTTCACCGAGGCTATTTCAACACCACAAGCTTCTATGTGAGCATCTAGTACTCAAATCTGATGCTGTCGGTGTATGTTTCTGCTCCAGTCGATATCTCAAGCTTGGCAGCATGAAGTCGACCATGAATGTGATAAGAAGGTCATGGTGGGAGTCTAGCGCTCAGCCTCAACCGATACACCACCCTCGTCAGTGGCAGTGCTGGTGCCATCAGTCCTTTTCATACAGGTCAGGATCGAGATTTGAGAGAACCACATCGAAAGACTTACTTGTAAGCATCACCGGCGGGGAAGCGTTCTTGGTAGCAGGACGTAAGGAGTCGTAGAGGCCCTTCATACACATCAGTGTCAAGCGTCTCGTCGAAACACATCACCGAAACTTACCCAGTCTTGCTGCGGGACATCAGATCGTTTCTCGTCTCCTCGGGGCAGCAGCGACATGGGTGAGATGATCCTGAAGCTCCTGAAGCTCCTTCTCCTCCTTCTTGAGGGCGGCCCAGTTGTCGATGTTGCCAATCTCTTCGGCAGGCACGTCCTTGAGGGCATGACGGAGGTAGTGAAGGTCCTCCTCATCTTCCACGGCGTTTTGCCAGTCGGCAAGATCCATCTCGTGAGGGAAGTCGTCCTCCATGGTGGGGCGAGGGGCGTTTGTGGTAGAGACAGCCCACTCAGGGCGTGAGTCTCCCATGGCAGAGCGAGACTGGAGCTCATCTTGGGGACCAGTAGAGGTAGGCGCAGGAGAGGCGGTGCTGTCTGAGCGGACAGAGGTCGTGTTGGTAGGAGTGATAGTGGTGGGGGAGGAGGCAGGGTCGGCGTCAACAGAGGCGGCCTTGCGGGCAGCTGAACGGGTAGTGGGGACCATGCTGAATGCTTTACAAAGTCAGTACATATATCTATAGTAAGTGTGAGAAATATGGTGTGCGTCAAAGAGAAGCAGGCATATCGTCGTTAGCGGTAGGGGTCGCGTACCTTCTTGTAGTGTTGTGTGAGAAGAGGAAAGCGGTAAGGGTCAAGAGGTCGAACATTCTGCATGAGAAAGTTAAGAAATAGGCAAGCCGCGAGTGTGGGACAAACCTCATCGTCGTTGTCGTCCTCGTCCTCGTCGACCGGTAAGCTTGGACCACCCGCCGGCGACAGTGAGGTTCCATCGGTTTCTCCTAAACGGCATTGATATTGCATCATCTGTCGGCTCATTCATGACTTAGGCCTTTTTCTGATTGACTATGGAGGATTTATACACTCCTCAACATGTCTGCCTTTGAGAGATATAACTATAACGACAGCCGACGTCTTGAAACATTATACGCGCTCCCCCCTCCGCCTAGTACTCCACCTGATGCTATTCAGCTCGATTTGACCGACTGCCCGCAAGATTGAGAAGAAAGATATAGTCTTTGACGTTCGTTACCTCGTAGACGACGTATAGGCCGGCGACGTTAGGTGTCGAGGCAGTGAAATCTTTATATAACACGGCGGCATGCACCAGACGATGTCCAGGTTGTTCTCGAGGCGAGCGAAACGAATTGCTCTGTCCACATATCGTGGATTGTAAGGCTCTTTGTAATGAGCACGTAAGGTTTATATAGTCATGTAGTGGGGCATCCCTTGCTTGGTTTTGAGGTTCGATCCCTTGCGTCGAGATTTCACACTATGCCCGATTCTATCCTTGTGTAATCAGACACGTACAAAGCATTTGCATATACTTCTATTTGACTGCCTTTTGCAGCAGCACGCAACGATCCGGTAAGCTGTGAGGACAAATAGCCGTTTTTTCTTTCGGAATAGGATTGGGTGTAGAGTAATTAGACACGATCATTATCCACATTTGATTGCTACTACGTTTCTCGAGGTTGTTCTCGATTCAAAAAAAAAAATACTCGCACACTGGACTCTTAGCAGCCGAGATTCGGGCAATGGGTGATCAATCGGTGGTTCTACGGTCATGGCATCTTCAAAGCTCGTCTTGATGACGTATCTTTTTGTCCCTGTACAAACAGCACATTCATTTCTCTGTGGTAGAGTGGTCCAAAAACCAGCTTCACCTTTGTCCAAGCATCGTCACACTCTTCTCTATGAGCCCGAAGTTCGGTACATGTCGAGCAAGTGTCAATGATCTGTTGCAGAGCCTCATTGAAGCGATTGAGATATGCACGTACGGCCCATTCGTGGCAGACCATGTAGTTGATCTCGAAGGCGTAGTCTCTGGAAAGGGTGTCGGTATCCTGGATTTCGACATTATTGTCGATCTCTTGCTCGGCAGATTGAGATTGGTGTTCTTTTGTTGTTCTCGGACCACCTGGATCGCTGTAGCCAAAGACCACCATGTTGCTGGTGTCATGGAGGCGAACATGAAGGGGCACAGGGCCTTCCATCTTCAGATGCTGCTCCTCACGTTCCTGTGCCTCAACGTCGCTGAAGAGTTGATCAAGTGGTGTTGAGGCAGGTAGGCGAGGAGAATCGGCTTCAGGAGTTATGGATAGGCGCCCATCGTCTCCATCATGCTGACGCTGATGCTCAAGCTCGTGTTGATAGTTGTTTCCCTTCTAATGCTCTCTAACTCCTTCGCCATGTTGTCCTTCGTCGTTGTCTTCATCAGTTGCCCAGAAAGGGCTGTCGCCGACGTCTGATACGTCATCGTCCTGAGCGCGAGTCGAGGGGTGCTGTGCCCAGTCTCTGTCGTGCCGTGCCACTCTTGCCAAGTCAGATCCATCTTTGATTGTGGGGTGGTTCAGTGGTATGTCGAGAGGGGGCACTGATTGTCGTGGGCGTTGTGCCAGGGGAAGTATAGCTTGGAGGGAGGGCGCTTGAGTGAGACACGACTTGATGGAATTTCCAGAAGCCACTCAACGAGTCAAACGCAGTACGTGTGTTGCCGATTTGTCATTCAATGTGGATGTTTCTACAGTTGTGCCTTTTCAATCCGCATCCAGCTACCTCATGCCCTTTCGTTCCTCTTGAACCCCTTACTGCGTACGCGTTCTCGATCTCCTAGTGATACTTGTCGAGGTCTGTGCTGCTCTGATGCGCCGTAGAACGAACAGTATCTTGATGGTGACATATGGAATCTCATGCAACGGGTGGAAACTCCGCATGCCCTACCGTTTGCCAACACGTCGCTGGAAAAGCGACGGGACCAAAGGTTTACATGCGCGCTTGGTGATGTCTCACTGTAGAGTGGCCATACTGGCAGCTATGAGTGAGAACTACCAAAGTTTGCATCTGGCTTATTAGAATGAGTGCTGTTGGTGATCTCGATGATCTCCCCAAGACCTCCGGGGCGTGCAAGTCTCGGTTGGTGTAAGACATAGAGCTTTACACTAATTATTTCTCTTTGATCTGGTTTGCAGAACTCTACCAGCGGGCGATTGTTCGTCCGATTCCACCATGCTACCGTTGTCTAGGATGATTCAATGTTGCTCACAGTCCTGGATTAGCAAAAGTATTGCCGTTAATGAATCCAGGCCAAAGTCTGATGTTGGAGTGACAGCAATATCACCTATCGCCCACCCATTGGCCTCGGCATCACCTGGACTCTGTTTGTCCTTGACAGGTTTTGCAAACTCCGACAGGAACTTCAGCATCCATGCGTCAAGTCTGAATGACGTCTCCATCGAAGTCACGCAAGCTTTGTGGAAAACCTGCAATCGCATCATACAAAAGTCAAGCGATGGCCAAAGATCGCGCAGACGAAGAAGTATGGTATAGTTGCGCTCAAGACGGCTACGAGCGGCATCGATCTCTGACCTGTGGGACGAGAACAGCAGGGTGTGGATTTGCACGGTAGAGGCGATGACAAGAACGTGACCAACCATGTTGTATAGGACATCACAACCCGGGGTGTCCAAGGCGGCGTAGACCATATCACACAGCTTTCGAGCATGATCTTTGCATCTTTGAGAGAAGGCGGTGATAGTCGGATCATCGCTGGCATCATGGTGGAGGAATTGGTACATGAGCAGCTGACCGTAGTGATAGTACCCAAGATACACAGCAACGAATATGCGGCCAAGACCTTGTGCAGCGTAGTGTGCGAGATTTGACCTGTTGTCTCGCATATAGTCGGGCAGGGACGCCTCCCAGATATCGAGCTTGTTTGTCAACTCATGAATGGCGGTAATGTTTGGAGGTGTATCCTGACTCTGAGCGACTTGACTGTTCAACTTGTTGACCTGGCGAAATATACCGTTGAGCACGATCATCTGCCCAAGCAAAGACGTGGGTTGAAAAGGATGATGGATGGGGTTCAGGACGTAGAGTGGGTCTTGTCGTCGCAACCCCAGGAAAGCCATCTCTTCCGTTGGCAGTGGGACATGATCTGGGGGGTTCGCAATCTGTCGTGGTACACCAACACCCGAGGAAGACCATTCGTCGATCATAACGAGCGTATGCCAGACTGTTCATGTGGGTCAGCGAACAGATCCATAATACGTGAGATGAAGGCTCAAGCGAAAACAAGGCAATGCTGTTGTGCTACCCGGCGTACATGTCATGACAGAGGTAAACATACCACGAACATTGATTTCTCTTTCTAGTCGACTGTCACAGTTACAATGTGCCAGGTCGAGCAACTGTGCCATCCTGCAGGCCATGCCATAATAGACTGCCTCTCCAGCAGAGTCTCCCTCGACGATACGACAAGCTCCCAGCAGGACGCATGCTTGTATGCAGGTCAAACTGACATCACTTGGATCGAGTAGTTGGGAAGCTCTTCCCGCATACTGTACGCCGCGGGTACGTGGGCTTGAGCCTTGAAAATACTCATGAGAAGAGAAGCGTGCCGAGAGTGCGATGATGGCAAGTAGGATGACCGTCGGCACTCTATCACTGGCCAAATCGGCCATGAAAGCAGGCTTCTGGAACAGAGTATGAAATTGATCATGAATGTAGTCGAAGTAAAGATTGACGAGGTGATTGCAAACCGCCGAAGGTGGAAGAACGCCTAGATGGCTAGCTCCATACTGGTCGAACGGAATCTCATAAACAGAGAGTTGATTCGAATTTGATGTCGAAGTGGCCAACAAGTCGGCAGAAGAAGAAGACCGCTGAGATTGAGCAGGCAGTGCAGTCGTGTGTGAGCGTCCTTCGCCTTGCTCAAGCAAGGGGCTAGTGATCTGCTGCAATCTGGAACCCGATGGTGATGAGCTCGGGATGGGTTGAGGGTATGGAAGCGGCCTCGGATTGGCAGGAGCAGTCGTGGTACATGGCACGTTGTGTTTTCGACACAACGAGCACGTCTGCCGGCCTTGGTTCTCGTCCCGATCGCATTTGCGCCGCCGTGACCTAGCCAAGTCGTGTCAGGCTACAAATTCAGACGTTCTACGCTGCACTCAAGCTCACGTACCGACAAAAGTGACAAGCAGTCGGGGCACGCATTGATACACGACCACTGATTCGTGATTCCCGCCTGTATCAGCGGAGCATGGCGGAAAATGGAGAAAAATCGTGGGTTGGATTCAGGAACGAGACTGCACTTGCCGTCGGAATAAACTTCGCCTTACCCCACTCGCGACCATTTTCCCCGCCACCGACGTCCGCGGGTCGCTCCTCGGAAGGATCAAATCTTCCACGCACACTTGAGTCATGCCTTCTATACGACTGACCTGCCTGTGACAGCCTACCGCGACGGACACTGCATCTGGCATTTCCAGTGAACTGCAAGTTGATTGCTATCTAACGCAAGCTCAAGAACACACCCCATCCCAGCCCAGCCAACGATCCAACGAGCGAACGGTATTGCAGAGGAATCAGCAAGAGGTTCAAGAGACAAACAAAAGGCCACAGCCGATATCCAGCCAATATCAGAGACCAGAAATTCNNTATTGTTCGTCTCGTCAGCAGAGATACCCTCCTTGTGAGTCGTATCAGTGTGCTTACCATCTGAATATCTTCAAGGATGAGCTGCCAGCTCTGCCCTTTGATAAACCCCAAAACGCAAAAGTGGAGCATCGTGTTCACCATGGATCCGAGTGATTGGTCCAGTAAGAACTTCACGACGACGTGTCCAAGACTGAGTTCTTGACGACATGATCTTTGTGTGTCTTCCTTCTCTTTCTTTTGTTTCATAGTAGGCCATTGCTCCTCCATCCAGCTTTGCCAAAGAAAATTTGGTGCGGTGGTGATTGCACTGAAGAGCATAAATTGCACCACAGAGACATGGTCAAAGTCGAGCGCTGTCTGTTGTCAGATTGTCAACTCAGTTATCTCATCCTCGCAGCCATAGTCTGCGCATACCTTCTTCTGCTGGACTGCCGTGAGGACCTGACCAAGCAACCCGGATATTGCGCTCATGCCCACTCCTTCGAGAGTCACATACACCACCGGCGAAAGAAGCCCTTTTGGCTGTAGCTCCATGGTTCTTCGCTGGGCGGGGACAACGAGAGAAGAACAAGTACAACAACTGATCTGCTTCTTGAGAACTTCAATGGAGTAAGTTCTGATTGGGTTTCTGGACAAAGAACGCACGACTAATTTGTGTGGAAACAAGCCCTCATGGAGACGGTACAAGCGACTGGTAGTCTATGATTCTGTCCTAAATGGATTCGAGCAATGCTTATCTCCGCTCATCGTGCTTTGCGCAGGAGAATGGATGGACCGTGGGGAAACTGCCTCCATGCCTGGTAATAGTCTCTACCTCAATCCCGCATCAAGTCTTGCGACACTTCGAACACAACAAGCATGAAGCTTTCCCGCCGACCCCATCACAGCTTGCTTGATCTCACAACATCATCACTTCTCCCGGTCCGAAAATCCTCATTCTGTCAGTCGCGTTTTCGTAAATCCCGCCATCTCGGCCTGTGCCGTCAACCCTGCTGATTCCGCCCATTTCCGCCAATACCGCTCGAGTCCACAGCCAACACCGCCAATACCGCCAATACCGCTCAAATCCGCCGACCTAGTCAGCTCCACCAATCCGCACAACCCCGCCGGTCTGCTGCATTAGCCAATCATCGACATCGATAGATGGGAGATGTATATTCTTCCTTGTCATCGTGTTGAAGTTTTGTGGCTTAAATCATTCCCTCCTTACAACTTTCCTCTGCATCTTCCGAGTCCAACAAGCTGATTCACAACTCCAAAATAGGTCATTACTGTCAACATGAGCCGAAACTTGGTTACCTTCGTAGTGGCTTTCACTGCAGGTGCTCTTGCAGTCGAAAATGGCCTGGCTAGGACTCCCCAGATGGGTTGGGTATGAATTGACATGCTCCTTTGCTGCAAATCTTCTAGATAGTTTGACTTACACGCATATCCAGNNAACAACTGGAATACCTTTGCATGCGACGTTTCCGAAGACTTGCTTCTTGGTACATCTAGAATCATAATCGACACCGGACTTCGCGACCTGGGATACAATTACGTGGTTCTGGACGATTGCTGGAGCGAAAAGCGCGGCAAGGATGGATACCTTGTCGCTGACAAGTCAAAGTTCCCTAACGGCATGAAGACTGTTTCCGACAGTCTGCACAAGGAAGGCTTGCTCTTCGGCATGTATTCATCAGCAGGAGAGTACACCTGCGCAAGATATCGTGAGCTCCTCTCGTGATCAAACGAAGATTTCAAGCTGATAGCTTCCATAGCCGGATCGCTTGACTTTGAGGAACAAGACGCCGAAAGCTTTGCATCATGGGGCGTGGACTACCTCAAGTATGGTAAGTACCGTTTGAGTTCGAGCACAATTGTAGATGGATGCTAACGTGCCGACANNGACAACTGCTATCACATGGGCCGTATGGGCACACCTCTAATTTCCTTCAACCGCTACAATGAAATGGCCAAGGCTTTGAAGAAGACTAGGAGATCGATCTTGTACAGTCTGTGCAGCTGGGGAGAAGATTTTGTCCACACAGTAAGTCAACTTGAAGATGTGAATAGGATAGCAACAGCTCACATTGTTCGTGCAGNNTGGGGCGGTTCTATCGCGAATTCCTGGCGCGTGTCTGGCGACATCTATGACTCATTCGCTCGCCCTGATGAGCTTTGCGGATGTGGTGCTTCCACAGATCCTTACTGTATTGCGCCAGGCACTCACTGTTCGGTACTCGCAATCCTGAACAAAGTCGCACCATACATTGATCGCGGTATGCCCGGTGCTTGGAATGACTTGGACATGCTCGAGGTCGGGCTTGGTGGCATGACAGATGAGGAGGTTTGGCTTGCTCCACCTTTTGCTGCGAGTAATTATGCTGACACATTGGACAGTNACAAAGCTCACTTTTCTATGTGGGCTGCCTTGAGATCGCCCATGCTCCTCGGAAACGACCTCCGCGTCATGTCACCAAAGACACTCTCCATCATCAACAACCCTGCCATCATAGCCATCTCTCAAGACCCGCGTGGCCGTCCTGTCCATCGAGTCTCTCGCAACACAACCGTCACAAAAGACCAATTCGGGATTGGCGAGACTCATATCTGGAGCGGACCCCTCGCCAATGGCGACCAGGTTGTCATCTTCCTCAATGCCGCCAAGGAAGCTGTAGACATGGAGGTCTCACTGGAAGAGATCTTTGTGTCGGAAGGCGTTGGTGGCACAGCACCGCAAGTGGCTCAACAATGGCACATTCACGATCTTTGGGCCAATCGCATGGACGATGACGACGCTAAAGCCATACTGGATGTTTCGAGCGCANAAAGAGCGTGCCGCCATCTTTGGGAAGCTGGATTGGTACAACTCCACCGAGACACCTTACGCCAAGGGTCTGNNGAAGCCAATGACGCTCGTCTATTTGGTTCCAAAATTGGCACTGTTTCTCCCCATGGCAAGATTGCTACGCATGTAGGAAGACATGCCGCAAAGGTCTTTCGTCTGAGAAGCTCGGCTGGAAAACAAGGACGAAGTTCGTTGCTGAAGCAGGAGTTGTAGATGTTCTAAGCAATTAACAGTGTCGTAGTAAAAAGTCCAATCTTCGCATTGGGGATATATCCCAGTTCAAATTATACCCGTAAATTTCCGTTCATTATCCTCAGCCCACATCAGTGATACCCAATCATGGATCTGCACTTGGATTGCTCCAATCAGATGCTGGATATCGTTTTGGCTGCCCTTGCAGATGTATACCCATCTAGTATGGACATATAAGAAGCGGTTTCGCGACCAGAGCGGACGTTACATGGAATCGGTAGAATATCGGCTTCATTCCATTCCATTCCACCACTCCAAGCTAATGTTCCATTCTATGCCAATTCTCTAGTGGAACGATGCCAATTCCAATTTTGCTGCTGTCGTTGTCGCCACCCTGTCCATGTCAGGGGTCACCCTGTCTATTGATTAGTAATCATCAGGCTTGGCACGATTATGTAAGCGCGATAATATATGAAGATCAACATACCCAATAGAAATAATATCAACCTTACTAAAGAGTGGAATGTTGGAATATTCCACTAAAATTAACGATTCTATTCCATGCCAACGGAGTGGAATATTCCACTTGATATTGGTGGAATATTCCAACATTCTACTTATTCCATGCCATTTAACGTCCGCACTGGGGTTCGCGACGGTCTCGCTTACTATGTGTACAACCCTGTCCGTGAGCGGTGCCAGCAGTATTGCAGCCACACGATTCTCAAATCAATTATCTCACCCGGGATTGACAAAGTCATATCTTAAGGAGTATTCTCAGTGGTAAAGCAAACGCGTGCTTGCCTATTGGGACTGTGAGAAGCGTGCAACTATCACCACAACCGAGGGCATGAGTACTACAGGATTTCTGACTGCACTCTGCTCAATGTCACAGTCTAATAAGACGCGTGAATTGTCCGCGTGTGTTCATTTGCAAATGGAACCCTCTTGTCCATGAATACTCGATGCCTAATAGACTTGAATTCGAGAGTTGTATTCATCATAAAATATCCATTGTCCATCAAAATCATTGACCATCTCCATTACCGGCGGTCAAAATCAATCCACGGGCCGAGTTACAAGCTTCGCGAATACAATAACAAAGTCATGAGAGCAACATGCGGTATGCCGCCAGCGGTGATAGCATATGCCATACAAGACCGCCAGCGGACACCAACTCTACCCCCGCAAACCCACCTCTGTTCCCGCAATGGGGGCGCGAATGAAAGCTTCGCAGTAACACGCATAACTCGGATTTCCTATAGCGCTTCCCTATAGTGTGAATGCCCCAACTAGACGGGCCGTTATGTTCAGCTTGTTGACGGAGGCGAAACCAATTCCGCCAGCGAATTAGCATTGCACGCCACTCAACACGATATTCCCGCACCATCTCCACGATCTCTACCCCGCAAGAACCTGGATTGAGTCTTGACGGGATCCTCAATCGGTCCGAGACTGCTTGTAGAGTCGTCGGCGCTCTCGAACACTCTGCGACCCCCGGATCTGCTGTGTCAATGAGTTCACGCTAGTCAATTCCGCCGTTCGCAATTGCGACAAACCAAGAAATCGTGGGCGACGTTGAGATCCTTCTTTGCCGTTTGAACTACATCCTCTCTTGTCACACAACCCAGTCGAGCGTGGGTATATCTAACACACGACCCTCGCTGATCATCCATACCATCTCATCGCAACAACAATCTCATCTTCAACAGCTACATCCTTTGTTACAACTGTAGTGTCTTCACTAACTCTTTTCCCAATCGCTTCACGATGGCTGAAAAGCTCGATCAAGCCGTGACCAGGGAGGTCCTCCCAACAATGAACGAACTCGACCGCGAGAAGACCGGCTGCCTCGCCGAAGCTGTCTACGAATCGACCGCCATTGAGCATGAACTGGGTACCTGGGAGGCCATCAAGGTCTACAGACCTGCTGTTCTCTGGTCGCTCGGCTACTCTTGCTGCGTCATCATGGAGGGCTATGACACCAATCTCCTCTCCAACTTCTTCGCCTATCCTTCCTTCCTGATCAAATACGGTAACTGGGTTGGAATCACTCCCTCGACTCCTGTCGGCTATCAACGTATGTTCTCACGGCTCCAACTCGGGAAACCGCTTCTAACAATTGATTATANNGTCACTGCGGCTTGGCAAGCTGGTGTCTCCCAAGGCGGTGGTGCTGGATCAATCATCGGATGTCTCCTCAGTGGTCTTCTTGTCTCTCGATATGGATCCCGCAAAGTCACAATGGGCGCGCTCATGGCTCTGATGTGCTTCATCTTCATTGTCTTCTTTGCGCCCAGCTTGCCCGTTCTCGCTGTTGGCGAAGTCCTTTGCGGCATCCCATGGGGTATCCTGGCCACCACCTCTCCAGCCTACGCTTCCGAAGTACTCCCACCTTCCCTTCGTACCTACCTTACATCCTGGACGAACATGTGTTTCATCCTTGGTCAACTAGTCTCGGCTGGCATCCTCAAGGGTCTTTCGACACGCATTGACGAGTGGGGCTACCGCATTCCCTTTGCCATTCAGTGGATTTGGCCCTGTTTCCTGATTCCTCTTGTCTACTTCTCGCCCGAATCTCCCTGGTATCTTGTCCGCGTGGGCAAGCACGCAGAAGCTGAAGCGTCTCTTCGTCGCCTCCAGTCAAGCGCCCATCCATCTGCTGTCAACCCTCAAAACACCCTCGCTACCATCGTCTACACCGACAACCTGGAGAAGGAGCTTTCCGTGGGCACAAGCTACTTCGATTGTTTCAAGGGCACCGAACTCCGCCGCACAGAGATCGCCTGTTTGTGCTTTGCTGGCCAGATTCTTTGCGGCATTTGCTTCGCCTACAACTCGAGCTACTTCTTCTCTCAGGTCGGCATGGGCACGTCTGCAACCTACTCTCTTGCTCTTGGCGGCACCGCTCTCGCCTTTGTCGGATGCATCTGTAACTGGCTTATCCTCATGCCTCGCTTCGGTCGCCGCACAATTTACATCTGGGGTATGGGCGGCATGTTTGTCATTCTCATGATCATCGGTATCCTCAACAAATGGACACACAACCACCAAATCGCTATGACTCAAGCTATCCTCACTCTTGCCTGGACATTCATCTTCCAGCTCTCGGCGGGCCAGCTTGGCTGGGCTCTCCCTGCCGAAATGGGATCCACCCGTCTGCGCCAAAAGACTATCTGCCTTGCTCGTGACGCTTCTAACCTTACTGGTCTCGTTGGTGGCACACTTCAGCAATACATGATGAACCCCGAAGCATGGAATCTCAAGGGTTACACTGGATTTGTCTGGGCCGGCACTTGCTTTGGCATGTTTGTGTGGTCATACTTCCGTCTTCCCGAGACTTGGAACCGCACGTATCACGAACTCGACATTATGTTTGCGAGAAAGGTGCCTGCTCGCCAATTTGCTTCCACTGTTGTTGATGCTTTCGAGTCTGATGGTTCGGAGGAGGATCTTGTTTCCAAGGCTGCTAAAAATGCTGCTAGAGATGCTATTAGGACTGGATCTATCACTTACCAGCCTTGATTGTACCAGGGGATGCTCATGTTCTCGGTCGATTCAAGGGGAAGAAGCGCTGGTTTCGCTGACTTACGAGTTTGATGGAGTTTGCAAAGAGGATATCATGAACGCAATTACTTACATGACTCTATCATGATTGTAGCTAAGACAATACAAGTTTGAGCACACACCGACTCTTCGACTTCCCTACCATGTTACCATTAAGATACACACCACGAACCTTGAGCCAGACCTCCACTCACGACATCAGATTGCAAGTGCAAAATCTAAAGCAGCCGAAATCGATGACATGCAGAAGTTGCTCGTCGACAAGCAAGCCGGAGAGGCTTGGGTACGTTAACAGGACCCTAAGTGTGCAGGTCGCAACTTCCTTGACATCGAACTTGGTTTATCTCTGCGGGACTTCCGTAAACGATGACGATGCATCTGTTCATGCGAAAGGTGAGCAAAAGTGACACAGCGACCCGGGCAAAATGCAATTCACCCTCCGCTCATGTCGATCTCCGTATCGTGAGTTTGTCTCTGCTAGACTTCCGGGAAAACTGGAGATGTATTGAGCTTTTGCGGATGCGAGCGAGATTCGAGAATGACAAGGAGAGCTGGGTACAATGAGGAAAGAAATTTGAATTCTGTCGATGTCGTCACGGTGGCTTTGTCTCTGCGATGCGTCCGTAGACAATGGAGATGGATTCGGATACCCCGGCACACGGGCGGAAGTGATAAAGCAGCCTGGGCACAACGACGAGCAAACTTCGCTCCTCTCAATGTTGTTACATTGGGTTTGTTGCTGCAGGGCTTCCGCAAACAAGGGAGACTGCAGCGACCCGAGTACAACAGCATCTGGCTTCTGCAGATGTCGTTACAGTGGTTTGGATGTGTGATGCTTCCGTCAACAATGGGACTCAACATCACGGGTTTACGAAGCGAGAACAAGGGGAGATTGAGTCGTCGACCCGGGTCGCGACGGTGCCGGCAGGTGGATCCTGGTTAACAGACAGCCTTGTTCACGAGCTTGGAGCGCTTTTCGCTCATTCTTCTGATGACCTCTTCGATCGTGGCCTGAGCATTGGAAGGACTGGTAGTAGACATGGTGCAGAAGTAGATCGTGCTCAGAGCAGCCTGTTGCCAATGAATTTACTGAAGGAGCAATGTTGAGAATGAGACGGTAAACCCGCAAGTGAAGCTCGAGAGTCGTTCTTGTTGGGTAACCTCGTCGTGTTTACTTACCGTGAATGAAGAGATTCTCAAGTTGTTATCTGGGGTCCGGCGATTGCTTGTATCCAGCTGGTAGTTCGAGGGCAGGGTGCAGGTAGAAGTCAAGCTTGTAAAGATTCAGTCGAGCCTACATCAAAGATCTTGGAGATTTACCAAAGTCCAGATTGGCTTGAGCAGACCAGTGAAAGAGGAGAAATTCTCCTCGGCAAGATCCTGCACCACATAACCACGAGTTCCGCCTTCCTCCACGATCTGAAGCTTCCGAGTGTCCTCGCCGACGTTACTCGGTGAGTTTCTTCTGTCACAGTCGTCAATAGCAGATGGGGTGCTGGAGATGCAGGGAAGCCGGCATGATCCTGAGGCGGCGATATACCCTGGGGCTGTCCGATGATTGCCTGACGTATACGGTCGTTGGCCGCGCTCAAAGATCGCGACAAGTGCATTGCGATATGATGGAATGAAATGAATGCTTCAGACTGCAAGATTGCCTGATGGAGAGAGGAAGGCAGGAGGAAAGGAGAAAGCGCAAAGTATGGACTCTGCAGCTGAGAAAAGGAATGGATCACTCAGCGTCATTGCCACACAACAAACGATGCAATGATGGCTTCCTCTGCGGCGAGAAGTCTCGCTGTTATGGCCATTGACGACAACCAGTTTTGAGCTTTCGCAAGCTTGAATATGAGCCCAAAGCAGTCTTTGAGTGTTTTGGTGTAGCTCTGGCCTGGTTCAAATTTTCTTTGCCTTCTGTCCGCCGCAGAATATCTGAGAGAATGTAAAGTTCTCTGCCTCTTTATTTTGTAGCATTCATCTCGCATCATGTCGTCATTCCATCCTCCTTCTCAATCCTCTGAAGCTCAATCAGGAGAGAAGCATATTAACCGACCGCTGTCCGAAACCATAAATCTCCAGAAGAACAAGTCTGATTATGCCCAAACCTGAGGCTTCGCGCTCTGCCGCCGAGCGGAGGAAGGAAATCACGGACTTCAGTGAGTTTGAGACGGTTGAATGTGAGGTTGTGTTAGTGGACCCGGTCGTACAAAGCATGAAAAGCGAATGGAAGAGAGACTCACAAGCAACCAGTAAGTTCTGTGGAGCGATAACAAAGATCGGGATGAGAACTAGAACTCTGACGTGGAAGGTCAGGAGATGTTGTATGTGTGCATCTGCTTTTATAGCAAGTCGGAACAGATGACGATTTTTCCCAGCACTGTACATTTTGGAGTGAGGTTCTGAAAGGCCAAATATGCAATGAGATCCGACCGTGGGTTGCTCGCAGAGGACTAGATGACAAAGTAATTTACAATCAGCTGATGGATCGTGTGTGACATGAAGGAAGCTGGATTGAGACTGGAATGCCTCGCTCAAATTGTGACAAGAACAGGAAAGTGAAGCACGAACAGTATGGTCTCACAAGTGAAGGCTGATTTTGACGGGTAAACATTCGATTGTGAAATGGAAAAGTGAACTGCCCTCTACTGTACTCCTCTCCCTCCTCCATGACTCTCAGTGGACATGACGTTTCTCCGCAAAACCTGCTGCATTTCTATAAATGACCGACGCTGTATCTTTCCAAGGCGAGAGGCTCCAAACGTAGTCGTGGCGCTCTATAGGAGGAAAGAGTTTGTGATCTCCTAATAGCTGTCGTAGTATGTCTGTAACTCAATTAGGGGTTCGGCAGGTCAGTGGGTTTCTTACAGAACGACCAGGATGTTCACACACTTCTGGCTCTTAACAAGCTTCGCCAAAGTCTTGACGAGCGCGAGAAGCTCGCTGAGCAGGCAAGCCTGTCTCAAGACTTGCAAAGAAGCCTCCAGGTCCACAAATTGTGAGCGAAGCTGATCCTCTCCACAGGCAGCGAGCTCTGCCTCGAGAATCTCAAACAATACCTCGAGAATCTCTTCTCGAAGGGATACCGTTTACCTTGATGGCGAGTTCGGGGTCGCCGCCGGGTCCCTCACCGAAGAGCTGCTCGTCGAAGGAGCCGGCCCCAGGGGCAGGGTCGTCTTCGTCGTCGTCGTCGTCGTCGTCGTCGCTGCTGTTGACCTCCTGTTGCTGCGAGGGAGCAGCAGGGGCGAAAATGGCGGGGGCGGGAGCGGGAGCAGGGAGAAGACAGGCTTGAACCTGAGTAGCGATGTTGGCCCTCAAGACCAGGTCCTCTGCCTGCCCAGAGAGCATCATGCTCGCCATTGGCGTCGCGATGCTTTGAGGCGCGATCACTTTGTTCAATAAGTCAGATTGGGACAAGAGCACGCATTATGCAATTAGCAATGCTTGATAGTGGGACTTACGCTCTGTTGGCGCGTAGAGTACAGCCAGGCTGCAGACACACAAACAGGCCCATGTTGTGGACCGTGGCGGCACCGAGGTGTGACTTGATGAGTCCCACGGCGGCAAAATCTCTCACAATGCCATTTTGCAGGCAGACAGAGCAGCGGAAAACAGAGGCCATGGTGATGACGTTGTTGTTGGTGATGAAGATGGTAGGGGATGGTGGTGTTTGCGGATGTTGTAGAGACGCGAAGCAGTGAAGGTTGTGACGACGCGCTGCGATGAGAGGGTGCAGGGGCCGCGTTTTAACAAAGTCCGATTGTTTCGTTTGCTCGAGAAAGTGATCAAGTATCTTGTCCAGCAACAGTCGCATTTGTAATATACTCTGTTCGGTATCACACAGTCAGAACAAACCCAGTGCTCCTGAGATGTACACCCTTGGAAGCATGTATCTCCTCTGTCATGACCATACCGATGACTCACAGAGCTTGATGTAAAGCAGAAGGATGCAGAGAAACTACTGTCAGCCGAGTCGAAGGGCCTCGTTCGTCTTTCTCATCAACAAGCCCTTGCATCCGAGTCTACCAGGAACCTAATCAGGGGCAACTATGCTGACTCCCTTCTCAATCCATCTAAAGATACCGAACAATCTCATCTCACAGCATCCTCAAAAATTAGGACAACACGGTCGAGATATGCTATTTCAGAATCTCTCCATGGAGACTTCGAGAGCATCGAAACAATTGTGCGTTTCTAAAGCTTGTAACATCGGTGTCAGTTACGCTAGGAGAGAAGAGACCATGTAAACTGGAACCTGGATTATCACAGATAGGACGTTTTGCACACCTCAACTTGTCAGTGCATCGCCATCGAGATGCACAGTACCTTCATAGTCTCGAGAATGTCCATAGAGAGAAGGTAACTCGACAGTTCTCCATGGCCATGCATACTTTCTCTCAGTGCATCTTACATTTGTATGAACCACTGACTTGCTTCAAACTGCGAGGAACAGCATCGAGCATAACATCTCGAGATATTTGAGTTGTCTGAACATGTCTTTGAAGATGCAATATAATGAATAGTCAAAAGCCTTGTGCACAGAGAGGTATCTATTTGAGTTCTCCTCATAGACAGACTTAGATCTTGGTTTGTATCTAGCATTTCGATAGGATATCACATTCCTCTTTTTCTGTCATGGAGTGATGTTGACATATGGGCGCGGAGACGGGCTTCAAGCCGACCCCACACCTCACGCCACACCTCACGCCCTAATCATGACAAGTCCCCGAAAACATTCCAGTAAACTCTCAACACGTCGACTGTTTATCTTGCACATCTTCTATCCGACATCATCTGGCTAGTGGACCAATAACAAAGATAAAAATGAACAAAGAAAAAAGATCCTCATTGTCGGAGCCGGCGTCTTTGGTCTTTCGACAGCTTTGGAGCTCAGCCGTCGCGGATACAGTAACGTTCTCGTCCTCGATCGTCATCGCCCACCAGTCCCCGATGGCTCTTCAGTCGACATATCTCGTATTGTCAGACCAGATTATGCAGACGCGTTCTATGCTAGAATGGGCATGGAAGCCCTAGCCGGGTGGCGAAAGGACTTCTCGCCATTCTTCCACCGCAGCGGTCTGCTTTGCGCTCAATCCGGAATCGACTTTGGCAATGCTTATCTCAAAGAAGCGAAGGTGAATCTCGAAAATATTGGTGCTGAGGTCAATCTGTGGGCGTATACCGGCAGAGAAGCGAGCGAGAGATATCCTGGTATCCATGGCGACTTGTCACAGACTAGTGGCTACTGCAATCTGGATGCTGGATGGGTTGATGCTGGAAAGAGCATCGAACACCTAGCTAGCTTGTGTGAAGATGCTGGAGTCACATTTCTGGTTGGCGAGGATAGCACTGTCACCGGACTTGTCACAGCCGACAGTGACGATGGGAAAACAATCACCGGAGTACGAACAGCGAATGGAGAAGTTTTGGAGGCTGATACAGTCATCATGGCTACCGGAGCTTGGACACCACATCTCATCGAGGCTGGAAACCGATTTATCTCTACTGGCCAACCTGTCGGGTATGTGCAATTAAGTCTCGAAGAGGCAGAAGAGATGCGCGGGAACCCAGTCATGATCAACCTAAGTACTGGCTGGTTTGCCTTTCCCNCCACCCCTGACGACAATATCCTGAAGATGGCAAGACATGGATATGGCTTCGAAACCATTCATAACTCAGACCATACTCGATACTCGGCACCGAACCTGTCCTCGCAGGCTGACTACCTGCCTGCCGATGCAGAACAAGCCTTGAGAGATGGTCTTACACTCTTCTTACCAAAGTTCAAGGACCTTCCGTTCTCGAAGACGAAGCTTTGCTGGTACACAGATACGCCCAAGGGTGACTTCATTGTTGACTATCATCCTGAGTACACAAATTTGTTCTTGGCTACTGGAGGCAGTGGACAGTAAGTCAACGCCGTTTTTCCTGCGACCGAGACCTTCGCTGATCAGTACCAGTNNGCATTCAAGTTCTTGCCTATCCTAGGTCGTTATGTAGCTGACAGTTTCGAGGGAGTGGCTCCAGCAGAGCAAAAGGCGAAGTGGAGGTGGTCAGAGAGTGCTACACCAATCATGCCTGGAGATGGAAGTCGTGGTGGCCCTCCGAGACGAGTGCTTACAATAGAGGAACAATCTCGCTTGAATTAACGTCTTTCTGCCAATAGCCCCTGCCTAAATGCGAGAACTGCGAAGGCATAAAGAGCAAATCAGCAAATCAACACTCTTTGCGAGACCTCCCTGACTCTATCGTCCTTCCAACATCCACTCTCGAATCAATAGCTTCCCCTTCTTTCCTTCTTGTGCTTCGTGTCGTTCAGTCTTCCCGCGCAAACACACTTTTTCGAGGGTTGATGTTGCTCATGCCCGCAAGGCTCTGGCGGTGTCTAGCAAGCGCTTCAGGTCGTTCAGGTCATTATCAGTCGCATACATCTCATCTCCCTCCTCTAGCTGACTGCGGTACCATCTCAAGACGGAAATCAGGAGGCGAAGATGTCTGGCAGTTTCTATTGGGGTTGGATTGCCCGAGAGCCCATCGATGTGATGCCTGAGCAGGCCCACTCAAGTCTCTCTTCCATGACGGCTCGCGAGATTGCGAATACCATGTAGCCTACCCAACGTAGGGCTGGACGAGGGTGTTTTTCTGGCAATCGAGTCTTGGAGAGCTGCAGGGGATGGGGGAGTAACAAGCCCAGGTGGAGGGGAAGGAGTGGTGCCGAGAGGTGAGAGTGGGCCAGACTCCCATCCAACACGCTGATTAAGAGCAACAGCTTTCTGGTTGGTGGCAGTCATGTAATTGACCGGTTGATGCGCGAGCATAGCCGTGATAGGAGCTGCAGACGAAGGGCCAGCAGCAGGAAGAGCTGAGGCAACGAATCCGAGTGAGCAAGCCAGGTCTGGGCGAGCGATAGACTTGGACCCAGGCATGCGTTAATCTATCACGACTGTCGAGCAAGAAGAGTAGCTTTTGGGCTGGGTAGAAAGACTTGACATCTCCATACATAGGTGAGACAAGGATTAAGGACTCATTCGAGCTCAAAACGAGGCTCATGACGACCTCTCAAGATGCTCCATGGTATTATGGTTTGATTGTGAGGAAATTTTCAGAGAGACCAGGAAGAGTGGCATACAGGTCTGATCAACCATGAACATTGGCAGACAAGGTCAGAAGAACGCTGGGCTCACCAAGCATGTTTACCATTGCCCAGAGACCCTTGCGACGAGCATATCAGTATGGTGCGCTGCCGTCCATGCTTTGTGCTCCATAGTCAAAGACTCTGCGAAGAATCTTGTCATCATTACTCTCGAGAGCTCTACGAAGCTCCACTCCAGTCAAATTGTCATTCGGATTCTTGCCAATGTGTGTGCTTCTGACATCAACCTGACGATTTATCAGGAGACTATCGGCCTTTTGGATGGCCGATGACCTGAGACCGTGCCAGTACTGGTGTACTTCTTGGGCTGCAACCAGGCCGGGAACAAACTGGGGAAAGATCTATGAATTGTGCATCGAGGATTTGGAGACAGATCTGGTTCGCTAATCTCAAAACTCTTACCCATGCAAATGCTGCATTGTGGTTGCGGCTTTGGCTTGTCCGACTCTTCTTCAAGGTGTATGAAGGTCTTGTCTTGTGAGCCAGTCATGTCGATCTCTTCCCACCACTGTACACGCATCGCCAGACGGGGTTTGGTTTCTTCGCGTTCTGTGCAACAGCGTTCTCTGTAGCAGCGTCCAAACTCTTTGCTGACGACCTGAAGCTGCTCACCGAGGAGAGGGCGAAACAGGTCGGAAGGGCGCTGGTGCAAGGCTTCTTGTAGATGCTCAACTTCTTGCTGCCAACAACGAGTGCCGAGCTGGAACAGAAGCTTTCGGCAGGGTAGAACACTTTGACACCCTTATATATATAGACCAGCGCCAATCCTTGAGAGAGTGGCATAGGTTCAAGACCAGTCCAAGCTCAGGATGAGGTGTCTGGAGACCTCTGCAGACATCCCGTCGATTGTGGAGCCGTTGGAGCGCTGCTAATGTTGTGTACAAAATTTCTTAGCTTTGATCGAGGTCAACGATCGCTGCGCCCAGGGCCAAGAGATAGATATGGTGGACTTAGGCTGTGAGAAATCGAGGCATCTACATCAGACACATGATTCAGCATCGACGATAGAACCGTGGCTCTCTCCAGAGCATCGAGAGTGGGGTGGTCACCGGAGCTGAGTGGCGTGCCGTCTACCAGGCTTGCACCAGGCTTGGGCAAGACTTATCATTGTTTTTGCGGAGCTCCGGATGGAAAATCCAGCATTCCTCCTCTTTGTGCGTGCCGTACTTGTTACAGTATGATAGAAGACAATTGCCAACGAATCTCCTCACCTCTTGCTGCAAGCTGTCCCTGAAAGGCCTTCTTGTCGTTTGTCAACTTCGTGACCTGGGTTTGTCGGCATCTCCACGACATAAACCTGCTTTGACAGGCACGAAAGACTTCCTCGAGATATTATTGCGCGAACATGCCGAGCACAGAGCTAAGGAGCCTATCGTGGGCTTGATCGAATTGACTCTCTCTGACCTGGAAATCTCTTTGTTGAAAGTCCGATGAATCGGCCCTCGAGATCGATGGAATCATCGAACGTGCTTCGACCTTCAACCCTCGAGACAACATGCGCGTAATTGTCTTGACATGTGACGCTCGTCCCTTTGGTCCATCTTCGAACAGCGAAGAATGTATATCTGAAGATATCCGGATCAAATTGTGGCGTACTCATCTTCGTGTTGCACAACCACGGATCAAGGGCAGAAGACAAGTCGTATGCTTGAGACAACACGCATATCTGTGTCATGTCTTTCTGCTTGATGGAAGATGCTAAACGATGTCCAAAGCACTGACTACATGAGCAGATGCGCGAGACCGGTTGGGGTGGCAGCAGGGAGAACGACCTGGAGCACAATAGACGCCTGTGATTAGAGGAGCACAGGATGGATGGTCTTCAACTTCAGGTGACCCAGAGACGAGCCTTGCCTGGCCTGGTCCTGAGCACGTGAAAGTCAAGTCGCAGCCTTGGGGTCTCTTCGACAGCGACGACTTTGATCGACGAGCTGAAAACTGGCTGCATAGGTATCATGGCCCGGCCCCCAGAGATGGATGCGCTGAGTAGGCAGAGGGAGGACCAGTCGCGTTGTGTAGGACTGCAAGGAAAACAACAGACAAGCCCACTTTCAACCTCGAATTCTGTTCTCAACCAATGATAATGCATCGATGCGCTTAGTTACTGCAGTGCCGAAGCCCAGTGGCCTCATCTGTATATATAAAACCAAAATCAAGAACAAAAGGTAGAAGGAAGTCTTATGCTTGAAATGGAACCAGGACTATGAATTTTCTCTGCTTCATGGAATAGTTTGAACCTTCCCGACGTCCAGAGATTAACGTTCTGGATGGGCAGAGGCAAAACCAGTTACAGTGAAAGAGAGTGCTCTGTCAAAGTCCCAAGCGAGCAGAAGGCGGCTGCCGTACTTGAACTTTCCTCAACCGGTCGTGAAGACAGTCAAGCTGAAGAATGCCAAACAAAGCGTGTTCATCTTTATATATACAATTGAAGCAAAAGACGGAAAGACTTGCAACAATGTCTTCCACTTTCTGCCAGATGTTCAGCTTTACCACTGACCTCTTATGGCCGCGCATGGCCGTGTTGTGAAGCTTGGCATTCACGGAGTACTTGCTCACATGATAGCAGCATTCTTCGACTTGTCTTGGAACACGCGGATGGCGTGTCTTGCTTCCTCGACAGAGAGGCGGCTCAAGCCGTGTGGGCCGGGAATGTGTTCCTGGTTATGCTTGGAAGGATCCCGCATCTCTTCCTGGACTGAGTTGCCTTAGGAGAAGTCATTGAACAAAGTCGAGCGTCCAAGTTCTAGATAGGCGGATGTAGAATCAGCGGAATTAGTGGCTTGGGGTGCAGAAGACACTCGCAAAAGCAGGGCCAGAAGACCCGAGGGCAAGACCTGGGTGGAAGGTCATGGCCGTGCCGCGCCTCACAGGGAACACACTTACACTCCAAACCAGACTTCTCCTTGTTGTTTGCGGAAAAATCCACCACCTTGCCAGTCGTGAAGTTCAACAACGACGAGCAATGGCCAGTCTGCCATTTCCACACCATTGGCTGTGCGGATGACACCCAAAAACGAGGTTGTTGCCTAGGATCCAAGGAACCAAGGCCAGACTCTACAACTCGACGAAGGCATTGTAAAACTACGGATCAAGTTGGTAGAAGTCAATGGTGCGGACATAATTATCGGCAATTATGTCGTGGTGTCTAAGGACCAGGCAATGTAGCTTCCAGTGTCGACTCCAGCATCCTTTCATATATGATAGAACTGTACACAAGCTCTAGACAACAGCCTACAATAATTTGAGTAGACATCTGGCGGATGATGTCTTATTTAATGAAATTATCCTTCATGTCGGTATGAACAGCGGTCACAGGTGGTTGAGCGTTGGTAGATGAAGCGCTAGTCAACTAGGGCTGGTGAGAGCTGATCTGGTAGCAAGCTAACCTTCCTGGATATTGATGTTGGAAGCGTGTGAAGGCTGCTTGTTGTTGGTGCCAAAAGTATGCTGTGCAGTGGTGGGGAACACTTGGAGCACGAGGTAGCTGGGAGCCTACAGCCTGGGGCAACAAGATGGCATGGCAGACCATACACGTTGCAGTTGCTCAATATACAAATTCTCTCCATACTCTCCGATATTCTTGTGGAACAAAGACAAGCCACCTGGCCACCTTGAAACTCGTTGTGGACCAGCGACAGAGATACTTCACGCTGTAAGGTAGTTGTGCCGTGCTGCTGCATATATCCAGGTTTCCATGATATGAATTTCTCGAAGTGGGCACAATTCTAAATGATAAAAGTTGGAGTAGCAGTCTCAGTCAGGGAATCAGTCTCATTTCAAGGGTCTGTAGAAATTGCCTGGATGATTTTCTTCTTCGCAACTGTTCGCCAGTCGTAGGTGACAGGCTCCAGATTCAAACTTCTCGCAAGAAGCTATGACAGTATACGAACAGCTCCAAAGCTGCAAACTTGCAGCTTCGTAGGTTGGCCTGAGAGCTTGGGAGCACGTTGCCGTTGGCGTCTGTTGGCGTCAGGCAGCGGAAAGCTGCATGAACCCGTCTCCAGGATGCCACGATGCTGCGAGCGGTGAAGGCTTGGATCTTTTGGAAAGTTGGCCACGGTCAGAACTGAGAGTGCATGTTATAGCGATTTCCAAGTCAGAGAAGAACTTTCATTTTAGGGAGTATAGCGCTTGCCTGGATAGTCATCTTCCTCTCAACTATTCTCAGTATACGTGTTGACATCAGGCTCCAACTTGTGAGGTTGACTGCATGTACGGGAGCTTTGGCACGAGAGAAGTTGGGCTTCCAACACGGGTTCCTGCTCGACGGGACACATGCAGATGGGTATGACGATTCTCGAACTGGAAATATGGCTACGATTTTTCTGTCTTCTATCTCGATCTTCCACCGCCGATATCCTGGCCAAGNCTGTTGTGCACATGTCAGCTATAATACTCACAACTCGATATGCACATTCTATGTTTCAAACTCACCCTGTAACCACTAATTTTCTCCCACTCGACCTTTTGGCGGGTAACGGGCAATTGCCTTCGCAAGCCCTTGAAGGCACCCTCGTTGAGTTTTGTGAAAGCCTGGTTGACTTCTGTCTGGTACTGCTTCTCCAGCTTTGCGATCTCGCGGACTGCATCAGTGGCGGAGGAGACAGAGACGGGCTTGGAGGTTTGGAGACGCACGTTGCCGTCTTCGTAGTAGTGCACGTCGATGTTGATGGCGCCGGAGAGGGAGTTGTTGGAGGGAGAGAAGAGGTAGTGTGCGCGCCAGCGGCCATTCNNCTGGTGTGTCTGTGTTAGTCTTGTGCTCCATGAGAGAAAGGCATCTAGAGGAGCATACCAGAAGTTGTTGGGGCTGTACTTATTGCTGACGAGGACGAGGGCAATCTTGGAGTCGTTGTCGGCGGGGAAGACGCCGACAGTGGCAGCTGGGTAGTGTTCGTCGGCGTGGGCGCGCAGGGCCTTGTGCAGCTTCTGGATCGTATCGGCGTTTTGGCTGTCGAGNGAGTGGCTCTGTGCGTTGGAGGCCTTTTGCTCGACGGGATCAAAGTCGAAGGCCGTGTTGTTTGCGCTGTCGTAGTAGCGGTTGTTGCCCAGGCTGTTGAACTCGCTGACGAGGACGCTGCCGCTGCTGCCGGGCAGCTTGACTGTGCTGAATTGTGTCTCGTGGTACTTGGTGATGGCGGGNGAGATGTTGGAGATCAGACTTGACTCGGACGGTGTCAGAGCCTTGATGTCTGGAGTAACTTGTGAGTGTTGATTGCGAGGGGTCGAGTAGGCGCTGCGTGTATACCGGTGATGACATTGGACAGCTATCAGGAGTCAGCTTGTGCATCTTGCACATTCAATTTGGGGACATAATACCTCGCCTGGAGGAGCGTCCTCTACAAAGGAAGAGGCAATCTGTGTTGACGACATGGTTGATTTGGTTGTGTGTACTTGTTAAAGGCCGCCGATGATGCAGGAGGTCGCGTCTCGGGGGTCTCTGCGGGGAAGGTGCGCCGAGCTCTGATTGTAAGCGGTGCAACCCTGCCCAGATATCACACTCGCTTCCAGATTCGCGACCATCTTGTATCCATACCATTTACGAATGATTTAAGCATCGAAGCTCAAGCCAGAGATTGTGCTGCTTTTTGCTGTATTGTGGGAATTTATTGTTACTATCACAGATAGTGCACGTCTCAATCCAAAGCTTGCTGCAAAGACATCAACGACAAGGAGCAAATCATCCGGAACACGGAAATATTGGATCGCTCAACATGATGTGTGCGTTGTTATCATTTTCGCGATCACGAATGCAAGCTCATGCAACCTATTCATGATACCCGGCTGTCTTCTAGATCTTGTAGAAGCAGAAGGCGTGGTAGAAGCCTGCCGCCTCCATTTCCTCCTTTGTGCCCAAAAACCTGCCTTCTCTATCCTTGACTCGCATACGTTCGCTTAGCGGTCCAAGTTCGTAGTCGTCCTTTTCATCTTCCCAAACTTCTGGGAAGGGCTTGCGGTACATCAACTCCAGACCGTACTCCTCAGCAAGAGCACGGAATCCTTCCCATGGTACCACAAATTCGGGCACATCGACAGCTTCCTCGAGATAGTAGAAATACTTCCAACCAAAAGGAGGTCTGAAGACACCGTCGAACGGTAGAGGTTGCGATTCTGGGAACTTGACCTTGTAGATTGAGTTGCCCCATTCCAGGGGTTCTTTTGGCAATGCTGGCGCTTTTATAATGGGCCTCGGCTTCTCTTCGCCAGCAACGGCATTGTCGATGGGAGCTTCAGGGTTCCAGTCGTCATTGTCGGCAGCTCCATTCGCTGTGGGCTGCAGGCTCTTTTCTGGATCCCAATCATCGTCGTTGCCAGCACCATTGGAAACCTGCGGTGGCTCGAGAGGCTTTTCCGGATCCCAGTCATCTTCGTCATTTTGGGCATGCGGATCCAAACTCTGCTCGGGGTTCCAATCGTCGTCACCTGCAGCAGCTGCACCTTCAGATGGTTTCTCAGGATCCCAAGCGTCGTCGTCGTCATAATTCAGCCCAGCTGGTGGTGAATCTTCTTTTGTTGGCTCCGAGGGCTTCACGCCACCTTTCATGTGCTGCTCGATCTTTCTGCGGATAATATCCGAGTTAGGCATGACACCAAGGAAACGACCGCCCTTCTTCAAGGCACCAGCCACATTCCTGAGCATGCCTCTGGCCTTTTCCTCGCTCTCGTAGGAATAGTGCAAACAGAACATCATCGAGACGACGTCAAAGCCTCCTTGTGAGAAGCGAGCAGTAATGGCACCGTTCGTGTCGGGACCAGCGTGCGGATCGAAACCAACATCGCGTACTATGGGAATGTTGGCCAGACTGACACCGAAAGCGTCTTGAGCAAAGAAGTGAGCCTCGAGCTGTTTGGCATTTCTAGGGCCCCTCCTTCGTCGCTGCATCTCGATGTATCTGCCTCTTGCTTGGTCGATGGAAACGTCGGCTGGATCGACGCCGACGTACAGACGAGGTGTCTGAGGGGCTGACTGCCATTTTTGCAAGTCACCACCTTTGCCACAGCCCATGTCGAGGACAATAGGATGGTGGTCTCTATCTTCCGAGGGCGAGAACTTTTGGATCATGCAAGACTTGATCCAGTTGTTGAGGGAGCGCAGGCCTTGGATCTTGGACTCTGATCGTCTCCAGTCTCTGCCTCTTTCGGGGACAGCATTGTAATGAGCGCTGACGATGTCGGTAGGAGCAGTAGCTCTGTTCTGTTGTACCTGCTTGCGCTCCTCCTCTTCGCGTTGTAGTCTCTTTTGCTCGGCGGCCTGTCTGGCAGATGCACTGATCCTGCTACTAGCACCGGGACGCTTTCGTGGGGGAGAACGAGGTGGGGATGGCGGATCGGGGTCGTCGCGACGAGTGGAGCTGGTGAGGGGACTGCGCTGACGTTTGGGAGCTCTACTCGAGGGAAGGTCGGCCTCTCTTATGCGTTTGCGTGACGGCTTCTGGTATTGGTCTGATTCGGGGAGGGGTGAATCGGTGACTGGACTGCGGCGTCCTTTGCTCGAGTCTTGAGGCTGACGAGGCATTGTGTCGTGTGATGAGGAGTTTTTGTATTTAAAGAAACGAGCGGACGACTCGATGTGATTTGACGTAGCTCAAATTAGAGTATGACGGACGGGGATATTGAAGTGAGTTGGCTATGGGAAAGAGAAGAATAGCAAGAAGCGTGAAATCGGACTCTTTTCCGCGGTCGCTGTGACGCTCGAGAATAGCAACAGGCGCCTCGCCAAGAGCTGAATAAGAGCAGTGTCGTCTCTGGGAAGGAGCGGCCAAGGAATATTCTCAGCTCTCGATATGTGGAAGGAGCTCAGAACTACGATTGATGTCTCTAGAGGCTATAAGATAATGCACAATACAATTGGAAGGAGCGAGTCTCAGTGATGAAATGATTGGGGCTCGGTGAAGCTGGCCGGGCGCACGGACTCCGCGAGTCTCAAGCAGCTCCAGCATCGTCACCGTCGCCGTCTCGCCGTCAAACACTCGCATCTCTCATACCATCCACTCTTTCCACCCACTCCTTCTACCCATCGACACCGCCATCATGGGTGACCCGCAGTACATGAAGTTCCCCGACCTCAGACTGGCCCAGTCCGTCTTCACCCTCGCCTCGCCCTCCACCTCGTCGTCAGCGAAACAATCATCCCTCACAGCCCTTCAAGATGCCATCCGAGAGCACAAGATGGCTCCTCTTTACCACTACCTCGCACATCCCCAGACCGGCAAGCTGAACGCCTCGGGAGAGTCTGGCTCGAGCCAGAAGACCTCATCATCCTCGCCCGTGCCCTCGCTACGAAGAACATCCAGCATCAACACAACCAGCATCATCGGCGTCCTTGGCGGTTTTAAGCAGACCGGCGGAGCTGACTTGCCATGGGATGAGAAGTTGTACGAAGAGATGAAGCGCGAGAACGAGGAAGAGCTGGCCGCCATCCAGAAGGAGGAGGACGAAGCTGCCGAGCGCGAAGGCGACACCGAGGTCAACACTGCCCGTGGCAAGCGCGCAGAGCTGTATGCCCGCATTGGTGACAAGGACAAGGCCCTCGAGGCTTTTGAGAAGTTGCTGGAAAAGACGGGTATCCTGGCCTCCAAGATCGACATTGTGCTGGCCATCATCCGCATTGCCATGTTCTTCGACGACAAGAACCTGGTCAAGAAGAGTGTTGAGCGCTGTTCGGCTTTGGTCGAATCTGGTGGTGACTGGGTATGTTGCATGACATCTTCTCTACTACACGTCTAACAAGTTTCGCAGGACCGTCGCAACCGCCTAAAAGCCTACCAAGGCCTCCACCTCATCACTATCCGCTCCCACGCTGCCGCCGCTCCTCTCCTCCTCGACTCTCTTAGCACCTTCACCGCCACCGAGCTCTGCTCATACAGCAATCTGGTCGTCTACGCCGTTCTCGCTGGCAGCGTAGCCCTCCCTCGCCGTGACTTCAAGTCGCGTGTCGTCGATGCTCCCGAGATTCGCGCCATAGTTGGTTCCGAAGACAGCAACGAGAGACTTGCCGGTCTTTCTGGCGCTGTCTCATCGCACCCGTCAGCCGGCACTGACGCCAGCGCCATGGAGGTCGACACCACATCATCAGCCACCNCCAAACCCGCTGTCGTGAACCTTACCACACTGAACTCTGGTTCGGCCGAGCAAGAAAAGGCCGAACCCGAGATCGATTTTTCTCCTCTCGCCCAAATGATCCGCTCCCTCTACTCTGGCCACTACCAAAACTTCTTCCACGCCCTCAGCACAGTCGAGACTCAATTCCTCGCCCAAGACCGTTACCTCTACGAGCATCGTCGCTGGTACGTCAAGGAGATGCGCCTGCGTGCTTATGCACAATTGTTGCAAAGTTACAAGGTCGTGGGTCTGGAGAGCATGGCTCAGAGCTTTGGTGTCAGTGTTGATTGGCTGGACCGTGATCTGGCTCCTTTCATTGCCAGCCAGCGCCTTCCTTGCACTATCGATCGCGTCAAGGGTGTCATTGAGACACAACGTGCTGGTGACAAGAACAAGCAGTAAGTTTTGCATATTTTTGACATTGATGACTATTGCTGACATGGCATAAACAGGTACACTGATGTTGTCAAGCAGGGTGACCAGCTGATCACCAAGCTGCAAAAGTACGGTCAGGTCGTCAGACTGCGCGGTAGCGAGAGAACTTAGATGCTTTGGATGTAAAGAAAGTATAATGCATGATGGATGGCAAGGGAAATGGCATGACATGTACCATAGAACGGTAAAACGACCGAGGCAGCGAGGCACTTCCAATGAGAAATGCTTCTCGCAGCTTCGAGAACAATCAAAGCAAAGCTTTCGTATCAGACTTGTCGGTCTCTTTGATCCTTCCCTTGTGAGCAGTTATGGGCTTTCTCACCACAATCTTTGTTTGTTTTCAAGCCCGCTGTCTCTTGCGATTTCTCCAACTTACGCCATACTCCAAACATAATTTCCAGACTTATTTCTGCAAAGACGAATACGATTGTGTTTCAAAGTAATAATGTAAGTCATGAACGGGTCTTGTTGTCGATACTCCTCTACACCCGCCATCTGAAGAGCGGAAAGGAGAGCAAAAACCACGCAGACACAGTATCTAGAAACGTCTACATCATTGAACATCAGTTCTAAGCGGCAATAGTCTTCACGTCTTCCAACACGATACCGCGGGTGTGCCCAGAAGAAAGACATATGATCACAGAAAACTATAGTCGCACTTGCTATGAGATTACATGAGTGGATATGATGGAAAGCAAGTCGTTGATGTGAACTCCTGATCCTGAAGGTGCATTATTATGCTTGTTTGATATGCGGTGATGGTTGTGAGTAAGTGTGGTGAGCTTTGTTGGAAGGCTATAGTGGTTTGATGAAGGTGATGAGTAAGAGTTGGAAAGGACGTATAAATGAGAAGGCAGAGTTTTACTGTTGGTAGTGATGGGTGATGATGATAGTCAGCAGTAACAATGGTTAATGGTGAGAACAGTTGGTGCTTACATTGGTCAGTATTCAGGTTGGACGGTGAAGTCATAGTCGGTAGTTGACAATGATTGATAGTAATCATCCGCTTCTATGACTACAGAAAAGTGATTTTGTTACCCTTCTGTCAATGTCTATCCCTCTTGTTTCAGAGCCAGAATCCTGGTCAAGTATCGTCCCAGCGAACCAATATCCGTCCAGGCTCCAATGTAATCGACATGTTGATCAGGCCTACACACCAACACACATCCTTCTTCCTCATCAATACCAAAAGCTTTGTATATATCATCTCCTTGGTCGCTGTTCCTAGCGAAGATCTTCCAGTAATCGTACCCCGTCTTGTCGTTCCACGGGTGGAAGATATTCGGCAACGACAAGGCATCGACTTCATTCCTGTTACTGGTGTGGATGGTCAAAATCCCAACCACTGAGTCGAGGGGTGCGGATAGTGGTGTGCAAGTGTGGATGAACGAGTCAGGAGCAGCGAGTCGGTGACCTAAGTTGCAGAAAGCTGAGAAGTGGTCAAGGGTACTAAGGTCACCAGGGAAAAGNATGATACGCCATTGTCCGGTGCTTTCCATGGCAGAGTGGATGTGGTTGACTTCGGCTGTGAAATGATTTGTGACATGATAGGACGGCAGTCGTTGGCCTAACCTTATGTTGAGAGCCATTTGTGGTCTAGTGTGAATTTGTCGAGGGCCTTCCGCGTTGGCTGTGTGGTTTGTGACATCTTCTGCCTCGCATACCAAGAGGCCGGGACTATATTCTACAGCAACACCGCTGACAAAATCTCGAAAGTTTTCTCGAAACTCTTGATAGCGGGTTGAGTTTGCGGAAGGTCCGTGACAATAGAAGTCGCTCATTGCGCGGTCTTTGACTATAAGCTCTTTGGCGACAGCCATGCGCTCGGAGGTGTAGGTTGCCAGGATATCTCTGTTTTGTGTGCGAATGGCGGTGGCGATCTTCCAGATGAAATTGTGACTGTCTTGCATGGAGACGTTCATTCCTGCGCCCATGGTTGGAGAATGCGTATGTACGGCATCGCCGGCGAGGAAGACGCGGTCATGATAACTGAAGGATGTTGCCAGCCGTTGACCAACTGTGTAGACAGAGAACCAGTCACAATGGTTATAATCCAGGGTATATGGACGGAGAATTTTCCGAGCAATCTTGATGATATCGTCAGGTGTTATTCTGCTGCGATCCAAGTCGCTTCCTTGAGCAGAAGACTCTCCGAGCTGGACGTAGAACCTGACTAGTCCATTTTCTCGTGGCAAAGTCATGATACTGCCCGACATAGAGTGTATCACGCACGAAATCCTGACGTCCGGAAAATTGGAGAGCGGGATGAAATCCATGACACCAAAGTGCTTATTCGTTGTATCGCCTTCCATTTGCAGACCCAGAGCTTTTCGTGTCCAGCTGTGTGCACCGTCGGTACCCAAGACGTACTTTGCTCGAATGATCTCTGTGGCNAGTTTTTCGGATGCTGAATCTCGGTCAGAGGATATGACTCGGCCAACACAAAGACACATACTCGTGGAATCAAAAGAGCCAGCACGTTCATCCTTCCCTAATTTCTGAAGGTGAAGTTCGACAGGATATGCATCGTGGTCATCCACTCTTGCTTCATCGACGTGAAGCTCCACAGGCGTCAAGTTGCGTTCAACTTGTACCTCGCCGCCATCTTGTTCGAGAAGATTGAGAAATGCCTGTTCAACGCTGCCTTGACCAAGACTCACTTGAGGATACCGACTACCCGGCAAATCTTCCTCGCCCGAGCGCATTAACTCTGATCGTTCTATGTGTTCTTCTTCACCTTCCTTGGGGTTCTGTGGCAGCAATAGTCAGCAATAGACTTCCCACTCGTCTTGTGTACATGCCCATGAACTGATCTCCTTGATTACGCAAGCCTGGCCGAGGATCCTGTGGGCAATGCTTGGGCTGCCGAAGCTATCCATGATTTCGAGGGTTCTGCAGTGTAGACCGTCTGCTTGGCCGGTTCTGACTTTTGCGTCTTTGTCGTCGATGATTCTTGATTTGAGCTTGCATTGGCTTGCCCAAGCAGCAGCCATCAAGCCTGCAGGTCTGGCACCAATGATAAGTAGGTCGACTTCCGATATTTCTTGGGACATCACAGAGAACGGAGAACGGTTGCACAGGTTCGTGGCAGTCGGTAGGGGGAAACGAGCAGGGAGATGCAGAGCCAAACGGATCAGAGGTCGTGAAAGACAGCAACTCCATCGAGAAATTGTCGTGTGTGAGTTGTCCGAATGTGGCAGATCTTGCTCAGGAAAGAGAACGGCATCATATTTAGGATTGTCACATGCATGTTTGGCATGTGATGCTTTGTTGGTCACGACATTTCGAGAAGGCACGATTCGGAGGACTTTGGCTGCAGCAATCTCGAGTTTGAGCCCTGCACTTTTTGACGGACGATCTCGAGATTCGACTTGAAGCTCGGGGTGAGTTCACAGCACTCAAAGCTTGATAGTGTCAGTGGTTTGGGACACTGTTGCACGCCGTCGCAAAAGGCAACAGAGCTTGCCCTGGGGTGCAAAAGTCGTCGCTGTGAGGGTTGGCCAGATCGCATGGCCACAAGCGACAAGCACATCACGGCAACTCCATGTTGCGTTGCCTCCCTTTCTCGATTGACATATGCATATCAACAGAGGTACAACCTCGGATAAGCAAGTCTTTGAGTGCCTTGAGTTCCTTGTACTCGGAACGTAGACAGGACTCATTTCAACTCAAGCTTGAATTTGGCCACGTCAAGATGACAGTCCTTTGTTCGCGCTTCTCCCTCTCAATATTGGGAACGGGGAAGGTGCGAGCCCTCGTGTCGTGATGCCTTTGCGCGTGAAATACCTCGTCGCGGTTTCTAGTCTCGTCCTGCTTTTCTAACCGACTTCATTTCTACGTTCGTGCGTATCCATTATCCCTTCCAATTATTGCTTCGACACTCAAAGTTTCATCGCTATTCATCGCCTTTTCAACTACAATATATCTTGAGACAACCCTTCATCATGGACACTCCCCAAGAGACGCCTGCCAAGAAAATCAAAGTCGACATCAAGGACATTCGCTCCTCGACTCACAATGACTCGTTGTTGAAAGAGCTCGAGAAAAGCCTTTCAAATAATCCACCCGCATTCCCATCACGACTCCTCTGGGACGACAAGGGCTTGCAACACTTCGAAGCCATCACTCACTCCNCCTATTACTACCTCACCGACTGCGAGATTGAGCTGTTGAAAGAACACAGCCGCGAGATTGCCAAAGACATCTACCCTAACACTATCATCTTGGAGTTAGGCAGTGGTAGCCTCAGAAAGACCAGAATCCTGCTTCGTGCACTGGAAGCCCTCGAAAAGCCTGTGGACTATTATGCTCTCGACCTGAGTCGGTCGGAGCTCGAAAGAACCATCACCGACATCTCGCCTTCTTCGTTCCAATATGTGAAATTCCATGGTCTGTTGGGCACCTACGACGATGGCATGCGCTGGATACGGTGTCTACCGCTACCACTCGCCGTGCGTCCAAAGTGTATACTCTCCCTAGGATCCACAATCGGTAGCTTGTCACGCCCCGAGGCTGCCGGACTTCTCGGAGGCTATGTTGATGCCATAGCGAGTGGTGAAGCCATGAAGAGCTCACAGCACAATGCCATCTTTGTCGTAGGCGTCGATGGATGCAAAGATGCTGACACGGTGTGGCGCGCCTACAACGACTCTGAGAATTGCAACCACCGCTTCATCTCCAACATCTTACACCACGCCAACAAAGTGTTGGACATCGAAGCCTATCACCCAGAGGACTGGACAGTTGAAGGGGTATGGAGCGCCGAGAAGAAATGTCATGATCAATTTCTTATGCCTGAGCGAAATCTGTTTGCTAGTGGCGTGGAATTGAAGAAAGGCAGGGGTTTGCATGTTGTCAGCAGTTACAAGTTTGACGAGGAGGATCAGGAGAAGCTTTGGGAGGGCGCTGGCCTACAAGTTCACAGCTGCTGGAGAACCGAGCCCCACAAGTACACTCTCAGCCTGCTGACCGTAGGCGACGTTCTCACCCCTCTCAAGAAGTTGGCCTTGGACGACATTCGTGACGGCATTAGACATGCAGTATAGACTTGTTGGTATACACTATCTTATCTCGAATCAATCATTCATTATAACGTTCATTGAACAAACCTTCTTGATTTTCGCTTGAGCCGGATTTGGCTCCTTTGCTCTTGTTGGAAGACATCTTCCCGACTACATGTCCAACCTGAAATAAGTGCAGACAAAACAAACAAGATGCACGATTTGCTCCAGCCGTAAGACGAATCTGTCAAATGTTCCCGTTGACAAGAGCATAAAAAGGAGCGAGTGAAAAGCAAAAGACATCCCAAGAGCACCGAAAACGCTGACTAAGCAAAATTCTCCTCGGCTTCGCCGCAACTTCACCTTGATGTTTCATCAACGCCATACACTGAACTCGGATGTTCCAACGACTTTCTAGCAAACAACATCACTTCCGGATTTCCAAACATCAAGAAATGCTCCGCGAAGTGCCCGGCGCACTTTCTCACCCAAACATGTCACCTTCGCCTGAACCCATCACCACAACCTCTGAACTCCACGACGACATTTTCGGCTCAGTACCAAATTCTCCTGACTTGGCGCCATCACATGGAAACGAGGGCGATGGTATCGAGGTACCCGCACAATTGCTCACCAGTGCGAATGCAGAGCGATCAGACATCCCTCGCCTGCGCAGTGTACACGTGACCTCTGGCTACCGCGACGGCATCTCCGTCTCCAAAGCCTCACACGTACAACACGGTTTCGATGAAGGCTTCTCCCTCGGTGCTGTTATAGGCACAAAAGCTGGGTATCTGCTAGGTGTGCTTGAAGGCATTGTTCGCTGCATTGCAACCTCTACCTCTGTTCCTACAGAAGTCAAACAAGAAGTTATTGCAAAATTTGTGGCTGCGAGAGAAGAACTGGGGTTGCAGAGTTTGTTTGGCAGAGAGTGGTTTGGCGAAGATGGGATTTGGAGGTTTGAGGTTTTGGAGGAGGGAAGAGAGGAAGAGGTGACGTTTAGGGATGTGGCTGAGGCGCACCCTTTGTTGGTAAAGTGGNGGAAGGAGGTTGAGGTGTTGAAGAAGAGGTATGGGGTTGAAATTAAGGCGAGAGACAGAACAGAAGGGGATGACGAGGAAGAGGCTACTGCTTGAGAGGTGCTCTTTGTAACGTCTCATTCAATTCCCTGCCATGTCATGCTATTTGGGACATATTCTCTGGCAAGGCTCTGGACTCGCACTTCTGAGGTGTCACAACCTCGACTCACCCCGCTGTTCAAGTGCATTTTGGCTACGGCATGGCTCATCTGACGCTGCATTTACGAGTTCACAAGGGCAGCGACCACTACAAGCCCCGCCAAGTATCCTCTCAGGACATCGAGTTGCAAACGACGCGCTGCGAGACGCTGATCATCCCCACTTTGTCATTCTGCACGAGGCGATCTCGACCACAAGACTTCGACAAGCGCGAAACGGAGAGCTGAACACCCCCGAACTTGAACAGCCAAGGATAACTAATTCTGGCCTCTCAAATCAGACCTCATAGTCCACAAAGACCTCTTCTTATTCATTTACTTGAGTCAACAAGTCGCCGACAAATATACGATCCGAACTGTAACCATCTTCGGCAAAGACAATATTCACATGACAGATCATCACGAGTTGTAGCTTCGTCTCAAATCCAGTTGTCATATGCAAAACTCAGACATGCCTTTATAACAATGTCAACTTTTCCAATTGCTAACATTGGCAGCGATGGTCTAGTGTTCAATTCAACGCACATCAATGTCTTGCAAACACAAGCACAATGGTGGCTGTCTGGCTATCTCCTTCGGTCTCTACACCCGCTCAAGCAAATCTCTCCACGAGATCATCCTTCTCCCATTCATAAACGTCTTCCTCAGTCGCTCTCACCGTTCCTCCTCAACACCCTGTACTTTGCCCCGAAGTGAATTTTTCGTGGTTGAGCGTGCAAACAACTCTTCGATACTGTTCAGAGCAATTTCCGATGGGTTCGAACTGCCACCCGTTTTACCCTTGTAAAGTTCTGGGTCGGAGCCGGAGTCAGAAGTGCCTTCTGATGAGCAAGACGAGTCAAAGTCAGAGTTGGAATCTCCAAATGTGTATTCGAGGTCAACTGTATGCTTGGACCCAGGCCTTCATACTCGATTTTAGACTGTAATTTGGATGAATTTTGAAAAGCCACGGACATTTACATTGGCACTTGTCCTATACGAAGAAGAAGCGAGAACGGTTGGTTATGGAAATGAGTGTGATGTTCTTGAGTGATAGTATTGGCTGATGCTAAAGAGTGTATAAGTCCTCGAATAAGAGTCTCTTCTTTGTGATGTCTTCGCTACTACGAGCGTACCACCAGTGTGCCAATCAGATACCTACCTCAAGACTTTCCATCGCCTTTCCTCTGTATCACTCTCTTGTTGCTTTCCATCGCTCTCGACAAACACCCTCCACCAGTGTCGGTTGTATCGTGCATGCGTAAACCTTGACGATGCAGGAACAAGACAATCCATGGCAATTCGAAGTTGACAAGAATCGCTTGTCTCTTGCATGCCATTGCTCATTGCCCACGATTACCAGGGGCGGCCGCGGTGGTCGTCATTCTCGAGAAGGGGACCCTTGAAGATGGCACTGGGTCTAGTTGCGATACGTCTCCACTTCTCAGCCTCATCGATGGCAATCTGTTCATCGTTGAACAAAATCTGACACTTTCTCTTCAGGTTCTTTGCGATATAGGTTGATGGGGTAGGGACAGCGACGGGTTGGTGTGGCTCAGAGTCGTTCTTCACTAGTTTGAGAGGAGTGTTCTTGTCAGCGGCTTGAGCGACTGGTCTGACTCGACGATCGGCGGCAGTGTCTTCGTGAATGGGTCCTGACTTGTTGATTGCGGCAGCGGTGGAAGCAGTAGAGGCGGCATCCTTCTGGGCGGAGTGCTCAAGTCCTGAGTGAGTGTTTGCGGTGCCATCCCTCATCCAAGCAGCTATCCTCGTCTCCGTCACTGGTTTCTTCGTCTCGCCAGCTCGCCAGAACGACTTTCTTGCCGGCTCGGAATAGCTCCATGGCAGTCCGAGTCTCGTATCGATATACTGCTCCGATTACTGCCATTGCCAAAAAGAGACCTGGATGCTTGTGGAATCGTGGAGGTCTAAACGTCACAGGATGTATGATTGGTAGATGTTCTTGGAAGTCTTGAAGAATGGCGTGATATAACGGCTGGGGACAAGTCTTGGGGGCATTACTAGCCGGCTTTGGAGAGGGAGTAATGCGGCGATGATCTGGGTCCTTGTGTCATCTAGAATTTTCCAAGGACAAGGAACAGGTCCCAATTCTTCAAAGTCATCTTCCATAGGCTTGATCCGAGTGGGGGCTGGTAGATCTGATACAGAATCGACAGCCTGCAAGGGTGCTTGAGCTAACTCAGTCAAGTTACGCGACCGTTTGTTTATTGAGAATGATAGGTCATGTATGTCGAATGTTGGATCGTACAAGAAGTCGAGTCCTGCATTCAAGCCCATGCTGTCGGTGAAACTGGAAAAGTAGTCAAAGTCGTTCGAGAAGAGTAGAGTGTCGTTGATCGAGAGTAAGCCTGGAAAGGTGAGAATGATGCAGTACTTTTGGCGTTCGAGACGTACCTGATGCCTCCGGCTGAACGTTTTGTCCGGCACCAGCGTCGGCCTGTAATTCAACCATGGGTGAGAAGGCTCCTCAACTGTTGCAGCCGTCTGACCTCCATTCATATGGTCGATGAGAACGGCAGGTCCCTGGATATAAATGTGCATAGACCGTGTGGATGGAGTACCCTCGGATGAGAGGGTGACCAAATGCTTGCCATTCTCTTCGTGTCTCTTCAATAAGTCTCTTCTAGCAAAAGCTTTGCCACAAGAACATGTGAACGACCTTTCGTTGGTATCTTTGCGTAATCTTAGCAGATATCAGCGGCAGAAAAGACAGACAGCAAAGTACGAGTAGTTATGTGTCGCGTAAGGTGTTCACGACGACGGAAGTCACGCTTGCATATCGAGCAGTGGAAGGCTTTGGCCGGATTAGTTCTTCTCAGCGAAGTATTGCTTGACATAGTGAAGTGTGGAATGCATGATGATGAGATGATCAAGGTAGACAAGGTGTTGAGTTGAAGTCGACTCGGGGTGAAGCTTTGGGATGAACTCCAAGAATTGGGGTAATCTGAGACGCCAAGAAATCGACTTTTGCAGCTGCCGAAAACATGGTTGAGGTCTGCGTCGTTCCTGCTCCTCTACTCGACGCGCTTGCCATGATTGACTCTGTTGGCGACTATCACTATTTTGATGATACCAGCCCTCAGAAATTTCGTATACCGCGGTACTCATCTCGTGTTCGAAAGCGCGTAAGAACATGGCATGGACAGTGGACAGCGGCGGCAAGCGGCATCAACAAGTCGCTTGAACATTTTGCTCGCACGCGAACTCGAGATTACTGGCTTTACAGTGTGCCTGTTCGACAGAGACGATCTGTCCAAGCATACTGGCATTTCCCGAGTCCCAAGTCCCGAGTCACATGGAAGCAACAACATCGGGTTGGCAGGAACTTGGCAATCAAATACCTGCAGACGGCTCTAGGTTCTTAATTCTGCAGACTGATATCCTCAGCGCATCTTGCCGACAGGATGTATTATTGCGGACCAGCTCTGCTCCCTTGAGGTGAAACTCAACGCTAGTTGAATCAATCACAAGCTCGTGTAGTCCTGTCTTTTGTTCGCATCGCCTCATATCCACAGTGTTCAACTCACACGACAGAATAAGCTCGTCGGACACGAGCATTCCTGTGTTCATATCGAGATCTCAAATATGTGGAGATGCATGGTCAATCTTCCGCTCACTCGACTTTTTGCAGATCCCCTCCATCCATGCTCACAATGGGACTTGAGCCCGATATCCTGTCGAGTGCTGAACAATATCCGGTGATACATGCTCGTCCATGTAACGTCTCCTTCTCGATGCGACGTCAAGCAGGTGGTTTCTATGCATCGATGTCAAAGATTGGTATCATGCCAAGTGCTTGACCGTAGTAGAGGTGAAGACAAATTGCAGCTCCAACGCTAGGAGAGAACATCTGACCGCGATATAGAGTCTGCAGTTACGAGGTTGTATCCATGGCTTAAGGTCTCAATCAGTGATGCTGTCATTAAGCCATCTCACTGGTCTTTGACGGCAGATAACAGAACAAATTTTCCGGTAGGTGATACTCCAAATCATCCATGAAGACAAGTTCATCCGACGAAGAAGACAAGTTGATTTGATGGAGCAGACAAACAGGTCTGATGTCATGGACCAAAAATAACAAAGTTCGAGACCAGCCTCGGCGTGACCCTGCAGGATTCTATTTTCGACGACCGTTCGAACGTGTCTTTGCGCCCCCACTTTGAGACTACACCTTAAAGAGCTATCACGAAGTGATTCCGCCACCTCATGCTTGGCGACTGGGTCTGGTACGAGAAGATCGCTGGAAAAATGTCCACAAACGTGGGGTCGATCTCTTTTGTACGAGCATATGCATTAACAATAGCATCGTAAATTCTCAGACATGGTAACGGTGAGCGAGAAGCTCTTCTGGGCTTTTGTCATGAGGTGCAGAACCATCAACCACGAGGTAGGGAGATGGAATATATAAGGCCTCAAGGTATTCCTTCCTTCAACAATCATATCTCATCTTCAATCAGCATCTTCATAACACATCAACATCACAACACCAACATACCTTCATACTCCAACAACAATCAACTACCACACATCGACCTTGAACTTCCACAACCAACAAGATGCTCTCCAAGAACCTCATCTCCATCTTGGCTCTGACCTCTGCCGTCTCCGCCTCTCCCGCTCTTCGTCGTCAAGCTTCGAACACCGACAACTGTGTCGCTAAGAACAATGCCTGCCGCACCACTCGTGGTGCTGACGGCCTTTCTGCCAACCAGGCTCAATGCTCTGCCGATGACGCAGCTTGCAAGGGTGACTGCTATGCAGCCTACAACGTTTGCAGAGGTACTCGCACTCCCGATGGCCTTTCAGCCAACCAGGCCGTATGTGCTTCTGACTACGCTTCCTGCCTCGGCGAGAACCCTGTCGCGTCGACTGGAGGTCTGATCTCGAGCTTCATTCCTTACAGCGCTACTGCCTCTTCATCCGCAGCCGCTGCGACCACATACGCTTGCAACCCTGCTCACTCGTACCCTGATGGACAGCAGTGTATCTCTACCAACGGTGCCTTGACCCTTGTCACATCTGTCAGCACCAAGGCTTCTTCCACCACCGCTGCTGCCGCCGCCACTTCATCCGCCGCCGACAACTGTAAGACCAAGGACAACAAGTGCCGCACCACTCGCATGAAGGATGGATCCTCTGCCAACCAGGCTCAGTGCTCTGCCGAGAACGCTCAGTGCCAGGGCGACTGCTATGCAGCCTACAATGTTTGCAGAGGTACTCGCACTCCCGATGGCCTTTCAGCCAACCAGGCCGTATGTGCTTCTGAATACGCATCTTGTCTCGGCGAAAACCCCGTCGCCTCCACCGGCGGTCTGATCTCTTCATTCCTCCCCTACAGCGCCACCGCATCCACCATGGCCACCTCGACCGCCAAGGCCTCCTCCGCTGCCGCCGCCTCATCCGCCGCCGTCTCTGCAGCCGCTCCCGGCTCCAACCCCAAGAAGGTTGATGGCTCCACTTGGACTTTGAACAACGTGATCCGCTACTGCGCCGACGGCAGCTCCACCTGCGACTACAACTTTGACATTGTGGCCAACGGCAAGACCGAGCACTGCACCATCGTCAACGCCAGCAACAAGTCTTTCAACAGCGAGAAGTGTGCGAACGGCGATTACACTGTCTCGTGGGGATACGTCGCTGACCCCGCTCCTGCATTTGCTGTCATCACTGTTGTTGATGCTAAGAACGAGTTGGCTTGGTTCGGTGCCAGCAATGTTGACAGCCAGCGCACCTGGGGTAACCTTGGTCCTGAGCAGGTCTACACTTACAACTAAGCTGCTTGTTTGAGTTTGGCGTGAGTAAGAGAAAAGATATTTGTATATACTGATATGACGGGATGGGATTTGGGAATAGGATATTTGTTACTTTAGTAAGCCACACTTTCGTTGATATTTCTTCAAAACCATGATTTCTTTCGATCAAACTTCTTTACCTGCCATTCGCCTCGACAAAAATTGCGCTAGTGTTTCGCACAAGGCTTCTTTGCAGACCTTGAATATGTTTCTTCGTGATGTCGGAGTATCGCGCCCCGCCTAATCAGGAGTCGCGCTCAATCGTCTGGTCTCTGGAAGTGCTACTGGTTTACAAGCTTGTTCTTTTTAGTATCCATGACAAGGTTTCGCTTCCAAGACTTATCAACATTATGTTGTCTTGCCCCTTCTTTATGGCAGCGAGCAAGCTCTAGCAATAGTCATTTCTTGCCACCCTGCGCCTTGATCTCCTGCCTTTTTGTTCTGAGCGACTACACCTTAAAAGACATGGACATTTTCTGTTTGGAGTACGTCAAAAGATATATGCAGAACAAAAGGACGGTGGAGATGAGCGTTGTAATGTTTTGAGATAAACAACTGTGTATAACGAACTTCTAGAACGACTAAAGAACATAAAGCAAAACAGAAATGACAAACACCAACCGATAAGCAACCTATTCCGACGCCTCATCCGCGCCACCCTGTTCCGACCCATCCTGACCTAAGCAGACTCTCGACCCTGAAAACTCCGTCCAAACTGTCCCACCCACTAGGATGTTGCGCTTGCGGTTGCGGCAGCGACCGCCGAAGCAATACTGGTCATGACAGCTGCTTTGCTCGAGGCTAGAGTTGCGGGCAGCGAGTTTGCTTGGACCAGGGACAACACCTTGAGGGCATTGGGACCGATGACAATGTCGGATCTCTTGTGAGGCATACGAGCCAATCTGGGCATACCAGCCGAGCCAGGAAGATCTCTCTGCGACACACCGGAGTTGTAGGTGGAGGTACAAGATTTGCCCGATGAGCAGTAGTATGTAGAGGGGTTTGACTGTGATCCAACGTCGCAGAACTCGCCCGCATCACAGTCACTGTCGACTGAACAGGTTTTCTGTGAAGCATCATCATCAACACAGTAAGCATAGCCGTCTGTGCCATAGTTGCAGAAGCAGCCTCCATAGCCAAACGGATCCTGGCGTTGACTCCGCACCCACCGTTGTTGTAGCTGCCGAAATAAGCAGCAGCAGGATCGCATCGAGGAGCAGAGACAGCTGGTGCAGTGCTCACAGATACCACAGTTGTGGTACTCGCTGCGGCGGTGGCTGTCGAAGTGGCGACGGTGGTTGTGGAAGTAATGGTAGGGCTAGTGACAGCCATAGAGCAGGCACTCGAAAGAGCGACGGATTGGTACTTGGTCAAGCCTCCAGGAGTGCTTGTGGCGGCTCTCCTAGCTAGTGTTGTGGTGGAGAAGACGGTGCTTGTAACGACAGGGGTGGTGGTGGTCAGAGCAGTGGCACTGACGACAGGGACAGTCCATCCAAGGTAGGTCGAGCAGAAAGGCTGGAGAGAAGACCACTTGATGTCAGCAAGGGCTTGGTAGGCAGCGCCCTTGACGTCTCCAACGGTGGGATCGACATCAGAAGAGCTGGCTGTCTTGGCGTAGCCGAAGCTGTAGTCAACAGTGTACTGGTCCTGGCCTCTCCACTGTCCACCGTTGGTGGCGTACTTGATGGGCCAAGCTTCAGTGTAGAGCGAGCAGTATTGGCCTTGGGGAACAATTGTGCCATTGGCCAACTTGGCCTGCAGGAGGTAAGTGTTGAAGAACTTGCAGACCTTGGCAGGAGTGCCGTCCTTGGGAGCTGTGGCGAGGTTGTACTTGGTTTGGGCATCGCAGTAGTTGGAGCACTGCGAGACGTCCCATGTTCCAGTGAAGATCTTGGCTCCCATGTACTATTGAGTGTTAGCGAGAGCTTTGATTAAACAGTCAGATTGACTTACCGTGTTGTAACCCTGAGCATCGTAAGGTGCGTTGATGGCGAACATGCCATAGGGAACGCCCATCTGGTAACCAGCGGGGGTGGAGATCTGGGTGGTGACGTATCCGTTTGAGCCCGCAATAGCGACCTCGAAGTTACCGCGCATCTGGCCGAAGTTTTGGGCATTTTCCTGGGTGACCTGACCACCCCAGTACACGCATTTGATCATGGTTACCGAAGAGGGGTTCGAACAGGATGAGTCGTCAGGGTTGACNTGCATCGTGTCAGCTGTGGTTCAGACAGAAGAATAGGATCAGTGTTTACCAGATGGGTCACGTTCGTAATAGATGTTGAACGAGACACAGCCGTACTTAGCAGTGCATCGGGATGCGCAGGTAGCGACGTCGTAGGTGTCGAATGTGTCAAATCTAGCGTGGATTAGCTCGAGACTTGGTTGCGAACGAAACAGGATATTGGTTTACCCCATGTAACCGAATCTAGTTTGAATTATTAGCTCAAGAATTGGTTGCGAACGGAATAGGGTGGTAGCTTACGCATTGTTGGAAGCCGTTTGGGCCTGGAATGATTGAGTGTAGCCAGAGGGAGTCGGCGCGGCAGCAGCAACGGAAGAGTAGTAAGTGTTTGCCCGGAAAGCAGAGACGTTGTCAGTGTCGGCTCCGGGTGCGTAGGTAGGGGCGGAGCTAGCTCCAGCAGGCTGCTGAGCACAGGTGGTGGGGGTGGCAGCCGCTCTCTTGGAGACTACAGCAGTCTGGGACAGAACATCACTGATTTCGACGCTGACAGAGGAAACGGCAGCGGTAGCTGAAGCAATGAGAGCCGCAGGGTCGACAGTGATTGTCTGAGCAGTGGCACCGGTGGCTTCAGAGTAGGTCGGATCCGGGGCGGCCAGGACCATATCAAGGTCGATATCTTGAGGCCTGGGCATGGCAGCAGCCAAGTTGGCCGCCAAAGCGGGGAGAGCATAGGATGAGAAACGCATCTTGATGTTATGAAGATGGTAGTGGGTTGGAATGGAAGATGAGCTTGAATCTGAGTCGTACAGGCTGCGATCATCCTACCTTATATATCACATCATCGTCTCATGGAGGCTCTGGTATAGCAGAGGTCTCGGTCTGGCCGAGTACTAGAAAATGCCCTTGCGAACGCCGTGAGGCGTTCATGGCAAAGGTAAAGCTCACCATTTGCTGTATGGGAGTGTTCAACAGCAGCTGAAGATCCAAAGGGGCTTGTAGGGGCTTGATGGTTACGGGGCAAGAACCTTGGGTAGAAGATACTTGGCGTGCAAGAAACGAGGGGAAGGTCGAGCAAGAGCCAGGCTGAGGTCGCGTGGAAGGGGAAAGCGTGATCCTTCCGCGATCGGGCACAGCGAGATTGCGTACAGAAGCGGTTAGAGCCAAAAGCTTACAGACCCTTGGAGAAAACTCCGGTTGGCCTTTGTCACTTGTTTCTTTCTGTTCCTGCAGGATACCTGTCAACGTGTAGAATAAGCAATCATACTTCTTCGACGACAATGATGGCTGCTAATTCGCAAGCCCAAACACGTTCTATCAACGACGTCGTTGAGATGGACTCACTCCGCGACGCGATCAGTTGCCGCGCAAAGTGCAACGACTCTCAATACCCCGTTTTCTGCCGTCCCCACGGGTGAGACATCGGGCTTGGGGCTGGATTTCAGCTCCTCTCTAACTTCCAGGCTGGCAGCTTCGCTTCCCCAGACTTAATTCTCTCTGATCACGATGCGGTGAGAGAGTTCGGAGTCTCCGATCAGACTAGTATGTTCTTGGACTCAAAGGATGCAGAATATTGGACACAGGGCAGAAATCCTCATCTCCGGAAGCTCTCATCACAGCTCCGGGCAAGGGTCTTGTCAATTGTGGTGAAAGGTCTTGGTATGTCTCTCCCTCTACGACTCAGCCCAGAGCTTTGTAATTTCTGGTCCAGATAGTTTGACCTGATGAGTATCTATGTGACAAGCCCACGTGCCTGTCGGCGCCAGTTTGGGAAGATCATGCCGCCGCTTGCTCCTTTGCTAGCTACCAGAGCCACTCACAGCTCAGCAACAAGGTTCTCAGGATTCTTCCCAGACGGCAGACATCATGCCATACAGCCGCGTCTTGCATGGCCTAGCTCGAATTGTCTTTTCAACTCCCAATTTACCCCCTTCGGACACGGCTTGATTGTACGTTTTGGGATGCACTGCAGGATACATGCATTGCAGAAGGCATGGTACAACCATGCACTGTATCAATAGCCCGTGCTATCCTCAGCAGCTGAAGTCGGAGCTGAGTTCGCTTCAGCACCTTCGAGGTCCGTGAGGGTTGTTATTGTTATTCCTCCTGACCAAGGGTAAGACAATGTTTCTGAACGAGCAAGCTGAGCTTCAGGGCTGCTGAGCCGTGACAGATGTCTCGAAAGACACGCGCATGTCCGGCAAAATCCACGGTTTCGCGGCAGTCACTCGAACCGACCGTTGGGAATTTGTACGAATGTTAGGGAACTGCTATACCATATGCCCAATGCGCTTGGTCGTCTGGTCGTATCTGCGGACGCGTTCGGGAGTCGGAAGCTGAGAGCACCCGTCTCGATATGCCACAACAGCACCAAAATGCTCGCGCTCGACAGTCTCCGAGCTTTACCGTTGTTCGCACCCTCTTGCATGCGAGCGCTGAGCCAGGCATAGGTGTATACGCGCTCAAGTGCTTAGGTGAGGAATACACACCGTAGAAGGTTCTTCGAAGGGCAGACCAGGTCCATGGCGCTGGTGGCACCAACCCACGCGACGGGCATAGAATCGTTTCTTCCTCAGCCTTACGCTTGTCGACCCGTCAGGCTTACAGTAGAGTTACTGACGCGACAACAACCATCAAAGATTTCCAAGGCCCTCAGCCCTGTCTTCGCCGTCTCTTCCTACCCACCTTGTGAGTCAACATCAGCCTGTGATTCACCTACGCTCGTGTCTGCCTTCTTCGTTTACCCAGCACAGTGTTTCGGCAGCACCGTTGGCTCGCGAAACGGTTTTCCAGGACAAGTGATTGGTCGGGAAGAGCTTCGCTCCGGCTTGTCCGTTTTGAGAACCAAGTGCGAGATCTTCAGGTACGCGGTTGATCATTTTCCTGTTCGCGTTGCATGCCGCAGCATGCGTTGCAGGAAGTTTTCGGGAAGGGGATGTGGAGGCGATATATTCCGACTGTTGATCGTCTCATCGTGCAGAGGTTGGAGGTGAGAGGTACCTTGATGGTGTTTTGCGGGTTTTGAGGATTTCGCGAAGGGTGGTTGAGATGGTAGGAGGTGGTTGGGGGTATGTTGCTTGTGTCATTTGTCTATTGCCGTGAGGTGTATTTCTTCTATATTTACGCGTGTATGTGCTTCTCTTTCCTGGGTATTATCGGTAGCATCTTGTTTCTGCTCGTCATTGTCGAGCACCGTTTGCTCTTCTTCCTCTATTCCTTGTCGTCTTCCTTCTCTTCCTTATCGCCGTTCTGCTTGCCAGCGTCCTTGTAAATATCGCTGTCAAAGTTGACAGGGAAGTGCTCTCTGCCCTCTGCATCCTTGTTGACCCAGACAGCAACACTGCAGCCAGGGCACTTGAAAACACCATTGCCTTCGTCGTCAATAGTAACTTCTCCCTGCTCCCAGCCCAGCAGATCCGTCCATATTTCTCCCTTGTGCTCGCCTCCCACATGCATCTTAATCTCTCCAGGACCTGTGTTGCTCATCACCACCGCACATCCGTTTTTTCTGTCGTGAGTACCTCTGCGCACCCAACCAATGCAGTTGGGGTTGTCCCAGTAGTCGTTTAGCTCGCCGTAAGCGAAGAGTTTGCGGGCGAGGCACAGGTCGGCGAGTTTGTCACCGCAGGAAGGAGGTTCGGGGTTGTCGCCCTTCATGCCGTAGAGGTCGCCGTAGAAGACGCTGGGGTAGCCGTCGCGGCGGAGGAGGATGAGGGAGTAGGCGAGGGGTTTGAAGAAGCCTTCGACTGGGGTTTCAACGGTTTGGCCGGGTTGGGTATCGTGGTTTACTACGACGGTNCTGGGTTTTGTGTTAGCGTGATGTGCTTTGTTTGTCGTTGGAAGGAGAGGAAAGGGGTTGCTTACCACTGCGTTGACGGGCATGTCCTGGACCAAAGTGTCGTCAAACACCTTTCTCAAGTCTGCAGCTTCGCTCTTGCTGATGTTGGAGAAGTTGTTGAGCAGCGGGCTGTCGTACAGCGAGAACTTTCTCCCCATCTGCTCGACCCAGTCGATCAAGTCCTGCTTGTTGCCAGTCCAGAACTCGCCGACGTAGAACAAGTCTCCATGCTCTTGTCTCAGTGCCTCAATCCACTCCTTGGTGAAGCGCTGAGAAAAGTGCTGCACAGCATCAAGACGGAATCCCCTCAGACCAACCTCCTTGACAATCCATTTGCCCCAGTTGGTAACGTCTTCGCAGACTTCAGGGTGTGAGTAGTCCAAGTCGGCAAACATGAGGAAATCAGCATTGCCGCCTTCGTCATCCACAGACTCGCTCCACCCCTTACCCTCACCCTGAATCTGGAAAATCGCATTCTTGCCCGTCGCAGCATCATAGTCGGTGCCTCCGAAGTGATACCAATGGTACTTTTGCTTGCTGTACTTGTCGCCTCTGCCGTCAAAGTTGAAGCCCAACCAAGCAGTAATCTCCTTGCGGTCGGAAATCTGCTTTTCGCGGTCGTTGGAGTCGACTTCAATAACGTGGCACTTTTCCTTCTTGTCGGCGGCGGCCTTGTGGTTGAGCACTGCGTCCCAGTAAAGACCGATGCCCTTTTCTTTTGCGAGCGAGGAGAGGGCGAGGAGTTCGTCTTTGGTGCCCCATTTTGTGGCTACACCGCCTTTTTGGTCGAATTCGCCGAGGTCGTAGAGATCGTAGACGTCGTAGCCGTTGCCCNNTGTGGTTTGCGTGTGAGTATTGAGGGCGTCTTTTTGCGAAGGGTGATTGTGGGGTGGTGGGCGACTTACGTTGGGAGAGCTGGCCTTGCAGCCGGGAGGTAGCCAGATGTTGGAGATACCGATATGCTTGTAGGAGGGCATTGCATCGTGCAAGCGCTTGTAGTGCTTGCCATCAGCAGGCACATTCCACTCAAAGCCCTGGAGCAGGGTGTAGTTCTCAGGTGTAGGTTCCTCGGCGCCCATATTGACAGATTTGAAAAAGATGCAGTGGTATGAATAGGAGAGAAAAGGTGAAGTGAGAGGACGAAGTTGCGAATAAGCACCTAGATAACAACACTCCACAGCAAATCAAGCTCCAGAGATATGACAGCGCGCTGCGCGGGCGTAAACAGGTATATAAGGCAGCTCAACAAGCCCCTCTCAACATTTCAGCTGCCCCTCATCCCACCACCGACATCACAGCTAAGATTACACGTGGCAGTATACACATCACCCAGCCCAACCAACCGTTTCATAACAAAGCAGGAATTCTGGGTTCTCGGCGAGCAGGGATGAGGGCTAGACTTGACGTATGTGGTGGATGGCACGGACGACGGTTGAGTTTTTGACACATGCGGGTTTGCGGAGGATGTCTTTGCTGATCCGGCACGGATCGCTGGTCCGTGTGGGAGACAGGGTGTTACTCGAGACATCTTTGTAAACCATATTTCTGACGACGGCATGGTCCATATAGGTCGTAGTTCAATGAAGTCACCGCAGTATACGACTTATACAATGCCTTCGTGATCTGGCCTACTCTGGTACTGCATGGTTGCTTAAGTGGCTGTGTATGATCAATTTTATGTTTTCAATTTGTGCTTCACAAGAGCTCGACGACAGAAGCAATGAAATCTGGGGGTGTTCTGGGATGGAAAGTACGATCTGGAAGAGGAGACGAAGAGGTTTATCAAGGCAAGAGGTATGTTGAGATATGTAAAGACTGTCGCGCAAACACTTGATCAGAAACGGCGACACGATACAGAGGATGATTTTAGGTGGGCTCGTCTGAACGTCTACATGGCTATATCGACCTCCCGAAATTCTACCACAGCGGCCCCTCATCGCGACAACAACGCGTCCATTCAATCCTTCCTACTCACGCTACACAAGGACTCGAAACCTCGCTACTCTCAAACACTTTTGATAATGCATCAAATACAAACGCATCCTCCTGTTCAACCTCATGCATCGCCTTGACCGCCATCCTCGCACACATCACAACATCATCAATAACACGCCCAGCAAATCCCCTCTGCCTCAACTCCGCCACATCCCCAAACCTCGCTTTCCAAAACGTCCATCGCTCAACACTGAACCCATCATCTCCAGGCCACAAAGGCTTACTCCCATCACTACCACCAATCCATTCCCTCCATACCTTGCCCTTACATAGTTCTTTGCTTTTGCAAAAATGCCAGAGGTGAGTGCCAGCATGAGTCATCCACGCAGCAGCAGCAGGGATGTAGATTCCTGCGCGGCGGACCTGCGGGTAGGTTGTGATGTCTACTTCTAGGGCTTGCATTAGAGTGTCTCTGGCGATGCACTGCATACCTATCCATTCTTGTGTGATTGATGAGTCGAGATTAGAGGTATAGATGGCTGCAAAGGTGTTGGCATGTTTGTATTGTTGGGCTTGTTCATACCAGGTTAATGGACCGTTGCCTAGATCCATGTTTTCGATTGTGTTTACACCTGTGAGTGTTTGTTAGATCTTGAATCAGGAGAGCACAGTGAGTCAAAAAGGGGACGCACTCAGAGCGGTCTCAGTAAACCAGAAACCGAATTCGGGAATGGAGCGCCAGTAGGTTTTGTCGTTTTCTTGGAAGGGCTTGCCGTCGACGATTATGTCGGGTAGTTCAGAGAGATACACAAGCAATTCGGCGATGTGGCGATGGTCTTCTGATGTAGTTGTTGGATGTATGATTGCGTGCGATATTAGGGAGAAAAGATGACATGATATTTTCTCTCCTTTGTGTAGACGAGGTTCATAGGTAGCGGCGATACCATGGGCGGCTGACTCGGATGTGGTTGACTTGTCAAGTAAGTCTTGGATGATGGATATGGTCTTTTGTTCCTCGGGTCTTCGAGAACAGTATTGGTCGAGCTTTCTGTATCTCTGCCCAACTCCGTGTCATGGTTGTGCATCGAGGATTGAGAGACCACAGCAAATGGCTAAGAAGGAAGAATGTGGTGTTTTTCACCACACTTGCTCTGTGAGCGCGGTGTCCAAAGAAGGATTCACATTGCGTCATGGCAAAACACGAGTCAGTGTTTATGTTATATACGTCCGTATCTCCTGGACAAGTAACCGACTTCCAAACTCTTCATAGAATAACACATCGACAACATCCTTACGCCACAACCTTCTCGATCACAGCAACACCGTGTTGCTCGCTGACCAAAACTTGCTTCTTCTCCAGAGACTTCTTGACTGGGTTGGGAGATTCGAAGATGTCGTCGAGTTCCTCGAGNCTGGAAACGATGAGTTAGTGTGTGTACAACCATAAAGTGAAGACGAGAATACGTACAGTGCGGTTTCTGGTCTCCGGGAACCACACCCAAATGATGATAGTCTGGGCGACACACCAGATGATGAAGATGATATAAGTCTTCCAGCCAATGTTCTTGAGAGAAACAGGCCAGGCAAACTGGTTGAGCAGGCCACCAGCATTGACAGCCAGACTGGAGAAGGCCATACCCTTGGCACGCATCTCAAAGGACAGTACCTCGACAGGGTACAAAGCCTGGAGAGGAGTGATACCGAAGGAGAAGACCGCACCAAACATAAAGATCATGGCAACGGTCGCTTTAGCGGCGGCAGGGTCCTTAGTGTCTGCGAACAAGCCACTGGCGGTGGTCATACCAACCCAAACAACAGCGCAACCAGCCATGGCACCCAGCATGAGAGGACGTCTGCCAAACTTGTCGACAAATGCGCATCCGGTGAGAGCGAATACGAATTGGAAGCATGAGTAGCCCAGGTTAATGTTGGCTTGCTCAATTGATTTATGGTAGCCAGCAGTATCGAGCACAGCTCCAATGAAGTAAGTCAGGACAGCGTTGCCTGCCCANTCTGAGAGTGAGGGTGTTGGTTAGCGTAGGTCTGGTGAGCACATATCTTGTGCATGAACTTACTGTCCAAAGATGCTGAAGCCGCAGTTGCACGCAAGTCTGTAGCGGGAGCTAGCCTTCTTGAACAAGGCGCTGTAATCCCACCATCGCTTGTCGGCACCGTTCAAATTCAAGAAGTCTTCGTATTCGGAGAGTTGCAACTTGACCCAAGCGCTTTCTGGGTTGCCCTGACCATGCCATTTGGCGAGAGTCGCTGTGGCCGAATCTTGCTTGTTGTTAACATAGAGCCATCGAGGCGACTCGGGGATGACCCAGACGAGCGCGCAAATGATTGCAGGGCAGGCCAACTGGAGCCAGAGAGGCAAAAGCCAAGAAGAATTGCCTGTCAGGTTCAGGCCACCTCGGACGGCACCTGCTGCGACGATATTTCCAGTGAACCAGAAGGTGTTGCAGTAAGCAGTCACCCTTCCTCGGTATGCGGGATGAGACATCTCGACAACATAGATGGGTCCTGCAGCAGAGGCGATGGAAACACCAAATCCTNNGCCAATGTGTAAGTACTGCCACTTTACTGTAACTCAGAAAGTTCAAAGCATACCGAGAATAAATCTGCCGCCCATAAATTGCCCAAGCTTTGCATCCTGGAAAGTGGTTCCGGAGATGATTGTACCGAGGATGATGATGAAGGAGCCGATGAACATACCCCATCGACGTCCCCATGTATCGATAGCGGGACCGACGAACGGAAGTGCAACGACGCCACCAATCTGGTACATGGACGATACGATACCAGCCCAGATTCCAGCATTTGAACCATGGAAGAAAGTCTTGAACTGTGGGTTGATGAGCAAGCCGTTGAGCAAGCTTCCGTCATAGCCGTTCATTGTCNNCTAAGGGATGCATTAGCTATATCTGAAGGAGGAGGATGGCGTGAAGACGACTGACTGGCACAAGCAACCAAGAAGAGTGCATGCAAAGAGCAGAAGGGTGGTCGAGTTCACCAGGCTAGGGTGCTCTCGCAACAACGCATCGTTGAAGGCCGTGCTACCCGCGATCGTCTCGATGTGTTCATTATCTGCTTCATGGGTGTCGACCTTCTACTGGGTGTTAGCATTGGTCAACAGGGCATAAGATTCGGTGTATGATACAGTAAGGCCTGCGACTACATTTTTNTCGTCCATCGTCATGGTGAAAGATGACTTCTGGTTACTCCACAGAGAGGATATGATAGTGAGAAATGTATGAAGATCTGGGCTGAGAGATATGTCGGAGTGAGTGTGGGGATGTAGTCGATAGATATAGATCTGCATGCACCCCGCATGGCAACCCCAGAGGAATCAATTTGGGAGGATCGAGACGGAGGGAGCCCTCCGCATGCATACAGTGACCCGTTGAAGCTTACCGAGCCTTGAAAACACTGTTGCAGCCCATCCTCGCCGATGTCAGCTGTCCAACTTTCAGTGCTCCGTCCACACATTCTAGTCCGTGTGTATAATAATAGATTGCGACAGAGCAAAACTGCTCCAATCCTGAAGGATTTGAGAGTCAATATCGGGGTAAAGGGCCGGTTTTCCTTAATGTTCGAAGGGCTAGGCCGATATCCATCAATGCCCAGAGTTCTGTGTAGACTGAGCGTGACAAGCGACATTAGTTGTATCTTGGTCTACCCCGCAAAGACGCACAGTCCTGCAAGGTCCTCATGCACATCAGGGCAAGCACTCTGCTTGGATCACTCTCATTGGTACCGCGTGACATTGCCAAGTGTGATCAATAGCGCATATACAGCAAGCGACGAACCTAGATCAAGAACAAGGCGCTGTCGTATGGAGAAGCGGCCCTGAATGCCTACCTCAGCAAACGAGAGTGCTGATTGTAGACCTGGCCATCCAGTTCTGTGCAATCGAGCACCTAGAGAACCTGGAGTACTCGGACGAAGGAGCTCAGAGAATTTCCTTCAACACCTCGATGGGCGTCTCGTAATCAGATGAATGTTATACTTAGCGAGCTCGAGTCTCGAGTGCTAAACGGCACAGATATTGAGGCTGAAAATCGTCGACACCTTCGGAGCAGAAGTAGGTTTAGTGGGTAGCGACAGTATGCTTGTCACGGACAGCAGTTATTCCATGAAAGACAAACATTCTAGCAAGTGAGGCCGTATGTTTTTTCGTGTCTTTTCTCTTGCTCTGTTGACATTCAGTGCGTGTTTGAGGCCGCCAGTCGGACCCATCAAGTCAGCCCAAACCCACGCCTCATGGGAAAAGTAAGGCCTGGAGACCAGAGATTTTTCCATAGTCGCGTGATGTGGTGAAATGAGAGTCAACTTGCATACACCGCGGAAATGGTTGGTTCGCGTTTGTAGAATGAGACGAGTGGTGGTAGGTCGAGTCTCGGAGGAAGAAGGTCCGTTCCTGATTGAGAACCTCGGCGTGAGGAAGGCAGTCGGGGTGATCTAGCCGCATTGGGAACGGAGCTCGAAGAGCACCTCCGTCGAGCTCCCATCCCAATCTGGTTCATTGTCAACATCCAAGAAGCGGGCAGCCAAATATTACCCGGCCCAAGGTTGTACAACTCCTCTCAGTGTTTTTATAAAATGCGAACGTCTGCCGCAGCGTCGGCTATCGCCCGCCCCACCTCTCAGCAGACATGACACGTACCACGGGAACGTCAGGAGCCCTGCTGGTGCATGAGCTCGAGGAATCATGGGAATTCAAGCAGACCGACTTGAACAATTGGATGCCAGTGAAGACTGTACCGACGAATGTACATCTCGACCTGATCGCGAATGATGTGTATGTGGAGAGAGACTCCAAACGCAATGACGATAACTAAGTCCAATATTCGTAGCNNATCCCGGATCCTTTCCTCGGCTTCAATGAGCTCAAGTGTGAATGGGTGGCCGACAAAAGTTGGACCTACAGGACAAAGCTTCCAGATGTTGGTCCTTCAAGAGATGGCCAGATCCATGAGCTCGTTTTTGATGGCCTTGACACGTTCGCGTCGGTCAAGGTCAATGGCGAGGTTGTTCTGGAAAGCGACAATATGTTCATTCCCTATAGGCTTGACGTCACAAAAAGCNTCAAGGACGGCAGTACCAACATACTAGAGATCGACTTTCGTTCGGCACTGTTGGAAGGTCGCAAGATCAAGGACGCTCACCCCGAACACAAATGGGTCGGCTTCAATGCAGATATGGCCAGGCTTGCTACAAGAAAGGCTCAATACCATTGGTAAGACTTGAACATCGAGGAGCACTGCACATATGCTGACGTGAATTAGGNNGGCTGGGACTGGGGTCCAGTGCTGATGACTTGTGGGCCGTGGCGAGCAGTCCGTCTGGAGACTTCGCACGCTCGAATCTCGGACATGCGAGTGGACTACGACCTCAATAAATCTCTGGACGACGTCGTAGTCAATGTCTCTGTCTCCACCGAGCGCTCTTCCGAGGCCGATGTCAGAATTGCAATTCGGTCTGGCAAGGATATTGTCTTTGAGAAGACTGTATCTGTTGACAGAAAAGGGATTGCCAAGGCAGACTTTCACATCGCTCAACCCAAGCTATGGTACCCTCATGGCTATGGCGAACAGTCATTGTATACCTGCGAGGCTGTGTTGGTCTTGAACGGGCATAATGTGCACTCTTGCAGCAGAAGGACTGGAATCCGTCGCGGCGAGTTGATACAGGAGCCAGATGAGATTGGCAAAACATTCTTCTTCAGGATCAATGGCATTGATGTGTTCTGTGGCGGCTCTTGCTGGATACCCGCTGACAGTTTCACGCCTCGAATCACGAAAGAAAAGTATCGATCATGGCTGCAAACGCTTGTCGATGGATACCAAGTCATGATCAGGTCTGTTTGCTTGAACCGTCTATCTGACTCGCCCACTGACCTTTGTTTCAGAATCTGGGGAGGAGGTATCTGGGAAGAGGATGTCTTCTATGACACCTGCGATGAGCTCGGTATCCTCGTCTGGCAAGACTTCATGTTCGGTTGTGGCAACTACCCTGCTGCCATCAAAGAGTTCAGAGACTCCGTCGAGGCCGAGTGTGTTGCGCAAGTCAAGCGCATCCATCACCATCCATCCATCGTCATTTATGCTGGCAACAATGAAGACTACCAGGTGCAGGAGCAATGCGGCCTAATATACGACTACGCCGACAAAGACCCCGAGAATTGGTTGAAGACTGACTTCCCTGCAAGGTACATCTACGAAAAGGTACGTGATGGTTTTAGCTGTCGATTTGGCCACGCCAACTAATGCTCTTGCAGTTGCNTTCCGGAAGTCATTGCCTCGCACTCGCCTCATGTACCGTATCACCCAGGATCGCCATGGGGAGACGGCCTCATCTCATCTGATCAAACCGTCGGCGACATGCATCAATGGAATGTATGGCATGGCACTCAAGAAAAATACCAGATCTTTGATACTCTCGGTGGCCGTTTCAACAGCGAATTTGGCATGGAAGCATTTCCCCATATCGACACCATCAAATACTATGTCACCGATCCAGCCGAGCTCTATCCTCAATCACACATGATTGACTTCCACAACAAGGCTGACGGACATGAAAGAAGAATTGCAACCTATCTGATCGAGAACTTCCGAACGACGGACACCAGTCTCGAAGCATACATTCATCTTACGCAACTCAGCCAGTCAGATGCGCTGATGTATGGTTACCGTGGTTGGCGGCAGCAATGGGGCCAAAAGCGACATTGCGGTGGAGCGCTCGTATGGCAGCTCAATGACTGTTGGCCCGTCACGTCATGGGCAATCATCGACTATTTCCAGCGCAAGAAGCCAGCTTACTATGCTATGCGAAGGGTTCTGGCTCCTATCGCTGTTGCGGTCAAGCGTGCACATCATGATTGGAGTGTCGTACATGCCCGACCCGCCAAAACAAGCTCATATGAGTGTTGGGTATCGAGCAACAGCACCAAAGAAGTAACAGCAACCAAGGTGGAGCTCAAGTTTATCTCCATTGCTACTGGTAAGGAGATCAAAGCAGCTTTGGTCAAAAAGAATGTGAAGATCACGGCAAATGGCACGACGAACATCTTCGATGGCGAGATAAACAATGAGAAAGAAGAACCGCACGTCCTGGCGGCGAGGATCTGGATAGATGGACAGGAAGATGTTGTGTCGCGAGACGTTGACTGGCCCCAACCACTCAAGTATCTGAACATGGAAGAAAGAGGTGTCAAGGTGGTCTTCGATAAGGGTAAGATCACAGTGACATCAGAGAAGCCAACCAAAGGCTTGGTCTTTGAGGAACGAGAAGGAGTTCTTGTGAATGACAGTGCCGTGGATATTGTGCCTGGAGATGATCAGGTCATCACAGTCAAGGGATTGAAGCCCGGTGATCCGCCATTGAATTGGCGATACTACGGACAGTAAATTCCGGCACTAAGACAGTTATGAACAACAAACATATCTAATACGTGATTCTGAGATCCGCATGCTTTTCCCATATATTCTCACATGTTGGGTGGGGGAGTCGACGCCGCACGGCAAGGACGATCAAAAGAAAGCTTAATTCTTGCTCTGACCATATAAGAAGGTGCTGTGCCCCAGACTCAAGTGTTGCGACTTCCTTGCCAGCATCTATCCGATGCGTAACTCATCTGTAGGCAAGCTCATGTTTGCGCCCTTCCGAAAGTACAAAAGCCACTCGAGTTAACAACGATTTACCCCGCTACCATGTTCCATACCTTCCAAGCCGCAAGCACCGCCAGTGAAAACACTACAGACGCTTTCAAGGCAACAAGACCATCCGGAACAAGGCGAATCACGACAAGCAATGCATGCGGTACGTTCGACTCTGTGGTCGGTGTATCCGACAGACACTAACTCAGCGACANNGGGTCTTGTAGGAGAAGAAAAATACGCTGTGATGGCGCCACACCTTGTGGCCAGTGTGAGTACAGGGTCAATGCTACGGAAAGTCAAGGACAGTTTCTGAATTTCTTCTAGGCGTATACTACCAGGTACGATATCTTCTCAGTAAAGAGAGCCGATTGCTGATGCTGCTTCANNCAGCAAGCAGATGCTTGTCACTACTCAAAACCACCACCACGCGTTGTACTATCCAAGAAGTAAGTCCAGCAGCATCCCAAGATATGCACACCCGAGATACTAATACGTTCTAGGTTGATGGAGGATCTCTCGGCGTCTGTTGACCAATATCGCTTGGTCTTTGTGCGTCTTNTTCCAGGTAGAAACATCGAACAGCTGGCCAAACTCTCTAAGGAAGATCTCATTGCTACCATTGGACTACCACTAACAGAAGGCGATCATCCTACTCAGGTGTCAGGACTGGGTTCTCCGACATCGACCATGGGATCTGAAGGAGCTGATAGTTTGGAGACACTTATACAGGCTCCAGAGCAAGACCCGGTCGCCGATGAGGCCACACGACATCAGACCAGAGTTCAGGGCATATCTGACGACGTCAATGGCCTGTCGTTATCACTGGATCTGCCCTCCTCGTATGTGGGTGTCTCGTCCATCACGGCTGCTCTCAAAGTCATCTGTAGGGTGGCTCCTGCAACACGCAGATTACTGGCGTTGGGTCAGACGGAAACAACTTTGCCAAGCCGTGCAGACTCGCCTTCTTCGGACACCACTGGTATCGATGTTGAGTATCTGCCACCTGCTGAGCTCGGACAAATATTGATTGAGACGTACTTCAGCAAGGTTCATCCACTCATGCCTATGTTAGACGAACAACAGTTCTGGCAGACATGGCTTTATGGCGAGCGGAAAGACCACGCTTGGTTGGCCCTGCTCAACACGGTGCTGGCTCTAGGATCTGTCATGTCGTCAGATTGCACCAGTAATGCTCATGAAGCGTATTACCAACGCGCTATGCAGCTTCTGAATTTCAATAGCCTTGGCTCTGGCAACACACTTGTCGTCCAAGCTTTGGGTCTTCTTAGTGGCTACNTAGTAAGCCTGGATGTCAACGCATGACTTCTGATACTTTCAACTGACACTTGTAGCCTTCATTATGTTAGCAGGCCAAACTTGGCAAATAATCTTATGGGCGCGACTCTGCGTCAAGCCACTGTACTAGGCTTACATCGAGAATACATAGACTCGGGCCCTATTAGTGGAGTCGCCACACATAAAGCTATGTCTGCTGATGTCAGAAGACGGACATGGTGGAGTTTATACGTGCTGGATACCTGGGCGAAGTAAGTTGGCTGTTCAATTAGGTCTGAAGTATTGCTAACATAGCATAGCACAACTACAGNNGGGAGACCATCATTAGGACAACCGCACAAAGGCATTACAGTTCAAGTACCCTGCGTAAGTGCACGAGTACATGTCTCAAAGCCCACTTGAAGCTAACATCCAATAATAAAGGTTAGAGATATCTCCGATCCAGCGACGGCCAAGTTCTTACCTCTGGTGCACAACATCGAGTTCTGTGGAATCGCCTCTCAGATCCAGGATGCATTGTCTGCCACGCCTCTTCTACCTTTCGAGGAGCTGAATAGACTCGACAAAGAGCTGCTGCAATGGCACACCGACTTGCCAGTTTCCCTGAGACCAAAGATTTCGTCCGTCACAGGTAGTCATCGGTCGAAACGAACAACAACCACAAACATACTCGAGACCCCTAGCATGATCATGCACTGGAGATACCAAAACCTGCGTCTCCTATTGCACAGACCGTATCTCTTGGCTACAGCATTGCGGAATGGCAATGAGAGCTCACTTTCTGCAGAAGAGAAGGTAGGCATAGGTCGATGTCAAGCAATTGCAGCTCAAACCATCTCAGACATCAGTGATATGTGTCATGAAGACCTGCTGGAAGGCTGGAATGGTGTTTGGTTTATGTGAGTAGATAATCTGCCATTGTCAGAGGTTCCTTGCTTATGGATCTACAGGTACCAAGCAGTCATGATCCCTCTTGTGTGTATCTTTTCATCTCTGGGCAAGTTACAAACGAGCCAGACAGATAGTCGGCACAATGTCGAGGTAACTGGATCTCCCACCGAAAACATTACTGCCGAGGACTCCGACCTTCACCTACGAACAAAAATGCAAGAATGGCAGACTGAAGTCGAGAAAGCCCTCCAATTCTTCGAGAAAATGAACCGTTGGTCAGCGGCAGCAAAGAAGTCTCGCGACGTTGTATCGCGACTCTACGAGGCCAGCAAAATCTTGGCCAGTGATGCAGACACTCTTGCTGCTCACGCTCAATCCATCAACAATCCTCACCTCCTCAATCCGACCACTACCGGCCAAACACACCAAACCGCCTATACCAATGCTCAACCACCACTATCAACCTCGGATACAACTACAAATGACCTATGGGGACTTTCCNCCAACGGAGCAGCCACGCTAAATAACTTCTGGTTCGACGATATGATGTGGGATGTCCCTGTCACCTTGGACACGGATATATTCGAGAACACTGGGAATGGGTTTGAATTGGATTGGTTAGCTGGAATAAACGATGCGCAGAGTGGGGCTGATGTGTGGCAGTTTCAGCAATGACAGCGAGATGATGGGTGGGTGTTCATGCAGTGCCATGTATGGATGAGGACACTTGCACAGCGCTGTTTAACCGAGATCGATCAAACTGCAAAAACTCTTCTTTGCTTCCGAAGTGTGCATCAGAATGACCTACGCATAACGAATCTCACAACACCAAACATTCTACATGTATGCTCCCTCCAGTCGCAGAATCCGTGTAAATCAGAAATGCAAACCCCACCGATCAAGTAGAGAAACATCCTTCGTTCAGGGTGTAAGAATACACAATTCTATGGAAGAACTGGATGATCAAGGAAACCATCCCGAGAAGCATGAAAAGTGCATTTTATATCGTAGAATTAGTTGTTGAGGGATAAAAGGCCTCTGCTTGTCTCTGGCCGAATTTTGCTATGCAAAAACTGTTGCGCTTTTTTTTTTTTGGGAGGTTGCAAACAAGTACAGATGCAAGAAATGCAGGCAGACCTTTAGGTTCCGCAAGGCGAGGTTCCGCAAGGCGAGGTTCCGCAAGGCGGAGAATCGAGAGATGAAACCAGAGGCGGAAGAGGTTGATATGCTGCTTTTGTTTGGTGGGTGTTAGTCGCAATTCCTCTCGCATCTGTGATCATTTAAAGCGGGCAGTCGACCTCCTAATGCGCATGTCGGATTTTACAAGGTTGTAAGGCGATAGCGTTTATGTCTGTGTAAACGTGAGTCGTTGTACAAATGAGAACCTATACCAGTGCGATGGGCGAAAGGAGATAGGTACATGGATATAACACATTCATCTCAATATTTCGCTCGTACAGCTGAATCTACTTGCCCGTACTATCAATTTCGTATCTGCCATTGTTCCAATCTGCTTCGTATGCGTGTTGTGATGGAGCTTCGCTTAACGGTGCACTGCTATAGTGTTGTTGAACCATAGGCGCGCTGGAGCTAGCGTTGGAATACGACTCTTGCGATTTCAGCGCCCCCATCTCTTTNTTCAGACTCTTGACTTTGCGCATCATCCATAGTAACCCGGCTAATGCGATTATGCAAGCGACACCGAGGACTGCGCCCACAGCTGCACCAACAACAGTGGTGGTGTTGCTGGAGTCTGAGTCGCTGGAAGAAGTTGCTGTGATGGTTGATGTGACTGTGGCGGTTGCCTCGGTGGAGTTTGAGTCAGAAGTTGAAGTCGAGGTGCCGGGAATTACATTGTTGATGGAGCGGCCAAGGTAGGAGGTTTGATCCGAGTCGAGGAGTAGGGTCGAGTTGTTGCAGCAGTTTGACGAGTCCAATGCATCGCGGCAACACCATTTGTCGCGTGTGCAGGGAAGCACGTTGTAGGATTTCCATCCATTGGCCTCTTTTTGGCGTTCGTCAGAGAAAGCGGAAGGGCATGGTATGATGGGTGTTTGCTTACTGGCCATAGGACAGGCATATGGGCATGAAGCGTCACTGAAAGTCGAGTCGGTGCAGCCGTTGCCGTAGATGTAGCCATTGTAAGAGCTTTGTGTGGCATAGCAGAGTCCTCCTTGAATACATATCTATTACACGTTTAGTATTGTGGGGACGTCAAAGATTGGCAGTGTTTGATTTACATCGCCTTGTCCTTTGTTCGAGGCNCTGTGGGAAGTGTAAGCGCAAGTGGCCATGTCTGTTGCAGCTCAAGGAGGACTCACGCAGCACGCGCTTACTGCTGCGGTGGAATTGCAAGGCACATAAGAGCTCTCAGCGATGAGTGTGCCTTGGGTGTTGTAACATCTGTTTTCGGCGCGTGCGACATATAGCAGCGAGCAAAGCAAGAAAAGGAAACGCATGCTGGGGTGGAGAAAGCAGTCGATCAGGGTGGGAGAAGAGGAGGACAGAGAGAAAAAGCCTAAGGCGTGGATGGAGCATGATATGTATCACGGTGCTGACTGCATCGGGCTGAGCAGGAGTTGTTGTTAAAGTGCTCAGCCTCTAGCTGCAGTACAACCATCTCGCTTGTTCTAAAAGCGGTGGGGATTGGCCATGCCATTCTCAAGAAGGATGCAGATACTAGCATTCCGTCCAATGAGATAGTTTCGGCGAGCAGTGGCTGTGCTTGGCGGGTGTCTGAGAATCCTACGATAAAGATGCATATTGATGGATTGAAGCTATGGATGCTCGATATTAATGAGAAGAAGTTTGGCAGAGAAGGAAGCGACCGAAGGGGAGATGCACGTAGTAGCGGTTCTCAACCAGAGTGTTGAGAACGACACGAGCCACAAGTTGAGAGAATGTACACGATCAGGCTAAAGTTGCCAGATATGAGACGGCGATCGAGCGTCGCATGATCTCAAGAAGGTAACGACTTTATTTGCTGTCGCCGAGCTCGTTGACCAAGTCTCTCGCAGCCAACATGATGGACGAGAAGTTACAGGCAGATATACAGGAGGTCGATCCTGCCGTCGCCTTCCCAGCTAACCAGCAGCACGTACACTCGACATGGGCCCGCACATTCCACTCGCGACCGGAGCTGTATATCCAACCAGAGACGACCGAGGAGATCCAGAAGATCATCAAGCTCGCCCGGCGAAGCAGGAGGCGCATTGTCGTCGTCGGCTGCGGCCACTCGCCCAGTGACCTTACCTGCACTTCGTCATGGATGATCAACCTCGACAAGTACAACCGCGTGCTCAATGTCGACCGCGACCGCAAACGCCTCACCGTCCAGGGTGGCATCCGTCTGCGCGACCTGAACCTGGCCGCCAGCAGCCACGGCCTCACCATGCCCAATCTCGGTAGTATCCACGATCAGTCCATTGTCGGCGCCATCTCGACCGCCACCCACGGCAGCACCCTCAGACACGGTCTCATGTCCGACTCGGTCAAGTCCATTCGCATTGCCCTTTCCAACGGCTCCATCGCTTCCTGCTCCGCCGATGAGAACCAAGACCTGTTCCGTGCCGCCCTCACATCCCTCGGTGCTCTTGGCATCATCACTGAAGTCGAGTTCGAGATGACGGACGCGACAAACATCGAATGGGAACAAACTCTGAAACCCCTTGACTGGGTGCTTTCGCGCTGGGACAATGATCTGTGGACAAACAAGGAATTCACCCGTGTCTGGTGGCTACCTTACATGAAGAGAGCTATCGTTTGGTCTGCCTCTAAGACGGACAAGCCAGAGAGACCCCCAGTATCGAGCTGGTACGGAGGCTCCGTTGGCTTCCACACCTACCATGTACTTCTCTGGATCTCAAACTACGTCCCTCGCATTCTTCCCGCCATCGAGTGGTTTGTCTTTGGTATGCAGTATGGCTTCTCTGATCATGCTGTCACTAGTGGTATTGAGCCTCAGCGAACTGGTCTGCTCATGAACTGTCTATACTCTCAATTCGTCAACGAGTGGGCTTTGCCTCTCGAGAAGGGCCCTGAGGCCATCACTCGTATGTCTGCATGGATCAACGGCGAGGAAGGCTCTGGAATTCCTTTCAGCAACAAGGGTCTCTATGTTCACGCTCCTGTCGAAGTCCGCGTTTCCGACACCTCTCGCGTCCAGCCCAGACCTTGGATGGACAACACTAACCCCAATGGCCCTACTCTTTACCTCAACGCCACTCTCTACCGTCCCTTCTTGAAGGACCCTCCATGCCACGAGCGCTATTACGAAGCCTTCGAATACCTCATGAAGCAACTCGGAGGCAAGCCTCACTGGGCAAAGAACTTCTCCACCGTCACCAACGACGACCTGCAAAACATGTTTGGCGACAACCTGAAGTCTTTCCTGCGCGTGCGCAACGAGGTCGACCCTGATGGTGTCTTCGTCGGCGCATGGCACCGCCGCTACCTGTTGCCTGCCGACGCCCCTCGCTTCGCTTGCGAGGAGAAGGAGTTGGCAAGAACGCAGGCTGTCGATGGTGGCAAGAACTGGTTCGGCGATTTGACAAGCCATCCAAGAACTGCAGATGAAAAGACTGCTCTGCTCTCGACGGATCAAGGTCCCGACCATGATGATCTTGAGGATGCACGTCGCTTCAGAGAGACTGCTGCCGAGAGTCTGTTTGGCACGAAAGTGTTTGATAAGATGTGATTATAAGATGTAAACGATCATGTATGTTGTTATGCCACTTGAATGTTTCGACTCTCAGTTTTCTGAACTCAACGTATCGAGAAATAAAAGTTCGCAGCCATCAACTCAAGTCCGTTGTTAACAGATGCTCATCAACATCTCAACAAGGCTGAAACCGTTCTGCAGTCTGATGAATCTTCCGCCAGTTCCTGGATTTGTGATGTCTGCGCTTCATTGCACCTTCCATCAAAGTGCTGGTTCAAACACGCGAAATCCGGCTGTTTTCATCATCATCATCGTGACTTCCTCCGCGTACGGACCTAGACAGCTTTGGCTCTCTCCATCGCTTGTGGACCTTCTCTAGCATGGACATTCAATTCTTCGAGCATTTACCCACCTAAATCCTTTTTCGTTCATCTCAGTATCTGAGCGCAACATCCCTATTCAACAACGTACTACGGCTACCCACTCCTACATGCGAAAGATCGATGCCTGGTTCTTCCGAATAAGTCTTTGCTGCCCATAGTTGCTTCAGTCAACCTTGAGATCGCATCTCTCGCCTACCGAATCTGCGACCTCCAGCACGATCATCCTCATCGCCTTGTGCCTTGCATTCTCTGAGCTTCGCACTTGGGGTCCCCAGTCCTCCGACTCATCGCTTCCACCATAGCAGGTCCCGTATCAGCTGGTATGGCGCAAGCGATCCCTGCGACAACACTCGCCGACGCTAGTCTTGCTTCGGACGAGCAACGTGCCCAAGAGCTCGATAAATACTACGCACCAAACCACAAATCAGCGCTGCGATTGACGGAACGAGACTCGGCTCTACCAGCTTTCATGCAACTTCTATGCTGGCGCCTAGGCATGCGACGGGCATTGGTGGGCCTCATTGACCGCGACACTCAATACTACGTTGCCGAGTCTACAAGAACCATGGATCTTCACAACTCTGACGACTACGTTGATAAGGATGATGGTCCGTTGGCTCTCGTAGGTACAGCATCAATGCCACGTTAGCAGTATGCTAACGTACTTTGTGCAAGANACGAGAGTCATCCCAAGACAGGCATCCTATGCGCTGAAACCATTCGGGCTGTGACTGAGTCTGACGAAGAACCTCCTTATTTCGAAGTTTGCGACCTGGCTGCGGATTCTCGGTTTTCTCGGCTCAATATTGTCGAGGATCTCAAGCTTGCTTACTACTGTGGAGTTCCCATAAAGACAAATAACAAGATAGTGATCGGCACTGTCTTTGTTCTGGATGACAAAGTTCGGGAACCTCTTTCCTTGCAGCATATACATTGTGAGTGAGCTTAAGTGATTTTGCAACCAGTCATCACACACTCTTCCACTTGCCCTCATACCTACTCCACACATGATTGCCCATGAATGGTACCTGAACTCCTCACCAAAATGTATCTCTCTAGTCTTGCATGCATCTCACTGACTCGACCAGTCCTCACGTCAATCGCTGACAACGTTATGGTCCACCTGGAGAATCGCAAACAACGGATGGATGTTGACAGGATCATGAAGATGAACAAGTCTCTTGCCTCATTCATGGATTCGCACCAAGACGAGAGAACTCAAACCACACCAGACAATGACAAGCAGGACTCTCCAGGACTTGACGAGCTAGACGATCCACGCAGTGGCACGGACAAGTCTTCGGAAGACGAGCTTCCCNTAGGTAACAGTGGAAGGGAGTACAATCAGGTCTTCAGCCGTGCCTCTATCCTGCTAAAACAATCCTTGGCCTTACAAAGTCTTGGCGGTGGTGTTATTTTTCTGGATACGGCACCAAAGTCTTCGGGAAGAAGCAGCTCAGCCCATCGCCCCCATCGGCGTCAGAGTGGTCCGAAGCGAGACACTTCCAGACTCGTCGCTGGTACAACTCAGCTGTCACGCACCCCCTCAGACGAAGACGGAAATGCGGACAACAATTGTGGAGTTTTTGCTGCCATACTCGCTTGCAGCGTTTGTGTTGCATCCTTCGGTCAACCCGACCAGGCATGCCAGTTGGATCAGAAAACACCTGCAAACATACCTGTCAAAACTCTCTCGAAGTTCATCAAGAAGGTTCCCGCGGGACAGATCTACCACTTCCCAGAGTTGCGTGATCCTCAAACCGGTGAGATGGTGAGAACGAAGTGTGGAAACCCGCAGCATCACGGTAACATAGAGGAGACCGACGTGAGGTCTCTTTTCTCACACCTTCCCGGAGCCGTTGAGATCATCTTGGTACCGCTTTGGAACACTCACCTTGGCAGGTGGTCTGTTTGCCTCGTTTATACACTGTCAAGCGAACGGAACTTCACCCTCGAGATCGACTATTTCTTCTGCCGAGCGTTCTGCAACTGTGTCAAGGCTGAGATTGACCGAGCTGCTGTTGTGATATCCGATCAACAGAAAGGTGACTTCATCGGGTCGGTCAGTCACGAACTAAGATCACCACTCCATGGTATTTTGGCCTCTTGCGAGCTCATTCAAGAAACTGAGATGACGCCTTTTCAAATATCGCTTATTGACACAACAGAAAGTTGCGCACACACACTTCTCGACACTATTCAGATGGTCCTTGATTTCAGCAAGGTGAACGCGTTCACGAACGACCAGCCTGGCGAGAAGTTGAACGTCAGACCTCATGTTGTCAAAGGAGGAATCGAACCACTACTCAGCACATATTCTCATGTAAATCTGGCTGCCATTGCAGAAGAAGTCATTGAGGGTGTTACGACGGGCTTCCTTGCCAAAAGCGATCCAAGTATGGAGTTAGGGTTCGCCGGAGAAAGAGCAAAACGTGATGCCCAAACATTCGAGGATTTGATTGCCATGCCTCAATCTCCTGTGGAAGTCATTCTCGACGTCAGTCCACCACAAGACTGGACTTTCATCACGCAACCTGGATCTTACCGGCGTATCATAATGAATATCTTTGGTAACAGTCTGGTGAGTGCAGCCAACTCTACCGATGAGTATACGACAGAAACATGAAGCCAATGCTGACAAGCTCATTCTCGTAGAAATACACTGTATACTCGACACCATTTGCTGAACTTTAACATGAAAGCACCGCTAATATAGATGCAGGAACACGGTTACATCAAGGTTTCTCTCAAATGCGAAGAGATGAGCACAAAAGAATCAGATCCTTTGATGGCCATGGTTGAGCTGAAGGTTGAGGATACAGGCAGAGGGATATCTCAAGCTTATATGGACACCAAGATGTTCACGTCTTTCGCTCAAGAGAACCCTTTGGCTCCTGGAACTGGCCTAGGACTTTCGCTGGTCAGATCTCTCATTCAGATGATGAATGGAGAGGTTACAGTTCAATCCGAAGTCAACCACGGTACACAAGTTACAGTGAGAATCCCGATGAGACGTGCCAGCTCACACAATCACCATGATGGATTTCACAGACCAAACGAAGACGACATTCAGATCCTGCGTACGATCTTTCCTCGGCCTCAAATTATGAATTTCCAGCAAGACATACTGCCCAATGACACGCCTCAGAAACGTGAAGGTTATCAGATGCAGAAACACGCACTGGCTGCTTGCATCAACGGCTGGTACAAAGTCGAAGCTCTTTATGACTGGGACCTGAAGATCAGACCAGATATCATTCTTGTGGACGATGTTCATCTCCTAGGCATCAAGGAACATTTGAAACTTTTGGAAGACTTCAATGCTGTTGTTGTTGTCCTCTGTTCAGACCGATCCAGAACAGCAGCGATCTCGAGAAACGTCAAATACCCCAAACTGCATGTTATGCCAAAGCCATTCGGACCTTTTAAGCTCGCGAAAGCACTCAAGCATGCCCTGGACAAGCGAGGTCCTGTTGGAGGAACAACATCCGTTACACCTATGTCCAAGGAGATCGGACCTGTTCCTGAGCTCAAGCAGCTGAGCCCAACTCTAAGACGAATTCCTTCCGGATCACAGGATTTATCGAAAAGAGCGCGGAAGCCATCATTGAAAGGAAGCTTTCCCTTCCCGTCAATGGTCGTCACACCAGCTCCCAAGTCACCTACACCGTCGATACCAGGAATCACGCCTCAGATTGAGGTACCAGGAACCTACAATAAGCGGCTGAAGATTTTGGACGTACCATTGTCAGAACAACAACCTCTCGAGAAGCACGATGCACTCGTACGCAGCCACAGTGAAGGTCATCTGGAGCATATACAATTCAAACGCGTCAAGCCCAAGATATTGCTTGTCGATGACAACGAGGTTAACCTCAAGCTCTTGCAAACATTCTTTGTTCGCCGCGGCTTCACGGACATGAGGCTGGCTCGAGACGGTAAGGAATCAGTGAAGCTCTATGAGGATGCATTGCAGCAGCACAATCCTTTCCACCTGGTATTCATGGACATCAGTATGCCGGTATGTTTTGACGCCTCAACTCGTTTGACAAGCTTGATTACTAAGCTCGAGACTAGGNTCATGGATGGTTTCGAGGCCACGAAACTCATACGTCAGAGGGAAATTTCGACATCAGCAAACTCTGCCGAACCATACCACAGTCTGATCATTGCTCTGACAGGCAATGCTAGCGCAGAAGACCAGACTGACGCTTTCACGAATGGTATGGATATGTACATGACGAAACCCGTTTCACTCAAGGATGTTGGGGAATTGATGAAGGCTTGGGAGGATAAGGCAGCAATTTTTGGAGTGGCAGGTGCAAGAGCTGCGCTTCTTGAAGGCAATGCAAGTGCTGATGAAGCCTGAGGTTTTGGTTATCCTTAGAGTACGCGTAATGCACAAATGCAAGTATTCTTCCTTGACTTGTCAAATGTCGTGTTTCTCCTCTTCTTCACTCTCGTGCATCATCAAGTCAAGGTGTTACAAGAAGAACGAACGAGAAAACGAGTTTGAAGACTCTAATATTGTTGATGGCTCTAGCAGCTACATGTGTACATTTCACGTCAACAGCAAGAAAAGAATATAAAGAGCCTGAATCATACATGGCCACAATGACCATCCTCCATCATGTCTCGCTCAACCATCCAGCCACCAAGACTCTTCCTCTGGCATCTTGCATATACATCTTCCCTCACATAGTAGGCGAATGACTCACACTCCTCCCCTTAGCAAACCAACCCCATCCGCCCGCCTTGCCTCCCACCCCACTCGCAACCGGCGCCAACATCTCCGGCGACCCACCAGGACTAGGTCCCAACATCGAACTCGGTGTATCAGGCCTCTGCACCAACATCTTCATTCTCTCCATTTCATTCTCATGCGCTTCCATCTGTGCAATCATCATGTGTTCCATAGCATCTATTTTTGCTTGCATTTCCTCTTTTTGCTGTTCCATTTGTCTGCGCATTTTGTCGAGAGAGATTTGCAAGAGTTCGTTTTCGTGGATGGCGGTTGCTTCGCGGGTTTTTGCGGCCACGAGCTCGACGAGGAGGGTTTCGTCTGAGGGGGTGCGNTGCGAAGGTGTGGAGAGGATGTTTTGGGATGACAGTGAAGACTTGCGTTTGGGAATTGTTGTTACTGCACTGGTGGTGGGAGTAATGGAGCCAGAGTCTTCTCGTGCAGCGTCTGTCTCGGTGGTTTTTCTGGCTTTGAAGCCGAATTTCTGAGGTTTGGCGAGGATTTCTGTTCCGTCTTGGGATCTGATCATGCGGAGGGGAGGACCAGGGCGATGTTGTTGGGTGGCGGAGCCGGGAGAGGGAAGGGGTTGGTGGGGTCGTACACGAGGGACGGAGATTGTGATGTCGGGGAACGAGTCTGAGAGATCGCGAGAAGCCTTGTTCTCATGGCGACGATAGAGNGAGCGGCGGACTCTGACGGATTCGGATGGAGCTTCGCCTGCTTTGAGGGATAGTCGGGCATCCTTGAGATCTGATGCCCTTTTCATGTGGCGGTACGTGCGGTCCTTGGCCACTCGCTGGCGCAACTTGACAAGTTCGTTCTCCAGCTTGACGGTGTATTCACTGGGGAGCGGCGCTTGCGATGGTGGTGTCTCGCCATTCTCGGATCCACTGTCGGAGTCGAGTGATGTTTCGGCATCAAAAAGAGCACAGAGCTTCAGCAGCGAGGAATGAAGACCGGCATCCCTGTCTTGACCAGGAGCGTTGCCGGCAATGATGCTGTGAGTTACTGATCTGACAAAGTTGGATTGTCTTTTCAGTGATGTCACCTCTTCGCGGGTCTTTTCATGGTCAATTCTGGAGGGCAGAGTCGTGCGACGCTGTCTGCGATATGCGTCTACTGTCTTCTTCTCACTGAACAGCTCAAGCAAGTCAGCAACAATCTCTTGGGCTCTGGTTTTTCTAGCTTCTTCTCGCTGGAGGTTCGCTGCGGTCTGGGCTGCCTCGCGCTGCACTTCACTAAGCGCAAGCAATAGGCCCTCGACTTGTTCGTGCAAGTTTCTGTCTTGGGAAATGAAGGATCTGTGTGGCTTTGTTGGAGTAACACTGTCCCTCTCAAGATCGTCAATCTCGGTGGGAGCAGTGCTGGCGTAGCTGTCAGTGCTAACCATGCTAGCTCCACTACCAGAGATGGAGTTTAGAGTCGAAAGCGATTGTCCGGATGCTTTGCGGCGAAGAGGTGCAGCAGGCGAAAGAGAGTCGCTCTTTGATGAAGACCAGAAGTCAAACAGTCTAAAGGCATTTCCGTAGGTGCTGGTGAAGCCTAGAGCGCGAACAGTCCTATCTGCCGAGCCTCTTTCTGCCTGTTTGAGGAACTGCTTGCCGAGCTTGTCGAGAGCGTCACGAGTGACGACCTGCTTGAAGAGAGTGGTGACTTCTTCGATAAGTTGGTCGGGGTTGTTCTCATATGGCTCCCAGATTTCACGAGAAAGAAGCAGCTGCAGGACGTCCTCCAACTCTGCCATGGCCAGTAGCTTTTGCTCGTTCTTGAGGACCAGAGCCAAGGCGACACGCATGACAGTCTCATCCGCGCCCTCAGCAAGGACAACATCATAGATGCGGAAAAGAGTATCCAGAGGACATGTGGTAGCAAAAATGGTCATGAACCACTGTGAAAGGTATGCAAACTCGACACCCAGGTTCTTGAAGTGGGCGACAAGCTTAGGAGCTAATGGGGTAAGTAGCTGTTGGAACTGGAAGATACGTGAGTGGAGACCAGTCAAGGAGTGTGAGTAGGAGTCGCGGAGTCCGTGATTCTCCATAAGTCTGACAAAGACGCAGAAGGCATCTCTAGCGTCCATCTTCATGAGCAAAATGCCAACAATGAAGCCCATGCCCTGGCAGTAGCCAATTTCCGAGTCGTATAAGTTGTAGCACTTCAGGACCTGGCCGAGCATGGTCTGACCCTCACCGCCAGCCTGGGCGAAGAGAGGGTGGTTGGGGAAGCAGCGGCCAATGTCCTTGTCAATGATAGTGTCCGAGGTAGGAGGTTCGCTCTCGATTTGTGCCAGGAGACGGTCGAATTCCGAGTAAAGTCTTTCTTCGCGTGCACCGGCAATGCCTCCCCATACGACAGGCCTCAGGAAGTCGGGGACTCCTTTGTGTATCATGATTGGTGTCATGGTGGGCATGGATGACAAGGCCTCTTGGTAGTCACGAACGACAAAGGCCCAGAAGTCGCCCAGACTCATGCCGAGAGCCTCCTTGGGGATGTGTAGGCTGAGTAGCGATGCGCCGCCAATCGAAGCAGTGCGGTCGGGGCTGGAGACGGTCACAGTGGTGATGCCGGCCTTGGGATCGGTAGCGAGGGCGTCGTTTTCCATCTCGAGGCGAGCGAGGAGAGCGGCCATGTGNCTGTGCGCAGGTGAGTGTTTGTTTTGGTGAGTTGTAGAGAGGTTCATTAGGCGTACCTCGTCATCGTCATGTCCGCCATGTCGAGGGGTAGACTCGTCTAATGGAGAGCCGATTACCGAGTCTGTGAGAGGTACGCTGACCAGCGAGTCTGTGTGTGCGTGGTGGGAGGGAGCGAAGTCGGGCGAGAAGGGCGTCTCGAGACGTGTTTCGAGGGCAGCCATTGTTGGCGGGCCGTCTATTGTTGATGTTCTAGGGGTAGTATGTCGTGTGTCGTGTGTAAAATGCAACCGAGGGTGACCAGCAATCCCTTTGTTCGTCTATAACATGTCGCTCTGGCTAGAGAGCAGACTGTTCTGATTCCTTTCGGATGAAAGAGCAGTAAATAAGGAAGGGACGCGTCGAGTCGAGTCGAGCACAGTCAAAGGAATGAGACTGGTAATGGATGTCGTCGCTGTCAACCAAACGTGATCGTTTTCTGCACACGCAGCTTCAGGAGCACATGTCGACCTGTAATTCGAGTAACCAAGTAGCAACCTCGAAAATCCATCAACGGCCGAGTCTGAGGCAGCCAAAGGTAACTCGCTGTATGAAACGGCCATAGGAGCCCCCTGATTGCATTTCCGCGCTAACCGAACTTTCTTCCTCCAAGCACACGCGCCCTGAGTCAAGCTAATTTCATCACCTCTTTACTCTGCTTGTTCCACGCATCTTCCATTGCTTCTCTAGCCATCCAATCAGTAATATACCATGCGACATGTTCTGCTGTGCCACTGAAAGTCGCTCTACACTTCAGGAGTTCAACATCTGGTCCTCCTGACAGACAGAACGCACACTCCTTCCCCACGTTGTCATGGCAAGTATCTCTTTACATTTCCACAACGTTGCACCCTCTCCATAACCGTCGTCTACCGTGTGTCTGTCTATCCTCATCAGTCGCTGCCGTCAGTTGTGTGCGTGAAGGATAGGTGCTCGAGTATTCCGCCCACGAGGTCATCTCGCATCATAAAGCGGCACAAGTCTAATCACCTGTTCATATATTTGGAAACGCCATTCATACCATGTTTTTGCGACCACGTCATGCCAAATTTGGAATGATGTTTGATTGTGATCGCTTCGCCACAAATTCTAGAAGTCTCAATTCCTTGCAAGACGAAAGACTGACAAGATGGAGTCGCGACTCGTTTCCTACACACAAGTCGTTGCATACCCGACCATCTACATAAATTTTACACGCCATTAATACACCGCTGACTTCTTGCTACCTCTCCTTTGCACAAACGGTCGACAGATACAAGCCTCCCGACGGCACAAACAAGCAGCGGGTGGTGATAGGGGCAATAGTTCTAGAGTATCCTGTGATTACCCTAAGACATGGGTGCCTGCCGAACCGCCCGACAGGAGGATCTGTACCAGCTTTCCAGTCTCGAGGTCTGCAAGACAAAGAGAGCATTGTTTGTAGCCGCGCGGTTGTGCAGTGAGTCTTCTGTGCATCTAGGCGGCTATTTTTGCTTGCCTGAAAGGAAGACTCGAGGGTTGGTCCGTGCATGCTGTTGCGTCGATGAGCTTCGACTCTTTGTCCCTTTTTCGTCTTCGTCCTCAAGGACTTGCATCTTCCATGAGTTGGACCCATGAGCCATGCTCAATGCACTTGTCGAACCCTCGCTGTATATGGCTTACTGAGATACAAGTCTGTCTTGTCTACCGTACCTTGGTACTGCTAGAGAAGTATCTCCAAGATGGATCAATCATTCGATCGTCATCGTCTTGTTCATGTTCCTTGCCAATGACAAGATGTAGCGCAAGAGTCCCAGCCCGACCGCATACCTGAAAGCTGCTAATTACACCACTGTGCTCATCGAGCTCGATTTCTCACGTTCAGTCCTTACCTTCTCTTTGACTGTGGCTTCAATCCCGAAGAGGTCTTTGGCTTCGTGGTCCGCAGGAGCTCGAGGATCGGCTTCGAATACCTACGTATGTGGTATCACGGGGACCCAGCTCAGTGAAGGTAGAAGCACCAGCAAGCGCTGTATGACCCGATCGAGGAAGTGCGCGGGCTTGAGTATGCGGACATAGGGAAGCAGAGCTGCGTCTGGGATACTCGGTGAACCGACAGGCCCCACGGAGTGGAAGGTCGAAGCTGTAGGATGTGATGGCGGAAAAGAATGGACTTTCGTCAAGGGCCATGTTCTTATGTTGGGAGCAGAACGCTACAGAGAGAGACATGAAGAATTCCGGACTTCAAGCTCGGAAGGGACTCTTGAAAGCCGGAGAGCAGCCATGATAGCTCAAGCCATCGAACGTGGTCTGCGCCATGGGCCAGATCTGTGGCTGAGTCTGACAATTATGATCGCAATATGGCTGCCATGATGGTGTGGAGTGAAAACTGGCGATGGCTTGAACAGTCGGTGTCGTGTGTCAAGCGCCAATTATTGGATCCAGTCGAGCTGACGGTTGTGGCTTGAATGGCTGCAGATCCTTGTATCCCTGGGAACCGTCATCAGTCCGACCATTGGCACCCGTGGAATGTGCAAATCAAATCTCAATCCCAACTGCCCATCTCTTTGTACCTCTACAAACAAGACCAACAGTTCACATCCACCAGCGCCAGCGCTTTACTTCATATACTTCATCACAGAGGCTTTCAGGCACGAACGATCTCGAGACCCTTGTGGGCCCAAACAGCATCGACCTTGAACCTCTTCCCGCGCCTTGGCACCGTCTAGCGCAAGAGTGATTTCACCAACGTCATCTGCGAGCACCATTTCGCGGCCGAACCTTGTTCAGCACTCAGACAAGGCCAAAGCAAAAAGCTCCTCCTCACGTCACGACCGACCAACGATTCGCGCGACTCTTTAAACCACCCTGTGACCTGCCCTGTCAAACCATCTTCCTCCTAGACATAGCATCCCCACAACCTACCGACCACTGCCCTAGGCCACACATTAATTAATCACATATCGATCTCCGACACATCAGCACAATGGCTGTAGCGCGTATGTCTTTTCACTTGCCATCAGAATCCCTTCAAACGCTGACATACCTCGCAGGACCTGTCTTGGGATTGATTTCCCTCGTTCTTCTGGGCGCAGGACTTCTCTTCCAATTCTTTGTCATTCTGTCCGGCGTGTCAAACACAACACCCCTCAACAAGACCTACTTCATCCAGGTCGACACAACAGGCACTTCGGCTCCTCGCAGCCCCTCTCGATGGACCTTCTTCTACATTTGCGAAGCGGTCAATGGCCGTAACGCAAACTGCGGTTCTCCCGTCCCTGCTCTGCCTTTCGATCCCCCAAGAAACTTCGGCAGCACCCAAGGCGTTCCTGAGTCCTTCATTGGAACTCACCACTACTACTACCTCTCGCGTTTCATGTTCGCTTTCTACCTGATCGCTCTCTTCTTCGCTGCCATGGCCTTCTTCACCGGCATCCTTGCTCTCTGCACTCGTCTTGGCTCTTACCTCTCTGGCCTCACTGTCGCCGTTGCTGCTTTCTTCCAGGCCCTCGCTGCCGCTCTCATGACGTAGGTCTTCATCACAACCAACTCGGCCCTTTCCACGAGTACTAACATTTTCCCAGCGNCATGCTTCGTCCAAGGCCGCAACGCCTTCCGTCGCAACGGTCAGAATGCCACCCTCGGTCGCTACGGCTTCGGCTGGACCTGGGCCGCCTTTGCCGCCTACTTCCTCGCCATGATCCTCTTCTGCGTCGGCGGTGCCGTTTCCAAGTCAAGCAGCACCACTCCCCGTAAGGGCGGCATGTTCGGTCGCAAGGCTAGCACCCGCTCGCGCGGCAGCTTCATCGACTCAGAGAGCCAGAGACGCGTCAAGGAAGAGTACGAGTAAACAGGACACCTTACGTTAAGAAACACGTTGTTCTGCTTTACGAGTTTCCTTTTTTCTCAACGCTCATGATATCCCCCTCTCGATCCACAAGACTGCCATCTGTGCAGGTTCTCTGTGGATGTTGGTGTATGATTATACCGACCTTTTCGTAATGTTGTCTCTGGTTCTCGATGGCTGTATCATTACTACCCCATTTCCTTGATTCTCTTGATGTCCTTTATGCGAGCAACGAGCAAACACAATACCTAATGTCTTTTCAACCTTTTGTGTAATATATCCTTTGCTCTCTCTCTCTCTACATCGTCGCTTTTCTCTCCATCTCTTGACATATACATATATATGATATTGGAAACATTTAACCACGATGGATCATTTCTTTGTGAACACTGCTCGGTCTTCGGCTTTGTTATTGTTGGAATTACTTGCACAGCCGTTGCATAACATGCACATCCGTTCTCTGTACATGATCAATATTTATTGCGTATCGTATGCTACGCTACCTAGACAACGGACACAAAAAGATAGCTCTGCTCAGAGAAAGGTTTAACATGTACAGTACACACCTATTCCTTGAAGAATATCTCAGATAAACGTCCAAAAGATGTGCCCGAGTTTGTGGGTACTTTGTGCATAAAGACAGGGTCATACCAGGAACACCCTCAATATCTCTGACATCTCTATTTCTAGCCTCCACGGCGCCTCTATTACGAGTATTAGTACTTCTTGCCACTCTTCGTGTACCTTATAGCCCATTGTGCCAAGTGGAAGTTCATCACATCTGTGATTGCTGAGATATCATCATTTCAAAGACTCACTTGTTGTTATATCAGAACGTTTACAACAGTCAACTGTGTTTGACCTCAATATTTCAGGACATACCGGTATCAAAATGCAAACCTCTCGCCGTTCCATAAACTGACATCCACAGTGACTGACGTTCATTTCTCTATCCATGAAAATATTCAGTCTTGCATAATAGAGGTCATGATAAGCAGATTAGACATTCTTGTCAGTGCTGTCGTTACTGTGGATTATGTACGACTTTGATGAGGCACAACCAATGACATCCGGTGTGGTCTAACGGCTAGGATTTCTCGCTTTCACCGAGGAGGTCGGGGTTCGATTCCCCGCACCGGAACATCCTTTTTGCTCCAATACTCCCTTTTTGCATCAACAGAAGGTTGCTTCCTTCTATCAATATCCACTGTGACACTGTGTACACTGTCTACAATGATCTCACGATGAATCGCATCTCACTCTTCGATGGCCTGGCCGAATTCTCCAGCGGTTGCGATGAGTGTACCACAGCAGCTCACGGCGATAAAAGGCAAAGAGGCAAGCACCAAGAAGAGATCGGGTAATCAACAGCTTTTCGTGTTCTTGAGAATACGTAGGTATCGATCTGTCAACTCGACAATCATAGGAGTAGAGTCCGTCATGTTCCCCGATGCAAAACTCCTGCCCAAGAAACAATAAACCCTCCAACGCCTTGCTACTCATGCCAATGTGGTAATGCTACCATGATACCAGACTCCATTGCTCCATGATCAAAGTCCCGAAACCTTGTAACTTCCTCCAATGTCACCCCTTTCTGCATCGGCAGACGCCTGGTAACGATCACCCTGGTGAGCGTTGCCGAAACTGGAGCTGCGACGTGTTCTCTCATGATGTTGGGTGCCGCTGATGCTCGAACTGCGACGTCTCTTCTCGTCATAAACATGGTCGGGAGCGCGGTGGGCATCTCGAGGCACATTTAGACTATCACGAGTACGGTCAGAATCGGCACCATCATGAGTAGTTCCAGACAAGGTACCGTCGTAGCCACGTGAGCCGGTAGGGTTACCTTCACTTGCAGAAGAAACCTGTTTAATGGGAGGAAGGGCGGGAGCGGGACCGGAGGGATGAGTGTTTCCGTAACCAGTGTTGCCATAGTTTGCAGGAGCACGAGGAGCAGCTGCAGCTTGGCGAACATCTTGTGAGTGATAGATGCCGCGGCCGTCAGCAATGTACTCACTACGTCCGATTGCCACGTTCGGTCTGGCCACATCTGCTGCAGTAGTTGCCGTGTCCTCATCAACCTGGAAAACCTCGGCCTCCTTGTCGTTGAAGTCCTGTCCAGGGTTGGCGGTCTCGTATTCCAGAATTTTGATAAACTTGTAGAATCCGACGGCCAGAATGGATCCGAGGAAGGGGCCAAGCCAGTAGATCCAGNNTCTTTACCCTCGAATCAGTATTGAACTTGGAGAAGAAAGAAAGAAAAGATAGAAAAAGAGAGAAAGAGTCAAAAAGTCAAAAAACACGAAAATCAAGCATTTTCACTTACGATAGCCTGGGAAGACGCCCAGAACGACGCATGGTCCGAAGGAGCGGGCGGGATTGAGACTGCCACCAGTAAAGTAGACACCGGTAAGTTCGGCGATGAAAAGTGCCAGTCCGATGCCAATGGGAGCAAGGAAGGTTCCTTTGTGCTTCTCAGCAGCCAGCATGAGAATGGTGAAGACGAGCATGGCGGTCAGGAACATCTCAATGAACAGGCCTCTGACGATTGAAGTGCCACCTCCGAGAGTTGTCGATACGTTCATGGCGGAAGGGAAAAGGCACGAGACGATTCCAGCAGCAGCAATGCCGCCCAGGACCTGGCCAATGAAGACGAGCAGACCGCGGACCCATTTGCAGGCACCGATGAGGCACAGGGCGAGAGTGACNCTGTGGAGAGTTTAGTATCGTGCAAGAGACGGATGGATATATGCTCAACTCACTGCTGGGTTGAAGAGACCGCCAGTGATGCGGAAGAAGACCCAGGCGTTGACAGCAAGCGAGAAGCCAAAGGCCAATGCAATGTACAACAGAGCAGATGTGTTGGGGGCTTGGGTGATAGAGCCATCCGTATTGCTCGACGAAGCATTGCTGGTAGCGGCATTGGCGACTTGGGTAGCGCTGAAGGCGAAGAACAGGAAGAGGAAAGTTCCGACAAACTCGCCAACGACGGCAATGAATTGGTTGCGGACCTTGTTAGGGAGCCAACCAAAGCCAGCGAGGCGGTGTTCATGCTGAGAATTGCTCTCGCGGTACTTCATGAAGGGGAGGGTGAGGCCCCTGCCTGGACGGTCGAGATTCATGGTGGGTTATGAGATGTAGGGACGAGATTGTTGTAGAAGAGATGCGGTAGTGGTGATGCTCTGAGGATGTTTGCTGCAGGAAGTTGTTGTACGACGCAGGCACTAGATAAGTTTGAGGTAGGACAAGCACAGGTTAATGCCAAAGCAAGCTTGATGCAAAGGTAACGAGGATGGGAGTTGATGTGAGATGTAGAGGAGGGATGCGAGGTGGGGGCGAAGGTGAAGACTCGAGCTTCAAGGCGACGCGCATACAGACAATTGTCGAGGAAGGAGCCACCACGATGTACGGATATTTCATTCTTAAAGCATGACGAAAGTGCTGCCCGCACGGCAGGCGCCATCGCAACCTCTCAACACTGAACCTACCTACTCGTTTCAAAAACGGCATGCCCTCACCGTGGTGCCGATCTCTGGTACAGCCGCGTATATCTGTAAGCCTCATACGGTTCGGTTCGTTGGACGCTCAAGTAGAGGAAGACGAGAAATGCTGAGACAAATTATGCCACTGACGCAGTCCATCCTCTACCAAAAGGAGATCCACGATCCACCCCACCTCACCCCACACTGGGAGTCCTTTTGTCGACTTTCTCCTTCGAGTCTCTGTGCCCATCATAGTTTGCCATGTACATATCCCCACCCGTGCTGCATGATGCAAGGTTGTTTTGCAGTATCTCCCTCTAATTTTGTTCCGCATAGCCGTTGCTTATATCAGTATTGGTGAGGACTTCTTCGGATCTGCCAATGCTTGCAACGAAGAGATCGGTTTTGGCGACACACGGACCTCTAATGGCACGGGTGATGCGCATCAACCAGCAAATCGTTGATGTCACACACAAAAGTGTTTTCACGTGTAAATCAGATGGTTGAGCAGAGGCTCGAGATATCGATGGTCAGAGAAATGAATTCTCCGATCAGACATGGTCCTGACTCGAGACGTATAAAAGTAGGAGAGAAAACTCGAAGTCGGGGATGTAGGTAACCTTGAGTCTGATGTCCGGAGACTGCTTTGCGAAAAGGTCTGAGAACGGTGGAGAACGTGTTGGCAGCTCCGACACCCAAACGAGCTACCCGTTCATCGGGTTGGTGTTCCTTCTGCACTTCAGCTTTTACACTCAGACTGATCCATGCCTTGACGTCGTTGCAGTCACTCCCACTCTGACAAAGATTGGCGAGAGTGTAGAGAGGATGAAGAGCAGACAGTCAGTATCGCGACATCACGTGTATGATCTCGGCTGTCGGCAAAGAGCCGAAGATTGAATGATCAGTCCAAAGTCAGTCATGCGGCGCGCAAAAGGCAAAGCACGCAGAGTAACTCGACACACGGTCACACCCCTCAGTCTGGCCTGGTTTGGTGTGTTGAAAGAGAAAAACTCTCGAGTGTTTATCTTGAAGTACTTTCTGTTGTTCGCAGACGCGTCTACCTGTTGATACTCTCTTCGTTCTGTTAGATACAGCCAAACACTTTCCCACCCCCAGCTTGTCGCCATCATTATTACAGCCTGCCACCGCCACTTCTGCCTGGCAGTCGGGTCCGACGGGCGCATACACCGAGAGCGCCCTAGTGATATGAACCACGCTCGAGACAAGCATCATCGCGCTTTGTAACCTCTGCGGTAGCACGCCCTGTATATTTGACCCCGTATCACAGCCAACATGCGGCCTCTCCGACTGCTCCTTTCGCTGTCGTCATGCTTGATCTTCATCATCGTTCTGTCCTTTGTCGCCGCATCCAAGACGAGGTCTGTGTCTGCAGCACGCGACCACAACAACCGTCTCGGAGCCTACTTTAGCTGGAATTCGCCCTCGTCGTTGTTTCCACCATCAGCCATCATAAGCTTGACCGACGACAACTCGACTNTTTTCCTCGCCCGCCCCGCTGCCTTCGGCCCGCCGTTACCTGGACACGGCCTCAGCGGTCAGATTTGGATAGGCGCCGGCTTCGGCGACGACAATCCTGGCCACGGCGGTATTGCTGGAGCAGAAGGAGAGCTCGGCTGCAGCGACGTGCCAGGGTGGAGCGATGGCGAATATTCTCCTACAAACTTCGAAACAATCCCTCGGGAGCAGGACGTCAAACCAGGGGCCAAGGGAAGCAAGAACAAGAGGAGCTTAGAATCAGAGACACAAACAGAGGGTGGCGCTGCAGACGTCCAGGTTGATGGCACAGACGACCACCTCCATCAAGCACTGTCTTCCTCGTCTGATGTCGGCTCGACACAGCTGACGCAAACGTCGAAGAAGGCCAAGAAGCCAGGACATGCCGACATTCAATCACTGCAAGAGACGGCAGAAATTGCAGGCAAAGTCGTGCTTTTGAGTCGAGGTGGATGTGGCTTCCTAGAGAAGGCCAAGTGGGTACAAAGAAGAGGAGGTGTCGCTTTAATCGTCGGCGACGATATGCGTGGAGGTCCGTTGGTAACCATGTACGCCCGGGGCGATACATCCAACGTTACGATTCCTTCCATCTTCACATCACACACCACAGCACACCTCCTGTCCAAGCTGGTTCCTTCAGGAGGTCTCCGTGAAGGCATGTCTGCTCAGGACGCCGCGCGTCTGGGGCTAGGGTTGCCTGTGAGTGGTAATCCCACCGAAAAGATTAAGAAGCAACCAGACTCGACCAATACGAGACCAACTCACTCTCCAATCGTCAACCGTCAGAAGGACGACGACGACGACGACGAGGAATCAGGAAGCTGGTTAGGTTCACTATTCTCCTCCTCAGACGAGGATCGTCATGATAGCCGAAGACCACCTAGCAGTGGTAACATCGATTGGGTCTTACAAAAGGACTTTGAAGATGAAGCACCGAAGAAGTACAACACCAAGTCTACCAGTACCACCAAATCGACCAAACAGACAAAGGCATCCAGCAGTGATGAGTTCGTCATTGGTATCCATGATTGGCGAGACCCAGACTTGCTTGACTCACAGATCAACGCTGCTCAGACAGCATCAAGCAAGTTGCCTAAGTCGGCTGAACAGAACTCTGCCGCACCTCATGCAGGACCCAAAGGCGGCAGCATCACTCCGGGAAGTGGAGAGTACCACCAGGCTGGCGAGAAGCCAGTCAATCTCAAAGCTCCCAAGAAACCTGAGAAGAGTAGACTGGATTCGAAGAAGGAGCCAGCTGCCGACAAACCCAAGTCATGGATAGGTCGTCTCGTTGGTTCAGATGAAGAGGATCGAAACTCTGAGAAGGTCGAGCCACCACACGTTGTATCACAAGTCAACAGCAAGCCTGTTGTCAAGACTACTGGCGAGCATGACAGCCCAGACGGGTCGCACGATGGTCTGTGGGTAACTCTGACCCCTGCATCCATGTCTTCTTCGCCCTTCTTCGATACCTTGCTGGTCTTGGTCGTGTCACCTCTTGTCACATTGACTATTGTGTACGCCTTACTGCTACTTCGCTCTCGCATTCGTCGCAGAAGATGGAGAGCTCCTAAATCCATCGTTGATCGCTTCCCTGTACGGATCTATCACACTGTCCCCAGCAGCAACAGTTCCAATGCTCCGGAAAGCACCGCAACATCTCCAGATGCACCAACCCAGACCACACCTCTTCTTCATGCCGGAGCGCGACCAATCTCTCAAACAAGATCAAGACCAAGGTCCCGTACAGTCAGTGAAGTGCCTGTGTCCAACTCCAGCCCTGCAAACACCCTAAGCCTGGATCAAGTGCACGAGAAGCGCGAGGCTGGACTAGCTGAATGGCGTAGGAGATATGGTGGTAGACAACGCGATTGTGCCATCTGTATTGATGAGTTCGAGGATGGTGTCAGCCGCGTCATGAGCTTACCTTGTGGCCACGAGTTCCATGTCGATTGCATGTAAGTTCTGCACACGTCACTCGAGAAGTTCGTTTGTGTCTGACTCTATCTAGTANCCCCATGGCTCACAACCCGCCGCCGTACATGTCCCAATTGCAAGGCCGATGTCGTGCGTTCGTTTGGTCGTGGTGGTGGTTCTTCATACTCGTCATCGTCAGCCCAACCGCTTCTCGCGCATTCACACGATGATTCGTTGGATATTGACGACGTGCAAGAGCAAGCAGTCAACACTCGCAACTACGACCCCGTTGCAAACGAGCCACTCACCGATCTAGAGCAAGGAAGCGTCGATCCTGACCGCACAAGATGAACAATTCAGGAGCGATATTCATGACTGGCATGACTGGCGTTCTTCCCTCGAGTCTTTATGAGCTGGCTCTATCTTCTATTCTCTTGCATTGCTCATAGCATCAGCGGTGGAGTGAATCAAGGATCCTTGTGAGATAGATCTTTGCTTCATGTTTCTTCGCCTTCTGGAATGAGGCTTTGGCCCTCTCTAGCTAGTCATATCAACAATGCTCTCCACACCGCAATGGAGATTCCTCTTCTCTTTACTTCCTCCCCATCTGCAAGAGGCAGTCACTGAATCCTCCGTCCCGGTGACATATGGTGTTATCATATGCTATAGAAATGCACAGTCGCTTTCTACATAGTGGCGTGGCCATAGAGATGCTCGAGGATAACTTCTTCTCCATGGATCTCGCTCTGTTGTGGAAAGTATTGTGTATTTCCATAGCTACATTATGACTATCCAGCACACAGGGAGGTTCGGTTGCCGTGCCATTGTTGTCATCAATGTGACCAGGGTGTCTGCTCCCGGATCCTGGATCGCTTTGGTTCAGGGCTGCAGTAGATGCATCGCGTGTTGCTCTCGTGGCATGATCATATCAGCCGCAAGCCCATTGCGCCGAAAGAATCCGTAATTAATATATGCCACATGGTATGCATCTTCCATGCACTTCCAAATCATCATGACCCGTATCTCACCAAGCTGCACTCATCCGAAACCAGCAGCTCTGGTCTCTACTTCAAACTTGGCTGGCTGCCGGCAGTGGTTTTTGTCTGTGCTGTTTATTGAAGAACGAATCTCAGGAGTGGCTGGTGCTCCATGTACCGATGCAAGCAAGACCCATGGATTTTAAGGCTTCTGGACAGCCATGTCGACAGCACAAGTATTTGGATGTAGTTTCAACACGGTCGGATCACTTTTCCAAGATCGTAAAAGAAAGGGGTTGCTTTCGACAAGCGCGACGGTCCGCTGCCGACGGACCGTGAACGGATCGAAAAAGCAGCGTCTTGGCGGTGATGCCTTCCGCACCTGCAGCCGCGTGTTTTCCTTTCCACTTTTTGAATTCGCCCAAAGTCATCCCCTGCATGATGCAGGATGCGCTATGATGGGCTTTCGAGAGCCACACCACCACAAGCTTGAAGAAGAGGACCTGTTCGCCTCTTGGATGTTCGTTCTCTCACCGGTCTGGGCAGCAAGTCACTATTGAGAGGGACTTGGAAGCCGTCGCGTAAATAAGCAAGGTTTGAGAGCTGTCTACTCAAGCACAGTTGACTTGTATATGTGCAGCCGCAGAGGCTCCCCAAGTCACTACAACACCACATCCTCTGCACTGCTCTTTCTTCGAGGACTTACTTTAGGCCTGCTTGCATAATCATCCAGGTTCGCGGTAATTATCAAAGTGCTTCCATGCACGATATCTATTCGCGACAAAATGTCTCGATCTAGCAGCTTCCCAGTCCTACAGGCAAGCTTCACAAGATCAGGAAAGACACGAAGAGGTCCATGACTTGAGTTCGGAAGAGTCACGGTCTAAAGACGCCAATTCGAACGCGAGCTCACGCCAAAAACGCAAGTCATGCTGCAAGTTGACGGTTGACGTGCAGAAAGCGGTTTGTGGAGACACATGGCTAAAATTCAGGGCCAGAACGCCCCTGATAACCTTTTGACAGGAGTTCTAGCAACGCGCCATCCACTCACACGTCGAGAGGACTTGCGCCATCGACAGCCTTTGATCCAACATCCCGTGTACATGTGTCTGAATCCAAGTCGCCATGCGCTATCTACCCGCACCTGCACAAAGGTGGATGGGCGGGCCATGAGATCTCTAGCGTAGACATACCAATAACTAGTCCACTACATGTACCCCGTGTCCTGGTTTTGCCCTTGGTCCCTTCATATATCCATCAGGCCGTCATCTGATCTGGTTTATTTGAATCCACCTTCGCTCAATCTTTGATCTGAACCACTCCACCGGAATACAGATTTGCTTCGCGCTCGGCAGTCTTTAACTCGGACCACTCGCGGCATTCCCAGAACTCCATCGACCAACATCAATTTTTTGACAGTCCAACAACGTCACCGTTGCCATTTCTGCAGGACCAGTCTCGTCTGCCTTGCGGTGTAGAAAGCTTGAATACTTTCTGGCTCTTGAGCACTGCTCAAAGAGAAGGGCGTTCCACAACTCGTGGTCTCAAGTAAAATCGTACTCGTAACTGATCACACACAACACAATGGCGACAGTTGTTGGAGCTGTAGGAGCATCTACAACAATGGCAAGCTCGTCATTGCCACCGAAATATTTCCCGTTCCCGGAGAGCATGTCGCCATTACCGTCCGCCCTCAAGAAAGGAATGCTGGTGCCAGGAACGATTGGTCTCTTGTCGGCTGCCTCGTCTATTGGCATGCTGCTTTTCATCATCTACAGATTCCTAACATGGCGCGCTCACTACAAAACGTTCGTCGGATACAATCAGTATGTCGCATTGATCATCAACCTGCTGTGTGCGGATCTATTACAAGGTGTCGCGTTCATGTTCAGTTATCATTGGGTGTTCACGGATGGCATTGTCGCACCTTCAGTAAAGTGTACTAGCCAAGGGTTTCTACTCAATGCAGGTTAGTCGTTCACATGAGCTTGCTTTATGCAACGATACTAAATATGCACTCCTANNGGAAACCTATCTTCCGGCTACTTTGTGATGGCTATCGCTCTTCACACCTTCTATGGTGCTGTCAAGGGCCGTCATCTCAGCCACACCGTCTTTTATTCTGCTCTCGCCGGTGGCTGGTTCTTTGCTCTTTTCCTTTCTGCCATGGGACCCATACTCCACGGTAATCATTACTATGTGAGAGCAGGTGCATGGTGCTGGGCAGCCNCCGAGTTTCAGACAGAACGTCTGGCTTTTCACTACATCTGGATCTTCGTGGTCCAGTTCGGAACAGTGATCATCTATTTCTTGATCTTCCTCCATCTCAAGAACACATTGACGACCATTCTGCCGTCTTCACACTCGACCACACACGCCAAGGTTGATAGAGCAGCACGCTTGATGCTGATGTTCCCGTTCGCCTACATCATCCTCACGTTACCTCTTTCCGCTGGGCGTATGTGGAGTATGGCACATCACCAGTACACAGTCCACGAAGGCTACCAACTCGCCTCTGGAGCCCTGATCGCCTGCTCTGGAATGGTAGACTGCCTTCTCTATACACTCACCCGCCGAAGCCTAGTCCAGTCCGCCAACAGCTCTGAGAACAAAAGCACAGCCAGCGGTCTCGACAGCTACGACCTCTCCCGCCTCAACGGCATCACACAAACGCGCACCGTCACTGTCACCGGCGACAGAGTCTCCACCATCTCCAGCACAACACGTGTCAGCGACGACGACGATGCATATTCTATGCGCACCATCTCCACCAGTCCAAAGAAGAAGCACCATCACCTCAGAGAGCCGCCACGCACGCATTCACCCACAGGCTCCATTGACAGAATCATGGGAGTTGAAGGTCTAGACCCCAGGAAACCACTTCACAAAGTACAGATCTCTACATATGAAGGTAGAACCTCTGAAGACGTGGATAGTCTGAGGGACAGCGAGAGATCGGATTCGCCTGTCAATGTGATGAGGGGGCTTGCTAAGATGGTCAAGTTGCCTAATTTGGGTGATAGGAAGTAGTGGTATTTTATTGTTCGTGTCTTGATTGGTTTTATGATGGATGATTGTTTTTTTTTTGTTTGTATATACCCTCTCTTGTTCGTATCTTCTTGTTGGCTAGACTCTCTCAGATCCAGATATACTACAGCTTCACAGCCTGTTGCATAAACTTTACCTCGCAATCATTCCAAGCAACGCATTTGCACTTACTTTGATCAATGGCATAGATTGTCTGCTTGTCTTGAGAAATTGTTGGTGGTATCGTCTCAAATCTCGACCATCTCACCAATCCCGAAGCTAAAATTTCTCCCCGCACAGATATTTCGTCCATCTTGCCCACATCAATCACGATACCAGATCTTCAATCTCAACTTGAGCGTATAGCCTTCCAGTTGCTCAATTTTTGGATACATAGAGAACATGTATATTGCAATCATGAGATACTTCATCATCCAATCATCTTCTGATTATCAGGTCTCGTGGTCTAGCGGTATGATACTCGCTTAGGGAGGTTGCTTGCGACCTTGAAAACTCTAAGCCAATTGCGAGTGGTCCCGGGTTCGATTCCCGGCGAGACCCTGTTTTTCTTCTTTTGCTTATGGGGGCATTGTTGTTCGATGTAGAAGGTGTAGGAGGATGTAGAAGGAGTGGGAGAACTTCAGTGGGTGTGGGAGTGAAGCCTGGTTTTGGTGGGAGAAGCAATGGAATCTTGCGGTGGGATGATTTCTTGGCGTGAGAGGGCATTGGTTTTGTAATGAAAGAGAAGGGAGGAGGCAAGGGAGGTTTCGATCCTCCTCATGTACAAAGCATGTAACGCATATAGCTACAAAAAAGCACGATAGTCTTGAGAAGCATGGCAGCACCCACTAAGAGACAGAATTCCATCAGCTTTCTGTGGCTATACCTTCGATGTTGGGAAACACTGTGTCTTTCCATAGTCCAAAAGTGCCTTTATGTTGCAGTGGGAGCAGGCAAGGTTACAGACTTTTGTACACGGGGAGAATTGTGACGCAAGACTGTGGTAGGGATGTCCGAAAGGACGATTTTATAGCAAGTCAACCAGAAGCCATGGATACTCTAATTGCTATAATGTACGAATGATTCCCAACTTCGAGTATGCTTGGTTCAAAGTATCCTTAAGATGAACTCACACCGGAGGAGGGACGGAAGGCGAGTAAGCATCTCTCTGCACATCCGCTTCAAACCTATGCACCTTCTCATCCACCGGTGAAGGCGCCCCCTCCGACCCTGATCGCTCTGGCATCTCATCAACCTTCCCCTTCTCTGCCTTCAAGATAAGCTGTCTTCTTTCTTCCTCGATCGCCTTGTGCTCTCTTTCTGCAACCGCACAACGATGATTCAATGCCACAACGCACAAAGGCAAAAATACGATTTCCCAGGTAAAGAGGATGGGCAGGGCTTGATAGAGACGGTCCACCGCACCACCCGACCAGATCTGGATCAACACTTGCCAGACTTCATGGGCGGGAAGTGCGTAGGCCCAGCGATAGAAACTGGGGGCAAGCTCGAAGGGCCAGATTGTGGAGGTGACGTTGAGGATTACCCAGGTGAGGACGAAGAAAGGGAGGAATTTCATGGGGATGAAGCCGGTTGCAACGTCAATCNNTGTTGAAAGTCAGTAAGTGAGTCTTGTTGTTTGGGAGTTGGGTCAGGATTTTACCACTGCAAAGTTGATGTGCATGAAGAGCCAGATGATGACCCAGGTGCAGAAGAATTGGCCTGCACCAACGGACCAGTCTTCTCGGAAGGCCCAGATGTAGCCGGCCCAGCAGAGGGAGCCGACGAAGGTATATGACAGACTGAGTACTAAACGGATGATACCATTGTTGAGAACTGGAAGATGCGAGTATAAGTTAAACTCTGCACTGACTCCATTGACAGCCATGAGGAAGAAGAACTGCATGATGATAGGCATGACCATGGCGACAGTGTTGTACAAGACTCTCGTTCCCTGGCCTGTCGGCATGATGTTGATATCTCCTCCTTGAATTGGATTGAGGAAAGCTTGAAGAGCGGCAGGATCGTTCTTGTCTAGAGTTTGCAAAGCGCCAGTGCCGTTGATATGGTTGTATGCGACACGGACGACGGCCATGAGCTGTGACATGCTGGACTTGATCGTGCCATCTTCCATGGCCGAATATCTGACCTCGTTCCAGACGTATGTCAGTGTGTTTGTCGGATCGTAATGTGCTGCTGCATCTCCACCCTGAAAAACAGCCGCAAGGCGTTCGGAAGCTCCAGCGTGGGAGAACACAGCAGCCCAATGCTCTCCGTTCCTGACTGCTTGAACAATATCCTCGACTGCTGGGTACTCTGCGCTGCTCTCAATGTCGAATGTCGGGAACGTATCAGCTTTGAGTTGTTTGATGGCTCCCTGAAGACTCTTTCCAATGACACCACCATCGTAGTCGACTGTGAGGACGTGGAGGTTGTGTACTCGGTGTTCTGATTTGAATAAAGAGCCAAAAAGGTAGGACATGTTCACAAGGAACAGGGTTTGCAGTAGCATAAAGGAAGCAATGGCTGCGATCATGAAAGGCTTCTTTCTGCCATTCCAGAATGGGTCCTTGTGCCCTACTCGGTGGGCAGATTTCTCTGGTAAGAAGAGGCTAACGAAGCCCATCGTGAACCAAGACAGAAGTAGTTTGAGTATGCTCGGAGAGGTGAAAGGTGAGATATTACGATGATAGCAGAGATGATTGTTTGAGCTGATGACGGACAGAACTGGGGTGCAAAGTATGGATGGATGGCAAAACAAGAGAACCTACAGTATCATAGCGACTCTACCTATATATACACATGTTCACGCCTCCTGTCTGAGTGCGATATTTCTAGAATTCCTGACACACTGTCGGATGGTCGGGGGTGCAACAGGTCCAAGATTGCAAAATCAAGTCGGACCAGCGTCAGAGAAATGATCGTGAACAAGTGGTCCCGGGTCGGGCTTTCAAGCTCCGATGTGGAGGACGAGCTTTTGCAGGGCTTTTAGGGCTTCGGCAAGATGTTCCGAGGCTCCTTTCTCCTTCTTCCTCTCGGCTTCGGAGGCAGAACACACCCGTTCATAGTCTCGATCACTGAGAATGCCTGTCTGCGATAATGAAGCTGTCGGCGGTCGTCAAAGTGTGTGACCGGCGCGAATAGAGCTACCAGCGCTTACGCCGCGTTGGCGTGGTGTGAGAGATTCTCGCGATGGACGTTGTGCACCCACCACGTCTCGAATGGTTTTATCCTTGAACGTCAACCCGTCCATCGAAGAGCCATTGCTCTCTTATTTATGCTTGTGATTTCGGACTCGGGTGGGAACCTTGATTCTGCCAATTCTGTTTGAGACTCGAGCACTGTGTTGCCAAAGCTAACAGGCTGATAATGTTATCCTGACACTAACATCCCGGGTGTTCAATCGAGACGTTCTATCGAGACATTTCATTGAGACAAAGCTCCTCGAATGCCTACCAGTACTTGGACGTACTTCAGTGTTGGTCGCAAATACCACAGATGGGTATACAGCACACGTTGTGCTGAAGCTTGTCACGTCCGACCTCTTTTGCTACAAACCATTCATAGCCACGCTCAAAGCTGTAGAAACGCACAGTCATTTTGTGGAGATAATCGGGTTCGAAGAGAGCCAACAAAACCACGACTCTCAGCGAACGCTACTGTGTTTACTGAAGGAGCCGAGCATGTTTGTACCTGCCAAATTCAATTGAGTGGGAAGGCGCATACAAGATGCAGGTGGGGTTGCTGCAGCTACCCTTTCTACGCGCCGCATTCTGGCGTTTGACATGCTTCTCACCGACACCCTTCTCGATTCTCTCTTCCAACTCATTGAACTGAGAGCTCATTGCCTCGTCGCTTCTAGTCCAACAATATTTCTTCCTCGGCCATCGAATGCCTGCCGCCCGAGATTCTTCTGCAGATATGCAAGTGGCTCAAGATTGCGCACCCAGAAAGCATCTATGGTTTCTCCCAGACGAGCAAAAAGGTCAGAGAAGTCGCCAAAATAGTCATATTCAGACATATCATACTCATCCTCGTTGTGGCCAAATCTATTATGGTCAATTTCGAAAGACGTTCATCGACAAAGCCATCGATAAGAATATTGCAAGAACTGTCTGTCATCTCGTCTCACCTCCGAATCGCTGCCATGAAATTCAATCGCTAATATTGTCAAGTCCTTACATCTACACTCATGAATTCTCAGCTGTAAAGGACATCATCAGGCACATAGGCAATTCTTGGACGGTGGAACCCGAAGTCCGAGATGAGCAAAGTGGTGAGTTAGTGATACGCAAGATGAGAAAAGACGGCAGGGAGAGCAAACCTATTCCAGAAAAGTTAGACCCTGTCGTTGAGCAAATCTTCAGACGAATCTGGCCCGGAAGTGAGGATGGAACTAGCGACTGGCGACCGACTGGCATAGTTTCCTGGACCTTGATGGAGGGAACAACGAGCCATGAGTCTTTGGCGTCAGCAATTCTTTCTTCCTACAAAAGACCCAGCTATGGTATCCAAGTCTATTCCTCACCTTATTGTTTGCATGTGCTAGATACTGTTGTGGTGTAGCTATAGAAATGCAAAATAACTTTCTAAAACAAAATATTGTCCAAGGAGAGATTTCATCTACTGGTTACAAGTCTGTTTTGATCAAAAACTATGCATCCCTATAGCATACTATCTGTTGGGTTACAAGAGGGGTTACAGATCGAAGTTGAACACGTGTTTTTCTGTATTTTGGCACAAGGTCTTCAAAAAGAGTCCAGATCATGCCAGGATATGGAAATAACGATCCTTAGTGGATGTCTCTCGGTTTCAAGTACTTCGCATTTTGCTGTCCATCGTCGGCAAAAGCAAAAGTATCCAGACAGAAGGCTGTAGACAAGTAATCAAAGTGTACAGTGAACAGGACTCAAGAATGACGGACTGAATAGACCTGGTGAAGTAGGAAGTCCTAGCTCTCTCTTTTGTTGTATCCATCGTCTGGTATATTGACTGTTGAGCTCACTTATGCGTATTTAGAAACTCTGTGCGAGTATGTCTTTCTTTGTTCATCAAAACACTTGATAAAAGTGTTTCGACTAGAGCGGATGTAAAAAAAAGATAGTTGTGGTAGTAGGGAGAAAGGTCCAATCTGTACTGTCCCCGTATGCTAGACTATGCGACGCAACATGCTATGGAAATGCACCGAGTAGATTTCATCGAAAGAAGACATCGTCTCAGCTCTCTTTGGCTGCATTCTGATCCACAAAGAATCGTGCCTTTACATAGGCCAATAATCGCTACTCTAGATTTGTAGAAGAGAGGTGACAATCATGAATTTCAGCACATGAGAAGGACAATGGTGGGGAGAGAGAAGATGCATGGGTGGAAAGGATAAAAACCGAAGAATAAGAAAATCTGACCATGCCACGGAAAAGGACCGGGTAGAGTGAAAAGCAAAAAAGAATGCCTCGAGGGAGAATCGAACTCCCATCTAAGGATTACCCAAGCCATGCTTGGTCATATTGATGACCGATATGAGACCTTCGTACTAGCCGTTATACTATCGAGGCTTGATGAATGACGGGGCGAGATGTTAGACATCATGTTTTGGCGATTCTTTGGATTTGTCAAGCAGGAAAAAGTCTTGGCGCCCGCCCAGCGAAAATTCTCCACCACCAAAAAGTTTGAGATAGTCGCTTTTACCACAACAAGGCCACGCCAGTCTCGTATCATACGAGACGAGCAAAAGAAGATGATGGTCAGTACGGGGGTCGAACCCGCGACCTTGGCGTGCCTTATATCGTGAGTGGATATTAGCACCACGCTCTAACCAACTGAGCTAACCGACCAGGTTGATGTGAGCCGCTCTGGTGGGTCAGTATAACAAAGCGTGTACCATTGAGCACGGGGACGAACACATTCGATCTGGTATGCGTAGCCACACCGACAAGTAACAAGTGTTGACGATGATTAGTTCGTTCAAAGTATAAATCTTTGTAGCAGCCAGGTAAAAGTCCAGAACGACGTGATCCTATAGAGAGCCGTGGACTGGGTAAATACAACAATGGTAGAGTCCTGGTCCAGGTCAACAATAAGCATGGCTTGAAAGTAGTCCAAGTGGGCTGGCTGGCCACGGATCCAGATGCCGGAAGCAAATTTTCGTCGAGCCAACAAAGCCGAGATTTCACCGCGACTTTGGATGCAAAGCAGCAGAAGTTAGCAACTGCACGCAACCTGGATTGAGCAAAGGAACGAGATGATAAAGGTATGATTCCAGCTCCCGGGAACGCAAAAGACTCGAAGACGACTTGGCATGCTTGCTCAGTCGACTTTACGATCTGCCATACAATCCGAGATGACTCTCTTGCCTTGCTCGAGAGTACTTGCTTGGGTATGCAAAGCGCCTAGGACATCTTTCCTGGTGATATCCAGTCGTAGGTCTTTGCAAAGGGTCTCCAACTGGTCGGCCTGAACTCGGGGAACAATCTCGTCTCCAGAGGCGACGATCATTAGTACTTTTGGTGGGTGAGATGATTTGGCGATTCTGCGCAAAGAATCCTCACTATCCCACCAGCTGCGGAGGAATGGCCAAAGGTGCTTGTAGGGTACCCACCAATCCGGGTAGATGGCTGCAAGCATACTCTTGATGCTAACGAAGGGNGTCTCCAGCACGAGGCGGGATATCCGAGCAACATCAGTGGTCTGTGACGATTCCACATGTTTTGATGCAGCGTATGCAGCAACTCCTGATCCGATGCTTTGGCCCCAGAGGATCAATTCAGTGTTGCCAGGATCCTGACCATAGTTCTGTACTGCCCAAGTCACAAAAGCTTGTGCATCCTTTTCGATACCTCTTTGATGAGCACGTCCAGAGGAAGTCCAATACCCACGGTAAGACAGTGCGAGCAAGGTCCAGTCATGTGGAGAGTCTTTTGCCGCAGCTCTGAGGATGTTTGAGAGCATCGGTGTCCGAGGTGGGATCGATGCGCCATTTCCTTGGAAGTAAAGCACAACAACTTGTTTGCGCTTATCTTGCGCAGATGCAGAAAGGATTTCCGGACGTGCGACGGCCACGGAGAGTCTCGTTCCATCCAGGGATTTGATCTTTCTCTCCTCCCAAGACACCCCAGCCCATGTCTTTGCGTAATCTTCCAGCTTCTCACGTCTTGAGCCTGGAGGAAGAGATGGCATGTAGATGATTTTGTTCTGGAACAGGACCATGAGCAGACATTTGTGGATCCAGTGGCCTATGAGTAGGCCAACAAAGACACCAGGCACCAGAGTAAAGGGCGAGACACCGGCAAAGATGGCTCGTCTCTGACCTTTCAAGACATGGCTACCTGTCAAAGGGTGGGAGCGTCTGAATGGAGCAGCCTGTGTGGTGGTAAGCAAGCCGCGTCTTGACTGCGTGCCCACCGCTTGTTTCAAACAAAGGTTTAGTCGAGCATGACGAGTGAACAAACAGCTCAATCTTGAGTTCATATCAGCTGGCCAGAAACAGAGGAAGCTCCAGGGTCGAGAGTGCGTGACTTGGGAAACCCCGATGACGTCGATGCAAGCCAATCAAAACGCGTTCGCACCCCTCGCGTCCACCCTCCAGTTTCGCGTCTTGGAATTGTTTCTAAGGGCGCAAGGCCGGACTCACTTTCTTGATCCTGTTTCGATCTATTGCGATGCGATTCTGTTTTGCTCACGTTGCATAACTTAGCCCATAAGTATTGATCATCCCGCTGTCACGAAGCCGAAGCGATTGGACAACGACGCCATCAACATGACACGCATCAGCACGCGCACACAGCCCCAGTTATCCGAATCCTGGGCAGACATGGACGATTCGCAAACTGATGAAGATGGATTCCAACCACGTCTTCGTGAAGCATACTACAACACTCACAAATCTGGTGCCTTGCTGAACTCAGCGAAGACGACGGACTTTCACGAAAGTGCATCACAGAACCAGGCCACTTCAACTCGTCGCAAACGGAATGCTTCCCAGATAAGCCAATCATCAGCGTTCGTCATGCCTACGCCAGAATCCAGTGGATACCTTGAGACTCCTCCGACTAGAACGACGAGACAGTCCCCAAGGCCCGCCGTGAGAGCTTCAGCCATCCGCAAATCTGTGCCTGTCAAGCGTGCTGCTCCAGTCTTTCCATCACCAAGACGCAAGACTACCAAGTCCACCACGCAGGATGTGTCGCCGGACTATGTCCAACAGATCTGGCGAAATGCTGTTGTCCCTTTGCTCAAGTATGTGCTCTCAGTCTTTTCAATCGCTGCGAACGCCCTCAAGCCAATCCTTGGATACACCTTGATCGTACTTCTGATGGCGGTTGGTATCGGTATTGCAAAGACCATGGTGGTACACAGCGTTACCAACGCTCTATCGCCACTGTGCAACATCCCAGGAGCCGGCTACCTCAATCTTCCCTTCTGTGCCATTGGACATCATGATGGACATCGAGGGCCCGTCGAATTCGACAAGCTTGTCGTCACACAATCCAATTTTGAGGACATCCTTGAGGCCTCTGTTCACCAAGCTGCTCTACCTCTAGCCATGAAGAACTCAGAGTTGTCCATCCGCGACCTGCGCACAGTGGTCAGACACTCTAGTCTGGGCTCACGCAATGAGCTCGTCAATGAGTTCGATGGTTTCATTGAGACTGCCCGCCAAGCCAGTGACGGTCTGTTGCAATTCAACTCGCGCATATCACGCGCCCTTGACGGAATCCTCTCTGCAAACCGCTGGACGATGAAAGTGCTGCAAGGCATTGAAGCCACTCCAGACTCTGAAGGCATCATCNCCCGCTTCTTCTCACAGTACCTATCTGCTTTCTCTCTGGCCATACCCCAAGAATCCTCGGAAGACGTTATCTATGATCAGTATATCCGTCACACCTCTGAAGTCGAAGAGCAAATCCAAGTCTGCATCCTCGAAGCAAACACCCTCCTCGAAGTCCTCGAAAACCTCGACGACCGCCTACACCAAATCCAAGACATTGCCCACCGCGAAGACCTCAAAGTCGGCGATGCCAAAGCTGAACTCTTGGGCTTACTCTGGACAAAACTGGGCGGCAATAGAGGTCCATTGGCAAAGCAAGAGCAACAATTGGCTACACTGAATGATGTGGGCAGGTATCGCAAGACTGCTATGCAACACGTCATTTCGACTCTGGTCAAACTCAAGGATATCGAGAATAATTTGAGTCAGCTTAGGGATGATGTTGCTGCACCTACTATTGTGGACAGAAAGAGAATGCCTTTGGAGATGCATATTGATTTGATCAGTTCTGCTGTTGATCGCTTGCAGACGGTTAGAGATGAGGGTCGCAAGGAGAAGGAGAAGATGCTGCAGGGAACTCTGCATCAGATCAATGAGCATGCTGCCGATAAGAGGATTGGATAGTTGAAGTTCTTTGGTTATTGCTTTTCTGGGAGTTTTGGGCATGGGATAATGATACAGCGTTTTGGGATCCGCTCCTGATATGGATGGAGGCTTTGGGTAATGCTTCATGGGTTTTGAGCAAATGACATAATGACACTTTTTGGATAAGCAACACACAGCCTACAAATCTGATAGATTGAGAAAGAAAAAGGATAGACTGTGCCGACTGATGTCTTCAAGTACGACACGAAGAAGCTAGGACAGACGTCATACTTGAGAAACACCATGTTCAGCCTATGGCATCGTGGAAATTCGATCGCCATGATCTGGGATGGCAAAGACCAAACTGGAGTAGGGTGAAGAAGATGACAGACGCAGCAAAAGAGTTTGTTGGAGAAAAAGAAAATGCCATTATTAGAAACGCTCAGAAGATTTGATAACGGAAAGACAGAAAGTTACAAGTCACGCTTGGACTTGAAGAAGAGGGTCACGCAGTCTAGAAACCTCCACTGCGCAAAAGGTACAACAATTTTGAAGGAAAAGGACTCCTCTATATTGACCCACTGAGCAAGACCTCGACAGCACCTTCCACGCTTCCACCACTCATGCGCAAAGCACGAACGTTGCGCTCAAACTCGTAGAAGCCCATGGCATTAAGTTGTTGCAGTTGAGTAGCATATTGCTCCTCTGGCGGACGACTGTCCTGCTGTTGTTGCGGTGCGCCAAAGCCGCCCATGCCTCCCATACCACCCATACCACCTAGCGCTGCGAAAGGATTCATGCCGCCAAAGGAATTGGCAGCCGCTGCGCCGCCTTCACCACCAGCAGCACCTGAGTTGTTGTTGCCGCCGTACATGCCTTGCATCATGTTCATCGCTGAGCGCATCATCTCGGGGTTCTGCATCATCTGTTGGGCCATCTGTTGGATGGGATCCGAGCCACCGCCTTGAGCGCCGCCCATACCACCGAACAGGCTTGCGAAGGGGTTTGCTTGTGCTTGGGGAGCGTTGGCGCCAGGGGTTTGGCCCTGGGCGGGAGTTCCTTGACCAGCGGTAGGGACGGGAGGAGTGCCAGCCGGTGTTTGACCTTGGGCGGCACCAGGGTTACCACCAAATAGAGCAGCGAAAGGGTTCGCGCCGCTTCCTNNGCACCCTGACCACCGCCGAACATGGCAAAGGGGTTTGGCGGAGGTTGCTGGTTCTGCTGTTGTGTGGTTTGCGAGGTTGAGTCTGATTCGGAGGTGTCTGTTGCGCCAGGAGCAGGGAAGGCACCAGCACCGCCCATGCCACCACCGCCCNATGCTTCTCTGCATGTTCATCTGCATTCGGATAAAGTCGGGGTTCATGAGCATGCGACGAAGATCGGGGTTGTCGAACATCTGCTGAGCCATAGGGTTGTTACGGAGCATAGGGTTGTTGCGCATCATGTTGATAACATCGGGGTTGTTCATGGCTTCGTTCATCTGCTGGGCAAAGGCTGGGTTCTCGAGCATTCGTAGGAGTTGATCCGGGTCTGGGGGCGCGCCCATNCTGTACTTATTGTCAGTGGCTGTAACGAGCAATCGAGGTATATCAGTACTCACACCTCCATCTGCGCCGAACATGTCAGCGCCGGGCAGTTGGTGGAAACCAGCGTAGCGTGCGCCTGTCAGTTGAGCCAGGGGNTTGTGTGCGCCAGTACCGGCGGCGATGTTGGTGGGAACATTGGCAGCTGTGCCGGCTCCAGCGACCGGAGTCGAGCCTCCTTGGTTGGCAGGGTTCTGGCGGTTGTTGCTCTCGGCTCCCTTGACCAGGTGGATAGTGTTGCCGTCCTTGATCTTGTAGCTTGCTAGCGTCTCGTGGTCCTTGAGCACACGACCAGAGTAGATCAGACGTTGGCGCTCGATCGGAATGTCTGCGAAATCTGACGTTGCCAGCTTCTCCTTGAGTTGGCTGACGGTAGAGTTGGCTGTGATGGTGATGGCATATTTGGCGTCGTTGGACGACTTGACCGTAAAGGTCAGCTGTTGCTCCGTCTCGTCCGACATGGCGGTCGCTTGTGTGTGGTAAAGTGTGGATGTTGCTTTGTCAAGTCGGTACGTGTTGTTGTTCTCAGGCGCAAGCGGGGTGAGTATGAATGTGGTGTCTATCAGTTCAGTCACAGTCACTTCCCTCTCCAGGACACGCCAACCCGCCGCTTGGAAGGCCGCAGAAGCCCAAGGACAATGACGTGAAGACCCTTGCCAAGCACTTGCGATCGCGCGCGAGTCATGGACCGAGGCATCAATCCATCCTCCGCCTCCGCATTTCGGGTATTGTCCCTTGTCCTATCGACTGCATCTCTACACCTGTATAGCCATGCTTTGCTCCTGTCATCTCACCCGCTATCTGATATCAATTAGCATACCGCAGTCATGAGAGGAATCCAAGTCAAGGAGTATGTTCAGGTATTGTCTTCTAAACACAGCTTCGAGGCTTCACAACTGACAGACCATCAGGGTCCTCAAGACCTCAAAGTCACCGACCTTCCCGACCCGACTCCCAAACCCAATCAATGTCTGATCGCTGTTCATGCCGCTGCCACAAACTTTTTCGACTTGCTCCAGATTCGTGGCAAGTACCAACACCAACCTCCTCTACCATGGGTATCCGGTGCCGAGTTCTCTGGTGTTGTTCTCAAGGCCCCGCAGTCATTGCCAGGAGGAAAGAAGCCTACCTTCAAAGAGGGTGACAAGGTCTTTGGTGCATCCCAAGGTGCTTATGCTACCAAGGTCTGCGCCACTGAGGAGCAATTGAGACCAATGCCCAAGGGCTGGAGCTATTTTGAGAGTGCAGGCTTGATGGTTACAGCACCTACCAGCTATGCTGGTCTGGTAACAAGAGCTGGCATCAAGAAGGGTAAGACTGAGTAGCTTCGATCTCTGCTCTNNGAGCTATGGCTAATAGAAACAGGTGACTGGGTCTTGGTTCATGCTGCTGCCGGAGGTGTCGGTCTCGCCGCAGTCCAGATTGCGAAAGCTTTCGGAGCAACAGTAGTTGCTACGGCTGGTACACAGCACAAACTTGATGTTGCAAAGTCCTTCGGTGCAGATCATCTGGTTGATTACAGACAAAAGGACTGGCCGGACAAGGTTAAGAAGCTGACTCCCAAGGGTCGTGGTGTCGACATTGTTTATGATCCTGTTGGACTTATCGCTCAAAGCATGAAATGCACAGCTTGGAATGGACGACTGTTGGTCATTGGCTTCGCTGCGGGTGACATCGAAAAGATGGCCACCAACAGAATTCTTCTCAAGAACGTCAGCGTCATGGGTCTGCATTGGGGTGCTTATGCTACCAACGAGCCAGAGATGATCGAAGTAGTGTGGAAAGGCCTGTTCGATCTGATGGACAGTGGCAAGTTCCGCGGAACATGTTATACAGACAAGGAGTTTGTCGGACTCGAGACAATTCCCGAGGCGCTGAAAGCACTTGGAGCGCGCGATACTTGGGGCAAGGTGGTTGTCAAGGTGCCGCAAGAAGGACAGAGCAAGTTGTAGATGGCAGGTGCCGATCAGGCAGTCAACGCAAACTCACTTCCTTTACAAGTCGCTCCTTCCTCATGAGACGCGCCGAGGAAGCACCCACCCATTCAACTTCAAAACTCTGCGCGTCTCCCCTCACGATGTCTCATCCCGATTCCACACTCCCTCTGAACTACTTGATTCGTCACTTCGAAAACATGGCGTCCCAAAGCAATCCTCAGTATGTCCTCGACGATGCGCAGCGCCGTGCCCTGCAACACCGCCTGCTCCTCGAAGAACAGCAGCGCCGCATCGAGTCTCGCAAGATGCTGGAAGCCTCGTACCGCGCCCCCATCTGCCCCAACTACAGTGTCTTCGGCCACTCAGGTTGCTGGTATTGCCACCAGAATGGCAGTGTCCAGTCATCAACCTCGACCGACAACCTCTTGAGAAGTCTGGCTCGCCCTCAGTTCCAGGTAAGTCCTTCCCCCGTGCTCACAGTCACAATGTAGCTATAGAAATGTACAGTTGCTTTTCAAACAGAACGAAGCCCACAGAGAGAACATTGCCCTCNNGGGTATCTCGATGGTCACACCTCTGTTTAGAAAGCAACTGTGCATCTCTACAGATACCTTGTGACTGTCTTTAGTATATGGAGAGGTCTAATTCCATCGGTGACTGACCAATGATAGGCTACTCCTACTTCGGTCAAGACAGAAACGCCATATCTTCTCTCTTCGGCCTCGACTGCCTCAACCATTCCTCTTATCGACGACGAAAATCAGGAGCCCTACCGCCATCTCATGTCCAGCAAGCCTCGCATGCCCGATCCTACTCCAACTAAGTCTGCTGCTGTCGCTCCTCTCCCGGTACTCCCCAAGTCCAGGCCTGCTCCTCCACTTCCTTGGAAAGAGCTTCCCGTCGAAAAAGATTTCGTCAGCGTCTGCATTCCACCTACCTTCACCCACTTCTTGTATCTTCCTGTGGAAGTCCGCAAGCGCATCTACGCCTACCTCGTCCACAATGGCGAGTATGGCCTTTTGATGCCAANNAAAGACATGAGAGCCTATCACCAAGCCCCCATCACTCGTGTCAACCGTCAGATCCGAAACGAGTCTATCGAAATGGTCTACACAGTGAATGCCTACGACGCAAAGAATCGCGAGCTTATCAAATACGGCCTCCTGTCTTTCAAGGATCGTGTTGGAGATGCCCGCTTGAAGCTCATTCGCAACTGGGCGTGGTACACAGCAAAACGCCATCTGTGCGTCGACTTCTCTACCGATGGCAGAGGATACCCTTACCAAATCACCTACAATGGTCCCCAAGGCAATGACGAGATCAACGCAGTGGCCAAAGAGAGAGCCAACCAAGTCTCCGACTACCTGAGGAGGCAAGGTGCCCTCAATGGCTTCACGGCTGAGCATGTGGGCGCTATCAGCGATATTGTCCTTCGCATCACTCCCAAGGCCAAGGCAAAGGCGAATGGAGAGCCTACCAAGTAGGATGGTAGATATGGCTGCTGAACAGATGAAGACACTATGAAGAATCTTATGAAGACATGGCTTATGTGCATGAATTATGGCTGATGGCTTGGAGGACATGGACGACATTTCAATGGTCACAACTCTGTTTCAGAAACAACTTTGCATTTTTACAGCAGAAGACAACAACTTGTCGAGGAAGTGGAGAGTGGTGAAACATGGGCTTGCTTTTACGACTGATATGGCTATAGCTGTATGAAACAAGTGAAGTTTGATTGATATGCTTCTGAAATCGTGAAGACAGCCATGATTGATGTTGTCGACGACTCGTATCGAGTCCAAATGGAGGACGGAGTATTCTCGGCTCCGACATCGCACAACGTGGCAATGACCCGGCACCGGACCGGCTTTCCGACTTCCAACTCCAAAACAAATTAAGGATGTGACGTCTGAGTAGAAAAATATTGGTCAGCGGCAACATTTCATTCTCGGTGTCTATTAGCTTTTCTTACGCGGTAAGGCGTGCAATATCAGGGTGAAACAGACAGGCAATTCAAAGGCCTGAACTCCGAAGTCGCTTGCAGTCTGACTATAAGGATCTCGAGACCTCCACCCATCAAGGTAAATAGGTAGCCTCAAAGTTTCTGAAATCAAGCATATCAATTCCGACCTAAATCAATTCCGACCCATATCAAGGACCTGGACAACAATTTCAAGGACACACATCTATCCTACATTACGACGACGACACACGCATATCTTTCACGATGGCCATGACTGGAGCAAAGCGTTTGAGAGAGTTGATGAGTAAGGAAGACCACATCGTCGTTGCACCGGGTGTCTACGATGGTCTGTCTGGTAGAATCGCTCTCGCCGCTGGTGCAGAATGTCTTTACATGGTAAGCATCGCCCATCCCACTTCCCCGTTCCCCGTACTCTTCTTCACCACATCACGCTCTCAAACCCTCGGTCGCTAACATCTTTGCTCAACAGNNACAGGAGCAGGAACCAACATGTCCCGCCTCGGCACAGCAGACCTGGGCATCGCAACCCTCAACGACATGCTCTCCAACGCCTCCACCATCACCTCTCTCTCCCCCTCAACCCCCGTAATCGCCGACGCAGATACCGGCTATGGTGGCCCCATCATGGTATCCCGCACAGTACGCCAATACGCACTCGCCGGCGTCGCCGCCCTCCACATCGAAGACCAAGTCCAAGAAAAGCGCTGTGGACATTTAGTCGGCAAGCAATGCGTCAGCCGCGAAGTCTATTTCGCACGCCTCAGAGCAGCAGTAAAGACACGCGATGAGATGGGTTCTGAGATGATGATTATTGCCCGCACGGATGCCAGAGCAGATTTGGGTTTTGAAGAGGCAGTTGAGCGTCTTAAAGGAGCTGTTGAGTGCGGTGTTGATGCTTTGTTCCTTGAAGCTTTGCAAAGCACAGAGGAGTGTGAGAAGGCTGTCAAGATCTTTGCTCCCACGCCTGTGCTCTTGAATATGGTGCCTGGAGGCAAGACGCCGCAGATGGGAGTTAAGCAGGCCAAGGAGATTGGGTTTAAGCTTTACATCAACCCTACGCTTGGATTGGAGGCTGTGGTTCGTCCCTTACAGAAGGCGTATAAGATGTTGGTTGAGCAGGGTACGGATGAGTGTGAGCCCATTGGTCCCAAGGCACTCTTTGAAATTTGCGGTTTGAATGAGGCCATGGCTTTCGATGAGAGTGTTGGCGGTGCTGCTTTTGGGTCGAAGTAGCTTGAGCCAAGGTAGAAAGAAAAATGACATCCAAGAATCTACTTGTCAATCAACACATACCTCGAGATCTGGAGACGTGACTTGCGCTTTGCAATGGCCAAAATGGGCGAGCTGAGTTGTTCGTAAGGCTTTTCTTTGACCAAGAGTCATCATCCATTGTTTGAACAATAGGCATCCCATTTCTTTGATCTTTCGTCTCCACAAACAAAGACATTATCACCTACCCACCCTCGCCTTCCACAATCCCAAGAATCTATATCTCCACTTCAATGTCTGCTTGTCCTCGCCGTCTCCCTTAAACATTCAACTCATCCCATACACCCACCCACCACCAAAAATGCTCCACATCATCCTTCAAATCCTCTTCATCCTTTTGGCCATAGCCGAGACTCTGCTCTACACCTTCTTCCCCCTCGACGCTGGTAGGATTATCTTCGACTTGTATCTGTCTATCAGTGCTCGTTTGAGTCTCTTGTTCATGCAGATTGAGATTGTGATTGGTGAATTTGTTGAAAGAAGTGTGAGAAGTGCACTTGGATTGGAGTAGAGAAGGGAGAAAGCTAGAGAAGCAGGAGGTAGGTGTACTTGTTCTCTCTGTTCTTTGTCGAGTCTTCTTCTGGTAAGAGCAATGCATTATTCCCTTCCCTCGAACAACCAGTCTTTTCTTTGTCTTTGTGAACCTGTCTCTCGTCTGTTTGTCTTCTTTCCCCTTCTCTCTTCTTGAGAGTGATTCGATCTTATTGAAAACGCGCCATGCAATGCCTTCGAGTGAGCATCTCCACCATTTCAAAAGTGTCGTACCCATTGATGAACTTCAATCACACCACCCGGTGCTGAGGGATGACTGTATTGTTTCCTTCGTTGGTCAAACAGATTTTGTTGATCCCGTGCAGCACATTCAAGCCGTCAACATTTCTCTCCCTCGGCGTGAATATGATAGTAGCACTTCTCTCTCTTTGTCAGCTTCCTCTCGTCCCCATTAGCTTCTTTGTGGTAAAANGCTCGGCTAAAGTCAACGAGCGCTTCGCGACTCCAGAGTTGAGCTGATGACATGACATTCTCAAACTCGCACCAGTATACCACGAGATCAAGGATGAGCTTTCTCAGCGGTGCAGACGGCATAGTGCGCTTCCAGATGGCCCTAACGTCGTATGCTGGACAATCGTAGATACCGAGCCACTTGACGAGTGCATCCATGGCTGCGTTCTGAAGGCAAGGGATGAGGAATTTATCGCCAAAGAGCCAGAGTTCGATCAGTGTATGGCTGTTAAGGTTGTGTTCTTCGAGAGAGCGGGTGTAGATGAACTGGTTAAAGATGTCAAAGACATTGACTTGCTCGTCGGGGAGAGACAGTTTGCCTTCAGCAGCTTCCTTGAAAGAACCGTCAAAGGCGCCGCAGAAGTAGTCGGAGTCGAATGTCAGGAGATCCTTGTGGATTACGAATGCCTTCTTCTCAGAGCCAACTTCGATGGTCACAACCCCATTGTAACAGGCACTTCGGTTTGTTGTTAGTGCCTGGAGACAGATGACTCACGCAATAGAGAACTCACCCTGGAGGCTGTTTGCTTAGACTCGATAAGGCTCTGGTGGTTGGTCGTGGAGTAGGTTGAGTGGAGGTTGATGATGACTCTGGTGCGCTGCGAGAGGATGATGGCATAGTCGTGTCCTCGGATGGGATATCGCCGAATGGTTTTGCGAAGACAGGGGTCTGATCAAACGCAGATGGGTCCCACGAAGGGTCGTTCGCAGCAAGCCACTGATCCAGATCCATTGTGGTGTAATGACGAACGTCTGGGAGTTTCGGTTGTAGACAAACGCTGAAGGAAAGAGTGTGAAGGTCTTGGAGCCGCGTGAGGGATGGTGCACTGGTCGAGTGTCGAAAAAAACGTAGCAAACGACTCGACGAGTCGACGGTTCGCCGCGAGAGTGACTGACGCACAACTGAAGACGATGTAGGCAGGCCGTTGACAGGGTGATCGAGGGGGCTCTCAAACAACATTTGTTTGGTCCTACCCTGTCTCGTGCTTTCGATGTGCTACAGATTGCTATGATATAGCTATAGCAATACAGAGTACCTTTCGGGGCAAATTAATGTCCAAAGAGAGATATCATCTTGGGTCTATCTCTATGGACACACGTCCGATCTTGATGGCAGCCGTGCATTTTTATGGCATACTATAGCACTATGGTTTGGGAGGGGGATTGAGCATACGCAGGAGATGTAGTCAATCATTGCTATCAACGTGATAAAATGTAATCTTGTAAGCTTGAGTTGACTACATGCTCTATGGAAGACGCCATTGTAATCATCTACTCGAGCTAGACGAGGTTGTGCATGAGAAGAGCCACGATGTTGTAACCTTTCCCTTCTTTGTCTAGAAATTGAACAATGTCTTTGTCTTTCTACCACTCAAACACTACCTGATCTATCTCTCTTTCATCACACAAATATTTGCGCTATTCTTTGTCTCTGTGAGCCAACACACTCTCACTCTCTGGCATGTTTCTCGCAGAGACTGGACATATAACCATCTTCGAACGCTCCTAAACTACATATTTGATCGGCGACGGAGATGACGACAAGGAGGTCTATATCACTAGCCTTCATCTCCAACTAACGAATCTCAAACCGCGCTATTATGATGCTCGCCATGACTTCTAGTTCAAACTCACTTACATGGAGATACCGACTCTTCGACCTCGTCGATCGTAACCTAATTAGCGACTTAGGGGTCGGCGACATCGAGGTGTCGAGGCGGCGAGCAAGTCAAACACGTTAACCAGCAACACACAGACCAGACAATGTCCAGGTTGTTCTCGAGGCTCTTTTGAAAGAAGATGTTGAAGAGTATAAAGCAGAAAGTGTTGTCCTTAGTGGACAAGGGTTTATATACTTGTAAAGTAAGAGGTGTTGCTTGCTTAGTGGTAAAAATTCCTTACTTGGGCAGCATTTTGTGAGTGTGTGTATTCGGCGTGATATTTAGTTAGAGACAAGCAGAAAAACGATTACAAAGACGTCAGAAAGTATAAAGAAGAGAATCCTGTCCTGAGTAAAGACAAGTTTATATATTAGTAGAGCAAGATAGGTGCCTTGCTTGGCCGAGATTTTGATGGTCCAGATGATCTCCGCGAGAGGAACACAAATCTTGACAAAACATCACACAGATGGAAAAACAAGAAAAGTTTGTAAAAGTAATTAACTTGGTTCAGGTATATATGTACAAGGTGATAGAACCAGACAATATGACTACAGATATAGATGTACAAGAAAAGGAAAAGAAGGCAACTTTCGTGCAGCGCTTGTCCAAAGCGGCCGCTGATTATGTCGTTGAAGGAAGACTCACAGCATTCAATGCTGAAAGAGTCGACCTCGTGTCATGAAAAAGAGTTCGTAGATCATCGCGACGAAATACTTTAACCAGAGCTGTGGCTGCAGAGGGGCTTAGTAGGTGCGGCAGTGAAGTACACCTTGTTGTACACGTTGTTGCCAGCATTGGAGGCCTGAGCAGAGGGAGAGTTGATGGGACCACCAGTCTTGCTGGCGCTGGGGTAGAGAATATCGGTCTCATCGGGCGAGAGGGTGTCCAAAGAGCAGCCAAGAGCGCCAACACCGAGCACAGGAGAGAGCTTGCCGAGAGCCCAGTCAACAGCCTCACCGGCATCCTTCTCAGTTCCGGCGATGATCAGAGGAGTGATGGAGCGAAGGCCCTGGAAGACGTCGCAGAGGACGTTGGTGACGTTGAAGTTGGGTGTGAGGAGCTGAGAAGTAGCGGGGACAACAATGTTCGAGGGNTAGATCTGGAGGAAGGCATCACTGAGGGCCTCAACTGCACCGTAAGGGAAGCTACGGCGGTACCAGTTCTCGGGCCACTTCTCGGGAACGTACTCGAACTCGCCGGTCGTTTCATCAAGCTGCCAACCAACGATGCTGGAAATGGACTCGTAGTTGGGAACACCTCCAAGACCGTAGGTGCCGTTGCTGAAAAACTGAGGGTAGAAGGCGAAGGCACCAAGGGATACGATCTGAGGGAAGGGGAAGGCGTAGAGGAAGGGGTTGTACTGCTTGCTGAAGTCGGCGATCTTGGCGTACTGCTGAGCCATGAGGGCCATGTCGTACTTCTTGCTGCCAGCTGCAGCAAGGGCAACACTCTGCTTGACAAGACGGGATGAGACGTGGTGGTTGTCACCACAGCCAGTGTAGTAATCCTCACGATGAGGAGAAATGTCAGCCTCGACGGTGGAATGACGGTTCAGACCGCCAACGTTGCCAGGGCCAGCGCCGAGGTAGAAGGACTCAGAGGCGAGGTCACCGTCGGCCAAGACAGCGAAGGTGGCCAGGACGGTAGCAAGGTCGGTACCCATGTTGAAACCACGTGCAGTGGCTTCCAAGACCTGACCAAAGTTCACATAGCCGTCGCGAGGCAGGTAGCCGTAGTTAGCGAGCAGATTGAGACCAGGGCAAGGACCACGGCTGTCACCAGCACCGGGTGCTTGGAATGTGTAGCCTTCTTCGGGACGCTTGTCATCAGGATTCAAAACACCCTCAGCAACAGATCCNTTCGTGGGTGTCAGCATGGATCATGTAGTGGAAGAGTCGTCGAACATACCAAGAAGACCTCTAACATCACTGACCAGGCCACTGACAACAGTACCGAGAGCGTTGCCTACGCTAGAAAGAACCTGGGGTTCTCTCTTGGCCAACTTCTCCTCGGCGGCTCTCTCCTGGAGCATCTTGATCATATCCTCCTTGGTACCGCCCATCATCTGGGGGAATCCCATGGCGAGGGATGGGAGCACGGCTCCTGCAATGGCGAGATTGAACTTCATGGTGAGGGGCGTTCAGCAAAAGTGATTGACTGAATGTGTGACTGATCCACCTTGAGGAAGGGAGAGGTCCAATATATACAGCTTTCCACGGGATTACTCTGGCATCAGGTAATGATGAGCATTCTCCACGGCTAAGCAACTGTCGAACTGTTTCTGGTCAGGCCAATGCTAGTGCGCCTATCATCAAGGATACATTGAGCAGTTGTTGCACGTCGCGAGAATGCATTGACGGATGATCTTGCCCGATGCTCAAGAGCTGGAGTAACGATCAGCGGTGACATGGGTGGCAGTATGATGGGATCCGCACAACTACAACCCAACGAGCGGAATTCACAGTATCAGTCCCTGTGCAGCAAACCATGCATGTGGACGGCCAATTGGCAGCCATAGGGAGCACATACAGTTTTTACGTGCGAGGACCATGTGCGGTAACGCCGGTCTCATCTTCAAACCGTGCCGACGTGCCATACCTATGACAATGGGGTAATTGACGTCGGCACTGAGCCAATAGGTCAGCGTGAAGCGAACGTTGCATGGCAGCAGATCTGCGACGCTGCCTCGTTGGCGTACCGGCTCGTGCATCTGTTGGCCACAAACATCTTACGTTTGTCAAGTTGCAAACGTCCCTCTCAGATTGAGCTCCTGGTTGTGAATCAGGGCGGTTGTACCTTTCTGCACATTGCTTCGGTAAGGTTCTGGAGATCCGCTGTGGCTTGCGGGATGGGCGTGCAACGGGGAAAGAGCCTCATCGCCATGGAGTATCTATGTCTCAATCACAGTTGCCCCTGAACAGTAAGCAGTAAGCCAGTATTGGATGTCATATATCGCGCGTCTGCAATTTCAATTGGTGAAGTTGTGGATTAGCAAAGGAAAGGCAACAGAAAACCTCGCCAAGCTCACTCTCCCCAAGAAGCTGTTCAGCCGCACGATGATCCCTCCTTCCTGATTCAACACCCTCTGACATATCATCCCCGAATCGAGCGATCGGAACGAGGTTTTAGCTCATCATTCTCCTTGTGGATACTCACTCTTTTTCCACCCCTGCGGCAATGTACGTCTTTTTGCCATCATCAGCGGGAATATCCAATGACGGTGATGGCATTTGTCGACGCAGTCTGCTTGCCTTGGCCTTCTTGACTCGATCGCATAGGAGATCGTCTCCGTTCGTCAGTAACAAATCACCGATCTTGTCGGCAAGATAGGCATGAGCCGCCATCTTGTGCTAGTTAAGCCATCTGCTTACTCCGAGCACTCGAATTTTGGTAATAGGAATCCTTGTGTACCAAACTTCACCTCCTTGGTGTATGAATCTCCTGCCCTTTTGTGGTTTATGCATCTCTGCTTGCCGTAAGGTGATCTACATAGGTCAGCAATTGTGAGTTTTTGTCCTCGGCAGCTTCTCTGGTGCTGGTGGTGATGCTGTTGTTGCGAACAAAGTGGTTTATTATGGACAGGGTCATCACTGTTATTGCAGAAAAGCGTACGAACTTGGTACGCACGCACGCAGGAGAAGCGCACATGCGAGCAGAGCTTTAGGAGAATATCATCGTATCCACACCTTAACTACTGCATGCATTTCAGGTATCAATGGCCGGCAAATAGCTCACGACGAAACTCCCTGCATGAGACTATCTATTCTTCTCCACCCGTCAACTGTAGCATTCTTGCATGCGGATAAAGGCGGAGAAACAACGAGATCCGTCAAACAAATCGCAGAAATGATTTCTCAGCACATTCTGATTGGCTTCATGTGTACCGCAACACCCCACAAAATCACGATTTGCCTCATTGGCAGAAAAGAGTTTTCGATGCCAGAAGGTTGTGTCTGAGCAGCATCCTCTTTAGGCAAGATTGCCTCGGCTCGGCGTTGTGACCGCCTCGAGACGTTGATCATGGGGATCTGCAACAAACATCGACATCATGAGTTTTTCGAAATGTCCATCTTTTCTGCATGCATACCGCGCATACAAGATATACCGCGGCTCCGGCAGAGACGGCGAAGATCATCCCAGATCTTGCTTAAGCAGATGTGTTTCGCTCAAGCATACTCGGTCATCGCAAAATTGTTGGTTAGCACCGGGCAAGCCATCTTCGTCAAAAGAAGATGTTTTGCATCATTCAGGACGTCGCTTTTCTTCTGTTGAGAACTTTGAATGCTTGAAGAAGAGGAAGTGAATTGCATGGCAATTTTTGTGCTGCTTTGAAGAAACTGCGATGTATGGGTTGCCAATGGGTATCTTGCCAGTGCTGGAAAATGCGAACGAGAAAAAAAGAGACAAAACACAAAACATGCCACCCATAAAACAACAGATCAAAATTCTGCGCCCCAAGAAATGCAAACAAGAAACGCCTATCCGCAATGCAAGAGATAAACAACAAAACAACCTCTATCAGAGCTAACGCCAGGTAAGTACCATAACATGTTTCCGGATCCAGATTACTACTGCTGTTGCCGACGCCGCTGTCACGATTGTGTTGGTCGCGAGTGATGGGGNTTGTCTCTAGCCATGGTCAATGGTCCACGCTTGCTCATGAGGTCAATACCGCTGTCCATCTCACTGCCGACGCTCCGTCGGTCGGGCTCGCCAAAATCCGGGAGAGCGCCAGGTTTCTCGTCAATACTTCGAACGCTGTCAGCGTCGTCGACTTGCGAAGATAAGTCGTCCATTTCGTCCCCNGAGAGGATACGACCACCGAGTTTGACTTCTGAAGACGCGACTTGATAATCGAGAGCCTTTTTTCCGTCCTTTATCAGCCCTTCGGTCCAGTAGAGGCAACGCTGTAGAGACTGATTCATTCGCTGCGTGTCCATGAGCAATTCACGATGTCTACTCAGGTCGAGTCGTAGGCGATTCTCATCTTCAGCCCGCTGCGCAGCATCGCGGTCAGCCTGAGCGCCTGGAGATAACGGTACAGCTGAGGAATCGGTCGACCCTTCATCAGAAGAATCTTCCTCAGGTTGTGAATGGAAAGGACTCGATGGTCGAGCGCCTTCATCGTCTTCATCAAAGTCGGGTAAATCAACTTCTTCATCCAATATTGAGAGGTCTTCCTCGGCGCCACTTTCCCTCCTCTGAGAAACGGCAAATTGACCAGCTCGACTCAAGCGACGAAAGCGTTTCAACTCGGCCTTTTGTTTCCTGAGTTCGCGTTCCAGAGACTTGTTGATGGCCAGGAGCGATGAGTTCGAAATCTCAAGATCGAGGACTTTTCGTTCACGGCGCGCCTCAGCATAAGGATCGACCGGTAGGACATCATGACTCTGTATAACATCAGAAGGTGACGCATCGAGTGAACCATCGGCTCCGTTGTCTGGCACAGGTGTAGGTGAATCAAGAGGCTCGTCCTCGCCCACAGGTTCTGTGATGGCCGGTATAGGATGTGATTGTCTGCGAACATGGTCAGGGCTACCTGTGTCAATTGAGGACAGACTGGTGCTCCGGAGATGAGAAGGTCGCAGCGACGCAGCACTGGTCTTTCGTTGAGTGGGTTGAGCAGGATGAAAAGGTAGCGGCGGGCCACCCAGAGCAAATATTTGGGAGGCACCTTTCCTGTACGAGAGGTGAATATTGTTCTTTGGAGGTGAGGTAGGACTCGTCAAGTAGTTTGAGGCCGAGGAAACAGCACTGAGAGGTGGTGAGGCTATGGTCGGCGTGTGAGCTGAGTCTGAAAGAACGGGTGATTGCACGAAGGATTGAGGAGAGCGCGATTCGGTGACGGCCGATATGTTGGAAAGGACGGGAGAAGAGCTTCGATGCGAGAGTGATCTTGGCGCTGCAGCTTGCTGCTGACCGTTGGCGTATAGGAAGGATGGCGTCTTTCTCAGCCTGGGAGCTTGAGTTGTCGGTTGAGGTTGCGGCTGTGATTTAGCGTCGCTGGCATGGAAGAACATGGGGCTCGAGACCTTGTCTATCTTGGCCGATGTAGGGCGGGATGCAGGGAGCGGTGAGACTCTGGCGGGAACCGCGGCCTGTGGCTGCAGAGTTGAAGCATTTGACCTGGTAGTATCTGGTGTCTTGACGAAGCCTCGAACAGCTGGACCAGATCTAGTAGTGGATAGGGCCGGACGGGGAGGATTTGTGTTGGCCGGTCTTACAGAGCCCACTACGCTCTTTGCTCTACTGGAGGCGGCCAACTGTGGGCGACGCACAGCAGGTTCGCTGTTTGTGGGTGAGATCATAAGGGGTCTCTTTCTCGCATGACTTGGGGTGTCGTCGTTGGGGGATATGGCAGTCGGGGTCGAGTTTATTATTTGGCCAGCTCGCGTCTTTCCAGTCAATGTGTGTGGGGTGACATGCGAAGGGGCGACCTGCGCCGTCGGACGAGTCGAAGAAAGGGGCGAAGGTATTGGTTTGTGGTTGTTTAGTTTTGGTCTGAATTCCGACTCTTGCAGTTTGGGACGAAAGGGCGGTGTTGATGTTGTTGTTGACGTGATTGCTGCTGTCGAGGAGGGCTTGTCCTGAGCGAGACGAGGGGTATTCGGTACTCGAGCGAGAGCTGGTTTCAATGGCACTCCAGACCGGGAAGGAGCAGTCGGAAGAGGGTTGCGATTGTTGGCCATGGCCTATTGTTATGAGGAAGGAGCGGGTCGATTTGTCTGCACCAACGTTGTCCGCCACCATCCAATCATCTCTACAGCGATATGCCTCTGCTCAAATGCCGGTGCATGGTCTGTACGTGTGGGATAAGAGACCGGCTTCTGCGTACTTGAATGAGAGCGTTAACGTCGGTTGCCGTGGTTGTCACGGTTAAACGACGTCCAAGTCCTGGAACAATCTCCAGATGACGCTCCAGCCCACCAACGACCCGCTCGGCGAACTTTCTTCGCCTCGACACTTTTATTTCTCCCTTTTTTCTTCCTTTGGTTTCGTGTCTGCCCCGCGTTCTTGACTGCCTTGCCATTTCGACCGTTGACGTGAGGCAACATTTCGGACGCTTCCCGCTCTAGCCTGCGTCAGACGCTCTACCATCTGGTGACCATCACCAGATGCGCAACCCTACAAACAGATATGGATGGCCCTGCCCGCCATGACAGTATCNCCCCTGCTGTCGACGACACAGCCCCTACCCCTGACNAACCCTAACCCGACCGACCCCGATTCGAGTCAGCATCATACCCTAAAATATCATCTTCTGGGTCCATCTCTCACAAAANNCCTGGCCAAGATGAGGTCGACCAAAAGAAGGTCTCGGAAATAATCTACGAAGCATCCAAGGGCAGCAAATTCTTCCTGCAAGAGGAGCAAAAGGACAAGAACTTGACCATCAAGATCAACCGTATCCTTGCGAAGAAGCGTCAACTCGATCGTCTCGACCTCAGCTATGACTTGCGCCAGGCGGACGAATACGTACAGAAGCTAGAGCTTAGTCGCGACCTTACCCAGACCATTGTCCACGTTGATTGCGATGCTTTTTACGCCGCCGTCGAAGAGCTCGACCGTCCAGACCTGAAAGATGTGCCATTTGCTGTCGGANAAGGGGTCTTGACAACTTGCAACTACCATGCGAGAAAGCACGGATGTCGCAGCGGCATGGCTGGTTACATTGCCGACAAGCTGTGTCCTCAGCTCATCCATATCTCGCCAAACTTCGAAAAGTACTCGGCCAAAGCAAAAGAGATTCGTGCTGTGTTAACAAAATTCGACGCTCGATTTGAGGCTGCAAGTGTTGACGAGGCATATCTCAACATCACGAACTACTGCGAAGAACACAACATGAGCCCTGAAGATGTCGTCCAACAACTTCGCGCAGAAGTACATCAAGAGTGCCTAATCACTGTCTCGGCCGGCATCGCCGCGAATGCGAAACTCGCAAAGATCTGTTCGAACAAGAACAAGCCCAACGGCCAGTTCACGTTACCGTCAGACCGCGCCAGTATCATGTCATTCATGAAGGACTTGCCCACACGGAAGGTGAATGGCATTGGCAGAGTTTTCGAACGTGAGCTTGACGCCATTGGGGTAAAGACTTGTGGTGACATTTTTGCGCAGCGTGCTTACATGTCCAAACTCTTTGGAGAGAAAGCCTTCCAATTCCTCATGGGCGTATACCTAGGACTTGGCAGGACGAACGTTCAGCCTGCAGAAGAGTACGAGCGTAAGAGCGTTGGCACGGAAAGCACATTCAAGGAGATGTCAGACCCTCAACAGCTCAGAGACATGCTTCGACACGTCGCTGAAGAACTCGAGAAGGATTGCGAGAGAACGCAATTTAAAGGAAAAACCCTGGTACTGAAAGTGAAGTTACATACATATGAGATTCTAACCCGTCAGGTCGCTCCGCCGAAAGCCGTGCATCAAGCTGATGACCTCTACAAATTCGCCTTGCCTATGCTCGTCAAGCTGGAAAAGGATATCCCAAAGTTTACCTTGCGCCTTATGGGACTGAGGCTCACGTCGTTGATCAGTATGAAGAAAAGCAACATCGACACCTTCTTTGCGCCAAAACCGCAGTCTGCAGCAAAAAAGCCGTCCATGCCTGCCGGCGAAGGCGAATGGGAGCAATGGCCTGACTCGGAATTCGAAGATGCCGCTCGCCAAGAGAAGCAGGATGACTTGGATACCCTGGAAAAGATGAGTCAGGAGTACATCGAGGAGTACAAAAATACTCCGAAACCATCAACGGTCGGGCGCGCAGGAACAATAATAGCAAATGTGCCTGCAGCGACTTCTGAAGGTACAGAACAGGAAGAAAAAGATGAGCAGGAAGAAACATGGAGCTGCCCTATTTGTAGTCAGCCACAATCTGCTGATGCTGTACTCTTCAACCAGCATATCGATGGATGCTTGTCGAGGCAGACGATCAAAGAGATTGTTCGTGAAAATGCGTCGCCATCCCATTCACCACAAGAGAAAACTTCTATGCCTGGGCAAGGTAAANAGAGAGGTCGACCAAAGGCGCCGGACCCGCAGCCGAAGCGGCCAAAGAGCGCCTTCTTCTCTCGATGAAGTCTATATCGTAGTTAGACTTTATTCTTAGCCCGGACATAACCCAGTACTGCCCAATCCTTGCCCTGTGAATCAACCCATATATCCGAACCTCAATCCAAGTCCGACGATTGCTCGCTTAAGTTCGACATTGAGCTTGGATGTTGACGGCAAACAAATCGGCTAGTTACAAGTTTTGAATCTTGGACATGTATGCAGCTTATTATACGAGGCGGCTCATCCTTCTCATATCAACGTGCAGGATCTCCACTATCGAGCCCTATNCGTTACCCGAGACATTTGCTGCGTTGTTCATGGTGNGCATTTTTGAGCCTCACNTTAACATCCCGGAACAAAGCGGGGTCGTCCCCATCTTCAGCTCCTCAAACTCTGCACCTGGCGTCTCTGAAAGCGTCAAAGACACGACTCTATCTCATAGCGCAAGAATTGCTATGGAATCGGTCGCTGCTACAGACGCCTCATTGAGCATGCAAAGGCGAGCTAAAAATGTGCATGCAAGCCAGGTTGACAATTCTCCGAAGGGCTAGACGCGTTTCGGGACTGGCGTTCATGCAGGTCCGGACAATAACACAACCCAATCTGGATAGACAAGACGGATATGGGCATGTCAAGTATGGGTCCGACCTATAGATAAAATATTGGCCGGAAGCCCTGCTTACATCTTGCGAAAGAACTGGAGCCACGGTAAGAAACCAGGCTTGGCCGTGCCTTCCATGCGCTATCACGAGTGTTAGACTAGGAACGTGCATACGCTTGCTCGCATGGTCACAGGCTAAATTTGTCTCTGCGCGCAACAGATCTGCTGTCAAACCATGTCGTGCAACACAGTCTGCAGAGACACGTTTTGTCTGAAACAACAACGAAAATAGCTGTTGAGAATCTGTCCGCCTAATACCATACCAGAGCACGATGATGGTATTGAAAGACTGCAACAAACATCATCAAGGCCCAACTGTGCGGACCCGATAAGTTGGACGCATACTGCCAGCACATGCATGCTTCGAGTCTATGCTGATATCACGGCACGGTCTTGCCGGACACTAGCATAGTCTTCCGCCCGTATAAGCCCCTCCCATACCATGTCTTCTCCAGCCGAACCGCAGTCTCTTGATATGTACCACACCTGGCTGAATGCGAGGGAGACGTACCACTATTCGTAACGTAGGATGCTGACAAGCATATACGAAACTCCGAAGGATGCTTTCCTAAATGGATATACCGCTGGGTAGATATAAAGACAGGTCCTCACGCCCCAGATTGATCAGCAGCAGATCATACACACCTCTCATACCTGTTCTCTATACTACTACTTGGTCTTCATCATGAAGTCTGGATTTGCTCTTGCGGCTCTTGCCTTTGGTGGCATGAGCTTTGCTCAATCAACCGTTCTTGCCACTTCCGCTGTTGAGATTGATGGTCAAACTACAACACTTCTCGGCAACATTGACCCTTCAGGTATTGCTGCTATCCCCGAGCCAGCTGTGCTTGGACCCCCGATCGGTGTTGTCGAAAGCGTTGCTTCAGCGACATACAACGAGGCCGCGGCGACTGCCTCACTTCTTGCTGCCGTTGTGGCAGCCACTGATGCTCAAACTGCTGTGATCACGCCCGAGAGCACTGCAATCGCTGCGTCCAAGACACCGGTGCCTGTCTCATCAGAGATCGCTGCTGCTCGCAAGCGCTCCTACGTCGGTGGTCTTTCGGGCAACCTTCAACGTCGCGACTTGAGCTATCCTGTAGATACCTCCAAATACGTATGTATCATTCTTGAGCAGTTGAATTCTATAGCAATCATGCTGACAAAGGCATAGAATGTCCCTTCTGGCTACACACCAGCCTTCGTCAATCTTCAGGGTTCTACCCAGGCTAACGGATATTTGACCTACAAGACTCTGTCAACCTATGATCCCCAGCAATGTACTGCCGCCTGTGACCAAATCAGCTCGTGTCAGTTCGCCAACATCTACTACGAAAAGGATCCTGACAGCAAGAACAACCCTGTCGACGTCATCAAGTGCTCGCTCTACAGCATGCCCCAAACTAATTGTACCGCAACCAACAAGGGACAATGGCGTGGCTCGTTCCACGTTCTGGTTACTGGAAGCAACGGCTACAATAAGGCTGCTGTACCAAAGACCCCTGCTGGCTACTCTCTCCAGACTCTTCCCGCCGCTGTCAACGCTCCTGTCTACGATAGCGCGGGCCAGTGGAGATTCATCCAGCCTGTTTACCTCACCTCTTACGACCCTGCTCTTTGCGCTGCCGCCTGTGACAAGCAGACTGCATGGGACAAATCTCAAGCTACCGACGACTGCAACTACAAGACTTGTGTTTATGCAAACATGTATATCTTGTCGCAGGACGGTATTCCAAAGACCGTTGTTTGTGCTCTGTACACTGATGTTACTGATCCGGAATACGCCGACAACTATGGCTACTCTACCGACACGGATTCTTACCAGGTCTCAAACTCGATCGCCTTGACCAACACCACTGCTGTCAAGGCTGGCTACCCGCAAGTGTGCGCAGCTTCCTCCGGCGATATCTCCTACCTGAACTCGACTGGAGCTGATTTCTGCACGAGCTACCTCGGATATGTTGCTCCCACAACCACTGTCAAGACCACAGTCACCCCTGATGCCTCCACTGTCTTCGCCACTGTCACTAATGTGGTCACTGTCACATCGGTCTACTCTACCTCTACCCAGATCGTCACTGCAGCTGCAGAGAACCAGAAGCGCCAAGCGAATGTGAAAATAATCACAACAACAGTCGAGCTACCTTTCATTACCGTCAGCGGCAACGAGACCGTGGTCGACTATCTGACCAGCACTTTGACCGTCAACGCCGCTTCCACTTCTGGCGCCGTCATCACTCCTGCCACAGTCGATCCTGCAGCAACTGCTGCAGCTCTTGCCAAGCGTAATGCTATTCCTACTCCTTCTTCCATCCTCCACTGGCCATCTTCAAAGATCTCATCTGCTTGTTCGCAAATCGCTACCGGTACCGTCACTAGCACACAGACCGTCACTGGATCTGGATCTGTTGTTACCACTGGCGCTACTGCACAGGTGACATCAATTACATCCATCGTTTTTACTATCACTGTCACCGTCAGTGGCAGCCAGCCGACTACTGTCAGCTTGACCACCAGCAGCGCATCATCTGCTCCTACCTCCACTCCTGCTCCTGGCTGTGCCAAGACGGTCGGTACTCAGGGTCAACTCAGTCTCGGAGGCTATTCTCTCGGTTACCTAACCCCAATCACCTTTGGCTCCGACCCTATCTACTGGACCCCTCTCGGCGGCTTCCAGGACGAGTTCATCTACGACACAACCGGCGACTTCCTCTACCACGTCGACACCGGATACTGCCTCACCCTCGGCGACCCCACCGCCAATAAGTCGCCCAAGTATGTCGGTAGCCCCTTTACTCTCGAGGCATGCTCGTGCTCGACCAGCACCACCGTGACCCAGAGCTTCACCTTCAACCAGCTCAAGGTCAAGAGCGGCAAGACCCAGATGACCAAGAACTGTCTTGCCATCAAGGGAGATAACTCGGGCAACAAGTCTTACTACCCCAAGCTTGTTGACCAGGGCGATGATGAGTACCCCTTCTCTGCTGTTTACGCCGGTACCCAGTTGGATACTTGCATCACATTTGAGGCCGATCAGTAGATGATCTTTTGATTTTGCTTGGTGTTTAGGGAGATTGGATTGCTTAGTTTTAATTTTTATTTCTTCACTTATACCAAAGGCAACAACAGTACATTACATTCTTTCCACGCTAAGGGTCCTTCTCAGATGACAAATTCTAAGCTTTCTGGTATTAATGCTTCTTTTGTTTACATCACACAAATTTGAAAGCCTCTGCGGGGGGCTATAAGGAGGTAGGCTCTGTTTCTAGGAGACGAAGATGACCATGTACTTCTTGAGCATAAGAGCAATTTGCTTTGTTCTAGTCTTTGTTTACTAGGTATGTGATGCAGTCGTGTGATATACGTTGTGATGGAAATAAACAGACTTGAATCAGATTTCTTGGGTACTTATCCAGTACCTTTAACCCTCCCTTAGCACGACCCCTTTCTTGTTCACCTGTTTACTCCTCTTCTTCTTCTTCTTCAGCAGCTCTCCTCATGGCATCTACAAACGCATCACAACGACTTTTTCAATCAGAAGAGCAAATACACGAGCGAACCTTTAATACACGCCGTGCAACTTTCTTTTCTTCCAAGCAAAAAAGCGATAACAAGTGCCAATAGAGGAGCAGAAAGCATCTCACCTAGCATAACATAAAACACCCGCCCCCAAAAAAACCCCATGGCAGCCAACCACAGCACATATATATTCCACAGCTGCATCACCTTACAGCAAAAAAAGCGGCGGTGGCCCAGTGGTTAGGGCGCTGCATCAACGTGTCTTGCAGACACAAGCTCGTATGTTACCGGCTCACCAGCCACTGTTTGGGCTTCGGTCCCAAGTATTTCTTCCCGTTTCACTTTCCCTACCGGTAACAGTGACGATGCAGAGATCGTGGGTTCGAATCTCACTCGCAGCGAAAACTGCTTTTTGCCTTTGGAGGTTTCGCTGGCTTGGGTGAGATAGATGGCAAATACTCGATGGGTATACGATAGCTTGTGCCTTTATGTGAGCCTTAGATCTGAATAACTTCAACTTTTCCTCCCGAGCGAGAAATGGTGGGAAGTGATGATGATAATTGCATTTACAATTCTTAATGCCAAGAGCTCTGGAGCCATACTCATGGATAATGATAACTAAAAGTACAAATACAGGAAGGAACATCCAAGTTCTTTCCGTGATGAGAAAAAGAATGATGTATAGCAAGAAAAAGAGAAGAGCCATCGCTATGCAAAACATGTCAAAAACAAACAAGACCGACCCGACTCTTTACCGTACACGCGGTCGATGACTGCGATCCCTTCCATTCTTGTCCAGCCTTCCACGCCTGCTCTTGTCGGGTGGAGGAACATACTTGACGTCCTTGAGTGCCCAGTCGAGGAAGTTGAGCATATACGCATCCACATGCCCAAATTCTTCTTCTGCATCCTTAGTCTCATCCACATCCATCGCATCAGCAGGTTCGGCAGGTGTGGGCGGCACACTCGTCTTCGGCGTCCGTGAGTCTCTGCTCTGGTTTGCTGTGGCATTATTGCCAGCGGCATCAAAGTCAAAGTCGTCGGCTTGGCCTTCCTTTTGCTGGGCGTGAGCGGCGGCAACATCTTCTGCGTCTTCTACCGCCTCGAGAACTTTCTGAACATTGCGTTCGCCGACATTGTTGCCGAAAACTCTTTCTACAGCGGCGCCGGCGAATGCATCTCCCAGAGCTTCGTCGTCCACGGTAGCGGCAGGAGCGTTGAAGTAATCAGTGGTGAATTCTCCTTCTTGGATGACAACCTCGTCGAGCAGACGCTTCTGATTGGATTTGCGCAGAATGTTGACTTCGATTGTATGCTCAGATACAAACTTGTAGATGTGCACATCGCGAGTTTGACCGATACGATGAGCACGGTCTTGGCATTGTTTGTCCATCTGCGGGTTCCAATCAAGATCGTAGAAGATGACTGTATCAGCACCAGTCAAGTTCATACCTACACCTCCGGAGCGTGACGAGAGGATAAAGACATCGATGCGAGTGTCTCGGTTGAAACGCTCCATCATGTCTTGACGCTGTTCAATCTTTGTGCTGCCATCGAGACGGAGGTAGCGGTATCCGTGGATGTTCAAGAACTGTTCGAGAATGTCAAGGACCGAAGTCATCTGTGTGAAGATCAGGGCGCGGGAACCACGGGATTGAAGCTCGCGGAGCAAGTCTGCCAGCCGTTGCAGCTTACCACAGTCATACTGAAGTAGGCGTTTGTCTGGGAATGCGATGGACAAGCGCACACGAGACTCGTGGAAAGCGTCTGGCTCGGGCGTTTGGGAGACCGATTGAACGTTGTAGATGGTGTTTCGTGAAACCATGTATGGCAGGATGTCGTTGGCCACAGCATTAGGAGTGATGCATGCAAACTTGCGGATGAGGGTATTCATCGCCTTAGATCGTTGATCAACACTCTTGATCATGCTATGAACCAGAGAAGAGGAGTCGAGGTACCATTCAGAGTGCAGAACCTTATCAAGGGGAGGCGATTGTCGCAGTCGATCGGTGGTGTAGGTTGTACATCTCTCGACGAGATCAGTGCCATAGACGGGCGCGAACTCTGTCCGTTGTTCCGTCAAGAAAGCACACTGACGCAAGCGATTCAGCTTGTCCATAGCAGTCTTGTGGTTTTGTTGACCGATGACGGAAGGGAAAGAAGAGCTGTCAAGCGAGCTGGCGCCCAGCCTCTCAACTTCTCTGCGCACAATCTGATCCATAGCCCGACTGGCTCTAAGCTGCTTGCTGCGTCTGATGTGATATCTCGACCTCGACTCTCGACTTGTCAGATTGAGGCTCAANAAGTCTAGGTCAAGCACTTCGTGCGGGTCTTCATAAAGCATCTTCTTTCGCAGAAACAAGTCCTTGATCTCGAAGTCCGCTGCAATTGACCGAGGTTGACGCGTGTAGGGCCTCTTCATGGCGTATGAGGTGACGATAGGACGCTCTTCGAACAGATCTGGATGGTTGCAAACCTTTCTCAATGACATCAATGCTTGTGATACACTGATCATGTTACCAGATGTCAACTTTGCCTTGGTATCGGAAAGCCCCATGAACGCATCGTAGAGCTGACGTTGTCGTTTTGACAGTCTGCAAATCACAGTGTGTTCATATTTGCCGGGAAGCTGTTTCTCGACCGAAGACTTGAGGCGACGCAGAAGGTAAGGGCGAAGCGAATGATGTAGCTTGTTGACAATATCTTGCGCTTCGTTGCCAAGCTTACTCTTACCATCAACGAAGATCTCATCGACAGGTCTGCGGAACCACTCTGTGAACTCTTCAAGGTCACCCATACCTTGACCGTCTTGACCGGCAGTCAGGAAAGTGAGAAGCGACCACAACTCGATGATGCTGTTTTGGAGAGGTGTACCAGTCAGCAAGAGACGAGCATGTGTCTTGAGCCTGATCATGGCTTGATAACGCTGGGAGTTGAAGTTCTTGATATTGTGCGCTTCATCCAGAATCATGTAATGCCACTCAGGAACTCTGATGGCTGGTAAATCCTTCAAGATGAGTTGATACGAGGTGATGACGACGTTCCAGATATCAGGATTGCTCCAGCCTTTGCGCTTTTGCGCTCTTTCCTCGACGGAACCGTAGTATGACAGAACTTTGAAGCCAGGCAAGAACTTCTTGAACTCCATCTCCCAGTTGAGAATGACTGACGTGGGTACGACGATCAGATGAGGGCCCCAAATGTGATGCTCCTCTGCCAGATGAGCCAACAGTGCAATGGTCTGAATCGTTTTTCCCAGGCCCATCTCGTCCGCGAGGATACCATTGGTCTGGTTGGCGTAGAGCTTTGCAAGCCAGTCGAGACCTTCATGCTGATATTCTCTGAGCGTGCCTCTAAGTAAAGAAGGAATCTTGACTTTGGAGGATTTTCCAGGCTGTGGTGTGTCACTAGTTTCGGACATCCTGTCAGCCTCGTCAAGATCAACACTAGTGGTCGATTCAGCTTCAGTAGGCTCAATAGTCGTGTCGTCCTTGGGTGATGTTTGACTGCTTCTGTCCTCTGCATGCGAATCTGCTGACAGCATATTGTGATGAGGACTAAGAGAGTGGGCGTGAAGTTTCTGGGATGCGACTTTCTCAGCATCGGTGCCTACTGACAGTGCTTGAGGGTGGTCTTGTTGTGCAGAGACAGCTGATTCTTCCTCGAGTACATCTTCTAATACTGCAGATTTAGCGTTCTCGATGGAAGGCGCATGAAGGCTGTTTTCGAGTGGCGTCGCAATAGCCGAGCTCTGGTCGACCTCCAAAGCTTCTAGCCCATCCGAATCGCGTTCGTCAATGTTCTCAGCATCGGACTGCTCGGAATCGATACCGTTCGTCTGCCTGAGCTCGACTTGTTCAGCAGAATCCTGGATGACTTTGGCGAGTTCGTCCTGGTCGTGATCTGGATCTTCCCCAGGTGTTTCATCTTGCCGCTCCACCATCTCCTCAGCTTCCTCAGACGCTTCAACGCCTAAAGTAGTCTGACTCTCTTTCGCAAGAGCTTTGCGTCCACCAAAGAAGCCAAGGAGGCCACCGTCATCTTCGCTTTCACTCGCTTCTTCCTCCTCGTCATCCTCCCCATCTTCTTCCTCATCGCTCATATCTTCATCACTCATGTTGGTGGATTCGTCGCTGTCATCAAGAAGGGCATCATCCACCTCGTCCAGTTGGATCTTGGAATAGTCTCGCTCCTCCTGGATTTGTTTGTCGTTGTCTTCAGTGTCATCAATCTCAGCTTCGTCATCGTCTTCATCCAGATTGATTTTCGTGGTGTCTGCTGCATTCGAGTCTTGATCGTCATCGATGTCCATGTCACTAGCATCGTCCTCAGACTGTTCCTGCGGTATGTCTGGTATGTTGCTGTATTTCCGACGAAGAGCTTCTGGAGATAGGTTCACGTCATCGTCCTCCCCTTCCTCGCCATCGCTGCCTTCAGACTCGGATGAAGTCATGCGGTGATCTTTGTCGGGATCCTGGCCGGATGCGTCTGATCCTTCTTCATCAGCGGAAGCACCTTCGCTAAGACTGATGTCGTCGGCGTCATCGTCGTCATCACCATCCACAGACAGACCGGAATCCAGTAGCGCGCGACGTTTATCCAGCAGATTTGTCGATTTCTCCAGCATACTCTGCATCTTGAGTTCTCGTTCAATCCTTTGTTCTTCCGCGTAACGCAGTGCCCTTCGTCGATCAATCTCGGCACCGACAAGCTCCCACTTCCGTTGAACATCCTTGACGGTTTGACAGTAGATGAGTCTATACCATTCATTCTCCTGCTTCTCCTTCTCTTCTTCGGTTTGAGGTTGTCGTTCTTTCCATCTTGCCAAACACGCGTATGCAACTCTTTTGGCACTGTCCATGTGCGCACGCTTCTCCTTCTCCATTAGGGATCTCAGAAAGGCGCCATGAGTCCAAATATGGTCCCAGTGGTTGTATTGTTGCGCGGGCTCTTTTTGATCGTCTGGCAAGTATAGCGAACTTTTNTCCTCGCTCAGAGGACCCCCTGGCTGAGCGGCTTCCAGGATTCTTAGACGTGCCGAAGCTTCCTTCTCAGCTCGCTCCTCGGGTGCCTGCTCAATTCTCTCTGGTGCGCGACGCTCAAGACCTTGGTACCTGTCGTCTTCCTTACTCTCATAAGCGGCCTCTTTGCTTTTCTGGTCATAGTGGGCGATGATATCGTCGAGAGACTGGAAACGTGGTGGATTGACAACATGACTCGGGTGACGAGGTAGGAACGAAAATTGTGGTCGCTTGAGCTTGAGCTTGATGCGCGGTGTTGATGAGGCTGGATCGGATGACGCGGGAGGTTGCGACTCGGTGGAAGCTTCAGGTTCAGGTTTAGCGGGACGGCCAGCTTTGCGCTTTGCTTGTGGAGATTGTGACGGTGGAGCGGGCTCCTCTTTCTTGACGGCTTCGGGCGAAGTTTCGAGGTTCTTGATTCTGGCAGAGACGCGAGATGGACGTGGCGGAGTCTTCTCGCGCTTGGGCACAGGGGTTTCCTTTGGCTTGGGCTGACTTGTCTGTTGAGCAGTTTGAGCGTTCAAGGCCGAAGCTTTGCTGACCGGAGTCCTTGCGACAGGCTTTTTGGACTTGGAAGTCGCCTTTTCAAAGACAGGGGGAGCTGGAGCATTGACACGACCTGACCTTCTCTTTCCGTTGTCCAAGATTGTGGTGGGACCTTCGGCAGCGAACGACTTCCATGGCGGCGAGATGGGCTTCGAAGCAGATCGCGATCTGGAGGCGGACTGGAGGTCGGCGACTTTGCGCTTCTTGGAGTTGGTAGCTGGTGGTGTCGAAGGACGGTCGGACGCGTCGAATTCAATCTCGTCTTCGGAGCTGAGGGGAGAGTCGGAGTCGAGAAGAGTCTTGTCTTCGGCAGGAACAGGTTCGAGGATATCGGTCAGCTGTGCATCGAGCATAGGCGTGTCATCGACGGCATGGTTGTTGTCGACAGAGGTGTTGTCGTCTTGGATCTTTTGATGGGTGTCGGGCGGAGGCGGACTGGGGCTTTCATGGCCGCCGTCGTGTTGCGTGACGCCCTCGTGCCCTCTTGCTCCATCAACGCCAATCGAGCGGCCTTCAAAAATAGGAGCACTGGAAGCTCAGAGTGCACTGATGATCATGCCGTTTTCCAAACTTGAATATCGGACGTCGTTGGGTTGATAATGGCAAAAAGACGTCACGGGGCGCGGATTGTACAAAAGTTCGTGTTGCGCGTTTCCTCTCACGAATCTGGAGACGTGGAAGTTGCCGACCACCTCCCGCTGTTCCGCTCCGCCTGCCAAGACGCCCGAAGCTGGTCCATGACCGCGCATACCGATTCGACGTGCTTGGTGATTCAAGATTGCTGTCACCACACACCACAACGTACGCTCACTCCCGATTCCCTTCTCGACCATCCATTGACGACCTGTCAGATGCTCTCCCGCAGACTCGCCGCGGCACGCCCGCTCTCCAGCGCCGTACGCTCTGTCGCTCCCCGCACCACCCTCACACAATTGCGTTTCGCTTCCGAGAACAATGCCAACAGGGAGAACTTTGTTGGCGAGATGTCCGTCGAGGACCCCGGCATGGTGTGTGAAGAGAATCATCCGATGCCTGACAGGAACTCGCATTGACAATGTTCAATTAGANACGGTGGATACGTCAACNCCCCAGCAATCAAGCGCGCCTTCCGTGACCCCTACGGCGACTGGTGGGACAAGCAAGAGCGTCGTAACTTCGGCGAGCCCGTCCACGAGGATAACGATACTCTTGGTATCTTCTCGACCGAACCCTACACCCACTTCAAGCCCGGCCACGGTGCCGTCCTCCTTGGTACCTTTATCGCATCCGTCTTCGTCCTGATGGGTGTTATCCGTCAATACTACCCCGACAAGCCCGCCGTCCCCAGAACCTTCCCCGGTGGTCTCGACAGGGAACTTGGCGGCGCCGGCGCTGTCCNNCCGTGAGTCTTCTTGAAGAGTACGCATTGACGACAGCAGTGCTGACCTTTTGTGCAACAGGCCCGTACCGACGAGAAGGAGCCTTTCTAGATAAACATTTGTCCATACCCTATTCAACGTCTTTTCTTTGTCGCCAGCCTAATTTTCAAGACGGCATTCGTGAATTGTGTTGATGACAGCTAAGCTCTAGGCCAGGTAGTGTTTATCGCTGAAAGCTGCGCTTGCTGCCCTGTATCAGCATTATGTGGAACTGATGAACTGAGGGTTAACGTGGCTGGAAAAGATTTGGTAAGTTGATAGATCGAGGCTAATTTTAGAACCAATCTACATCTACTATTAGCTGTCGATGCATAGTTGAGGGTCTCGCAGCATTATTGCTCCCAAGTTCCTGAGGAAGCCACGCAATTGACCGTGATGGAGAAAGAGATAGCAACTTCCTAATTTGGCGCGACATCCACAACATCCACGACATCGCGCCTTCTCTGTCGCCGCCTCACTGACTCAAATTCTTTCAATACAGTCGTTCTTCGACCTTCACGCTCAAAGGACGTGAATGTGAGCCTGGTCTTCCTGCACGGCAAGATACGATAAAGGATAAACTAGAAGATCTTCTTCAGTCGTCTAGGTCGTTGTCAAGCCCGACCATGCGTAACAGGAACGCGCACAGTCGCGGTCCCAAACGTGGCATTCCAACTGGACCCAGAGCACGGAAGCCCGCACCAAGATCTAACACATACCAGGCTTTCACTGCAGCAGTGCCTATGACATCTGGTACAACCGCGGTGCCTAGTATGTCCGTAATGCCCGGCATGGCCCCTGATATGATGGGACCCAACCTTGGCACCCATGGTCAGCATTTCGGTGTCTTCGGTGGTCGTCCTCAGCCAGATGGCTTTCCTCAACCGAGCCCTCAGACCTTCACCACCTCTAACGCTCTTGAAAACGTTTTCAATGCTGCTCGTCCTAGCCAGCAGAAGCAGATGCTTGGCGAGGCTCTTTACCCCGAGATCAAGAAACAGCAACCTGAGTTTGCCGGCAAGATCGCTGGTATGATCCTCGAGATGGACAACGTGAGCTTCTTCACCTAACCACAGATGACGTTGCTCTCCGCAACAAGGTTGACGAGGCTCTACGTGTCTACTCGAAGCCAAGTGCAATGAGGAATCCTGAGTTGTCTCCACGATTTTCGCGGCCATTGTCACATTCGCCAATGCATCGACGACTGCTTCAATCATGTGTCTATCGAGGTGTTGTGGACATCTGTGGCTCAAATACGCCGATGCACGTTGATCCGTGGCAACGTTTTGGGTATTACCGATCGCATACTGGAAGTATGACTCCAGCAAACAATATATCAAACACGCTGGGGAAAACAACAAACTCACCACCGAAGTCCTTGTATATGGCAACTTCAACAGCGAAGGTGCGCTTGCTATGGCCATCTGGGTCAGAGTCAAGCCGCTGCTTTTTGGCAGTGCCATATGCTAGAGCGCAACCATGTCATGACACACTTCGGCCTCGAGGAACTCATACACAATAGTGTCCACCTCTTTCTCAGCCAGCATCTTAGCACGGTCGTCTTCGTTATAGCACCGCCGAGGTCTCCAGTGCCGGTTCCGTCAACAAAGCACGATGCTCTAATTAGATTAGAGCCGTGTTCTATAACATCAAGCACGGCTAGGCTACAAACCAGAGCAGTGTTACCATCAGATTCTCCGACGACTTCTCTGAGCAGAAGAGAAGTTAATCCTAGCCTGACGCGATGTATCGCATCTCCGATAGACCTAGTCAGGGCTGGTACAAGTTGTTGTTGAAAGGTTGAAATGAACTCGTCGACTGCGACTAGTGGAACAAACTTAGGTTGGAATTCGTTATAATGGGTCCCGCTATGCGGCGCATCGTTACTCTCGCCATCGGAAGTGGTTGTCGCATTGCTGGCCTGGACATTCGACTCGTCGGCCATCTACATCTAACCGATCGGTCATTCTGAATTGGAAAGGGGCACCAAGATCATCGGCAGCAGTTTCTTGCCGGTTCTGGTTTATGTGGCGTCTTATATTGTCTCATGAGGTGTCTATCTCCGCCTCCGCTACCTCTTCGACCAGCTCCCAAGAAGCTACCATCGATCGAACTGGAATTGTGGTTGATCCCAATGCTGCAGAGGAGCAAGCCTGGGCAGCCGAGAATCGAGCCCAACTGATGTTCGCCCTCGAGAGCGAACTGCTGTGGTCAGACCTGACTTATGGTCAGCGCAGCGAGGTTATCAAGCTCTTCAATGCTATCTCCTCGGGTCTTATTGACGACTTGCAGGCATGCTTTGACCTTCCTCGCAACCATGAGATCTGAACACAGAGGCCCAATGTCAACCTGACGGTAAGTAGAGCTTCAGGAGATGGGTTCAAGCGAGGCGTCGATATGTATCTCGATCCTTTGCATGAGATCAGAGTCATATAGAGACCGACGACATACGTCTTCCGGGATAGGAGTTTGCGCAACAATGCCTCACTTGACTCTCCGCCTCGGTCGATCACTCGATACACTTTCATAGCTTCTCTCATGGATTCCTACACTTTCTTTATATCTACTTGCAACCTGATCACTATCTCATTCCAACAACATGGCCACCTCCCAAAACGACGGCGGAGAGGTCGACCTCGGTATAGGTCAAAGGCAACACGCAACCTTTCCCGAAAACCTCCCTCGATCAACGACACGCCCCTCAATCAGCTTTGTTCATAGACCAGCTAGATGAAGATATCGTATTGGTGGTGTGTTGAACGACTCGAGCACTTTGCGATCAGAGATAACGTATCGGCTGTTTCCTGTGAGTCACGTCGTCGGTACTAAAGGCCTGGTCATGCAGAACGAGGTATAGGCAAGTTACGGCCTTTGTAGAAGAAGCTATATGCAGTGGTAAATACAGGGTCACTTTGTGAAGCGAGTGTAGAAATGGTATGCTACATCAATGTTGACCCGTTCGGGCTGCTGGTTGAGCAACCAATCAAGCAGAGACTCGGGTTATTGACTCCTTTTGCAATGCTAGGAACTGATCCATCTGCAGAGCGATGTGCTCGAGATGATAAAGAAGACTTAGTTCGGCACTCCGCGCGCACTTCTGCTGTAAGATTTGCATGTAGCGCTGCCCCCGTCTGAATGCCTCAACGCGACTACAACCATCTTGCCACGCGCACTTCCACATCTTTCATCCTTTGGCTCATATCAGAGCAGCACCGTCGTCCCACTTGCACTTTTGGTACGTGTCATAGATTGTTTGCGCATCCTTCACCCCTGACGCGTTTTGATCAACTCTTGCCTTGACCCTCACCTTCCCACGCAACTGCTTACGCTTCATGCAGCCTGCGTCTGTGGTCAAAACATCTATAATGTCCACGACGGACGCTCCTACCGACGACACTGTCCAGCTCCGCCGTTCAAAGCGTGTTGAGACCCAGAAACGTGACGCTGTTATCAAGAGCCCACTTCGCGCCGTCGTCCGCCAAAGACGCCGCGTCGACTCTGCTCTAAGAAGACAGAGAGGTCAGTCAACTATTCTCTTCCTAATTCCTCTCCATGCTCTCTATTCCCATTCCTTGTCTGCTCTCTGAATGCCATCATGGAACCTGACTGACGTTTACAAGGTTGGAACAAGCGTTGGGAGACATGGAGAATTGAGTCCACGACTACCCAGCTTAAGATGTCCACTTCTGAGGCAGTCGAGAAGCTGCGAAACGAAGACCTTGACGACATGTGGAAGGAGGACCCACAGCACGCATCTTTGTATGAGAACGCTCTGGAAGTCTACGATCAAAAAATCCTCGAGAGATCAATCACCCCTATTCCTGTTGCTGGATCGGACACTCAAGCATTGCGTCAAGCCTCGTCTTCTCCTGATATTACGGGTCCTGCCCATGACGACGCTGATACTGACCTGCAGTACGAGGCAGCCATGATCAAGATATGTCTGGAACACACTG